AACCTTAATTGATATGACGAATTCGATGGTTCACATACATCAAGGAAGGGACACCTATCACAACAGTACTATCAGAGATAAACAGGACATGTTATATAATAAAAGGTTACCAACACAATTTGCAAAATTACACATGACGCCCTACTCTATCAACAGAGTAGGTATAAATTATGCTTTTAATGTGGCACGTACGAAATGATTTATTGTATAAATGATTGCTTTTGATCACATCGTTCTTTTTTATCTTGTTTGATTGATGTTTCTTAATTCGAGTAACAAATTGTAACTTACCGTCAATTGTACTTTGCTTCTTAAAATAAAATAGTGACAATATGTTTGTATGATCAAATAACGGATAAAAATAAGCACTACCATCAGAAAGCTCATGTAAATGTTCTCATCCAAATATAACTTCAAAAATCTCTTCATTCCTCTATTCTATCTTGTCTGTAATGTATTCTTTCGACTTAGAACAACACTGTTTTATGTATAATATTCCATTTCATAAAGACACATGATCTAACGACTTTGTTTCTCCAGCAAGAGCAGTATATCATAGTCTTCATCTCTGTTTCATCCCTTCTCTCCCTCTTCATTCAACTGGATCTGCCTGATTTTATTTTCTAGAACAACCTGCAAATCGACCGGCTCCACATCGATCGCAGTAAGAAAATCATTGTATAATAACTTTCGAGAAAGCATTTTCACTCGCCCAAGAAGTCTTCTTGTGAATGAATGATCATACACAGTTGACATGTCCGAACTCCACATGGTATACAGTTTAATATGTTCCAATAATTCGCTACGAATCTCACATGACAGGTTCAACCACCGAAATCCAGCATCTCCTCTTAACACACCCTTGACAAATCTTCCATTCAGGACGCAGACAAAATGAATGAGGCACAGCTGCTGACAATTCGATCGTTCAGAGTGACTGAGGCAAGTGGACGAGAAGAATTGCTGACAGCAAGAACAAATGAGTTGAACTTTGATTGATGATATGGAAGTCACATCTACCATTTGCCACGAGTAATAATCACAACTCAAAGCCAATGGAGACAGAATATCATACTGAAAGAAAAGATAAGGATGCGAATACTGAAAGACTGAGCTGTTTTCTGTATACACATTCTTTTTGTTATTTACATTAATATCAGCAAATACTAGAATTTGCCCAATCGAAAAGAGCTGAATAAAGTCACCGCTCCATAATTCGATCACTTCCCTGCTCCAACAATCTTGAATGAGTACCAAGCATCTTTCTTTCACTCGAACAAATGAATAATAATCTATCAACTTCCCGATCATCCAAATCGGTTTGCCTTCTGTGTATCGTAAGGCCTCAGAGACAGAAAGACAGGAAATGGAGGGAGGAATGACTGGATCGCATACAAAACGAATCGTTGACTGTGAATCAATCACAATGCTTTTTCCTTCTCTCAGAGCATTTTCCACACAATAAGCGGCTCCAAGGAGAAACTTATTTTCATTCTGAAGAATGGATGGGTTATTCAAAATGATAGATGATTCATCAATCTCACACCGAACCACTTTTATAGGTTCCCCGAAACACTCTGCATCATATTCCTGATTCATAACATAGAATCGATGAACAAAGTTGGTGTGATAAGAATAGAATGGATAGGAAACATTATTTCGATGAAGAACCGTGAATTGAATCGTGACTCGCTGCTGATTTAAAGCATTTGTTTTTGTGTTTTGCATCATCAAATCATAAACCTGCTTGGACATTAATTGCTTTCCAGAGAGAACTGCTTGGTCTAATGATATGTCCACCGACTCACAAAAAGATCGAAACGAACAAGACAAAAGAAGTGGAGTTTTTTCACCACCTCTAATAGATGCCAATTTGATGAGATAGTTGATGTTGACGTTTCCTTTGAAGATTTCTTTGCACAGAAACACTCGAGCATTTTCATTTGTAAGAAGAAGACAAATCGATTCTCCTTGTCTCAACGGCAAGGATAGAAGGCAAGACTCACAGATACAAAGAATAGGTTGGGCGCCAATTTGACACACGAGATCATTTCCCTGAAAGTACACTTTGCCCAAAAATGGTTGAGGCAAAGGAGTTCCAGGAATGCTAAATCAAATGAGAGATCAATACATTACAATAGCGTTTGCTTTCCCATCGACGACTGTCCTAGAAAGCAAACAGAGCGGTTATCCTTTTCTTTGAGAGACAAAAGACTATTCAAATAGTCATTCCAGACGATTGGCGATTGCTTGATCCACTGTAGCGTTTTCTGCAGAAATCTACACTGTTTGGAGTGAGAAGAGTATTCCTCGTAAGAGAATCCTTCGAGAACAGGCCAATTCTCGTGTGAAAGAGTACAGAACTGTTCTGTCCGACTTTCTAGAACCACATACTACAAAATAATCAAAGCAATATGGAAAAAACAGTCGATGACAAACACATGCAAATCAATTTTATGGATACCAAACTATAATAGATCAAGTGGACATTGAAAAGGAGAAGTGAATCTGATGGTTGAAAAGGCATGGGAAGAACGCTAGTCACAAAAACAGAGTTATCCAGTAAAAAGAGCGTGGGACTAATGCGTTGGATGACTTTTCCTTTCCAATGAGACATCCGTTTTGCCTCTCTTTCAACAAAAAGAAACGAAGCATCCATTGGAAAGATAGGAAATCTGTTAGGAATTGCGAGGGACGAAAGAGAATGGAGAGAGATCGTTGAAGAGGGAGTCAGATCGATTCGAGAAGATCTGGAATTCAAACGTATCATAAAGGAGTACGTTTTTTTGTAATTCGAAAGAACAATCTCGGTTCCTATAGGTAGATACAATTGACAATACCTAGAATGATCTGGATCCACTCGAATGACCACTTCCTTTTTGCATTTTTCAACAGAAAGAGACAGCAAATAGGAAGAATCGGGAAGAACTGATAGAGCCTTTCGAATGACCACACCACGAATACTGGGGCTTTGAGTAACGTTATGAAGCATTTTGAAAGGAATAAAAAGGTCAGCGGGAGATATGGAGTGGTTTGGATGAAACACTAGCACGATGGGAATGTCGGTGTGTGGATACAGCGGGAGAAAACACGAAGCATGAATGTATGCTTCTCTGCCTTCAACAAAGATATTACCGTTTCGAAGGATGCAAAGCAAAAAGAGCGGCTTTTGAGACACCTTGAAACTCGTTGATAGCTCAATACTTTCCAGTTCCAGCCCACTAAGATATTCATTTGGAAACAAGAAAAAACGTGAAATCGATATAGTTTTTAACATACTGACAGAAAGCGAGCAAATAGTCATTCCAATCAAACGATTCGTCGATAATCGCAAATCGAGAGATGCAGTTGACGCAGGCGACTAAAGAATCGCAAAATGGCGTTCCCTTGCCCTTTGGTAGCTGAAAAACGGTCTCAATACAAGCACTCACTATGCATTGCATAGAACAAAAATGTTTCCAACAAATACCTTAAAAATAAATGACCTGCGGATTCTTCTTATTGAGAGAGAGGCCTACCATCGAGAACTTACTTTTCTCCATCAAGAACAGCATATCACTGGATCCAAGTAATGAAAGTTCAATAATAGTACGCATAGCAGAAGCTTCGGTAATTTCTTTTCCTGACTCATCTACAGGAAGATAGTCAACTAAAAAGAAATCGTGGTCAAAATTTTGGTAGATGAGCTCTCTCATCTCACTCGAATCCGTAGCAAAAGCAATCATTGCGTTTCTTTCTCTCTGCATATTGCGAATCATATTGAATTTATTCGTAAAACGTTGAATAGAACTTTGAAGAGCATCACCATCCCCCTCCTGACCCTCGAACCGGACATGCACTCCAATCGTGTATCTTCCGCTGATTCGCTTCAAGAACGGGTCGATAAACCTCTGTGTGAACAGGCTGGGTTGGAAGACGGACGGGATGCAGTAAGAATACCAGTCATCGAACTGGGGCGCTCTCGATCCCATCAGCTCCGAGAACCGATTGAAGATCTGCGTGTTTTTGACGAGTCGCTTGCCGATCATGTTCGTTAGGATCAACGCGACGGAGCCGTTCAGTCCGCCGAGGAAGGGCTCGTCGTTGGTGACGCCGTTGATTTCGGTTTTGGGGGTGAAGAGGATGGGATAGGAAACGATGTCGGAGATGTCGGCTTGGTGGTTGAGACGGACGATTTCTGGGATTAGAGAGGCGATGGGGGAGTACCTGTCGGCGGAGAGAGTTCGATCGGGTATGTAAAGTTGAAGAGAGGAAAAGAGAAAAAATGATCAGGGAGTCCAGGAGCTATTACTACCGATGAGAGAAGCGATCTAAAAACCACTTTGAACTGGCTTGTCAATTAAAACTCCCAATAAAAGTGCATCACAGGTACATAGAATCTGTGTTGGAATACCTCGATACCCCTTTCTTTGATACACAAGTGGAGGGTTATATTTCATGTTATGTTGGATCAAGGAATAAGTAGTATTCATGTATTCAATCAAACTCGGCGGTCCATACTTCCAGCTTTTTTCTGGCTCAAAAAGCTCCTTAGGCGCCGTTGAACCATCTCTATAATACCGACTGTAAACGAAATTGAGGGAGGATACATCCGTAACCTCCGTATTCGACGGCTTTATGTATGTGATACCAAGGCACATACCACTCATTCCAGTTCGCTGATATACACCTTCGTCAAACATCTATTGCTTAAAACAGTACGAAACGCCTACTGCTACCATAATAGGACAAACTTGTTCACGTTTATTATTCAACATCGGAAATAGGTACAGGGCGCAAAAGATACAATACACAATGCATGCCACCTGAAAAAAGCAATACCGCAACATGATAATGACTTAACCATTCTCAGAATGGCATTTAAAAATTCGTTTAACAGTGGATACATAACAGTGGTAGCTATCATTCAAACAATCAGAATGATGGAGATAGGGCGGGATTCATATCTTTTCTATTTTTAAATCATGTAGTATTTTAACTCAACGATGAGGCGAATAGAGTTATGTTCTCTTAACTTCCAGACAGTATAACTGGGCTCGTGAGCTCCACTTGGAGATGAGAATTAAGTAATTCTTCTCTTCACCTCTGGTGTGGAACGTTCTTGAGAAAGGGAGAAACACAACTTTTTGAAACGTTTCCATGAAACAAACAATGCACTCATAAGGATTCGCATTTGCTGCCGTAAAAGATGTTCCACAGCTGCACGACTCTGCGGCATTCGGGTTTTTCGACACAACAAAGCCAGTGCGTACAAGCGAATCTTCCCAATCCACTTCTGATCCTTTTACATAAGGCAGTGATACTGTATCAACTACAATGCGTGCTCCGGAAGGATCTACAAACTCTCTACAATCAACAACTCATAACAATAACAATACGTGTCATAGTCGTAAACCTTGTCATAGTCCATGGTGAATTTGTATTGAAGACCGGAACAACCTCCTGATTGAACAGCAATGCGAAGTCGAATTCCATCCAAGGGCAGATTTTTCTTTTTTGCTAATTTGATAATGTGCTAGAATAAAAAAGGAACAAAAGACGAACCTTTGCACATTCCTCTGTCATTGTAATCTTGTCACTCACCTTCGCTTCTATACATCATTTCAGAGCGTTTTCCGACCTACCAGTAGAGAAGAGTCGAAGTGCGGCACAACTCCCAAATCGAGGTATTTCCCTCGCTACGAGCATGGAAGAACGTGAAAAAGCAGAGCAAAGACGGAACATTTAATAAAACAAATAAAAAATACAAATGAGCAAATCCTTCCTTAAAGGGTGTAAGCAATAGATCCAAGCTCGTTATATTTCGTATCAAGCGACACGTTCGCCTCGGGGTCAAGACGAATCTTCTTCAGCTTGCATCCCAGATAAACACTACACATCATCTCCCATCACAACCTCTACATAGTGAAAACGACGATGACCACCGCAGCGACATCCACAATCATGAAGATCTCCGTCATCGACAGACCGACACCCTTCGAGCAGTCCGCTCCCTTGTTATTGGAGTTGCAGAAGCAGCGAGGCGCGTCAATGCTGTTATCCATCATGCAGATTCCGTGGCCACTGCAGATCTTGCCGTTCGCAGGGTAGCACTCTATGCATCACTTTCCTTCTTCGCGTCTACCCTGAGGACAGGCGTACACAGAATCCAGCCAGAGCGAGTAGTAGCCGTAGCTGTACTGATAGACATCGGCCTCGGTGGGAAGTGACTCAGTGTCCGAACAGCGGATATTGATGTTCAGACTGTAGTGGTACCACCAATTGAAGTAATCTCCGTTGCGGTAGTTCACAACCAATCCGGCGGTGTAGTCGGAGTAATCTACAGGTTAGAAGAATCGAATAGAGCAAAAATACCATAGGGATAGTACAAATAACCAAGCTCGCTGAAAGGAGCCGACAAACGATGGCACTCCTTCTCATATCGCGAGATCAAGAAGGCAGGGACCTTTTCCCTGGTCATAATCTTGTTGTCACCTTCCATGTCCTTAATGGTTTCCTCGCACAGATTTTTGCCATCCACGATATACTCGGGGATTTTCACGACATTCTGACAGAAGTTAACGACATAACTTGAAGGTTAGCAGAAAACTGGAAAAAACCTACGTCTGGTTCTGGTACGCGCTAAGGCGATTGAAGATGTAATAATCCTGCTCGTTATTAGACAACGCGTTCAAGTCGAACGTAATGCCATTCTTGGGAGAATAAGTACAGTTGGCGACTGCAGAATGCGCCACACTAAAGCAGATAAGCAAGCAAACAAGAGTCCAGATCATGATTATTTATATATAATAAGTTTCCTAAAATGCAAGATCTTCCATCCACCCAATGAAACTCCCAAGATTGGCAACTACTTGAATATATAGAATCGTAAACCTTGAATAGAGCTGGAGTGCGTCCTTTCGACGAAACAAACAACAAGAGTGAATCAAGTATTTTACACAATCTTCTAGCTTCGCCACACAAAAATATCACCATGTTCCGAGCCTGCGTACAAGTTACCACTCTTCTTACAAATTGAGCAATCCAGAATGGGTCCACAGCCACGCGAAGCCTGCAATCGAGAAAGCATCTTTTGAGTCCGAACATCCCAAATACAGCTACATAAAAACCGCTGTTTCAAACCTACACAACTCCATTCTCGCTTCCTGAGTACAAATAATTATCACCCAAGAAATGGACTCGCAAAAAGTTCGATCGCGTGTTCATAATACCCCGGAACGACATTTCGATCGCGTTTGTGCGGATGTCCACGACGTAATTGCAGTTCTACTCACCAGCCGTGCATCATCCCTACACTTCGGTTGGCCACAGCTAGCAAATTTCCGCTCTCCCCGCTCTCCAGCCCCGTAATCTCCTTCAGATTCCGATCCAGCACGGCCAGCTCGCACACACTCACCACGTCCCACGTCGCAATCCGGCAGTCCTTTCCCCCCGAAAACAGCAAATTCCCCGCGGGATTAAACGCAGTCGCGGTCACAGACGACGCGTGCGGCATGTACTTCTACTCTCAGAGCGATGGGAGCGCGAGTACCTTGAGACAAGAGCGCTGCTCGGCGTCGAAAAGCTGCACGGAGCCATCAAAACAACCCGCGGCGATGAGCTGAGACGAGAGCGGATGCGTCGACACCGCGTAGACGTCGTTCTGGCTCACCGAGAGCTCGACGGGCGACGAGGCCTTCGCTGGACTCCAGATCTTGACGAGTCCGTCGCTGCCGGCAGTGACGACTTCCTGGGTGAGGGGGTTGACTTGGAGGTCCCAGATGAGTCCGTTGTGGCTGCCGATGTGCTTCAGAGCGCTCGTCGCGTCCTCACGATTCCAGAGGTAGAGCGAGTTGCGCGCGGAGAAGGCGACGGAGGACTCGCAGAGCGCGACGACGCCCTTGACGGGGCCTTCGACGTGCTGCTGCGAGTCGACGAGGAAGGAGGGCAGCGGATAGCCGTTGATATCTTCGAGAAGCGAGACGAACCGCATGGAGTGAGGCGTGTTGGGGAACGTCTGCGAGATCTGGTAGCTGTAGGCCTGCTTGAGAAGCGTGATGAGACGGTTGGGAGGGACCTGTGTGAGAAGAGAGGCGAGAGGGAACGGGTTTTTCGAGGATCACGCTCTCGTCGTAGAACTCGCGCGAGAGCGTGGCGGCGAGGATTTCCCGGGACTTTTGGATGCCCGGCCAGTGCTCGAAGTAGGGGGAGCTGCGAACGCTCTGCAGATCAGGGGAGGGAACGAGGAGGGACTTTGAGGGAGAGGAGGTAGCAGAGCTCCTTGAACTCGCCGGCGTGCAGAGATTCGCAGACGGACTCGAGGGGTTTGATGTACTTGAAGAGAAAGTGAAGACCTTTCTGGTTCTCGTTCCGCGAGATGAACTCGAGATATTCTTGTTTGTAAATGAAATAGAGGAGTTTCTCAAGACGGCTAGGAATAAAATTGTATGTGCTAGCAAACTCTGGACGGCAGTATTCACGTAAAGCAGACTCTACAGCGTCCCATTCTCCTGCAATGACATCTTTTGTTATTTTTTGGATAATCGGATAGCGGTTTGTGTTATCGCCCGTAAACAAACCTGATTCTTCTTGCAAAACCACAGCAGATGTAGTATATCTAAAAACAATGATCTAGAAACTGTGTCCTATACCCGTGTGATGATAAATACTGTAAAATAATACGAATCAAATCATGTTCAAGCTTTCAATGATTTTATGAAATTATATCATACCTGAGGGTTGTTTTCATCGAATAAGTCAAGTGTATTTGTAGAAGAAGTCTACATGTGTGAAAACCCTAAACACCTACATCTGTGCCTATCACTGACGGGTTATCACTCTTTGGAGAGACTGGGGTGAGTGGAGATAACATTTCAATAAGGAGTTCCTAACAAAGTCAATAACATCTTCATTTCGTACTCCTGATATAGAGTGATTCATGAGCACTTTGTGTTCCAAAAAGTATCACAGCTGTAAAAGAGATTCTAAGTTGAGAAAAGTTCCTCTATTTCTGGTATGAATAAAGCATTCTTATGAGTGCATAGGTTTTTAAGAAGAATACATCAGTGGTGGATAAAACTACCAAAAAATCCTTTGTGAGAACTTCAAAGCATTAGACGCTGCTGATATTAATAGTGTGATGAATAAGGATATCGAGCTGGAGTATTTGGAGAATATTCTGGCATCATCGAGAGATATGGTTAGCGCACTCGATGCGATTGCAGCACAATTCAGATCAATGGAAAAAGCATCTCAAGGTATGTTTTTGTTGAATTGTAAACAAAAGACATGATTACTGTTTTTCAAAACTGGAACACAGTTTTTTCATTAGCTGAAAAAGCAAGGACAGGAGATGTATCGGTTATTGTTATCCCAGATGCAGAAAAGAATCATAAGCCATAGGAATGTAAAACCTGAGTGTTTTGTATAGTATCATAAGGAGGCTGTTTGTTTGAATCCGAGATGGTGACGTGGCGAACAAAGGAGACCCTACCAACTCCAGCTTGTAAGAGTTCTTGAATGAAGTGTTGGATGGCTGGGTGAGCATATAGAATGAGACTTGTTATATTGATAGATCTAGTGATATAGAATAAAAGGGGCAACGTGGAATCTACGTTTGGGAAAAAAAGAATGACGATGAATAGAAAAAATGAAAATAGAATAATGTTTGAGGAAGTTTGGAAGTAAAGCAAACTAGTAGAGATCATTTGCAAGATTACAGGAATCATAATGATGGATTCTAAACGAAGTGGGGACAATCGCATTGTGTCCAACCAAGTATATGTGTATGTAGGTGAATACATATATAGTGAATCGGAAGAATCGCTTCTTTGAAATGGATGAGGACGTCGATCGATGAAGAACCTCAGGTTGCTACATGAGACGTGATGGAGAGAGATTAGCACAATGAATGGTTCACACCATCTACACCTTTAGAATTCATGATTTCTGCTAAATCCTTCTTTTCTGTTTTATCCAATCCAAACCTATAGGTAGTTAGTGGTAAGATAAAAAAAAGCAGGTCTTTCGGTATTTAATAATATATGCCTGTTCGTAACCTACATTCCAACATGCATGGATTATTGTAACGGTCCAGTAGTTTTTATATCTCACGAAGGTTATTCTAATGATACTAAATTAACAATAATTGTTCTGAATCAGTGCAAACATTCAAAATCGATGGATTGAATCAATTGAAAACCATCGAAATCGGAAACAATTCATTTACTTAAAGAAAAAGAATGATTATGGAAATGATAAATCGAAATCATTCCACATATTGAATTGTGAATCATTGGAATCCATTGAAATTGGTGAATACAGTTTCCGTGATCTGGCTGGAGACTTTGAATTGAAGAATCTACCACAATTACAATCCATTCAAATTGGTACACTTGGAAGCAAGTCATACAATTTCTGGGATAATTCATTTCAGATACGATATATTGATATAATATAGAATATTTGTATGGTTAAATCTTCCAAATCTGTTTAATGTTAATTACCCTCGTTCATTCACAAGAGTTCAATCAATATCAATTCCGAGTCTTGATTGTTTGATGGATTTCACACCAACTTTGAAAAATGACTTTTCTTCGATATTCACTGATCTTTTTTCCCATATTCAGTACCAATTTAAGTATATATTTTGTACTTTCATCCCATTCCATTCGTTTTAATTTGAACCACTCTTGTGTTGTTATTAAGGAAAATAATATAAAAAGTCTATAATACAATCAATAAGGCACAGAAAAAACCTTCATTCAACTATTCTTATAACTGAATCAACTCACTTATCTCTCTTTGAGCGAATATATCATTAGGTTAAATATATTTCGAAGACAATGACTAACAGTCCTTATAACTCTATTTTCCTAGACGATATATTATGATCGATCAACTAATTTTAGATGACTCAGTACCAATCAATACACATGTTTTCATATAACAAACAAAGACTCAAATACAGTACTCAATTCACCTCGAATTGTTCTTTATTCCCTCTCTTTCACAATAAATCCACAATAATGTACATATACAATGGCCAGACATACACCACAACATAAATGACATATAAAGAGCAAAACCTAAAAAACCAATCAACAAAAATAAAGCCTCTCTCTCCTTATTTCCAAATAATAATAGAACGAGAATTACCCCTGGTAATATGTAGCATTCACAAGATTTCAATGCATTTTCGAGTCTGTAACCAAGACAAAACTCACAATGACAACACCCACCTGGACACATCTCTATGGAAAATGAAGTATCGAATCTCTTACCTGTAGTAACATATTTGAAATCTGAGAGTTGCATATATTTACCACAATATACCACCTCACCATTTTCATATATTCTCATTGTTTCACCATCAAATTCGTACCATTTACCCATTTCTATTCCATCTTTCCATATACTGATTGATTGAATATCTCCATTCTTGAAAGTATAACAAGTTCCGTTGTTCAATCCTTTATAGTTCTTTTTACATACACGTAAGATTTTACCAGAATCGTCTATTTCGTTCCAATACTTGCGTTTCTTTTTGTTTCTTTCAATTTGGGGATTTCTTTTACCATTCTTATAGAAACCATCAAATATCACTTCACCATCTTCAGAATACTCAAGACCTCTTCCACTTCGATAACCATTTTCTAAATATCCATCAAAATATAATTTGCCAGATTCATAATATAGCTTACATTCTCCAGTTGCTTCTCCTTTTTCATAATAGAACTTTGCACACAGTTGACCACTCGGATCATAAATTTTGGCTTTTCCATCTAGAATAATATCCTCATCATCTTCCTCATCATTAATCATTGCCATCATAGTAAAACCGAGATGAGGTCTTCCAATCTGACAAGTGGCTATTCCATCTTCAATATCCATTCTCATAATAGGAAATTCGCTGGAAATGCAATTATTCCAAATATCTGTTTCAATACTACTTGAATTTTGTATAGTGTCCATTCTATTTTCAATATCCATTCCTGTAATCGGCACAACACTCGAAGTATAATTATTCCGATTATTTGTTCCCAAACTACTTCTTTCTATATTGTCTTCATTATTTTGAGAATCACTTATATTTACAATGATAACTCCCTGAAATTCACTCATATGAGTAATATGGAATGTGAAATAACTAAATCTGATCATGAACAGAAAACGAATCTATTGTAATCCATAATTCCACATTATAAACGATTTATGAATCGAATATTAAAATCGAAATGAATTGATGTACGTACCCCGTTTAATACATTTGTCGTCAGCACGAAAATGTTGAGATTAAGATCAGTAGGATATTTGATACTACTTCGATTGTATTTCATTATTAGGATTAATGAAAACACAAGTGAACATAAGTAGTATCCTTTATGGTGTGAAATCAATTACTTATAAGCATACTTCATATAGAATAGAATGAAAACTCCTAATGTATTTTAAATAATGTATTATATATAAAATACCATTAAAAACAAAAGAATAGAGAAATGCAACTAATCTTCAATGTGAGACGATTTCACAAGAAATTGAAGCACGTATTATACCATCCACTCTGTAAATTCATTTCGATTTTATTATTCGATTCATAAATCGCCTAGAATGTGGAATTATGGATTACAATAGATTCGTTTTCTGTTCATGATCAGATTTAGTTATTTCACATTCCATATTACTCATATGAGTGAATTTCAGGGAGTTATTGTTGTAAATATAAGTGATTCTCAAAATAATGAAGACAATGGAGAAAGAAGTAGTTTGGGAACAAATAATCGGAATAATTATACTTCGAGTGTTGTGCCGATTACAGGAATGGATATTGAAAATAGAATGGACACTATACAAAATTCAAGTAGTATTGAAACAGATATTTGGAATAATTGCATTTCCAGCGAATTTCCTATTATGAGAATGGATATTGAAGATGGAATAGCCACTTGTCAGATTGGAAGACCTCATCTCGGTTTTACTATGATGGCAATGATTAATGATGAGGAAGATGATGAGGATATTATTCTAGATGGAAAAGCCAAAATTTATGATCCGAGTGGTCAACTGTGTGCAAAGTTCTATTATGAAAAAGGAGAAGCAACTGGAGAATGTAAGCTATATTATGAATCTGGCAAATTATATTTTGATGGATATTTAGAAAATGGTTATCGAAGTGGAAGAGGTCTTGAGTATTCTGAAGATGGTGAAGTGATATTTGATGGTTTCTATAAGAATGGTAAAAGAAATCCCCAAATTGAAAGAAACAAAAAGAAACGTAAGTATTGGAACGAAATAGACGATTCTGGTAAAATCTTACGTGTATGTAAAAAGAACTATAAAGGATTGAACTATGGAACTTGTTATACTTTCAAGAATGGAGATATTCAATCAATCAGTATATGGAAAGATGGAATAGAAATCGAAGTTTTATAAAAGTTTGAGGGAAAGAAGATGATCGCATTTCGAAATGGTGAGATAGTCTTTGTAGGGAAATATGTAAGGGTATCGGATTTTGAATATATAGCTACAAGTGAGGGGTTCTATATTCTATTTTTGTATAAAGATGAGGAAAGGAGGTCACAATGTGAAGGCTATTATTATTTTACTTACGTTCCAAAGCAGAGGTAGCACTCCTATCTTGTGCGTAATGTATCTTTACACTTGGAATTATGATTTTGTATTTTATCAATGAAAAAGACAGAGTATAACCCAATTAAAAATAGTGTATGTTGTATTATTGTATTCAGGGGTATTATTTTGTTTTATTCTCTGGTGCACGAGGATTTGCTGCTTTTCTACATATTTTATGTTTGGTTGTCCAAGTTATGATGAATTCCTTTTTGGACTAGTGAGGGTTACTCTTGATTGGCATTAGCACTGTGAGATTGATCGAACAAACGATGGTATTGCCGTTGTTCAGTGTGTGACAATGGGAATGCTCAAGTTGATACATTTCGTTTGTCATTTTCAAGTTTATGGTTTTTCATATTTTGCTAAATTGAATCATTCACAAATCAAGTTCATAGTGAAATCCTGGAGCTTTTCTTTCATTTCATTTTAATGAACAATCTTTTTTGTCATTTTTGTGTTTATTATCTTATTGATACAATCTTGATCACACTCTAGCGTGCAAAGCATATTAGAGTTTTGAACAAAAGGAATCAAAGATTTCGTATTTTCCTATGCACTCCAAATGCCAATTATGGTGTCACTCTCTCATTACAAGCGTGAAAGTATCTGTATACATCGATATCAATACCTAAAAATTCCTGACATTGACCTTTTCAATTGTCATACACCCAGTTCAAAAATGGAGTTCTATATGTTGATCCGAAGCTTTTAGGAAAGTAATACTAAAGCTGTTTTCCATAAACAAACACTCTCAACATAGTAATTAGAATTACTCGACACCTCCAATGGTAGAATACTTGGAAATAGACTTGCTTCCCTCAGACATAGCGTGCTTCGCCAGTTCTCCAGGAAGTAACAAACGGACAGCAGTCTGGATCTCAGCTCCAGTCAGTGTAGCTTTATTGTTGTAACGAGCCAGATTGATCGCCTCATCCGAAAGACGCTCGAAGATATCGTTCACGAAAGAGTTCATAATCGCCATAGCACGCTTGCTAATACCCACATCAGGGTGCACCTGCTTCAGCACACGGTAGATGTACGACGAATACGTCTCCAATCTTCTGCGCTTACGATGGGAAAAATCTCCCTTCGCTTTCGCTCCCTTCGCACTCTTGCTCGGTGTTTTTGCCATATCTACTTATTATATTTAAATTGACACTCCCACTCTCTCTTCAAAGAAATAGTGCTGTCAAATAACCGCCAAAAATCGATGGGCGTTTCTATTATCCAACTCGTTCGCACTGTTTATTGGACGATCCTATCCATTCAACCAATCACTCCAGCGCACTGAATCCCAATCTGGTTCAGCCAATAAAACAAAAATCGCCCGCCAAAAACAAAATCCGACTATTCTTGTTTCTCGAAATTCATTGGGTCATCAAAATCTTGTTTTTGATCATTGCTTATTGTTGCTGATTTTGCCTGAACTATCACTTATTGTTTCAGTTCGGATATTCGCTGATTTTGAAAACATGTCTGGCAAAGGAAAAGGCAAGGGAGGTCGTGGAAATGTGGAAGGAAAGACGATGAGTCGTTCTGCTCGTGCTGGAATTACGTTCCCTGTGGGTCGTATGGCTCGTTACATGAGAGACATGAGAGTGGCTGATCGTATTGGCGCTGGAGCTCCCGTGTACTTGGCTGCTGTGATTGAGTACTTGACTGCTGAAATTCTGGAGTTGGCTGGAAACGCTGCTCAGGACAGCAAGAAGAACCGTGTGGTTCCCCGCCACATTCAGTTGGCTGTGCGCAACGATGAGGAGTTGAACGCGCTGTTCGGCAACGTGACGATTGCTTCTGGAGGTGTGATTCCGTTCGTGCACTCGGAGCTGCTTCCCGATAAGAAGGAAGGAGAGGAGGACGACAGCGAGGATGAGAAGGAGGATAAGGAGGACGCTGAGCCATCCCAGGCTTATTAAAATTCATATTGGAATTGGAATTGGAATTGGAATTATAATTCTCTCTATATATAAAACTGTAAATTAGATTGATACATTTTTGCTTTCCTTGTTTGTTTCACCACTTTTTTCTCTCGCATGTTGTCTGATTATCCTGAACTGAAGCCTCTCTATTATGCGTTTCTACCTTCTCGCATGGCGATAACGGTATTGAAGTCCATTCCTATTGGTTTCGCTTTCCAAGTTTTGGATGATAAGGAGGATTTCGATATCTCGAAAAAGTACCCGTTTTCCTAAAATTTTGAAAGATAGAGAGACACAAAAGTCCATTTTGGAATACAGCAAGTATTTCATCATCCGAGACATTTCAATCAGCACAACAGAACGAGTGATTGAGCATTTGGTAGTGAACTCTACAGATGCCCATTTTAGCAAGAAGATGTTTAAGAGCGTGCGGCAAAGTTCTCTCAACAAGGACAAGCGAATGAGCCGTCCGGAGGCGTCCTCCGCGATGTTCTGGACGTCTTTGCGTTGTAGCTTTGCTTATCACATCTCCATGTTTGTATTCAATGAAATGGTGCTGATCGTGTCGTGGGTCTACCAGCACTACAGAAGAAATCAACCCAAGAGACTGGAAGATCAGCCAACGCGTCGTTTGGCTCGGAAGCGTGGAGATGGTGAGATTACCGTTTGCTCCTTTACGAAACGGACAATGAGGAATTTGCTGGTGTGTGTCGCTGCGATCGTGGCTGAGGCAGTGGGCGCAAGCATCGGTACTTATTTCTACCCTGGTTACGGAACGCTTATTTGCGATCGTTTATTTGCGAATGCCCCCTACATCCTTTAGGAATTGTTTGTTGGATCAAACTGCAGCAATTTGCATTGTCGGAAATACTACAAAAGAAAGGTAGAGAAATCCCCCAGGGTCGTTTTTTCTACCCAAAATTGTTCAGATCATGTTCATTTCATTTAGTGATTATTTCGATTTGAAATGCCTGAACATATTCTTTTAACCGGTAGGGGCGTGCTGGGATTTGCTTGATCGTTAGGAGGAACTGGATACATTGCTACTCATACTGCTATCGAATTGTTAAAGGAGGGTTACAAGCTCACTTTATTGGATAATTTCTGTAATTCTAGGTAGGCTTTGAGTAGGTTTCCTGAGTGTTAGCCCGAAGGCATACGAGGCCACCAAGAAACTCGCTGGAGTTGACGAGGATCGTCTGTACTTGATGGAGGTACGCTTGTCGAATCGGATTTGAGCGTGTAGGCCGATCTGAACGATAAGGCGTCTATCGAGGCGGTGTTTGAGAAGCGTGGTCCGTTCGACGCTGTGATCCATTTCGGTACCCTGAAGTCTGTGGGTAGGTCGTGGAAGATACCTCTCCGCTACTATCAGAACAATCTGACGGGCACTTTCAATCTTTTAGAAACGATGAACAAGTTCAACTGCAAGAAGATCATCTTCTCGTCGTCTGCGACGGTGTACGGTGCTGACCCTGTTCCGATCACGGAGGAATCGCCCGTGGGCGTGGGCATCTTGAACCCCTACGGCCGCACGAACTACATGATAGAGCAGGTTCTGATGGACCTGGCGACGGCGGACAAGGAGTGGAAGGTGATCCTGCTGCGGTATTACAACACGGTGGGCGCGCATGAGAGCGGCGAGATCGGCGAGAACCCCAGCAACATCCCCAACTATCTCGTGCCCTACATCCAGCAGGTGGTCATCGGACGTCGACCCTATGTGAGTGTGTTCGGAAACGACTATGACACGCCCGACGGAACGGGAGTGCGCGATTACATCCACATCTATGATCTCGCGCAGGGACACTTGAAGGCCATTCAGTACATTTTCGGAACGATGAAGAGCGGAACGGAAGTGTTTAATCTGGGAGCGGGCCGAGGCTACTCGGTGCTGGAGATGCTGCATGCGATGGAAGAAGCCTGCGGCAAGACCATTCCCTACAAGATCGTGCCGCGCAGAGAAGGAGATGTCACGGAGTTTTATCTGGATGTGTCCAAGGCGAAGCGTGTTCTGGGATGGGAGGCGGTGAAGACCTTGAAGGATATGTGCAGAGACGTGATGAACTGGCAGACAAAGCATCCTTACGGATTCGATGATGCTCCCAGTCAGTAAGCTGATGAGTGGAATACAGTGCAATGGAATGCGGTGCAATGATTTGGTTTGCTTTGCTTGCTTATTCATTTATTTATTTATTTGCGTTTGTTGTGAACAAACAGGACATTACATAGCATATTTCTTGGTCCATTCAGCAGCTGTCTGTCTATACAATGCGGGATTCTCCTTGCAAACTCTGGCAATCTCGGGAACCAACGGATCGTCGGGGTTCGGATCATCCAACAGAGAGCAAATAGACAGGAGCACCTTGGAAATGGTCAGAGCAGGGCTCCACTCGTTCTTAAGAATATCCAGGCAAATGCCGCCGCTTGAGTTAATATTTGGGTGATAAATCTTCGTCACAAAAGTACATCGAGGTGGTTGGAAGGGATATTCTATGGTTCAATACATCCTCTATGTAGTACCAGCAGGGAATGATATATTCAGGAAGAAAACACCACCCTGGTAGGGACTGTCCTTTGGTCCCATAATGGTGGCTTGCCATTTGAAAATGTTATCACCGATTGGTCCGGCACTGCAATTTGGTGGGGGATCTCGACTGAGACTTTGTAATTCTTTGTTTAGTCGTCTTAAAGCCATCTAGCAGTCAGGTTATTCTGCTATCTTTTGGAGTAAAATTAGACACGATCAAATGCCAAATCAGCACACACCTACTTTGTTATATTTATTATTGTGATAAAATCCTAGGTGATTGGGATAGGTATACGGACCGCAATTTGCCTGAAATAACCGTTATTATACGTTTGATATCTAGAATATTCTATCATCATCCTCAATACAGTTATCTTCGAATTGTCTGCTGTTTTTGAAGCTTTATAGACGTAACGACCATGTAACCTATGCAATTCTCCTTGTACTGCTTACCAAACACTGTCTACTTGCAATAGTAGTTTGGGTACGTGAAATACTTACGTGCTACGATACTTTGATAGTTAAGTTCTTTCAATTTGCTCGTATTTCTCTAAGGATTTTTCTAGTTAGCACATATAGCTGTATACAAAGTGTTGAATCTCAAACCCCGACGTTTTGTGAATGTGTCACATCGTTTTTTTCCTTTTCCAAAAATTGAACCTATTTTCCGAGTGTGTTTGTTTCTTGAGGTAGAATCCAGCTTCCTTGAAAGTAATAATCGTTCTTTTGTGATCATTGCATAGTATGAGCGATATTCTATTAAGGGTGAAAGCTTCGTGCCAGTCTGTAAAAAGACCCATGGGTAGTTGAATCTTGTTTCGTTCAGTTTGCAGAGACGCTATTGCAAAAAAGGAAGCCTTCTGAGAGTGAAAAAACCACAATAAGTTGTGTTGCACCCGATGTGGAGGTAGCTATTTTGAGAAACGCCAATCTCGATTTGGAAGTATTGAGAATCTATGCTTCACTCTAATGAAATAGGTATTATTGAAACAAAGAGAACAGGAAGTGCAAAAGTTGAAAAGCACAGTGTCTAGCCTGTCTTCCGATGTTTCTAATGCAGACGCAAACAAGGCTGCGATGTTAAAAGTCTATTTCATTTCGGTTTGTGATTGTAGAAGCATCTGGAGGAATTAGAGACAATCCAAAAGGCGATTAGTGATCTAGAGAATCGATTCAAGGAGACTCAAGAGCCGGAAACGTCGAAGACCGATGCTGTCTTAAATCTATATCAAGAAGAAAACGCCCGCCTTCGTGAAGATCTAAAGCACGAGAAACAATCCCACGACGTAATCGACATCAATCTTCTATAATGGATCAGGAAACACGCAAAGCTCAGCGATTGGAGTCCGAGACGCTCTCGACTGAATTGGAGCAAGTCAAAAGCTCGCTGGAGCAGCAGCGCATCCAGAACTCGTCTCTCCAAGAGACCGTCACCACCCTCCGCGTAGCCGCCTTCTCCCCGCGATTCCTCGTAGACCCAAGTGGCCGAGCAGGCGCAATCGCTGGAGCAATCCGAGTCGGAGAAGTCGCTTCTCTCCTCCCAAATCGAATCCCTCCAGGCCCAGAAACTCGAGTCCCTCGCAGACCCCGACGCTCTTCAGAAGCAGTTGCTCTCCCTCTCGTACCGCTTTTCTCTGCCCTCGATCGACCCTAGCACCGAAAAGGAGCAGCTCGCCGAGCGCGTGAAGGTCCTGGAGTCGCAGCTGCAGGCGCAGACCGCGAAGTCCACGCAGCTGCAGTCCGCGTTGGACGCGTCCCACGACCGCGCCAGCGAAGTGGCCCAGCAGTGCGACGCCGCCACGGCCTCGCTCGCCGCGACGAAGCAGGAGCTGGCGCGCTGCGCGGCGGAGCTGGCGACGGAGAAGGCGCACGGCGAGCACTTCCTGCAGGACATCCAGGCGGTGAAGCAGCAGTCCGCCGCGCTCCGCCAGCAGCTCGACGACGCGCAGGAGCGGCAGCGAGGCCTCCAGGCGCGCGGCGACGCCTTGCAGAAGCAGGCCGACGTCGCGGCCGTCGAGCAGAAGCGGCTGGAGGCGGAGGCGGCGGCGGCGAAGGAGCTGGCCGCGGTTCTGGAGCGGAAAGCGGCGGCGGAGGGAGCAGCGAGCGGGCAGGCGGCGGAGGAGGAGGAGGAGAAGGCGAGCGAAGCGGCGGAGGAGGTGAAGGAGCTGCGCGCGCAGACGGAGACGAAGAGCCGGGAAATCGAGCGGCTGGCGGAGGAGGTGAAACGGCTGGAGCGGGAACTGCGGGAACGCGAAGAAGCGCTGGCGGCGGCGCGGGAGGAAGCGAGCGTTCTGCGAGGGAAGGAGGCGGAGGCGACGCGGTCGGGGGAAGTGGTGCGGTCGCAGACGAAAGAGCTGGAGGCGCTGCACGCGAAGCTGCAGAAGAACGAGTCGCGGTTCAACGAGGAAAAGCTGAAGGTGGAGAACCGCGTGTCGTTCGCGGAGCAGAGCTTGGAGGCGTACAAGAAGGAAATGGAGGGCTATCTGCGCGAGAAGTCGGCGGTGGAGGCCGAGCTGAAGCAGAACCGCGAGGAGCTCGCGCAGCTGAAGAAGGCGAACGAGGTGGGTGCTGGGGGCGTCTGGGACGGTAGAGCCTGGCGCACGAGCTGCAGATCGCGAACCAGACCGTCCACGCGTACGAGGAGTCGATCAGCAAGCTGCAGGCGCTGGAGGCGACGAAGGACGAGTCGCTGATCGCGCGCGTGCAGGAGGTCGCGGAGCTGCACGCCGCGCTGGTGAAGGAGACCGCGGCGAAGGAGGCCGCGGCGCAGACGCTCTCAGAGGAGACGGTGCGGCTGCAGGCACAGCTGGAGGCGGTGACGGAGGAGAACAGCCGGCTGCGGCTGGCGCTGGACGCGCGGCGCGCGAGTCTGGAGAGCACGCAGGCGCTGATCGAGGAGGGCGAGGCGAAGATCGAGCGGTGGAAAGTGGGTCTGGAGAACAGCTACCAGCAGAAACGAATCTTGAAGCAGGCGATGCGACAGCTGATGGAGGAGGACGCGGCGCTGCGCGAGCGCGGGATGAAGGAGAGGAGGGCCAGGCAGGCGCTGGAGAGGGATCTCATGCAGCGGGAGGATGTGGGGAGCGCGGCGAACACGCAGAACGAGGAAGATCACGTGTCCGCCGAATTCGGCAATTTCGATTGGGCTCGGAGAGTAAGCGCAGATTTGCACGGGTTGAGGGTAGTTGTCGCGATTTATCGCACGCCATCCGCACCGATGGGACGAGTATCATGAGAATGTCCCGGCAATGCCGGAAGAAGCGGCAATTCCGGTGATTCAGAACACGATCGAAACGCTGGAGTGGCAGGAAGACGAACGGCGCATGTTGATGAATTGGCTGGACTTCTTCGCGCACGGAGGCTTGCTGCAGAACCAGAACAACTTCGCGCACGCGCTGCAGATTCAGGGAATTACGTTCGATGTAGATGATGATGATGATGGAGAGGTCTGAGAGGTAGGTGCTGGATGCGTTCTTGACGCTGATGATCCCGTTCTTGAAGGCGGGAGTGCGTAGCGAATACACTGTGCAGACGTTTATCAAGCAGAAGCCTTCGGTGATTTGCGACCTGGAAGTTGTCATCTCGCCGGCGAATGCGAGAGCGCTGCCTGAGGATATTGACGTCGATACGGCGAAGGTTATTTTGCATCATAGTTGAGCTGTTTGTGAGAAAACAAAATTGTGTGTTGGCTTTTTCATTTTGGGTAATGTCCTTCCCCGTAGCACCCTTGCTTGTTTGTCACTCTTTAGGGAATTTCTACAAAGGAAAACAGAGATGATTTTGACTTTAGTCCTTCTGTTCGATCTTTTCTGTCTGTTTACTTTAGCTTACCGATTTCGTATCTTCCCACGATATTTCAGACACCTCTGATTTGCCCTCTGTAGTTTCCTCACTTCTTACTCTTTTGGAGAGTACGACTGTGGTTTTGGAATGATGGTAATTAGAAAACGATATCTCTGTGGCAGAAATGATTGAAAACGATTACTTCTCGGACCTTGTTTCTCTCCTGAACACAGATGATATGGATCTAATTCCTAAGCTCCTTGATTTATTTGTTGCTATTTACAAGGCTAGTTCTGCAGATCAAGTTTGTGTTTCGTTATTTGTTGATCGTAGCGATCTACGTTTGTTGACCTTGGAATTCCGAGTGCCTTGGTGAATTGTCTAAATAATGCCTCGGATAGTGTCATTCCTCAAATTTTGCGTTGTATAGCAACTATTGTGCTAATAGACCGAGAAGAACAAATCAATTTTTCGAATAACGAGATTTGGCCGACCCTGGAGTTCATCTTACAGAATGTATTATTTTGATATCAAATTAGAATTCAATGCGTAGTACCAAGACAGCATCGAAATCGTCTCCAGTGTGTCCACTCTCTTAGCGGCTCTCGTCACCCCCCTGGCTGGTCAGCATGCGGACATCTCCCAAGTCTCCACCATCAGCAACACTCTCTCCGAGGTGAGCAGCTACTACACCGATCTCTACGCGCTCTCCGACGATCGCAGCGAGCTGCAGCCCATCCTGTCGAACCTTCTCCTCGTGCTGTACGCGATCTCGGTGGAAGATTCCACGATTCCCTACTACTATTCCACCTATCTCACCGTCTTTTTCTCTTTTTCTCTGTTTAGCTCCAGCCCGTCTTCGATTCCTTCTACCCCTTCCTCATCTCCTCCATCTCCCTCCTCCACTCCCTCACCGCGCTCAAAACCGTCGCCAATCTCGTTCTTCTCTCCGACGCCATCTGCGACGTCTTCGTTTCCAACGGTCTCCTCGATGCCCTGCATGATTTCCTCATCTCGCTTCCCTCCCTGCAACCTGCCTTCGAGGGAGCCACCGATTATTCCTACTGGGTGGTCGTGTTCATTCTGGGCAATCTCGCCGCCAGCGGGGAGGCCGCCGTAGAATCGGTGCTCGATCACGTGATTTGCCGCGAAGTGAATGAAACGGTCGCCGATGGGGAGAGAGGACGCGGGATCCGGAAGGAATTCGTGTATTTCATGAGCTATCTGGTGGAATCGGCGAATGAATCGCAGGTTTTTGATTGGATGAGGGGCGAAACGTAGAAACGGAGAATCTGTGAGGAGATGAAGGTGAGTGTGCTGATTGGAATGATTCGCGATTGTCAGGACGAGGAGGTGTGTAATTTGGCCGCGACGACGGTGTCGCTGCTGACGGAGGTAGGGATGGAGATGATGTGGGAGGTAGGCGGGAGGAGTTGTCGATTTGCAGGACGCTGTGGACTGTACGGGTTCTGACTTTTCAGGTGAGAATGGTGGAGGGGGTTGATGGGAAGCGTCGTCGATTCAATTTGATCCGTTTGCAATTCCATCTTTGTAGAGACCATCTTTCTTGTGAATTGTTTGTTGGAATCATGATGTGTTAGAAGGAATGGATGAAGTGGAAAGTGTTATTTGAGTAGGGTAGTGCAGTGCAGTGTAAGAAAGAAAAATAAGGTGAAGCAGCTGATAAGAAATCAAGTAAGTCGCATGCAAAGCATACAGATCCACCGAAAAATTGTAATGGATGTACCAAAACCTAGAAAAAAGAAATCAAACTCCGAACTCCAGAAATAAAGACTATTTTTAATAACGATAGTTCTCTTCAAATACTTTCCATTTTGATTTGGAGTAAATGCAAGTGGGTTATTTTTATTATTGTATGAGCTCTAGCTAAATTCTGGAGCTGGCTTCAAAGGACTGTTGCGAAGTGGTTACAAGTCCTTCTCTGGGACGCAAGATGCTATAATTCGTAATATTGATGCGTGCAAAGAACTGTCGGATATTAATCGTACTTCTATGGGACCAAATGGTCGCGTTTGTCAGAGTCTCTCACGTTTAGGCATGTTTAAGCTGGTGATCAATCAGCTCGACAAAATATTCATCACGAGCGATGCTGCAACCGTTGTGAAGGAGATGGAAGTAGTCCATCCTGCAGCGAAGCTGATCGTCGAGGCTGCGCAGAAGCAGGAGCAAGAGGTACGCAATTCCGGCCGCCTTCGAGAATAGGTTGGCGATGGAACCAACTTCGTCATCTCGTTCGCTGGCGAGCTCCTCTCGAAGGCAGGCGAGCTCCTCATCCTCGTACTCCCCTCTCTCCATTTCTGACTGCTCTTAGGGTGTCCATGTGAACGACATCATCACCGGCTACGAGAAGGCTCTGGAAGTGGCCTACAAAGCGCTGGACGGTTCCCTTTTCCCCTCTCCTCCCCTCACTCGCAGAGCTGGCCATGTCCACGGTGTCGGACCTGCGCGACGTGTCGTGCGTGAGTTCCGCGATTCTTCCGGTGATCTGCGCGAAGCAGTACGGCTACGAGGACGTTCTCGCCCGCGCCATCGCCGAGGCCTGCCTCTACACGCTGCCGCCCGCCCCCGCGAAGCCGAAGCTGGACGTGGACAACATCCGCACGGCGCGTCTGCTGGGCGGGAGCATCGCGCAGACGCACATGATGCCGGGCATGGTGCTGCCGAATCTCCCGCAGAACGACGTGCTGCACGTGGCCCACGCCAAGGCCCTCGTGCTCACCTGCGGACTGGAGGCCTCCAGCTCCGAGACCAAGGGCACCGTGCTCATCCAGAGCGCGCAGGAGCTGCTGCAGTTCACCCGCGGGGAGGAGGCCGCCTTCGGCGACGAGATCGAAGCCATCGCGAAGACGGGCGTGAACGTGATCTTCGCGGGCGGCAGCATCTCCGAGATCGCTCGGCACTTCCTGAACAAGTTCGGCATCATGGGCGTGTCCGTCGGCAGCAAGTTCGACCTCCGTCGGCTCTGCAAGGCGCTCGGCGCCACCGCGCTGGTGCGCGTCGGACCGCCCACCGCCGAAGAGATCGGCCTCGCCGACGCCGTCGACGTCGCCGAGATCGGCGGGAAGAAGGTCATCGTCCTCCGCGCCTCCCGCGGGGAGGGACGCATCGCCACGGTGGTGGTGCGCGGGTCCACCGAGAACATCCTGGAGGACGTGGAGCGCGCCGTCGACGACGGCGTCAACGCCGTGAAAACGCTCTGCACGGACCCGCGGTTAATCCCGGGTGCCGGCGGAGCCGAGGCCGGAATGGCCGTCCGCGTCGCGGCGTTCGGGGAGGAGTGTCCGGGTCTGGACCAGTACGCGGTGCGGAAAGTGGAAACGTGGAAACGGGGTGAGGAGTAGTTCGCGGAGGCGCTGGAGGTGGTGCCGAGAACGCTGGCGGAGAACGCGGGGATGGACGTGGCGAGGGTGCTGAGCGCGCTGACGGAGAAGTACACGGAGGATCTGCGGTGCGGAATGGGCGTCGATCTGGACGTAGGGAGCAGCATTAGCATCATGATGGGTGTAGGGGGAGAGCGTGCGCGATGTCACCAAGGGGGAACGGCCCATCTGGGATGTGTACGCCACGAAGCGGAACGCGCTGCGACTGGCGGTGAATGCGGCCATCACCATCCTGAAGGTCGATCAGATCATCATGGCGAAGGAGGCGGGCGGCCCGAAGCTGCGCGCTCCGCAGAAGGACGTGGATTAGAATTGGGGATTATGGCGTGTTTGAGAGAAAACAGGGAAACACAGAAAACTTCTCATGTACTGAGAAGCGACACTACGCGCTCTGGAGTTGATGCCGATCTTCATTGCGCTGATCTCTGAATCAATTCCCTCCATAAAGTCGATGATAAAGTGGATTAGCTTCTCACGCTCGTAATCTTCGAGGATCGAGAAGGTGATCAGGAAGCTGATGTCGTAACCCTGCGAATGACAACAAATACGAACCCTCACAGACACAGGTTTTCTACGAAGGACAGTGAATTGCTCCGATCGCTGCATCAGGAAGCGGGCGAAGTTCCTGCACAGAACCACTTCCATTTCATCGGCTTGCTTAATCTTGATGCTGATGCGCAGAGAATTAATAGACGGCTCAATAAAGCACTTCTCACGGTCGTTTCGGCATATGAGAATGGGCTTCATTGTAGATTTCTTGGATGAGCTAGTTGACAACCATCAACAAATCTTACGGATACTCGACTTCAGGTTTGTTGTGCCTCTCAACCGCTTCGGATGGGAAATTTTGCAGGACTAGAGTGGCACGAAGAGTCGTGCGAATGCAGTCAAGATATGGTTTGAGAGTATTCGCCTATACCATGAGCATCCGAAAGATTTGCTGCTTACCATTGTAATAATCGAATAAAATGGACACTTTGCCAAGAACTGAGAACTCTCGCCAAATCGAGTGAATTCCCGCGATTCCCTCAAGATGGTTGTTTTAAACCCATATGGCATACCCTGTAATTGGAGTTTCACAGGTTATTTGCAATGTCTAACAGTCCGGATCGTTCAACAGATAAGCAAAGAGAGCGTTCTTTGAGTCATTCCAGCTCAAGAAATTCTGAAGGCAACAGTCCTGATTATGGAAGAGATGTCTCCAACAGTCGTTCAAATCCCACGTATGATGATGGAAACAACAACCAGAATGATGGAACCAACATGTTACCGATTTATGAGCTCCTGATTTGCTAGTTACATCGGAAATCTGAGTGACAAAGCTACTATCGAAGATCTTCACAACTTGTTCGATCAGTTTGGAAAGATCGCAGAAGTAAAGGTAATTGTGGACAAAGCAAAGATTAGAAGGTACATTTCTTCTGACTTGGGCTAAATTGAAGAGCGTATGGCTTTGTTACGTACGAAAGTCCGGACGACGCAAAGAAAGCTCTGGAACAGAAGTAGGATTGATCGCGTATTCGTAAATGGATCAGATATGAACTCCATGGCCGTGCACTGGAGATACAGCTATCGAGGCGGAAGAAGGGCTATGACCCTACTCCGGGTATTTGTAATCAATGAATTGCTTGTTTTATAATCAGATATGGGAAATAAAGTGTATGACTACCATGGACGTACATGTTCCTATTGAATCACTGAAGTCTAGACAGATCTCATCACCACGACTCTTATTCGTATGCGAGAGATAGTGAGACTCGCAGCCATAGCCGTCGACGCAGTCGTAGCCGTAGCCGTAGCCGTAGCCGTAGCCGTAGCCGATATCATGAAAGTCGCAGGTAAAGCCGTTGAATCATTTGAACGGAAGACATTCCTACGATCCCAGCCCTCGGAGAGGCGGAGAATCTTCGTACAGCCGGCCTGTGTACCCGTATGACGACGGGAGCACCAATAAGAACGATGGGACGAACATGTATGGGATGTGTGTGTGGTGCTATCTAGTTTTATCGGCAACCTGAGGAACGAGGTGAACGAAGACGATCTCCACAAGCTGTTCGATAAATTCGGGAAGATCGCCGAGTTGAAAGTAATGCGCGACAAAGATCAGAAAAGCAGGTTTGTCTGAGCGAGCTCGCTTCACACAAAGAGGCTACGGCTTTGTTACGTTCGAGAGTCCGGATGATGCGAGCGAGGCTCTGAAAGAGAAGTAGCGGCTTGGCGGATCGCTCATCGCGTAGATTTAAGTTGTACGGCACCGAACTCGTCACGCAGCTCTCCAAACGGAAGAGTGGCTACAAGCCGACGCCTGGCGTGTGTAGGCGATCGATTTGGGGTTTATTGGGTAGATATGGGCACGCAGGCGCAGCGCTACTCGTTCTGTAGGACATCGGAGCGAGAATGATCATGATGTAGACCGTCATGCGAGTCATAGCTACCGTCCGCGGAGTCGAAGCCGAAGCCACAACCGCAGTCGAAGTCGAAGCCGAAGCCGAAGCCGAAGCCGAAGCCGCGATTACCATCGCGGAGGGTACTACGGAGGCCACCGAGACGCGTACGGAGAAGTGAATGATCGATACGCGGAACCGAGAAGGGATCGGTACGCGGACGAGGGCGCGCGCGGAGAGTGGTACGAGCGTCGAGGAGAGTTCGAAAGGGAGTATGAGCGAAGGGAGTACGGAAGAGAGGGACGTCGAAGCGAGAGAAGGGAGGAGTATGGAAGAAACGATCACAGAGAGGATCGGAGAGATTATGGAAGGGAGGATCGAAGAGATTATGGCAGAGACGATCGGAGAGATTATGGCAGAGACGATCGGAGGGAGGATCGAAGAGACGATCACCGAGATTATAGAAGAGAGGAGCACCGAGATTATGGCAGAGACGATCACCGAGACTATGGAAGAGACGATCGAAGAGACGATCGAAGAGATGATCACAGGGACGACAGAAGAGACGATCGAAGAGACGATCGAAGAGACGACAGAAGGGACGACCACAGAGACTATAGTCGAGACTATAGTCGAGAGAATCGAAAGGACTATAGCAGAGATGATCGAAAGGAGTATAATCGAGACTATAGCAGAGACGATCGCAGAGACAATCGAAGGGACGACCACAGAGACGACCACAGAGACGACCACAGAGACGATCGCGAAGACGATCACAGAGAAGACCACAGAGACGATCGCAAAGACGATCGACGGGAAGATCGGAAAGAGGACCGGAAAGAGGACCGACGGGAAGAGCGAGAGAGTCGCTCGAGTCGATACGATGATCGACAGCGAGAAGATCGATCGCATGAGAGCCGCTCCTCCCATTATGACAGCCACAGAAACTAAGTTCAACTGTTTGTTTGTAGGAACAAAGAAACCCAACGCAAATTCACGATTACTTTCTTTTCTTTCATTTAATTCTCCAAAGCAAGAATCTTGTTGCTCTGCTCGATGAAGTGATCCGCGGTCTCGTTGCGGCTCACGAAGAGATCGTGCTTCTGATGCTTGTATCTCTCCCATTCCTCGATCTCCGCCAGCTGCGCCTCCGCATCCTCGTTGGTCTTCTCCATGATCTTCAGAATCTGGATGATGTTCACCTTCGTCAGATTCACGTCGTTCACATCCTTCATCGGATGCTCCAGCAGCTTGAAGAAGAACTTGATCAGCTTCTGATCCACTCCCATCTGCGAGAATCCCTTCTTGTCCGCCTTCCACATGATTCGGAACGTCTCCATCACGTAGTCCGCGTTCTGTCCGGGCTCCTCAAGCAGCGCGCGGAACGCGCGGAAGGTATCCTTCGAGCACATCTTCTTCGCGCAGGTCTTGTCGTGGCCGATCTACTCGCTCACCCCTCTCTCCCACACCTACATCGTGCATGATTCGAATCACACTCATCGTCAAATCGCTCTGCGGCGCCAGCTTCACCGCCACCTTCAGCGTCGCCACCAGCTTCTTCGGGTAGTCCAGCATCGCGACGTGCTCCGACAGCGTCGGCGTGGACTTCAGCAAGCACGCGATGCCCGACGTGATCGTCGACAGCACGTTCTCCTTCAGATTGTCCGGCTGCGTGGCGTCCACGTACTTGTCCTCGTCGTCGTTCCGCTTCACCTCCTTGCCCGACAGGCGGTCCTGCTCGTACTTCGCCTCCACGAAGAACATCTTCAGGCATCCCTCCAGCGAGTCCTTCGGGTTGCGCAGCGGGAACTTCGGGTCCTTCAGGTACAGGCGGATGTAGATGCCGCCCACGTACAGCTCCTGCGCCAGCTCGGGGTACTCCATGTGGAATCCGCGCGGCAGCTCGAAGTCCTCGTCGTTCCAGAGCCGCTGGTTCCACTCGTGCGCCAGATCCTCCACCGTGCTGCGCAGCTGGCCGCGCATGTGGCCCGTCCAGATGATCTCGGGCGTCTCGTGCTCGCTGTCGAACTGCGAGCACACGATCTCCGCCTGGTCCTTGATCTTGTTCACCAGCACGGAGGGCATGAAGCGACGCAGCTCCAGCATCACCTTGGGGCCTTCCTTCTCGTCGTTGCACATCCGGTTCAGCAGCCGAGCGGCCATCGTGCGGTACTGCGAGCCCACCTGGTCCTCTTCGCGGCACAAGCAGTACACGCCCACCAGCACCACGTTCAGACGACGCAGCTCCGCGACGGCCTCCGACGTCTCGGTTAGGCGGCAGAGCAGATCCAGCGTGGGGAGGCGGCACGGGAAGCAGTCGGCGTAGAGCATCTTGAGGATCCAGGGGATTTCCTCCTCGCGAATGATCGTCTTGGCGCACGGAGCCAGCGGCGTGAGGATCTTGAGCACGTCGATGGCCGTGTCGCGGAGACGGTCCGTCTCCTCGTAGTCGTTGTCCTCGTCCGGCTGCAGGAAGCTGAAGAGGTCGTCGATCGCGGTGGGGTTGGTGATCGTCAGCGCGAGGTCCTTGGTGTTGGTCAGCACCAGGCTCAGCGCCTTCAGAATCATCTGCATGAAGCTCTTCTTGCACTTCGGCTCGTACTTGCCGTTGTAGTGGCCCAGCTCGTCGGGCTCGCCCGAGCGCTGCTCGTGCAGGTACTCCAGCAGATCGGCGCAGAACTCGTCCGCTCGCTCGAAGTTCTTGGGGTTCTGCTGGTTGTACACGCGCACATAGACGTCGCCCACGATCAGCTCGTCCTTGATCGCCTCGAACACGAAGTCGTTCACCAGCTCCAAGTTCGGGTTGCCCGTCTCGCTCTGGTCGTGGATGCGCGCTCGCACGAACTCCAGCAGCTGGTCGCGCATCTCGCTCGTCCAGATCAGACGCGGGACCTCCTTGTGCGTGTTCAGGATCGTCAGCATGTCCAGGAAATCGTCGCTATCGGACAGCTTGGCGGCGACCGGCGGCGTCAGCAGGATGCTGAGCAGGCGGCGGATCTCCTTGTTCCGCGGCGCCTTGGGCTCCGCCTTCGAGTATCCGCCCAGACGGCTCAGCGCCAAGGCGGCGCGCTTGCAGTTGTTGTTGGCGGCCTGCTGGCTGTGCGCGGTCTCGTCCATCTCCACGGTCGTGTTCTCCTCCAGCGAGGGGTCGAAGCGGAACAGCAGCGGCAGCGTGGACCACAGCACGCAGGAAGTGCTCTTCAGCATCATATCCTGCAGCACTGCGCTCAGCGACGCGTTCGCGATCGCCTCCAGTCCGTACTGCACCAAGTGCGACGACTGGACCATCAGCGGGTAGCGCGCGATATCGGTCGGCAGGTAGCTGATCTGCTCCATGATGGCGCGGCCTTCTTCCAGACCCGCCGCGTAGCTGATCACGTGCATCAGGTTCTCGCCCACGGGAATGCGCGGGTCGTCGCTGTTCGTGTCGGGCACGATCAGGCAGCGATTGATGAGCGCCGCCACGATCTCGATGCCCTTCTGCAGAATGAACTCCTTGCAGTTGTAGGGCGTGCAGGCGCAGGTGTGGTAGAGCAGCTCCGAGGCCACTTCCAGCTGCGGGCAGCGCTCCACGGTCAGCATCTCGTCCTCCTCCAGCGTCAGAATCGGCAGGAGGAACTCGTACCCAGCGTACTTGTACTCCGCAAGCTTCTCCGGGAACCGCTTGTAGATGATGCGCTGCGCCTTCAGAATCAGCATGATGTTCACGGGATCCGGGCCGCCCGTGCGCGTGCGCGTGTTCGACAGCAGCTCGAAGGCCTTCTGGATCTTCTCGAAGGTCTCGCGACCCTCCGGGTTCTTATCGGGGTGGTACTTGCGAGCCAACTTGCGGTACTCCTTCTTCAGCGTGTTCTCGTCGGGTCGCTCCACATCGGGGCCGAATCCCAGGATCGCATAGGCCTCCTCTTCGCTCACGCCAGGGGCCTGCTTCGTGTTCTCGATTCGCCAGCGATCCAGAACGGCGCGCAGCAGCTCCACAGGCTTCTTGATCGGCCAGTTGTTGAAGCGCTTCTCGTCGCACAGCGCGGCGATGTAGTAGTTGTGGCACCACATCTCCTCCTCCAGTTCGGGGTACTTCACCAGAGGAATCGGTCCGTAATCGAACAGCATCATCGGGTTCTCGCGCAGCTTCTTGCCGAAATCGCCGATGTGCTTGAGCACCTCTTCCACCATGTGCTTGCGCATCTCGTACTTCCAGATGACCTCGGGCGTATCGAAGTTTCCGAGCAGCTTCTTCGTGAACTCCTCGGGACCGTAGTTGTCCAGCAGGCAGATCATCGACTCGGGGAGGATGGTGCCCAGAATCGAGCGCTTGCTGATGGGCAGCTCGGCGGTCAGCGTCTCGGAGGACGTGTTGAAGTGCTGCAGCAAGTGGGTCGAGTACAGCATCGAGCTGATCTTCAGGAAGTTGCTGCCGCTGTACGCCATGGCGAAGAAGAACACGCCCGTGAGATACAGCTTGGACATCGCGTCCTCGTTGTTCTCCGTGATGATGCGGATCATATCGGCCGCGTTCTCCACCAGCGTCGGATTGTTCACCAGCATCAGCTGCGCGATGTACGCCAGGTACTTCCGCTGGCCGAACACGCGCTTCGCGCGAGGAATGGGCGTCTTCAGAATGCCCTCTGCGGCATACGAAGAGTGGCGGTTGAGGATCGAGCTGATGATATCCAACACCGTCAGAGCGCAGGCCACCGGCTCCAGGTAGGAGTTTCCTTCCATCAGCAACTGCCAGCGCAGCTGGCGGATCGACTTGATGGGCGCGTAGCCGCCTTGCTCGCTGCGCACCTCCGTGTCCGGAGTGATCAAATTGCGCTCCAGCAGCAGGTGAAGACGCGAAACGGTCACCGGACCCTTCTCCAGCTTCTCGTGTCCCGTGATATACCACCACATCGCAATGCCTTCCTCCTTCTCCTCCTGCGCGGGTTCTGCGGGTTGGGCAGGCTGTGCGGGCTGTGCGGGCTGTGCGGGCTGTGCAGGTTCTGCGAACTGTGCGGACTGCTCCACAGGCTCGTCCTCATCGATCGGCATGGGCGGAATGCCCTCCATGCCCATGGGGATCGCCTCCATGCCGGCAGGAACGCCGCCCATTCCAGGAATGCCCAGAGGAACATTGTCGTCGAAGTCAGGGTCGGGACTCTCCACAACAGCGGGCTCTTCCGGCACAACGATCACCGCAGGCTCCTCCTTCTTGGGCTCGGGCTCGGGCTCGGGCTCGGGCTCGGGCTCGGGCTCGGGCTTCGGCGATTTCTTGGACTTTCCGCCCTTGGATTTGGCAGGACCGGAAGTCAGCAGCAGACCGGATTGGATGATCGAGTTCTGCAGAATGGAAGAGACGCGGAGCTCGGTGGCGGAGGCAGTGTGCGCCATCGAGAGCAGATCCATGATGATATCCGCAGCGCCGTCCAGATCGCGGAGAATCAGATCGACGTTTCCGGGATACTTCATCAGAGCCTGGAAGAGGATGATGAGATGATCGCGGTAGGGACGATTCGCAGTGGTATCGATCATATCCAGCAGCTGGCGCGTTTCATAGAAGGTTCCGATCTTGGTTGTGTAGAATTTGTAGAGTGTGGTCATCGCCTTGATGCACAGCACCTTATTATCGTAGTTCTCTTCTCGCAGCATGCGCGTGTAGATGGCTAGGAACAGCTCTTCCGGACGGTCGATATTCAGACGTAGCTTGCCGTCGTTCTCCACCATGTGGCTGATGTAGAAGCCATCGATCACGATCTCGTTCTCCAGAGACTTATAGTCAATGAAGAACTCCTCGTGGTTCCACAGCGGCTTCGGCTCGCCCTCCTTCACCTTGTCCTGCTCGCGCTTCAGACTGTTCAGCTCCTTCTCCAGCGCGGTCTTCAACTCGTTGCGCGTTTCGTGGTTCCAGATCACAGTGTACGTGGAGTGATCGTTCAGCATCTCGAAGAACATCTTCGGGAAGTTGCCGCGATCCGACGCGCTTCGCTTCGACTCCTGGATGCGAGATCGCAGACGGCTCGTCGCGCGCGAAGGACGTAGGTCGCTATTCTCCTCCATTCGCGCGTTCTCTCGCTTCTGATAAGCCTCGATCTCCTTATCGGTCAATGCCGGATGGTTCAGGAAGCGCTGGATTCCGATAGGCACCATGCGGCCAAGCAAAGCGCGCGAAGCCTGGTGCTCGCCCATCCATAATCCCACGAGGTAGCGAGAAATGTATCGCTGATCCTCCGACGTGGAGTAGATCGCGTTGTAGAAGTGCTGAAGCAGCACGCCTTCGGACAGAGCCGCTTCCTGCATCAGCTGCGCCACTTCGCTCTGCGACTCCTCGACGATCGTCTTCATAATCAGAGCCGTGCTGGTGGTGACGCCGGAGCAGTTGGAGTGGAAGAGCGACAGCAGGATGGAGTGACGCTCCGAGAGCTGCTTGAGCAAGTCCTGCTTCACTTCCGAGGGCGTGGTATCCGAATAACTCGACAGGATGTTCTCCAGGAACTCCATCAAGGACATCACCACGATGGTGCCCGTCGGTTTGTACGCGTACACGTCCAGCAACTTCAGGAGCAAATCGCAGAACTCGGGAACCAGCAAGGCCTGCTTGTTGGCGATCTCCAGCTCCTCGTTCCGCTGCTCGGAGTAGGGGTTAATCACAACGCGCAAACACTCCATCGCCCAGAACACGACGCCTTCCTTTCCGCTCTTCAGCGCAGCCGTGATCATGTCCATCACTCCCTCCGTCTGCATGAAGTAGAACGGGAGCTCCGTGCGGAGAATCAAACGATACAGCGTCTCAAACATCGACGCGGGCACCTTCTCGGGCACTTTCTTGTCCTGCAGACAGGCTCGAATCTGGTCATACAGCGCCAGATACGACACGCAAAGCACCTTCTCCTTGATCTTGAAGATCTCGCCCGTGCCCTTCACGTTGCAGTTGAACTCGCACGTGGCATTGTACATCTCGTACGTGAACGGAACCGGCTCTCCGTCCACCGTAGTCGGCACGCCCGCGGCATCCTGCAGAGAGTGCAAGCAACTACCCATCACACCCGCTCCTAAATCGTACGTCAGCTCCATGTTTTTCGCGTTCTCTTCCTCGCTCGTGCGGATCTTGATTCCGGGATGCGTCTCCACCACCTGCAACATCGCTTCGGTCAGTCCCTGCATGCGGCAGATGTCCAACAGCGCGCCTAGCAACGCGTCGCGATTGCTGCAGGAGTAGCGGCGAGTGGGACGGTCCACAAACTCGATCATAAACATCTGCGCCTCGTTGAAGCAACGAATGAGATGCGTGATCTCGCAGAGAGGAATCAGCGATGTGATGACAAACGACTCGGGGTCCAACTCCATCATAGCGTTCTCCGTGATCTGCATGACACGCTTCACAGGAGCCATGTGGCGCGGGGTGTCTTTGTACACATCAAAACGAGCAACCACATAGTCGTTGTTTTTGAACTCGCGTCCTTTCTACGCCTCGCAATCCCTTCCAAACGCCTACGAGAGCGCTCGCCAAGTTGCCTCCCTTCTTCTTGCGGTTAATGGTAATTCCGCACAGCTTAGCCTTGTTGCTTGCATCTTTGAAGAACGATTCGCGGTCAGGAAGAATGTACACACGCTTGCGGTTGTAAATAGTGATCGTCAAACCACCCTCTTCCTCCAAATAGTCGATTGAAGCGATCAAGTGATAAGGATAGTGAGCTACCTCACGATCTATCCATCAGACACACGCCATACGTCAACCATCAATGTACTCGACGATGTCTCCAGCATTTGCGCTAAGTTCGATCGGCCTGCGATCTCCACTGCGACCAATCTTGTAACCACTGAAGAGCTTTCCCTGATCTTCTCCCCTCGCCATCATCATCCATCTTCTGGCAGTACACATGAGAGCTGGCAGGGCGTCTGTAGAAAAATTCATCACTTGCTCTCCTCTATTTCTTATGGGTCGCCCACACTGCCCACCTTCCCTTTCTCAAATGCAGTTCGAAATCTTCATTATTATCAACACTTACAGGATTGATGTCTATGACTTCTTGTGTCCAGAGCCATTTGTTTGTAACTGCCAAGTGTCCCGTCTCCATCGTCATAATTCCCTGAGGTGACAGACCAATAATACGCGATAAGTTACCTCGGAACTTATGATGCTTCACAGAGAGGAATCTTGCTTCGTATTCCAATTCCTATAAAGATCATATAGATTTCAGGTCCTCTACCATCTAATTCAATCACAAATGATCAAAACACTTTCAAATAAGTATAGTTATGGCACATTTCCTTGTTTATTATACTCGTTAATCACTATACATTGCTTTGATCCTTATTGTGTTTGTATTCATGCAAATAGGTTTTTCGTGGAGTCAAATAGGCTAAGACGAGGATTTCATAGTTTATGGAAAGAGGATCCCTCTATACAACAAGTTGTTTTTCTAAAACTTTCTTATTTTTCCACTCCATGCAGAGATTTGCGTGCAACGCACTGAAAAGGATAGCAGCTCTATCGGAAAAACGTTTTTTCAGCACGAGTTGTGTTAGGTAGGAGTGTTTGCTTGCCGATTCATCGGGTAGAAGCAGATGTTTCCTTCCGTCATGTAGTATGCAACTTGCTCGTCCCATGAGTCAATGGAATGTACACTCTCCTTTTTCTGTAATCAAACGATTCGAAGGGTCTGTACCAGTGCCTGAAAAGAATCCCGATTCGAAGGAAGAAGATGCGAGAAGTCGAGTTTGTTCTCTCTTTGAGTATTTATGACTAGGAAGTGTTGCCCTCCATTCCTGGCTCGAAAACAACGGACGATGTTATGATTATCGTGTTTACGTGCAAAGTGTGTAACACACGTTCTGCGAGAAAGATGAGCAAGGAAGCATACAACCACGGAGTTGTGCTGATCCGTTGTCCGGGGTGTAACAACCTTCACCTAATTGCCGATCATTTAGGATATTTTGATGATAATAGCACAAATGTTGAACAGATTCTTGCCCAAAAAGGAGAAAAGGTGACTCGAATGGATGATAAGCAAGTCCTTGAGTTTTTACACAAGGAGGATTTGAAATAAGTAGTGTCATTTATTCTAGTTTGTTTGAAAGATGGAGTGATTGCTATGAATTCGATTCGATGTTGTTTGTGTTGGTCCCCTTGAGTTTTTGCCACTCGTGGACATTCCCGTTAAGTGGGCAAGTTTGGAGCTAGAAAATGTGCCACTGTAGTATAGTTGGTTAGTACATCACGTTGTGGCCGTGATAACCCGTGTTCGAATCACGGCAGGGGCATCTCCTTTTTGCTTTTTTTTTAATTTTCAAATCTTATCATTCTCGTTCTTTCAATTTGAAAAGTCAAGATGGATTGAGAACCTCTTTTATTTATGGATTACGTCATCGATCTCGACAGGAACGGGGTTCTCGTTCATAACACATTACTTCTCTTTCCTCTTCACTCTAAAGTTCTGATTCAGAGGCAGATCGCAAAGGGTGTAGTTGTAAGGATTTTGATTCTGTGCCATGTAGGGTGATTGCCTTCTTCAGACGAATATTCGTTGCAAATACTGTGATGATGAACTCTGCAACAAGGAGATGAAATTTGATGAGGAGAGTTGCTGTTTTCAATGTACCTTGTCTCTTGATCGCAGTGGTGCATTCTTCTTCAGGACTTTCTTCACATTCTATGATCAGACTTGTATGGTTAGTCGCTGTTCTGAAGATGGGAGATGCACAGTAATGCCCTCTCCTGAAATACGATTTGTCGTTCAAAACGAAGTTTTCCTTTTTATTTTGTTTCCTAAGATCCGTAGATTCAAATCAGGAACAACCTCATTGGTTCTTCTGGGTTGTGCATACAGTCTGTTTTATCTAACAGCCTCGGACCCTTCTCACATTGGAGTGCTGTCTTTATGGATTTGTACATGGTTGGACTTTCTCCGAGATGTGAGAAATAGAGTGGCTATAACTGCATCCACCTCACTCCGATTCAGTATTCTGGCAGTAGTGGCAGTTGCTTTTCAATCAAGAATTTCCTGGATATTGATCCTCGACTCATCAGCCATGAAACAGTGGATCTGAAAGATCGCGAATTTGACAGGGTGCTGCGTTCTCTGAAATTTATCACAGAAGAAGGAGTAATCGTTGGAATGGCCAGCTCATGGATAGAAGAAACATTACCGCCAGCTCAACTACTATCTGAAGAAATATCGAGAACGATACAACTTTCTGTTTATCACAGACATCGTTCTGAATCACATTAGCTTTGATAATGATGTCATTCGTCAACATCCAGACAGTGCATTCAACCCAACGAATACTCCTCAGTTAATCCCTGCTATCGAAGTGGATTTGGTAATTCAACGAGTCAGTGAAGATCTGGAAAATGAACAATTCAGTATCACTTCCGACATGCAAGTAAACGAAGTGGTGTCGCGAATCCAGCAATGCTTGCGGAATGTGCTACATCTTGAGGAATATTGGTTGATTGATCTGCAGCGGATTATCATGGCACTCTCCGACAAATACCAGCTTCTTTCCTGCTCGCTTCCAGAATGTGAAACTCTAACGGATGAGCAATTACTCTATGCGTTCTCGCAGTGTTTATACGAAGATCAGATCGGAGCGCGTTTCCCAGTTTCGATTGATACAGGTAGTCGTTGTTTGCAATTTCAAATTAGAACGGTTCTCTCAATACGTCCAAACTGGAATTCTGAACAGCAAACAAATTCAGCGTGTCGTCGATTCGTTCAACAACCGACTTTGGGGTGTCGTCGATTCCATTATTCAATCGATTTGCTCTTCTCTCTACAGCGCAATTCATTATCGATTTGTCCAAAAAGAGCACTCAACTCCACATCCAACTCGCTACTATCCACTCGTGGAACAGTATTTCACGGATGTTTGCGACCCTACAAGAGAGCATCGACGTAGCTTTTCTTCTGAATCAACGACTCTCTTTTGTGCGAACAACGGATGGACATTTGATAATTGTAAAGACACGATGAATTTAGGCTGGAATGGGATGCGTCGCTATCTTTTTCAATCTCCCGATTCGGTCTTACCCTTCATCATTCAGACGAAATATCTGACACGCGAAGTTGTGATTTGGAGTGATTGCATCAAACTGCGGTATTTCGAAAATGCGACTCAGCCTACTTGGATTTATGGGCTGGCATTGGAGTATATCCAGATATCTTCCTGTCTATTCGATGGCTTTCGGCTAGACAATTGTCATAACACTTCCCTGCTCCTTTTGGAACCTATTTTGGAAGAAGCTCGCAAAATTAATCCGAAACTGCTCATTCTTGCCGAGCTGTTTACGCAGGATCAAGCGACTGACATTGAATACATCAGCAAACTCGGCATTGATATGATTGTCCGCGAAACTGCGCAGAGTCCTGATTACTATTCCGATGTTCGCCGCTATAGCGATATTTTGTACAACGTTGGAGGAGATGATTTGGGGAGTTTGCAAAGCATCAAAGAGTTTCCTCGGCATGTTGTGTATAATGCGTTGCCGACAGTGCTGTACGATATGACACACGATAATAAAAGCTTGATTGAGCTGTATGGATCCGCGTCCATCCCTTCGATTACGGTCATGGTGGGAATGACTGTAACGAATATCGCGTCAACGAAAGGGGTGGATGATGCGTATCCGCTCAATCCGCTTGTGACGGAATATAGGCAATACCATACCTACAATGATTCTCTCCTGTCTATGCATGATCATACGATTCGTTATCACTTCAATCGATTGGTCAGTCTAGAAGAAAAGCCCAATGAAATCATTCATTTCTCACCGAACGGATATTTACGATTGTTGATGAATCATTTACATGTTCTGCTCAGCAAATGCTCGTTTTCACAGCGATACATTCATTATTACCATGGTACCAGCTTTATTTCCATTGAAAGGCGTCACGCCGAGTCGTTTTACAGCGTTCTTAGTATTACGAGCACTTCATTCAATTCGTTCAGTCATGGAAGTGGAGCTGGAAGTGGAGCTGGACTGCGCGATTTAGAAGTGATTGGAAAAGTGATCGGCGTGTTTTTATCTGTTCGCTGTAACGAGCAAACTGTGCACTTCAATCTGAAAGAAGCTCAACTGGAAATGAATCAATGCCCCTATCTCTCTGGAATTCCTCTTCATTTTGAAGTGGACTGCTATGATCTGCAGGATATGTGTACGGTTTCATTCAACGAAGAAACCAAAACATCAACGCTTCATCTGAACGATTGTTTCTCTCCAGGATCGTCTCTTGTCCTTCTCTTGTACAACGGAAGCAACTGCATTTTTGATCATATTCTCAACTATCACGAATGTACTTTCTTAAATTCTTTCTTTTGATTCGTTAGGCTGTGAGGTCATTCAAAACACTTCCGATCGTCTTGACGCGCTTCCTTATCATCCTCAGAACACCATCGATGCCATTACCAAAGAGATTCAATCGAATGCATTAGCGATGGAAGACTTCTCCTATTTGCTCTTCACGACAAAAGAAGAGCAATCTTTAATCAACGGATGGGATGTGTATGAGATTCAGTCCTCTTCCGCTGACACGATTCGAACATTGGATCAACTAACGCATTCTTTTCATCAACATCACAATTCCTATGGTGTAGGAAAACTGAAATACGCTGGATTCTATGGAATCATCCCAGCGGTTCGATCCATTGTGCGATTCAACATGCTCAATCATCCTCTTTTGGAGAATCTTCGCCAAGGATCCTGGCTTCTCGACTACTTATTGAATCGATTGAACGGTCATCCCCATTTGGAAGGAGTTCGAGCGAGTTTAGAAGACGAGTTCCGATTCATTCGAGAAAGTCCGCGTAACACAAGGCCAGTTCGCTTCTGCCGGTTTATTCTTGCTTTTGGAAACATGATCGAGCGGGAATTAGGAATGAAGTTAAGCGGAAAGGTTGAGTTCCACCAGCTTTACATGGCAACGCTCCAATTCACACAGAAACTGCCTCAGGATTCTCTCACTTTTATCAGTGCTGGACTTCCTCATTTTTCAATCGGAATCATGAGAAATTGGGGCAGAGATACGTTTATTGCGTTCCCAGGAGTGATGTTGTCATGCCACCGTTATTACGAAGCAGAGCAGCTTCTTCTGGAATATGCTTCGGTGAGTCGACATGGATTGATTTGCAATCTCTATGGCGATCGAGCGCTCGCACGCTTTAATAGTCGAGATGCCACTTGGTGGTGGCTTCGAGTTGAAATTGAAATCTGTTTGAATCGTAGAGTCTTCGTTTGTACTGCGAGGCGGTTGGAAACACGCGAATTCTGGATGAAGAGATCTTTATGGAGTGGGAGCAGAAGAAAATGTCTGTTCGGAATGTGATTCAGGGGATGATGCAAAGTCTGGGATCCGGAATCCATTTTGTGGAATGGAACGCTCCATCGATTGACATATCCTTTTCCAAATGCAATGCAATGCAATGAAAATGGTTCGTTAACGGCAGGAGCATATGAAAGACGAAGGTTTTGAAGTTCACATTTTCATCGATCCTGAAACTGGCTTTGTCATGGGTGGAAATGTAAGACTCATTCAATCCGTTGATTCATCGATTGTAGCTCTCGAATTGCGGAACCTGGATGGATAAAATGGGCAGCTATAACGACGGTTCGCATTCGAATAAAGGCATTCCGGCAACCCCGCGAGATGGCGCCGACGTGGAAATCGTCGGATTGGAAGCGTACGTGTTACAGTGGCTGTCAGAGCTTTGCACTTCAGGAGAGTGGAAGCAGCAAGGTATTCTAGTGGAACATGACAACACCTCTTCGTTTTGGAGCTATCAGAGCTGGTATGAGCGAGTCAAGCGATCCTTTGAACGCGAGTTTTTCGTTCCTGCTTCGGATTCGCACGGAGCTTATTACAAAGATTGCGTCAATAAACAAATGCGACTCCAAGATAACCAGATCCGTCCGAATTACGTTGCTCTTTTGCTCGATTTCGATGAATAGTTAATCGCTCTCGCAATCATACCCGAGGTATTCGATGCGTCCCACGCAACCGAAGCGATTCAAACTGGGATCCGAGAGCTCTTCCAAGATCCTCATCAGCTCGGACTCAAGACATTGAGCCCTTCGGACTCTCATTACCGCTGCTTTTACGACAATTCGATGGGATACCAGGGAGATTTGGCAGTGTGTGGGGGATGGAGTTATCACAACGTATGCTTTGTCGTTCTGTGTTGTTTGCATAGGGTCCGGAATGGTTGTGGCCGTTGGGATTTCTGATCGAAGCGCTTCTCCACTTCCCTCCTCCCCGCTTTATTTCTAACGGCACTGTCGATTCCGATTATTTGAGAATGGTAAGAAGAAATAAGAAGGATGAATCGAGCGTAGTATTGCTTCAGTCTTCTAAGCGAACAAATCCGCTACTACCACGAAGATGACTGGCTGTCTCTTCCTGAGATGACCAACTGGGATGGAGAATTCAATTCGTATTCCTGCAGAGCGCAAGCCTGGTCGGTGGGTTGTCTTCTTCGAGCCATTGAAAAGCTTCACTAACGCTCCAAGAATGGTAGTAGTAATCATTTCTTTGAAACTGAAATTGTTGTTTGTTTGCTCGAACCCGAAAACAAACAAGAAGAATACAGAATAAGACTAATGGGGATAAGAAAATGGTTATCAAAGGAATCAACGACCCTAAAAACTGCTTCGTGTATTCTTGTCTTGGCCTCCAGAAACAGTCAAATACCCGTACAGCTTATTCAGCTGCTGCTTCATCACCTCTATATCCGACGTCGCTCGCAGCACAAAGAGAACATTCCGCTCGTTCGACACTTCTTCGCAGTTCTTACAAATAAACGCCAGAGAGAGACATTGCTCCTTCTTGAACTTTCGACACATGGAATACTGGCATTTCCCTCGCAGCTGGAAGCACGATTGGACGGGCGTGTGCTCCAGTTGAAAGGGCTGGTCGAGGTACACAACATAGCCCTGTCTAGAAAGAGAGAAATCGACGAGTGAAATCGTACTGGCAATCCGAACAAATGGGACGAATCACATAATGAGGGTTGAATTGATGACAATGCTGGCAATGCAGATAGATCATGCTTTGCTCCAATGGCTTAGTTATCACGTATGAAAACTAGAGGTTGGGAGGGAAAGGAAAGTCTACGTCTCTTCGGACCGCGTGAATCACAGATAAATAGTTCACATGCGCATTGACCACTAGATCATTGTAATCAACAACATTGTTATTGAGCAAAATTGTAAAGTCGAGAGGATCAATATTTACCATTCTCTACGAGTTACGACCTAATCGGGAACACCCACTTGGAGAGTGAGTTTTAGTTGTCTCCATGTCGTGGAAGCATTATATGGAACATTTTTTGCATTTGACCCGTCCATTTTGATAAGCAGTTTGGAAGTGAGCAGAACACTCCCCTTTTCGCCTGAATCCTCTTTGGGAACATAGTTCTTTGCGATGCAGATGACTCGACTACAGTAATTTAATCCATTTTTCTCGACTGTGGAGTTATCGTCACAGATGCGCCCTGCATTCACGATTTTCAATTCTCCTACTGGATAATCGATCTTTTCCTAAATTTTATATCAAAGACGAACCAAAACAGAAATCCGTTTTTTGATGGTTGCGATTGTATCATTCATCGCCATTGAAATTGTAACGGCATGCTTACACGGCATAATATGAATCTCGAGAGTTAGCTCTTGAGAATCCATTTCGGAAAAAAGAAATGACTCTCCGGAGTGAGTGTTGTCTAATTACCCAACACGAACTTTATTCTTTTTGCAACAAACATCAAACTATTAAGCTACAATCGTTTCAATATGTTTTACGAGATTCTTTATTTCTTCAGGAGTATCTGGCAAGCTACAATACGAATTCAGCGACGGCAAAGCCTAACCAATCACATATTCATAGAACAACCCACTGTTTTCAAGACTTCCCGAACATCAGCAATCTCAAAAGATCTTCGATCCAGCGACAGAACGAAGTCAACGATCCGCAGAGACGTTTCCTTGAGATCGATATCGTCGCTAACCAAATAGTTCTGAGCCAAAAGAGTGATCAGCTCCTTCGATAAAAACTTTCTCTACAATGAACCAAACAAAATAAAAAAACCTACCAGGAACATGACTTGACGATAACACAAATTCAACAGCAAGTACAGAGCTCGCTGCTTCACTGAAGAAGAGTTGTCATCTGACTCGATGATGCTTTTGATGAGGTTGAGTCCATTATTGAACAAAAACACCTTCTCAGCATCTTCGTATCCAGTAATGATAGAGCTCACGCTTCTCAGCGCTTTCGCTTTTAGTTTCATATCCGTAGTGGTACTTACGAACTCCATCAATTGGGGAATCACTTTGGAATCAACCAAAACTTTCTGAACCACAGGCTGATTCTGCGCTGCTGTTCCCAGTAGAGAGCAACAGGTCTGCTTCACCTCATTGCTCGGAGAACGGTTAAGCAAGTCGATTATCTTTTGATAGCCATTTAGATTCTGGAAATCACGAGCATTATCTAAACTTTCCAGCAACTCTTCTAAAACGTTGAGTAAGTTGCAAGTTGCCTCTTCGCTCAATCCGTCTTTCTCCAATTCTTCCAACGTGCGCTTCATTCGGGTTGCATCCGGCACACACGCTTCTTCTACGGCTTTCTCGAAAAACGCACGATCCTAGAATTAACTAAACATTCCGATTCACCTACTTCTTCACTCATCGGTTTTACTTCACTCGGTTTTGTTCCATCACTTTGAGCAAGCGACCACTTCAAAATGCCCAAATAACCACCGTACGAATCCATCACAAGAGAAATATAAAATGAACATCGAAGGGAAGAATATCAATAATAATCTAGAAGGTTCTATTTTTAGGAAGGGATTCTATTTGTGGGTGATGTTTCAACACAACAAGGAAAGGGGTGAGACAACCTCAGGAGTTCATTTCCGTTTCTTTTCGATATATGAAATACGTATTTTGTAAACATGTTATTCAGAAGTAAACCAAATTAAAAGAAAGCAGAATTACCGAAATTAGAGATTATACGTCTCCAGAATGGTAGGCCTTCGAATTAGATTTCAGAGACAAGATACTTACAAACTGCGGATGATAAAGGCAAGAGAAGACACGATGACTGCATTCTTCATCACTTTCTTCCAACTTGACTTCTTCGGGACGGTTGGATAAAACTACGAGATTACCGTGTCTATTTGACTCCATACCATGATTGGTAAATAATAAAATGTGGCTCTTTTTCGTAGTGGTATGCTCGTGACATACACTGTGTGATAGAATGGAAGTAGGTCTGATGATTTTCCGACTTTTGTAAATCCCCTATATTGTGGCCTATTCGATTCTCTCTTCTTTGTGAATTTATAAATGTATGAAATAGAAAAGAATTCAAAGGAAATGATACGAACACGACAGAATCTGAGGTGTGAATTACTATGTAATGAGTACAGAGATTAGAAGTACATCGATACATCGTGATTACATTTAATCAGATTTTGCACGATCCTCACTAGATTTATTCACAATGATTAAGTTTTTCCTTCTGGTCAACAAGATTGGTCAAACCCGTATGGCAAAGTACTACGAGTTTATGGAAATGAATGAGCGCGTGCTTTTGGAAGGAGAATGTGTCCGTAAGTGCCTCGGAGTCAAGGATACTAGCGTATGATAAGATTTTCGCCAAATAATAGTTAGAGTAACGTAGTGGAATTGAGACAGTATAAGCTGGTTTTCCGCCGCTATGCTTCTCTGTACTTCATTGCTGGTCTTGATATCAATGGAGACGATGTGGGTATCATAGCCTCGTTTCATTTTTAGAACGAGATGGCTGTTTACGAGTTCATTCACTGCTACGTCGAGACCCTGAATTCTATTATTGGAAATATTTGCGAGCTTGATGTACTGCGTTAGGTGATGTTCTGATGGGTGGTAGATTATGTACAATCTTGACCGTTGTCACTTCATTCTTGACGAGATGCTTGCCAATGGCGAGGTGGTAGACGTTAACAAACAGAATATTACTCGACCACTCACTTTGATGGAGAAGGCCAGAAATAAGTGTTAATGCTGTTGCTTGTCATATCGTGTGTTTTTTGAAAACAGCTCACAGTTGACTTTCGAACGAGTCTGCCATCTTGCTAAGTTCAGAGATCTGCTGCATTAGGTTTCCGAACACCGTGTCGAACGACACAGACGAGGTATCTGAGCTGAACGTCCGATTCACCGTGCGCGTGGAGTTGGAAGAGAGCGTGGTGAGCGACTGAGTGGGCAGCGTGCTCTGCGAATTGTCTGTGTATTGTGTGGGAAGTCGCGTAGGCTCGGTGGATCGCAACGGTGTTTGGATCGGCGAATCCCTGCGATCCGTGTTAAACGGATGATGATGGGGCAAGGGATAGCTGTAGCCGCCTTGCTGCTATTCATCACATCGCTCATCCACTTCTACTGAAGGCGAGTCCTTCGCAATGACCTTCGGAAGCATGTCTGGATACAGCGAAACGCGTCCTCGATTGCCTTTCTTGGCTCGCACACCCATTTTTCCTTCATCATTTTGATCTTCATCATCATCATCATCATCATCATCGTCTTCTTCATCCTCATCATCGGAATCCATCGTTGCTCGTCTCATCGCCTCATTGAACTGCTGCCTCCATCGCTTCTCGGCTTCTTCCATCTGCGTCTCTTTCTGCTTCAGCATTCCGCTCAAATACAAGTTTTCTTTCAGCAATTCATCAAATGTCTTATCGCTTTCGTCCAAATGCCCTTTATACGTCAGCACCGAAGCTCGCGCCAGCTCTGCGTCCGACGCCAAGTTCTCGCACTGTCCATCATCCAACGAGAACGCACCTACCTGCCGTTGGAGACGATCATTGTCACTCTTGAGATCCATATACCGAATGAACAAATCCTTGTAGTTCTTCTTCATTTCGTTGTATTCCGAGAGAAGCAACTCGTATTTCTCAGCGTCACTCTGCACCAAATGCTCCAAATGGCGCTTCTGCAGCTGCAACGAATCGAAATCGATGTGAAGCCGATCCAGCTTGTTCTTCAGCTCCTCCACATTCGTCTCTAGCAACCGGATTTCTCGCTTCTGATCGTCGGTTAGAATCGCGAGACTGTTTCGTCGTTCCGTCGTTTCTGCAAGTTTCTGCTGCTGCTCCAGCACCAATTCCGTGTTCTTTCGCAACGCCATTTCCACGCGGTAGTACTCTTTCTCGGTCGATTGATGCTCCTGCCGAACACGATCGAGCTCTTGCCGCACTGTGAGGAGTGTGGTCTTCATTTGCTGCATTTCGGTGGAGTGATGCAGAGAAGACTCGCGAAGCGAATGCAGAGATTGCTGTAGCTCTTCTTTCTCGATCTGTTCGTTCAAGAAAGCGAAAGAAATCGACTTTGAGTGACTCGGTTTGCTCGGCGGAAGAAGATAAGTGATCGATGGTCTTTCGCTGACCTGCGATGTATGCGTCTCTTTGGATGACCAGCTCGCCCAGACGCTGATTCTTTTTCTTTAGCAATTCGTTCTCCTTTTTGAGAACCATTACGTCCAGTTCGAGTTTTGTTTTTGCCTCCATGAGACTCTTTTCGTCCAGGGAAACCATCTACCATCGATAAAAAAGTGGTAGGCATACCATGGATGGATTCATACTTCCAATTTGCATCCGAGCTTGCTTCAATTCCTCGTCTTTCTTTGATATCACGTTTACGCAGTGCAAACGTATCTACTGTGAACATGGAGCGATACTCTTACGGAATTTATTGCATCCGTCTTTATTTGTAGCTGTTTATTTAGTTGTTTGACTTGTTCCTGAAGACTAGAGATGGTTTTCTCCTTTTGCTCCAAATCGTTTACTATTCTTGAATATATATATAATAAGTACATACATAAAATCTCCATCGTTTCTTCAGTTAACAAAGGTTGGCCATTTATCGAGGTCCGTTGTTTCCTTTCATTCTACAGTCAGCATGAGTCCATATTCTTCTGGCAATTCAAATACCTACTCTCTTCGCTTGATCTTCGAGAACTTGCGGGTTGTTTTGAAAGTTGGGGTGTTCAGAAGAATCCCCCGGAGGATTTTCCATCCCTGCGCTAATTCAAGTCCAAGAAACAAAAGAATGGTAAAGTTTGTTCAAGAATGGATGAGCATTTTCCTATTTCTGTTCAGTTCTTACAGAGGCCATTTAACCGTATCATAGAAGAAGAGGATTTGTTTGAAGAAAGAGATGCTTTTCCTGTTCCCTTCAAACCCTATTTTAAAGGGTCAAATGACATTCCTGATGATGTTCCCACAAGAGAAATTCGTAAACAAGTCGCAGCGATTCTTGGATTCAAACAAGGGTCTGAAGAAACCTATTTGGGGAATACGCACAAATCGGACCTTCACTACCACGAAGAGTTGTTCGAGCAGCTAAAACAGTATATTTCAACGCACCAAGTGGAAAGCATTGATTCAAGTACTTTTTCTTCCATCCCAACCTTTCTACCCAAAACGCAGTTCATTTCAACTCCTTCTTTCAAATACATCCTTCCTCAGGGAAGTGGGTTTTGGAATGGAAATGTATTTGACTTTCTAAAACACCCCGTCCGTGAAAAATTCGACATTGTACATGGCGTACAACATCTCTGTTGTAGGTGGAAATCGATCCTCCATGGCCAAACAAAAGTGTTCGTCGTGCAAGAATCTATAGCACCGAAGAAAGTGATGTGGACCCAAACCAGCGCTTGGATAGAGATTTATTTGAGGCTTTCCCGACGGATGCACTCTGTAATGACAACTGCATTTTTCTTGTGTGGATCACCAATGACCCGCGTTGCATTACATCCGTGATGTGAATCCATTTGAAGCGGTCTTATGCTCAGGAGATTTTTTGCGATGAAGAATATCGCGCATTTGACAACGGCCTTCTGGGTGAAAACCACAGGAGACAATCGGCCCCTCGTCCCGCTGTCGTGCCCGACTCGCGAAACATTTGAGAGAGTTGTTGTGGGGAAGTGGGAAGGTTCGGTGAAGAATTCTCCAAAGCGGGTGCGACGATCGGTTGATCCATTGGCAGATGAATGTGCACACAAAGTTTACCAATTATCCGGGAAAAGAAGAGGGGAGGCAGCGCCCATATGTTCCCATGAGTGTACCCTACTTCCGAAAGTCCCGTTTTTATTTTCCACGGTATCGTTTCATTCTCGAAAGCCTGACTGCACCGAGTTTTCGTTTGTGTTTGGTTATTTTTCGAAGTATATCGTAGCAACCTAAGCGCAGAATCAAAGGGACTAGAGTTGTTTTCTCGCAGACTTCGAAAGGGGTGGTATTCGGTGGGCAACCAGACATTGGTGTTTCAAAATAACCATGTACTCGTTGAGCTAAAGATGCAGAAGTAATTTTATTAGTGTCTGTTTGTTGAAATCTATAGTCTAGGAAGAGAGAGGACAAATGAATGGTGCGTCCAATCATATTTGACTTGAAACTCCTGCTATTGTGTTCATAGAATTTGAGGTTACAGTTCTGAAGTTCTTCAGTCTGCTTATTTAAGTCTTGCCTATATTTTAATTTTAGTAGAGCATTATTTTAATATTTGGAGTAAGGGCAATTGAAAGTTATTGAAGGGTAGAATGTCTGAAGAAGCAAAGAAGAGTTCTGTATGTTCGAGGGATCCGAATGTAGACTCGGGGGTGTCCGAGTTGGCTCATGAAGGATTCTTTGGAGCGCAGCCCCCTATAAATGAAATGCGTTTTGGAGACACATATGGGCCTTATGATGGAGGAGAAAATTTTTCTCAAGAGGCTTCATATTTAAGAAAAGGGAGTTATTCGAGCTATCAGACGCCCTACAACTCTAGACTAGTGAATGGTAATATGGAGAGACGTCGCTACGACGACTATTCTGGCTTGGAGGGTGATTTGGGAATGGGGGGTCGCTATGGAGATTCTATGTATTCCAATATTCCTCCTCGCCATGGTAATAGTTTTTATGGTCAGTTTGATCGTGGATTTGATTGCTATTGCCAAGTTCAGTCCCCAACTTCCGATCTGGATCCCTTTTCGCCTCGGTCTCGTTATGACCTTGCCTATCCGGCCAAAAGCAACCGATTCCCATCATCCCAGTGGGATGATTCTCACAGTGGCGCTTATGACCAGCTTTCCCCTCGCTACAAAGCAGAATCTCGTTGGCTCGATCGTGATTCCAACTACTCCTACTACGATGATCCCGACTACCATTACAGTTGCTCCTTCCGCGACCGTGCTATCTATGATCGTCGAGGCTACGCGATGGATTCCGATGTTTCAAACTCCTACACCTACGGCATGCCCCAGCTCCGCTACCCCGCGAGCAGCAGTTCATTCGCTGGAGGTGTTCATGCTTCGCGCGGCTATGATTACGCTTTCGAAGACATGCCTTATGCGGATCGCTATCGCCATCCCTTTTCGGATCCTTCCAGTCCTCAGCCTATTATCCCTCCTCCCGCTCCCGCTCCCACTTCCGCTATTGCTGCTCCTGCTCCTGCCCCTGCTCCTGCCCCTGCTCCTGTACCTGCTTCCATGTCCGTTCCCTCCACTGATGCGCTCTCTCTCGGGAAGTTCAGCCGCGTGACGCAGGCACGTGCATTCCCTCGTTACCCAGTTCACCACGCCGCTCACCACGACTCGACCACCTCCACATCTACGATCACTTCCACGTCCACAGTCACTTCCGTTCCGCCTTCTGCCTCCGCTCCCATCCCTGCCTCCATTCCTCTCATTCCCGCTGCTTCTGTTTCTGCTTCTGTTTCTGCCTCGGCTTCTGTTTCTGCCTCAGCTTCGGCTTTGGCTTCAGCTTCAGCTTCAGCTTCGGCTTCAGCTTCAGCTTCAGCTTCAGCTTCTGCGGCCGCAATGTCTTCGTCTGTCTCCACGTCGGCGGCTGCTTCGGGAGCCGTGGCTTCTTCTTCGATCGTCGGTGCTGCCGGGGCATCGGGCAAAACGGTCGGCGATTCCTCGCCGGTGTCGCCCCGGACGCCGCACTCGGCGCAGACCCCGGGCGGACAGTCCGAGGAGGGCGGCTCGGAGAAGGGAGACGATGGCGATGACTCCTATCGAATCGACAAGCAACTGATTATGCAGAATTTGGAGAACCGAACCGTGGTGCTCATTCGGAATATCCCAAATCGGTATAAACTGGAGGATCTGGAGCAGGTGATCGCTGCTCATGTACACGGTAGGGACGAAGGAGGCGGGTGACGGGCAGAAAAGTTCACGATTTTACGATTGCCGATCGATGTGTTCACGAAGCGAAATCTGGGCTATGCATTTGTCAACTTTAGCGATTCTCATGAAGTTCTGAAGCTTTTCTTAGAAGTAGGAACGAGGAGGGAGATGAAGGGTAGATGGACGGAGAGTTATGGCCAAACTCGAATAGCGTAAAACGATTCTATATGTGCTTTGCGAAGAAGCAAGTAGGGAGTGCGCGGAGAGCTTGATCGTAGAGTTATGCCTTATACGAGAATCCAATGGACGGTTCTATCGTGGAAGGTTCGTAGTTTTTGTTTTCATTTGATGCTGGATTTCCGAGCTCAAGGTTCGTAAGAATTTGTTTGTTGAACACGCGTCTTGATTACCAAGGACCACTGTACGTTTCCAAAAGAAACCAATTCTGGTCGATTTATACAATCGCTAGAACACTTCGTTTTCGAATATGGGTATGCTTTCCTTTTTGGCGCTCTGTGTGACTGGACAGGTCTAATGGCTGTTTAGGTATTTGCCGTGATTCTCGCCATAAGCGTCGTTTGACCGGAGGAAAGGTTGTGATCAACATCAAGAAGAGAAAGTTCGAGATGGGTCGTCAGCCTGCCATGACCAAGCTCGGAGCCAAGAGAATTTACCTGGTCCGCTGCCGTGGTGGAAATATTAAGCACCGTGCCATTCGTCTGGACACTGGCTCTTTCTCCTGGACCGGAGAGGGTGATTGTTGTCTAGTGAAGTGATTTGTAGCTTTCTCTGCCAAGACCAAGATCCTGAACATTGTGTACAACGCTTCCAACAACGAGTTGGTGCGTACGAACACCATTGTGAAGGGCTGCATTGTTTCGATCGATGCGACCCCCTTCAAGGCCTGGTTCGAGAAGCACTACTCCTGCAAGATCGGAGCCAAGGGCGAGGTGACGAAGGACGATCTGACCAAGCTGGAGGGCGTGAGCAAGTCGAACCTTGCGAAGCTGCAGAAGCTGCAGGATTCCCTTCAGGAGCAGAAGGAAGTGATCGATCAGCTGGCTTCGGGTAAGATCCTGGCTCGCATCTCGTCGCGTCCGGGTCAGTGCGGTCGTGCTGACGGATACATTCTGGAGGATGAGGAGCTGGCGTTCTACCACAAGAAGATCAACCAGAAGAAGAAGTAAGAGAATTGTACCTGTTCTTGCGATGACATGTTGTTTGGTTCGAGTAATCAAGGTGATTCGAAATGTTGGACTGGCTGGACCTATGCGCTTTGCCAATACAACGGTAGTGTTGTAGAGTCGAAAAGATGGGATCTATGCGTATGATAACGCCATGGTTTATAAAAACAACGAAATGGATCACAATTGCTGTTATTCTATCCACCAAAAACTGGTTATTCATAGTCATCAACAGCAGCAAAAGACGTACCCCATAGGAAATCTCTTCGTGCATGGACAAAATGATTGACTCCCAACAAACAAAGCGAATAAAAAAACTGCTTACTTCTCATACCTCGACTTTGCCACACGCGACAGCACCATTTCTCCCTCATACCGAATCTGCTGTTCGCGTTGTCTCTTTCTGGTTTCCTCGGCCACACGCATCTCATCCATCCACTCCTGCGGAACTGGGTGCATAATTCCGGTCACGGGGTGTCTGAACGCCCTCTTCCTGGGATTGCAATCATCTTCGTCATGCACCAGATAATACGTGTCCTCATCCACTCGGTCCCAATCGTACACATCCTCCGGAACCACCTTCATGAACTCCTCGTTCCCGAAGCAGTCTCCGCGCAGCATGGGCATTTCGAAGTGGTGAATCTTGTCCAGATCGAATTCCACTTCCGGATCCGGCCGCAGCAACGCCTCCACCTACGTCACACCTCCTCCCCACACTCACTTCCCGCTGCAGATCGCTCGTGAGCTCCGCAGGGTTCAGCGCCTCGCCCATCGGCCGCTGCGTGCGCAGCGAGCGCAGGAACGATCGGTCCGATCTCGACCGCAGCACGTTGCTCCACACGTGCAGATCGCGCTTCAGCGTGCCGTGCAGACTCCGCTTGCACGCGTCGCGAATCGCCGTCCACGTCAGCTACCCTTCACCGCCCTCTCGCGCCCCCACCATCATCGAGAACGCCGAAGTCCCCGCGGTGAGCTCGCGTAGCGCGGTCTGCGCGAACTCCGATCCGTCCGTTTCGAGTCGCTTGAGCAGGTCGAGAGGCGACTGGTCCTGGTAGAAGCAGGGGTTGAAGAGCCGCGTCGCCTCGCTGTAGCGATCTACGTCCCAGCCGCGCGGCGTCCCTACCCATCGCCTCGTTCTCCAGCGGCTGCAGCGGCATCGCGTTCTGCGCCAGACGCTCCTGGAGCGTCTCGAGATTGCGCGAGGCGTTCTGGCTCATGTCGTTGATGAAGGCTTCCAGCGCTTCGGCCTCGATGAACCACGGGCTCAGACCGAAGTGGACCAGGCTGTGTCCCGACAGCTCCGCGCCCGAGAGGCCCAGGTACATCCCCAGCCCGCCCAGAGAGCTCAGCAGCTTGGTGGCGCCGGCGTCGGGGAAGAAGCCCAGCTGCGCGCTGTGGAAGCGGAGCGAGGTCGATTCCGTGATGATGGGGAAGCGCGCGTTCAGGAAGAGCGACGCGGCGCTGGTGAAAAAGGTGCCGTTCATGATGGCCAGGACGGGGAGCTGTGTCAGAAACAAGTCGAAAGGGTACCGCGGAGATGTGAACTTGGTTGATGGTCGCATATTCTCTCCGCTTCAGCGTCAGAAGGCGCTGGTTCGTTACGGAGTCTTTGGCGTTGCCGAAGCAGCCCTTGTAGTCCGTTCCGTGAAGCGTGGCGTTTTCGGTGCAGAGAAGAACGAGCGTGCCAAGCTTCTCGTTTGCTTCATGCTATTCCGTTAGAATTCATGGAAACAAAACGTACCAGCAAGAGATTGTCCTCCAATTGCTTGCACGCACTCTCGTTCACGCCCTGCACGTTCTATATCTTATGAAGACACAAATACAAAATACCGAGGTTGGATGAAACACGATTACGCCACATCGTCCTTTCCGCGTAGGATAAATGAATGGAGCTGAGGAAGGGAGTTCTGCCGCGTTGTTCTTCATTTGGAGACCTTGAGCAGCGACCCAATTTCGTCCAGCCATGTAAGAACGAGCCAAAATCCCAGAAAGCGATTTCTGTGTCGCATTCGTTAAATGGCGACTTGTTCTCCAAGAACCCACTATCAGCTTATTCAGAGAAAGCATCGCTCGTCTCAAAAATGAGTATTTGTAGAGGCGCGAAAACGGGAATATAGCGTTTTCAGCCACTCCCCACTCTTCTTCTATTACAAATAATCGTGTCTTGTATATAACTGTAGGCTGCTGAGACAAATACAAACGGCCATTGGAAACAACCAGTCGCTAATCTGTTTTGTAGATGCACCAAGCGCCAAATTTCGAATCATCAAGTGATGAGGAATCGAAAATATGTCCTATTTGCTGTGGTCCCATGGATGCGACAGACTTGAGGTTTTTCCCCTGTCCTTGCAAATATCAGGTATATTGTGATCCATTTGGAATAAGGAACTAGCTGTGCTTATGGTGCTTCAACGAAATCAAAGGAAAAGATAATCGCTGTCCAAATTGCCGTCGAGAATATGATGAAGATATGTTTTACGTTCGGAATGAAGACGAAACGTACGCCCAGCAAGCAAAACTAAGGAACTAGGGAAAGTGGAGAGGAAGGCAGCGAGGCCAAAAAGCATAGGGGGAATCGACACGGTAGAGATGACTCTTCGTGGAAGGAAGGCCATTCCCTGCACTCAGCTCGCGACGATGTAACTCGTGCAATTTCCCGCTCCCTTGCAGGCCAAAAAACGAATGCACAGCATGCGAATCATCCAACGAAATCTAGTGTACATCGTGGGGATGGTTCGGGAGGATGCGGTCGAAGAGGAGCTCGTAAGCGACTCGATGTTCGGAAAGTACGGAAAAATCACAAAAATCGTCATCAACATGCCAGCGTCTTCCACAAACACATCAACCACTTCCCCATCCCCCTCTTCCAGCTCCACCGTGAGCTTGTACGATCGACTCTTTCCTTTCATACCCAGCTACCTCACCTTCGAGAAGGAAGAAGAAGCGCTCTCCTGCATCCATTCCGTGAACGGTTTTATCTATAAAGGCTCGCTTCTGCGGTCGTTTTTCTTCTCGTTTCTCACTCGCAGAGCCAGCTTCGGGACCACGAAGTACTGCAACAGCTTCATAAACGGCGTGCCCTGCGAGAACAAGGACTGCCTGTACCTCCACACCGAGGCTCCGCCCGAGGACTGCTTCCTCCGCGAGGAAATGACCAACGGCGACAGCAAGTTCTTCCAGCGGACGCATCCGGCGTACGGGTCGCTTCCTTATTCGCGCAGTTTGATGAAGCGACTGTGCTCCCGCTGCAGCGACATGCTGCCCGACAAAGACGAGCCGCTGTTCTTCTTTGGGGTGGATCGACTGTGGGAAGAGCAGTTTGTAGGAAAGAGGGAGGAGCGTGACATGCAGACATTTGAGAAGATTCAGAGGGAGGAGCCGGAGAGCGTGCCGCCGACTGTTTATTTCACGGCAGATCCGGATTCTGTACGATCGACGTATCATAAAGAGATCGGGGAGCCGATCAATCTAAATGATCTGTTTGACGGTGCTTCGAAGACGGATGATAATAATACTAATAAAAGCAACACAGAGAAGGAAGACTCGCTCTTGGGCGATTGCAAATCACCGAATCAAGACACAGAGGAAAACCTCATTGAAGATTTTATAAATTATTCCAGTGAATCGAATCGTTGGTAGTGGGTCTCGCCGCAACCACAAATTCAATTCCGATGAAAATCGTGTACCGTCTTATGAAACGATCCTATCTTTGTTTCCAAAAAGAATGAAACAAACAAGATATATAGGTCATAGATTATTCTTTCTTTTGTCGGGTAAACACATATCCGTTCTTGGCGCAGGGATAGCCCTTATCGCTCCAAGTATAGGTCTGTCCGCCAAGTCTTCTTCTCAAAGGCACGACGGCGAAGGGAAGAGCACATCCCACGATTCCCAAGCTCAGTCCCATGAACATAGCTGTACATTACAGGAAAAGCAAAATAAACTTACCAGGCTCCCGATCAAGGAAGGTACGAATCACATTCATAACGAAACTCATGATAGTACTGTTCTTTAAAGAATATGGAGAATCAAAACAATTCCCAAAATCGAGTCTATTTCTAATCTAGCGATTTTCGGAATTCCGTTTCTCTTGTTTTATAACAAAATAACCTATTTGCTATGAAGATCAAAACCTATGTCTATTTTCTGAAGGAGGTTATACGAGTCGACTACGAATATAATGGTAAAATGACTTATAATGAATCGAATGATACAAACCGTTTAGATATCTTGAGTCAGCAATCAATATCTTGCTTTAGTGATACTCCTAAGGAAAAAGAAGCATTCAGTTTTTTTGTTTTTAACTGCTTTGAGATTATAATTAATGAAAACGGAGTTGTATCTGGCAAAAAGGAATACGATAAGTTGAAAGAGATGCAATCCGAGACTATTTGCTACCATGGAGATTCTATCTCTGTGAAAGTCAAATCTCATGATGTGATTAAAGAGATAACTCAAGAAGAATTGCAAATGATAATTATTGACTATATTATGGATTACCTGAGAAAGAGCATTACAAATAGTTGTTTAATTATATATGGCAACTCTTTGGATGAAAACGCTATTCAAAATATAAAGATGCTGTTCGAGCAGAGAAACCAAACTGTGGAGTGTATCCCCTTTTCTCAATTTGCCCAAAAGATAGATCAGTCTGTGGTTAATAAAAGCCAAAATCAGAGATATTTCATGAGTGTACGTCTGGCTTCGAAAGATCAAGAGGAGATGAAGAAGTACTATGAAGAAAAGATCAAGCTGAGTGATTCGGACGATAGTCGGGTCAAGTTCTCCTCCTATGCTCTCTTTTGCCGAACAGGAGACAGCCAGTATGTGTCTCTTCTGGAAGATGTGAACGTAACGAAGGTGTATTTCCCATTGTGTCCTCCCAATGCCGATGTTATCAATCTGAACATCTATACAAAGGATGTAATGAAGCGAATCAAGTTTATTGGAGGCATTCGTGCCCTGTGCAGACGGACAACCACCCTGCCTCATATCGTTTTGCTCGTTCACTGCAAGCAGTTCAATCAATACAAAGTGTTTCGATTGATTCTTTTGGATATTGAGAAACGCACCGAGAAGAGCTTTCTCTTCGGCGATTGGGAGAGCAAGGTGGATTCGGTCGAGTGGGACTACAGCTATCCGATCCTGGAAAATAACCCCTTCTTTTCGTTCATTCCCTGCGTGGATCGTGTGGAGCTCCAAAACATGAGCTGCTCCATTTACGGCCGAATCTTCGATCTCGAAGGGAAGATGTTCTACAAGGGCGAGTTCAACAGTCTGTCTTCCATCAACATGCTCTCCAACTCCACCATCATCTCGAACAAGCCCTCTCTGCCCGACGATCCCTCTACGGAGTGGAGCATTCTCCTCTCCAACCCCCAATCGCAGAACGAGAACGAGATTGTGGTGCTGCAGCACAGTACCAGCAACACGATCTACGTTGGCTATCAGCGCAACGGCCTGCCGCACGGCCAGGGCTACATCGTGGACTCGCACGGACACATCGTGCAGCTCGGCGAGTTTGCGAACGGCACGTTCGTGAAGGGCGATTGGTTCCGGAAGATCAACGACCAGCCCTGCATTCTCAGAGGCTCGTTCGCAAAGGATATGCCGGTCGGGAAGTTCACAGCGATCCACCGCTCCACGAACATGCCTTATATCGAGGGCGTGGCGAAGGAGAACGGGGAATGCGAGGGCACGCTGTACAAATACAATCGCAAGGTCTTTAATGGTACGTTCTGCGATTTCAGGCCTGCTCAGGGCACACTGTTCTATCTCAACGGAACGAAGAAGTACGAGGGCAGTCTCAGCTGTGAGTGTCCTGATGGCCGCGGAACGTTCTACTTCTACGAAGACTCCCTGTCGATGTTCGAGCTCCGGAAAAGGCTGCTGCAAGACAATCTGGTGCCTCGTAAATACTACGAGGGAGAGTTCCAATCGGGAGCTTTCCATGGGCAGGGCACACTGTACAGCGCTGTCGACCAGGATCTTGTGCTCTACAAGGGAACGTTCCAGAATGGGCTGTTCCATGGAAATGGGATTTATGCTGTGTCCCCAATCGCCGTTCTCACCGACAGCTTGTATACAATTGATTGGAACCGAGAGAACTTGCTGAGCCAATGGGAATCGCACGCCTCGAGCCACACAATCATCGCATTCATAGGTTCTTTCGAAAATAACCTCCCGCAGAAAGGGATGATATATTTCAACGATGGATCCTATGCAGAGGTGATTCGAGATGGAAACAGCCTTGTAGGCGACACAATTAGAAATCATTCAAAATGTTTTCGTATCATGAGCAAGTTCGAGATTACAGATTGGAATTTGAGATTCTTAGGACCAATTAACCATTATACACGAGCCAGTGATTCAAAACAATATCATACCTTGCGAAAGGGATATTTTGATGAGAAAACTAAGGCAATCAGCGAATATGTGTTGGAAGTGGATTTAATGAATCTATCCAACAAGGATATAAAGCATTATGAAGTGATTCTCGACTCCAAGTCATGGATGTGGCATTTTGGGAAGCAGCTGGAGATAAATGAAACAGATGAAGGATATGTATATGCACTCAATCTGGTAAAGTATTCTTCCTTGTTCTATCAAAGTAATTTCCACGGTTATTTCTGGATTCTCATTCTGCACTTCGATGCTGCGTCTTATCGTAGTGATTGTGTTTTTCTCGTTTGTCTCTTTGTTTTTCACTCTTGTGACAATTGCTCCAGAAGCAAGGAGACATGATGTCGGTTTTGGTTCAAGTGGTAATTCGAAGATTGTTTCCGTGAATTCCTCCTTTGTTTCAGAGGGTACGGTTACTGTAACACCTTACCAAAAACTCGCTTCCTTTGCGCTTCGTTTATTTCTCAAATTGGCTCCGGATATTCGCTTACCAATATATGAGGACGATACAGACTATATTGAAATGTTTACACGTTTGTATAAGAGTGAACATAGCGTATTGTTTCAATGAATAGATTATACCGACAATCAGGGGAAGCATATTGTCACGCTGGCAGATTTAGTTCCTAAGGTTGCCATCAATCGAGTTGTGATGCTGACTTTCACTGATTCGAGCTATCTTGAATCATTCTATGCATCGTATGTTGTAAGCAAACTCGACCAATACAGTAATTTCATCGTGGTAGCTGTGGATATGAACGCTTATATCGTATCACATTTGGGTTTCTGAACGACTAGACTCTATCTAAGCAAGGTTACCCAGTCGCCTATTTCGAATCGCTTCTTCCAGAGAACCTCACCTGTTCGGAATCTTCTTTCGGCTCCAACCAATTCCACCTCAAAATGGCCAACAAAATGCAGATCATTCGGCAAGTGATTCTGCTCGACCATAGCGTTCTTCTCTTCGATTCGGACGTCGTTCTCTTTCGGGACCCCATTCCCACCATTCTAGCTTATCAAAACTACGACCTCATCGCTCAGAAAGACGAAGGCATCTGCGCAGGGTTTATGTAGGCTCTCGTTCTCTCTCGCACGCAGATTCTTCCGCCCCACTCTACAATCATTACAATTCATCGATCTCGTCTTGCAATATCAGCAGCGCTGGGTGATGAGCGACCAGCCTGTGATGGAGATCCTTCGTCAAATGCACGTGAGGCCTTCTCTGCGATGGACCTTGCTTCCGCAGAACACATTTAGTAGTGGCTCTGTGTTTTTTGAATCGCATCAGTTTTACTGGGACGCAATTGGTAGAGACAAATAAGAAAATCGATGAGTAGATGCGAACCAGGTGATCATGCACAACAATTATGTAATCGGGTATACCAACAAGATTTACAGGCTAAAGGAGATGAAAATGTACCCACTAGACGTGAACGGCGAGTATTCTTCCAACACTGCGCGCTATTTGGTGCTTGACTCTGTTTCTTGTGGGTTTGCGAACCCCATCTGATTTAGATAATTCGAGGAGTAAGGCGCTTGCTCTCGCTGTTGAAATTGCAAACCGGATGAATTGTTCGCTGGTACTCCCCAGATTCCCTTGCGACAAGAAATATCGTCTGGAGTGGTGCAATCTGTGTGGTAGCGACGATACGTATTGCTACGCGCGTATTATGAAGACTGCCAAGCTCCCCTGGAAGGAACATGTGCCTGCTTCTGCGAATGCTCAGAGATAGGTATTTTTTGAGAATCCGAAGGTTCCGGAACGCTACAGAGAGGCGGCTAGGAGGGTTCGTCCTCTCGAGTTCAACTCCAAGTCCTTTTGCAACAAGCCAGGACTGAATGGTCAGCCCGTTCTAGTAGTGTTTTGGCGATCGATTTAGAGTAGTGTGTGCCTCTCCCTGAAAATAGGCAGGTGGTGGAAGGTGTGGCGAATGTACTGGAAGCAATGGACTACTCCCCTGTAATTCGTATACATAGTGTCGACAGTTTGGTTTAGAATTTGTTTGTTCGCAAAAGGAACAAAAAAGAATAGGGACAGATTCCCCTAGAAATGAATAGAGAATCTTGGTACAAAACTAGAATTGGGACGCGGTCCAAAAGTATATGGCTTGAGGGATTGAATTCATTATTTATTTATTCACTCATATTTCACACGAACATGTCTATTTGGAACGTATGATGTGTCTCCTGGGGTCTAAAGTCTAGGACGTCCCTCTTGGTCCTCCTGATGCTATTTTCAAGGTTAGCACTGGTTATCAGAACGACACTGACCCGCGTAAGGTGAATCTCGGTAGGAAGCTGTGTGGTGGAGAGCTAACGTCCAGGCGTTGGTGCTTATCGTACTGATGAGGGTAAGCCCTATTACTTCCCTGTGGTGCGTAAGGCCGAGGAGCGTATTCTTGCCGACAAGTCCGGAAACAAGGAGTACCTTCCTATCGACGGTCTGCCCCAATTCCGTGATCTTGCCTCCAAGTTCCTGTTGGGCGAGACGCATCCTGCCATCGTGGAGAAGCGTGTCTGCACTGTGCAGTCCCTCTCCGGCACGGGAGCTCTGCGTCTGGGAGCTGAGTTCCTGAAGAAGTACATGAGCGGCCGCAAGGTGTATCTTCCGGACCCGACCTGGGGCAACCACAACGCCATCTTCACCGAAACTGGTTTCGAAGTGGTGAAATACCGCTGGTACGAGGCGGCGACCTGTGCTCTGGACTTCGCGGGACTGAAGGAGGATCTCTCGAACGCGCCGGAAGGCTCGATCGTGCTGTTCCACACCTGCGCCCACAACCCCACGGGCGTGGATCCCACGCAGGAGCAGTGGCAGGCTCTGGCGGAGCTGTGCCAGTCCCGCAAGCTGGTCCCGTTCTTCGACACGGCGTACCAGGGCTTCGCTTCGGGCGACCTGGTGCGTGACGGCTACTCGGTGAGACTGTTCGCCGAGCGCGGAATGGAGATGCTGGCGGCGCAGAGCTTCGCGAAGAACATGGGTCTGTACGGCGAGCGAATTGGATCGATCAATCTGATCTGCCACGATGCGGAGACGGCGACGCGCGTGCAGAGCCAGATGAAGATTATCGTGCGAAAGATGTACTCGAACCCTCCGATGCACGGAGCCAAGATCGTGGCTACGATTCTGGGCGATAAGGAGCTCTTCGCGGAGTGGGAGAAGGAGCTGAAGGAGATCGTGGGCCGCATTCTGCTGATGCGGAAGAGCCTGCACGAGGCTCTGCTGGAGAACGGATGCCCGGGAACCTGGGATCATATCACCAAGCAGATCGGAATGTTCAGCTTCACTGGATTGGATCCCGATCAGAGCGATCGGATGGTGAACTTGCACCATATCTACATGCTGCGTACTGGCCGTATCTCGCTGGCGGGACTCACCAGCGGAAGCGTGAAGTACGTGGCCGACTGCATCAAGGAGGTGGTCGAGTGGAAGCTCAATGGAAAGCAGTAAATGAGTGGTAACTGCATAGTTGTTTTTGTGAAGGCGTGTTTGTGAACATACACACAATAGAAGAAGAAGCATTTGAAAGGTTTATGATGAACATCGGGAAGGGTTGCGATGTCTAGTAGAAATCGTTGTCGGATTCGGACTCGCAGGTGGGTTCAGGGAGAGGCGCGGGGTTCTCGGGTCGCTTCACCGACTTCACTTCAGGGAAGAGATCCTCGTTGAAAGCGGGCTGCGCTTCTTGTTTCGGCGTGAAATCGGAGAAGAGCAGCTCGGGAATGTCCTGGAAGAGATTAATCTTGCTCTGCAGCTCGTCGATCACATCCAGAACCTCCTTCCCGAACATTCCGCCCTTGCCAGCATTGCCAGCATTGCCAGCATTGCCAGCATTGCCAGCATTGCCAGCATTGCTCGAAATCGCTCCAAGTCCTCCCTTCACTCCCATCTCGCGCTTCTACAATCAACGCCACACGACAACGCAACGGGGATCGACGCATCGCGCAGCGTCTGCGTGAGTTCGGTCATCATCACGTCCGTCAAGCAGTTCGTCGCCTCCGCGCAGCGAATCAGCACCACTACGCCTCACTCCCCTCTCCCTCATCCCACGGAGCAACTCGAACGTGCGCTGGAAAAGCTCGTCGCGGCGCAGCCACGGACCCAGCCAGAACTGCCCCAGTCGCTTCACGAGCTGCAGCGCGAAGCTCTACGCCTCACTCCTCTTCTAAGCGTCCACTTCATGCAGAATAAAACTCAGCGACACGCTCTGGATCCAGCCCCAGTCCTCCTCGAGATAGCAGCGATCCCAGACAGCGATGATCTGAAGGAAGTCGTCGATGATCGCGAACCCCGGCGCGTCTGCAGAGCGCAGAAGCGGTAGCTGCGTGAAAATCGAGCTGTAAAGCAGCTGCCGCATTTCGTTTTCCGCTACGTGCCCCATTAAATCCTGTCGAACCAGGCGAATCGTGTCCTCGTCCGCTCCGTTTCCGCTCACGAGCAACTCCTGGAAGAGAAGACTGAACAGCTCCTGATGCTGCTTCGAGCTCGACGCCGTCGGCTCCTTGGACAGCAAATCGGCGGGAGAGAAGGACGCCGATCCCTCCAGCGTCCCCAGAATCTCCGGGAAGTGACTGGAAAGCGAGAGCAGCTGGGAGTACTGAAAGAGCACGAACTCCATCTTCCCGTCGTCGATCGGAGGCGTGCGTCGCTCCAGTAGAAACAGGATTCGCTGCACGATCGCGCGGAGCAGCTGTGCGCGGAACGCCGGCGTCTCGAACGCGAGGGCGACCAGCAGAAGCATCGCATCGAACGTTTTCTGCGCTAGCGAGCTGTCCACGGCGATCGACTTCACTTCCTTCTCCTTTTCCCTCTCCTTTTCCTTCTCGCGCTGCAGCTCGCCTTGCAGCTCGTTCTCTTGGCTCTGCCGCTTCAGCAGGACTTCGCGCCACTTGGCGTAAAGCTCCTGCGCGCGGAGCGCCAGCGGAGAGTTCTTTCCGTTGTAGGTGGTCGCGTTGGCGACGATGGTGTTCAAATCCTGCAGAATGTCGTTGATCGACGTGTATGTGAGGCAGCGATCGCGCATCGTCTTCAGGTCCATCGGGTGGGCGATGATCGAGCTGTAATTGGGCGCAATGGCGTCCGTGACGGGGTACGAGAAGTCGTAAGTGGTATCCAGCTTGATCATTTGGTCGATGCAGTTCTGATACAGCGAGACCAGCTTCTTGCGAACCCTTTCGACGGGAGAAATGGAGGGCTGCGATGATGGAGTAGAAGCAGAAGCAGGAGCAGAAACAGGAGCAGGAGCAGAAGCAGAAGCAGAAGCAGAAGCAGGAGCTGGCTTACTAGCTTTAGCGAGATCGTAAACACGCGAAAGAACTGTGAAGAGCCGGTAGAATATGTTTGACTTCTCTCCGTCTGGCCGCTTCTGCAAGAGGGAAGGGTCAACATCAATGGTTCGATCGTTTGCGTTGATCGCTTTGAGATCCAAAAACAACAAATGGATTTCGTTCTTCAGATTCAACTTTTCGTTTGACTGGCGGGGAAGTTTGGAAAGCAAGATGTCGCTATTGGAAGAGATGAAGTCGAATAGCATTTTGAAATAAAAGAAGCGAGTTTCGGAGGAGAGAGTCGAGGCATTGTCAATGAGCAGGTGGAGGAAAGAAAAGAATAGGTTGTTTCGCAGATACTCGTCATTTGCTGTCATTTGCAAAAACGGCGTCAACGAAGGAAGAGGACTAGTGAATAACGCGGACTATCAGAGATTACCCGGTGGAAAAGAACAAGGGAGCAATCTTTGCAGAGTTTGACAACTTGTATTTGTTAAAAACACTCGTTTCCACAGATATTCCCGAAGGCTGGGAAGCGAACAAATTCTTAAGGTCTGCTTGGAAGTAGTCGTTCCTCTTTTTATATATTTTGGCTTTGATGGAAGGAATCAAAAATGACTCGTAAGAGGGGTTGTGTAGGAGAATATCCATAATAGATTCAGGAATATCGTCCTCATTCCCCAGCAAATAAGTTACAATCGGCGAATAGTCCTTTAACACAGAATAAGGGAACAGATATTCTAGAAGTCGCTGTCTCTTTGCAGAGGACGCATTTTTGATTTTATTGTTTAATTGCAGCTTCAAAGCAGTCAAGATATGCGAAATTAGTGTAGACGGCTCAATGCCGAGGGCTGTTGCAAGTTCCGGAATATCCTGCAAACGGTTATCGATATCGACAAGAGAATATCGCTCTTTTGGATGAGTGCTAGTCATAAAACCACTTGCTCAACAAAACGTTGTATCGAAGTCCATTATAGGCTCTATTCTATCGTTCCGTTCTATCCTAACTGCTTTTTGCGAAGGACAAAAACCTTGTGTGAATCAAAACAGCTGCCAATTGGGGAATTCCAAAAGTCTAATAAGGTCTGAAATCCGTAACAAAAATGCAATTCGTGTATTTGGATATTGATCTTGAAGGTTTCTATTACATATATACGAATAACAAGCAGAAAACTCGAAGGAGAGCCAAGTACTGTTGTATAAGGCCGATCCTTCCATGTCACCCATCTTATTGTGGGAGAAAGTAGTTCGCAAAAGCAGGTATATCGATAGTTCTATTATTGTTTGCCGAACGATGGATTGCGAGCATTACCGCTCTCTGATTGCTTCAGAACACATCAATACTCTGAATGTGATTGCTCTTTCTGAAATTGAGGAGCCGGACCACCGTTTTAAAAAGTGGGGTTTGTGTTTTTTTTAAACATGCAGCAAATTGCAGGTCGTGAATCGCCTTCGCAACCTGAAGATTATTACCTCTGACACGATTGCCCTTTGCTATGATACTTGCATCCCTGTCCGAGGATTGAATCTGGATGTCGCAGTGGACTATTTCCTTTACAAGAAAGCGAAGGGAGTGTTTTTGTACAGTTATGACTCTCTTTCTGAGTATGATTAGTTCTTGTAAGGTTCCCTCTAGATTAACTGAGATCACGCCGAACACCAAGCGTTCCGTGGCTCCTTTTCTCGTCCTCGACACTAATTATCTCGAAACGGCCACTCACGTACCAATGTTTCTGCGTCGTTCACCTTCAGTCCGCCTACACGTTCATCAACCTTTTCACGAGCTCTATTTTTGGTATGTGGATCCGTTTCCTCCCTCTCTGCATCCGCACCGACTCCTCTCTCGAGAAAGGCATTTCCATTTACTCCAACGAAAGCCGCGTTCTGGACTCCACGCCTCGCTCTGTCGAGGGCGTTTGCCAGAGCCGCATCGGCCTCATCGGCAATCCATCGGACGGCTATTTCGGTCAGACCATCAGCATCACGCTGGACAATTTCGCCACCAAAGTCGTTCTGCTGCAATCCGACCGCCTCACCATCGTTCCTCACCCCGTGTACGCCGCATTGCTTCGTCGTTAGACATAGCAGCGACCCGGTGAATTTCCAGGATATCCGCGGGTTGCACTTATTGCTCCAGAAGAACGGTTACTCTGTGAGAGTCGAGGAGTTCTGTGATGTAGGGAGGGATTCGCCTGCTCTACGCGTCGCTCAACAGCTTCTACAAGTACATCATGCAGCAGGGAATCTACATCAACATGCAGCCCTTCGTTATCTCGTACGACACCACAATCCCGCGGGAAGTGGGGCTCAGCGGATCGTCGTCGATCATCATCGCCACGCTGCGCGCCTTGATGAAGTTCTACGCGATTCCCGTGGTTCTTCGGAGCGTCTCTCATCGATAGACGCTGCTCTTCCCGCCGCTGGAGCAGATTAAGTGGGCTCTAAACGTGGAAACCGAGGAATTGGGGATCACCGCGGGTCTTCAGGACCGTGTGGTTCAGGTGTTGGAGGGCTGCATCCAAATGAACTTCGACAAGGATTCGATCGAGAAGACGGGGAATGGGATCTACAGCCGTGTGGATGTGCGCTTGCTGCCGCCGTTGTTTATGGCATACAGCGCGTTCCCCGAAGAAATATCCACTTTTTTGTTGAAAAACACACCTTAACGACACTCGGGAGCGATCCATTCGGATGTGAAGCAGCGATGGAAGCTGGGCGACCAGCGGATTCGGAAGCTGATGGATCAATATCCTTGGGAGATGGGAGATGGGAGAGGCGACTTAACGGCACGATCGCAGCGCTTCCGGCGGAGTTTTTGGAGAGTTTGGAGAGCCGAAATGAGAAGAAAATGATGGATTGTGTGAATCGGAACTTTGATTTGCGTCGTGAGATTTGGGGAGATGAGGCACTGGGTGGAGAAAATGGAGCCAACCTGCAGATGATTCGCGTAGCGGAAGGGGTGTGTTGAGATGTAGATCGCGAGAAAGTATGGAATGGCTGCGAAGTTTTGCGGGTCGGGTGGTGCGATTGTGATCGTACCTGGATTCTCGTATAAGGAAGATGTGATGGAGGCGTTGGAGAAGGAAATGAAGGATAATGGTTTTGTGATGGTGAAAGTTCATGTGCATGAACCGAATTGGATTGTTTGTTGGATAAGAGTGAGACATTGGTGGAGTTCTGTGGAATGATTTTGATAAATGATTTCCATTTTTTTATATAATGAATAAATTGTTGCCCATTTTCAGAGTTAGCAATCCATCGATTTTGAATATCTTTACTGATTCAAAACAAGTATTATTTGTTTTAAATGATTGGAATCATTTGGAATATTAGAATATTACTACGTATTTTCTATCATAGTTCGTTTGTGATTTGCAATACTGATATGATATTGATTAGGCAATTGGTATATCTTTGTTATCTACATTATTATGCAACAGATCATGAGGCATTCTGTGGCTCTTTTTTAACAATAATCGCACATATTGCTTTTATTTTGGAAAAGAAATGAATGATATTTGCCTTCCACCATTAGAATCTATTCAACTCGGTCACAGTGCACGTGATGGAAGAGCTATGATTCGTGTTCATTGGTAATACGAATAGAATATAAAATGATTGAATCTGGTAACTACAAACCTGATAAGATTCATAACTGAAAAGTAGATATAACAATAAACCTTGTTTGCCACAATCTCATATTCTTTCTTTCATTGTGAAATAAAAGTCCAATATATACTTCTCATTATTCAATAATAAACATCTGCTTAAACTTCCCAATTCACCAATCATACTTTCAATATCCAGCCAATTTCTTTCTTCTTTGTCCACTGTTATTCTCACCATCACTATCGCCTTCTCCCACACCGGTATCCAACAAACAAGACAACATTGCACATACATTCCCTTCACTCGTTTATCATCCATCTGCACGCCCTCCTGTCCGCTCCTTCCCTCCTCCATCTGGCACAAATGGAACGTCACCGCTTTCCCCTCCTCCTTTAGCGCCATTTCATCGGGCTTCACATCCAACGCCAGCGTCGACGGCATCGGAACCGAGCTTCCCACATCGATGCCTCCCTGGTCTATCACTCCGATGGGTCCGTCCACCGTCGACGGAGCCACCGACGGCGTGGAGAGAAGCGAATTCTGCGGCTGCGAGAGGATCTGCGACATGGGAATCTGCACCATGGAGGGAAGATTGCTGCTCATCGGCTGCAGAATGGAGATCTGCGGGATCAACATCGATGACGTGGAGCTCTGGGAGATGTATTGCGGATCGAACATTTCGTTCATCATCGGCGCGGCAAGCTGGCTTTCCTCCATGGGACGGCGTCGCTTTCCTCGAGAATGGTGCACGGGAGCGACGGAATGCATCATGTCCTGCATTTTGATGTCATCGACGAAGGGAGAATCGTTTTGAGAGTCTGGAAGAAGAGAACTGTTCGCTGGATGTCAGAGAAGAGGGGAAAACAAACTGTTCTTGATGTCCTCGAAGTAGACATCCGGGGCGAACTTGGTGAAGAGGTTCTTGTTTCGCTGGTACATCGTGAGGACTTTGCGAATAAACTCCAGATAGACTTCTTTCTTGTCGCTTATGTAGGGTTGGTGATACAGCGTGTCTGCAAACGCACTCATCGTGGGGAGCATCGGCTAAATGTCAGACGTTTGGGGAAAAAAGCGTACGTTACGCTCGGTCTCCTTCTTCAATTCGCCCTGCGTGTCGTGCATGAGCATGTAGTCGATACACCTACACACAATTCGGATATCAGAGGATTTCATATTTTGCTCACTCATAAATCTGCATTTCACAGAACAATCAAACAAATTACTTATTGTAATTGATAGCAATGAACTCACTAGCCAAACGCTTTAACTCTGGCTTTTTGTTGAACTCATCGCCGATATATTTATATAGTTTACGTAGTTTCTTGCGCATTGTGGAGTACCAATGGTTTTTAACTGCATTATCTGTCCTTCAATTTAGATGAATAGCACGTCTTTACCTTCCATTTAACTGTTTAGCAATTTCCGCCCATTTGTTTCCGAGTTGCTTTTGTAAATTACTAATGGTTTGCTCTTCCTCTGGAGTCCATTCTCCTCGATTTACAGAAGGATCCAATTTATTCAACCAGCGATTTCGACACTGCTTTGTAGTTCGCTTTGTACCGACCTTTTCTTGCAGGGACATCGATATGGCGGACCAGTGGCCGACACCATGTTGCTCAATACAGCACTTAAGTGCCTTATCCTCTTCGTCGTTCCAGCACTTGCGAACTTTCCCTTCTGAGTTCAATTTGACCTGCGGATCCATTTTAAATTCCATGTAACGCCCGGAGTTATTTTTTTTAGGTGAAACTCTTAGAAACGCTTGGTGTTAGCTCTGGAGTTGTCCCGATTCCGAATTCAGTAACAGAAGATTCCTAATCACCAATAAATATATTATGGGCCATTTCATATTCGGGTCATCAATCGTTTCGATTGCAAGTTGTTTTCTTACAAACAGCCAAACGAATTAACCAAAACAAATTGAATAATAACAGAACGCGAGTGGGAGGGGTACGAATCGAGCACAAGGGAAAATAGAGAACACCAGCAAAAGCAGAACCACTGAAAGAATAATACATTGAATAGGCTTATTCACAAAATCCCATTTAGTACTGCTGCAAATTAAAAATCTCGTCAATTAGATCTGCGCTCGAATAATCATTCAACTCATTCTGCTTCTCCAGCAGCACAGAGTACGTCTTCTACGCCTCACCTCTCTCTCCCTCTCCCCTACTGCAAAGCACTGCAAAATAATCTGGCTGGTATGCGGAGTGATCACATGGGCAACATCGTAATCATCCTCGAACGGGTCTTCGATGCACAGCTGCATCTGCATCTTCCACAGACAGCGCCAGCACTTCTCCTCGCGGTCGAGGAAGCCCCTCTGTCGCACAGACACCACGGCGTGGTAGTAATCGAACTCGAACGCGTAGAAATAAAAAAACTTCAGCAGCAGCTCGCCCACCGTCATCGTGTTCTGCTTCGCGTACCGGCACAGCAGGTCCAGGTGCTTCGGGCAGTAGAAATAGGTGTCGTACACGGACTGCTGGTAGCTCTTGATGGGGATCTGCGGCCGACGCGTGTTCCGCGGGACTGGGCCGCCATCCCAGTCGGGCGGGAGTTCCTGGGGGTGAGGGGCGGGAAAGAAAAAAAAACTTGGAGGATGGGGAGGAGGGGCGGGCTGACGGCGCTCTGCAGGAAGTGGATGAGCATGAGGATGTATCCGTAGGAGCTGAGCGTCTTGTGCGCGGGGTTGTTGATGTAGTTGGTCTTCGCCCTGCAGTGAATCGAACGCTGAAAGCGAACCATTTTTTGATGATGAGCCCGAGAATGCGGACGCGCGGATCGATGGAGGAGTAGGTTTTGAGGAGGAGCGTGTTGCGGATGGGGAGGATGTTGTTGAAGCAGAGGTCGCACTGGAGCTGGGAGGTGGGATCCACGAAGCGAATGACCGGGATTCGCGCGCGGAGGCGCGAGTTGTCGATCTCTTGAAGCTGCATTTCCTCGAGAATGGAGATAATGGAGTCTGTGATGTCAGGAATCATCTCGTACGTGATCGACGGATCCACGAAACAGAGATCCACGTCGCTGCCCTCCGTGCCGAACCCGTTATTGCTCGAGCCGTAAATGTAAATCAGCGAGCGGCGGAACTGATCGTGGCGGTGGAATCCGTCGATCAAACGAGCGATGAGCTGCTCTCTACGCATCAGCCGGGTGTTTTATTTGGACCGAGTCTGGTAGAACGCGCTGGTAGGGAGCAGTTCTTTCGACGCCAGGACCGCTTGGCGCGTCAGTTCGTTGGTGAAGGCTTGGGAGAAGGGAGTGAAGCCGGTGATCGGGGTAATGGTGTGATCGTTGAGCATGTGTTTCTCCATTTGGCCGTCTTGGAGGGCGAAGAGACTGCAGATATTGCAGTAGTGAGCCATGAGGCGAGCGATTTCCGCGTTGCACGCGGGGCTCAAGCGACTTTGCAGCTGGGGCGTTCGGATGATCATCTTCACGAGGTAGTGCAGGTTGTTCATCGCCACTTGGGAGTACTCGTTGGGCACTTGATCCTTCAGCAGCGGAGCGATCATCACGTGCAGAATGTGCTCCAGCACTTCCGGACGCTTCCAGCCGTTCAGATCGACCGTGTACTGGATCGTCGACGTCAGACTGCTGATGTTGAATCCGAGCAGAGACAGGTCCTCCACTTTCTGGTCCACGAAGTTGAAGGCATCGTCGAGATCGCTGCCTCGGATCGTCACCATCACTTCGTTGCTGTCCAGTGCGGAGATATCGTCGTTGTTGCGGAAATAGCGGAACGCGTACGATCCCGCGTGTTTCGGCGCGTAGAACTGGCATGTGAACTTTCGGAACCGCGTGTTGTTTCCGCTTCCAGCCCCGGCTCCCGCCTTGGATTCGTTTCCAGAGCCGTACAGGCGCTGGTAGTGCATCCGGCTGAGCTGGCGCAGCGCGATGACTTTCCGCGCCTGCTGGCGGTGCGCGTTGAAGAGTCCGACCCAGTCCTTCATGGAGTAGGAGCCCTCGGGGAGCAGCAGCGTGACGTTGATCTCTTCGCTGGGGTGTGTGATGGAGGGGCTCGCCTAGATGAGTGAGAGAGAAGCGAGGGAAACCGAGATCGACATGAGGATCGGAACCACTTTCAGGCCGTTCGAGCCGTCCGCGGGGCGCGAGGGCTCGGCGGGCAGCTTCGCTAGAGGCTCGCGGGCGTCGGCGAGGACGGGCGGTTGGGGAAGCGGCTGCATGGGTCGGGCGCCTTGGGCGACGACCTGGGACATGAGCGGGGAAAGCGGTTGCATGGGCCTGGCTCCCTGAGCGACGACCTGCGGAATGGACAGGGGAAGCGGCTGCGGTCGAGCAGGAAGCTGAGGCTGAGGCTGAGGTTGAGGTTGAGGCTGAGGTTGAGTCATTGGCTGAGGTTGAGGCTGAGGCTGAGGTTGAGGCTGAGTCATTGGCTGAGCCAATGGCTGAGGTTGAAGCTGAGGCTGAGCCATTGGCTGAGGCTGAGGAATGGGCAGGGGAAGCGGCTGAGGTTGAGGTTGAGCAATTGGCTGAGGCTGAACAACAGATTGGGGTTGAACAACAGATTGGGATTGAACAACAGATTGGGATTGAGCAATTGACTGGGGCTGAGCAACTGGCTGAGGGATGGATGGAATGGTGGGCTTCAAAGGTTCTGCAGACTCGAGGGGCTTGGATTCTTTGATTTCTTTGGGTTGGGGTTTGGGCGGCTCAATAGGCTTGGATTCCTTTTGTGGCCCCTTCGGCTCGATTGACTGCTTTTGCTTCTCCTTCTGCTGTTCCTTCTGTTGCTCTTTCTGCTGCTCCCTTTGCTGCTCCCTTGCTGGCTTCGCTGACTTCGCTGATTCTTTCGCTTTCATCGCTTCCTTTGACTTTGGCGGCTCTCTCGCTCTCACCGACTCCTTCGCCGGTTTCGCCGGTTTCACTGGCTGCTCTGCCGTCGTTTCCTGAGCATTCGACGGCTTCGGAGCGACTGCCGCTTCGTTTTTGGCGGCTCGCTGGCTCTCTGAAGACTTTGGAAGCGTCGAAGCCTTGCTCGATTTCTTTGGAAGCGGCTGAGAAGGTTGAGACGACTTCGGCGATTGCACGGAGGGAGCGGACTTCCCCGCCTTTTCGGGCTTTGCCGACTTGGGAGCGGAGGAAGCCATTCTTCTACCTCCTGAAGGATGGGATCGCTCGGGATTTGTGGGCAATGCGGTTGTGTCGACTGGATTTGCTGGAGGATTCGAGGGCTGTGCAGCTGCAGAATTAGCAGGTGGCAAATCCGTTGGCTTCGCTTGGGGCTCAATCGATTTTTCTGGTACAGTTGCTTGTTCGCTTACATAAGGAACAGCACGGTTGTGACCAAGAGAATGCTTTTGTCTATATACATGATGTGGATTTCGAGGAGGTTGTTTTGAAAATGCATCTCCTAAAAGTAACACACAACCACAGAGAATACGCTCATTTCTTCTTCCTTGGTTGTGGCTCATAGTGGAATAATGCTCCGAATGTTGATTCTCTCCGCTATTGTCATTACTTACACTAGAAAACAGGTCATCAACGCTGACCTCTGTAGGAACCAATATCTCTTCTAAAAATAAAATCTCGTGACAAGCATAACCCTCTTTCACACGTCTTGGAATTCTCCTATTTTCATAATGCCGTTTTTCATCTCTATATTCTTGTTCACTAGGAGTATCGACCATCTAGACTTGATTATGCTTTAGAGTTCAAAACATGTAAAAACTTGCATGCTCGTCCCTTGGAGCATTTTCCAGTGAACATCATCTCCTGACAAATCTGATTGCTCATTTTGGAGGAAATCATACCAAATGAAAAAAAGAATCGATTTTCGGAATATACAAAATGGGTAACTTTTCCAGATTCTATCAATGTCTTCGAATCGTTATGGAACTGAGATATATTTAAATGTAAAAATCCGGATAAAGTGTTTTCATAGGTTTATGACTTGCATGAATACAATGACTATTTTTATAGTAATATCTATTTTTCTTGTGTAATATATAGATATTGGACTAGGCTTGTTTCATTCAGGAGTCGAAATTAATGGTTTCTATTATTTTTCCTTATTTTAAGTAGGTGTCGAATACAGCTTTGCTCAAGATGCTGGAATCGTTGAGGGTACACCAAAGCAAGTCATGGGAGCAAAGTTTCGAGAGAGCATCACCCTTGGAACCACCTATATGAGTAGTGCTGATATCACTCGGACTATTGATGTCCTGCGTGCTAATTATCGTGGTGATACATACAATATGATAACAAAGTAAACGTTACGATAACTGAACTGATTATTCTAGGAACTGTAACAATTTCTCAAATGATCTGTCAAAAGCTATTCTCGGTGTTCCTATCCCGTCGTACATAAACCGCAGTGCTTATATCGCTTCTTGGTTCTCCTGCTTCTTTCCGAGCCAACCTACAGAACCAACGCCAGTCCGTTTCTCTGGTCAGGGACATACAACAGCGAGCTCGAATTCTGAACCGAGGCCTAGTTCAAACACTGGAAATAGAACTGGATCTGCAACCATTCCATCAGAGGATCAACGTGAGTATCAAAGAAGAATGCGCTTAAAAGCCTTACAGCATAGTAGTTTTCTTGTTTCTTACAAACAATTTAATTGCTCACTTTCGACTTCTTTGCTTCCGAATCTTTGGGCTGTTCACTTTTACTTCGTTTTAACGCGTTTTCTTCGTTCTCTGTTTCTTTAATAATATCATTCAGCTCATCTTCCAAGATACTTACGCGCGGGGAAAGCTCTCCTCGCGCTTCTAGAACATGTCGCTTGTCCAAGTGAGGCAAGCTTATATCCAGAGCGATCTCATCCTCCAAAAGCATTTCCACAAACTCATCCATATGAATGATGCTCCATCCTGTAGGAGTGAGTAATCGTAACTTCCGATAATCATTATAGTAGGGCTCCAAGTGCTTGTAGATTTCCAAAGAGGTACCTACTAATCTTAAGTAAAAGAGGCCCACGGCTGTGATATATCTATTTCGTTATTACATTGCTTTACAGGTACTTGTAATCATCGTTGTCAATAAAAGAATAGACTATTTCTTTGTCAGGTCCGATTTGAAGTAATTTTAGAACCAAGCAGATAAAAGGAGTGGGACGAAACACGCCACTGTATGCTCCTCCGATATGGTCCAGCTCTATCATACGATCGAGAATGGTCACGGCTGAAAGTCCAAAACAACGTTCTTTCCAATAGTCGCAGTCGTATATTTTCATTCGCGTAATTTTTTCAATCTTTCGGTCATCTCATCCAAAACACCTCCTACCACATTTTGCGGATTCTGCCCACGAACTTTATCTGCCTCAGATGCAGTTCTGTTCGACATTCCCCACAGAATAATGAATAAAACAAACAATGATTCAACCCTCTTTAATGACGCCACTTTCTCAGAAGCATCGCAGCCACAGCCCCCGCTCCAATCATCACAGTCCAGAAGATGGCATTGGAGACATCGCCGTCATCCTCCTCCTCTTCCTGGCTCTCGGCCCCCATTCCGGGAATTCCTCCCATTCCTCCCAGTCCTCCCAGTCCAGGCATTCCCATTCCCGCGCCAGAAGAAGGCTTCGGAGCAGCGCTAGCAGAAGGCTTCGGAGCCGCAGCCGCAGCCTCGGCCGCAGCCGCAGGCGTAGAGGCCATTCCCAGTCCCGCAGAGCCGGCTTTGCCCAGCTGCCCCATGCCTCCCAGAGAGGAAGAAGCGGTCGAAGCGGTCGAAGCGGTCGAAGCAGCCTGCGATTTGGTCGCCTCTACAGATGACTCAGCCACGCGGAAGGTACGGAGCTGCGTGTCCAGCACGTTCTGGAGCAGACCGTGAAGCAGCTCGCTCTCCGGATTGCTCGCCAAACCCGACTGAATGACCTGCGCGGCACTGCTCAGCTGCTGCTGCTGGATTAGCTGCTGAGCCAAGCAGAAGATGGTCATCTCGTGACTACTTTATAGAGCAGGATTCGATTATACGTTGGATGCAACTCGTACATAAACTGGGCGATTTGGGAGCAAGTCTTCTCGTCCTAGAATCACATCGAATCCGAGACAAGAGTACCTTTAACATCACAGAAGAGAGGTACATGTAAAAGTACGAAGATACAATCATTTCGGAGATCTATGCACGTTAGACTCTTCACAAACAACTACGATTTCCTCGTAGCCCTCCGTCTTACCGTCCAAAGCAAACTTGATAGCCTGGTTGAAAACAGCCATTGCCTGGCTTTGATGATGCTGAGCAAAGAGCTCTTGACCCAACTAGTCATTAAAGGGAAGAAGAAGAGAAGCATTACACTATTACACCAAATACACTTCAAAAGAGCAGCAACGCTAGAAGTTTCATCCACTTCAGCCTTCTCGAGAGAATCAATACTAAAGTTGCCATTAACCATCATGCTCTTCTTCGTTTCACTTCCCCTTCAGGTGAAAAATTAAAATATGCTATTATACTCCGTCAGCATGATAACCATTACGCTATTATCATCAACAGGCGAAGTAATGAGTCCAAGACCACAGGGAGTCATTACAAACTTCCCCACATCATACCATTTCTCCTTAGATTCCTCCGAAGCTTCTTCCTTTCCAGACTCCGCAGTGTTACTCGTTTCTGGCTCAGAAGTGTTCGTCGGAGCAGGAGCAGCCACTTCAATTGGCTCAGAAGTGTTCGTCTGCGCAGGAACAGCCACTTCAGGAGCTAATCCTAAGGAAAGTACACGAATCCTACCATTCACTTCCTCCTGGCTTACAACAGTCACCTGCGGGCTTTCGGTTTGGGGAGCACTCGTTGCTTCGGTATTTTCCATACTGTGAGTAAATATTTGAGGGAATGAGAACAAACAGAGTTATCAGAACTATAGCGACGCTACCTTTCTCACTCGCTGCAGGAGGGAGCCATACTGAGGGTGACTACGTATTTTTTCCACAATCACCTCCAATTCCTTGTCATCAATTGCGCCCAAATCATAGGAAAGCTTTCCCTCTGACGCAGTATCTCCCAAATCAGAGATATTTTCTGGAACCATCGGAAGCTGAGCGTTGGGAGCTGGAAAAACGGAGGGAAGCGTGGTGCCATTCGGCAAAGTGACTCGAAACTGAAAGAGCCTTAGAATCGACACGCAGTCTAACGCCTCGGCAGCAGTATGGAAGGTCACAACGAATAAAGTGCGATCCTAATGCGAAATGAACACCGAAACGAACCTTTTCATTGAAAAATCCTAGTTTTTTCTGAGAGATACCCAGCTCGATATGCCACGCTAGGCGGTTATTATCTACGGTCTATCTATCCTATTTCTTAATGTACAATCGATCCACCTCTACAAAATGAGTTGTCAACAATGATTCTACGTAGCTCCTAGTAACCTTTTTGTTGTCTGTTTCGCAAAAATAGATATAGATATCTTTCGTGTCCGTATAGACAGAAAACTGCAACTCCATACGAAGCGTCTCGCATCTTCCGTCCTGGCTTCTACGCGTATAGACAACAGGCCAACTATATCCAGTGTTCATTTGAGTCAAGAGTTTGACAAGTCGACGAAGTCAGGAATAAGCACAGGAGAGAGGGTCCCATAAAAGAGAAGCAACCATTTTCCCCAAACTTCACATTGCCTCCTCTTTTTCGTCAATTTGGCGGTCTTTTCAGCATAATCTTGAATGAGGAAGAATAAAAGCACATATTCGTTAAAGGCCACTGGGTGGTGGTGAAATTGTGGAATTAATATGAAATAAAATACAGAACCTGCGAATATCAAGGGGTTCAAATCGAATTGTGAAAATAATTTACCTATTTTCTGTCTTTCGGGTCCAAATCTCTTTAATTAACTCCTATTTGGAATTTGAATTGCAAAATGGAGCCTTCGATCCAAGATGTTCAAAGTAAGATGTTTTTGAAAGTCTTCTCTTGCATTTGGACGTGTTGTTAACCTTCTCCTTAGTTGCTCAAATTACCCACGGAGAAGATACAGACCGATTAACGAATGATCCGTCCATTGAGGAAAACAAAGGACAGGGTATTGATCCGGAAGGAGCTGATTCTCGGATGCTGCAACAGTCTTTAACCAACCAGACTTACGGAAATACTCTTACGATGCCCGTCGTCATTCCTATGCAAGGAAATGACAATCCCAGTAATATCATCACCACACAGTTGCCAGGAATCGTCTCTTCAACAGTTCACAATCCCTATTATTCGAATCGGATGATCGGAACATATAGTTTTAGTGGAAACAACGCAATGGCGTTTTCCAGTGATCTGTCTAGTGGAACGGGTGCGATTTCACTAGCTCCAGTTAATCCCGTTCAATCGATAGGCCAGGTCCGTGTGTTGGGAGAACCCTCATTTGTAGGGTCCGTCGTTGCCGATCTCTGCATACACTGGAGCTGATATTCGTATTCAGGGAATCGATCAAGATAATGTGCGTTCGCTAGCAGTGCTTCACCCCTAGTCTCGCCTTCTCTCTTCCTTCTATATCGGTTCCTACTACCTAAAACCTTCTGAAGATAGTTCTCTTGCAAACACTCTTTACTCCTTTGAAAGAAACAACTATCAGTACTCTTGCTAGACGCGTCCTGTAATATTCAGAGTCGCACAATCCGATATTCTTAAGCTCCTTGGCGAGATTTTCAGCGACGCGGAGCGTTCCTCGGTCGCCAAAGACGAGTCCATTCTCCTCCAAACCCTCCAATTCTTTCTCCAGCAGCACCAAGATCTTCCCATTCACAACGTGATCTGCAGCGAGCCCTCCGAAGTCTCGCGCGGACTCATCGACTACCCCAACCTCCGCGCCATGTTCAACCACGTTCTCACCCAGCAGAACGACGAGTCCGCCGTCGTCTCCGACCGCAAGGAGCGCAAGAAGCAGCCGCTTCCCACGGAGATGCCCTGGTCGAACTCGTCGCCGCTCTACTCGGACGCTCCGTTCACTCCGATGATCGTGCAGTCGCGAAGCCACAAGCCCGGGAAGCCGACGGTGCTGACGGCCGACGAGGAGCGAATCCTCGCGAACTTCATCATCCAGTTGGAGAAGAAGCAGATGCGAATTCCGCGCGAGGACGTGGGGAAGCTGGTGATGGGGATCCTGCGAACCACGAATCGCTCCAATCCGTTCAAGGAAGACGGTCCGCACCGGCACTGGTTCAACGGGTTCTTCCGACGCAACCCGGACATCCAGAACGCGCGGAAGATGGCGAGCCCGGTCTCGCGCGAGCAGCTCAAAGAGGGGCAGATCAACCAGTTTCTGGAAGAGATCAAGCGGCTGAGCTCGAACGATCTGATCCCCTACGCGGCGAATAACCTCCAATGCGCCACGCTGGACGACACGGGCTACCACTTCAATCTGAACCAGGACGTGGCGATGGGCTCCGTCCCGCCCTCCTCCACTCCCTCCTTCATGAATAGTTCGGTGCAGGTCGGGAAGACCGCCATCCCCTCCACGCCCGTCATGCTGGATCTCCCCAAAGAAGAAAAGACGCGCCAGCGAAGCTGGACGTCCGAGCAGCTCGCCTGGGCCATCGAGGAAGTCAACTCGCGGCGGCAGACCGTCAAGGACGTGTCGAACAAGACCGGCATTCCGGTCGCCACGATCCGAAACCACTGTCGAAACCCGACGATGGGCGCGCGTCGTGGCCCGCCGACGGTGCTGAAGCCGATCGAAGAGCTCGCGCTGGAGCGGTTTTTGCTCAAGCTGGACGACTGCGGGTACAAAGCGAACAAAGAGCAGCTCGGCAAGCTGGTGATGGCGCTGGTGACGAGCGACAAGCGGAACCATCCCTTCAAAGAGGACGGGCCGCATCGCCACTGGTTCGACGTAGCTTTCCTTCGCTCTTTCCCATCTAGGGCTACTACCGTCGTCACAAAGCGCTGCAAGCTCGGAAGAAGTCCAGCAACTCGTCGCTCTGCCGCATCGAGGCGCCGCCCGAGCTCATGCAGCGTTTCTTCGAGGAGCTGGACGAGCTGAAGATCCAACAAGGCGAGGCCGTGGAGCCGCGCGCGAAGAAGATGAAGCTGCAGCAGCCGATCGACATGATCGAGATCTCGGGCGCGGCGCCGATGGCGATTCCGGAGATGGGCGGCGCGATGGAGACGTCGGGAATGGGCCACAGCGGCGAGCTGATGGGGGGAATCGCCGGGGCCGCGATCCCCACGGTGGAGTACGACGACGCCCCGCTGACCAAAAAGGGCGGGCGGCCGAAGCTGCCGCTGTTCTCGGTGCGGCCCAACCGGCAGAAGAGCCGGACGAGCGAGGTGATGGCGTACATCCGGAAGTTTGCGGTGAAGAACCAGGAGAACGTGGACGAAATTTTGTGGTCGCTGCTGATGCTGCGCGTGCAGGGAAGCAACAACCAGGTGATCGCGCAGGAGCTCAAACGGCTCTATGGAGAGTGGCTCAAGTTCATCTCGCCCGATTCGGAGACACTGAACCCTCCGATGGGGCCTCTGCCCGGCGTGTCGGTGATCCCAGCGGCGCCGGGAGCGCAGCAGATGGAGCTGGATGTGTCGCAGATGCCGCAGCAGACGATTCACACGGCGGAGGACTATCATATGCAAGGTTTGCAGCTGACAGACAATGGGCTGATCGAAAATGAAAACGAAATTGTAACGCATGTTTAGTGGAGTGTTTGTTTGTTTAATTGTTTGTTTGTTTGTTTGTTTAATTGTTTGTTTAATTGTTTGTTTGTTTGTTTGTTTGTTTGTTTGTTTGTTTGTTTGTGAGACAAACAGGACAATCCGAAAAAAGAGGACTCAAGCGATCGATTTCGCTCAGTGCGCGGTCCAGCTCCTCGTCGTCCAGCACGATCTCGTCGTCGAGCAATCCCAAGAACGATCCCTCCGGGCCTATTCCTGCTACCTTCACGCAGAATCCTACGGCCTTGCGGAATGGCCAAGCTGCCCACACAGAACTGAAACAAACAAAACGGACGGTCCGTCGAGCACCAGAAGCTCCGATACTTCAGATTCTACATCGCACGCCCTCCAATCGCACGACATCCACCACCGACGGACAGTACTGAAAGCGAACCTCCGTCGTCCCGGGCCCCTCCGTTAAATTCACTTCCAGAAGCGAGTACTGCGCAGACAAATATCTAACTCAGAACTGGCGGGAAATGGCACTTGGAGAAGTCGATGTGGGTCGTTTCGTTGCCTCGAGAGAGGTAGAACGAATAGAAAGGCGCGGGAGGCGAGACGGAATAGTCGTAGCCGAAGAGCGAAGTCGAATTGTCGCTAAACACAGAAAGGAGGGAAATGTCGAAAGCCAAATCGGAAATCATTGTTTGGTTTGTGATCTAGGAGAAAGCGGAGGGCGAGGAGTACGGTGAGGTCGGAAGTGATGGTGATAATGCTCGGACCGTTTTGGAAGGTGGTTACTCCCATCTCGTTCAATGACTCGATAATCTGGGCGTGAACGTCCCAGCACTTTGTATAGGGACAGAAATCCAGGAGTGAGAGCGAGCTGGAGTCTTTGGGCGCTTCTGGAGTGAATCGAACGAGAAGAACTCACGAGGAACCGCTTTCGACGGAGAGAAAAGGTAACCCACGATCTTCTTGCAGCGACGACACATGACGGGCTGAAACGCATAGTCTGCGAAGTGACTCGAAGATAATTTCGTCGGTAGAAAAACCACGTTTGTTTCGTTGATATCTTTTACATAAATCAACTTACTACGCTCCTGCTCTTTCTACGGTAACACAGAAATCAAAAACCCGCACCACTTCAGGAAATGTATCATAGTAGAGATCGATTCCCTGTGGAACCGTTTTATAAAAGACTCTTCCTTCCGAATCATCCGCCTCTTCATCGATATAATCCTTCAAATGGGACAGGAGCGACCCACAACTTCTGCACCGAAAATCATAACTACACGCCGCCACTCTCCCGACCAGCAAGAGAAGAAGCCACACTACCAACATGGAAGTGTTTGTCTAACAAACAACGCACTCTTTGATCACTTTTGTGTTATAAGATTTACAAAAAGGACACTACTCTCAAATCCTCAACATGCACCTTACTTTGTGGTAGAAGAAATTAAATGGCACGGTACTTCGCTTCTCACAGTCGTTGCAGAAAATCGATCGCTTCCACTCATTGTAAGGAGCTGGCATCGGATTATCCTTCACCCACTTATCCATTCGCATAAATAGCTCCCCTGCGTCGGCGATCGTCTTCTGACACAACGGACAAATGTAATTCGTCTACGATGAATCATCATCCCATCCCCCACCTTAAGGTACTCCTTTAAGCAGGATTCGTGGATTCCGTGCCCGCAGACAAGGAACATGGACGTCTTCCGCGAGGTTTGGAGCCATTCTCCGCAGATGGGGCAGTTGCAGAAGAGTTTGTTTTCGCTGCAGACATGGTTGTTTTTCCCTTCGATCCCCAGGCAAACGTTGCACGTCGGGCAGTGGTAGGAGTCGATGTTGAGGCCGCGACCGTGTCTGCACAGTTTGCAGTAGGGACAATGGTGGAATGAAGGAGCCGCATTACGACATGCAGGATATGAATTGGTTGAACGTCATGTCGTTGCACCAGAAATGGCAGATGTTGCAGTAGTATTTACCCAAAACCTCCCCGCAGAACTTACACGTCTGGGCGGCTTTCTGGATGGCAGGCATTCGTGATGACTACTTGGATGCGAAGACAATACATACACGCCATGTATTCGACTGCATAACGGTCCATCTCGTGCTCACAGCTCGCGTTATGACAAAAACGACAGGTGAAGAATCGATGACAATCAGGGCAAAGCATTTTTGCACCTCGAAGATAGTGCTCGCAGCCAAGATCCCCATTTTCTTTGTCCTACACTTCAGATACACTTAACAGAGAAACATGCCAAGTAATATCGGATTCGCTTATTGATCCATTTTCAAGCTCTTCCTCTGTTAGATATTGCTTTCCTGTAACTTCCAAGACCGTCTCAGTTGAAGACAGGTACTCGAAACTGAGAATTTTCTACACGTTTATCCACTGCTGCTGCACCGCTACTTGAATCATTTGGTTCTTCTTCGTATCAGAGCTATCCATATGGATGCAATTTCGGATATACTTTTGTTTCAAACACTAGTACATTCATTTGTCTCTAAAGCGCACTACCTGTATCTCCTTCGTCTCTTCGTCCTTTGGAAGCTTCTTCGTTCGGAGTTCGGTCAATTCCTTCACAAAGTCCTAGCTTATCACATGTACCATTTCGCTACATTAAATAACGTTTCCATACGACTTTATTCCACTTGCGTATCGAACAAAAAACAAAATCTATTTTCTTCTTTTTCTCTACTTCCGAAATATGTTTGCACCTCTCCAGCAACGACGGATGACTATCTCAAAGATCCTTTCCAATTCCCACCTGTTTCGTAGCATGCTCACCAACCAATGAACCTTCAATGTGGACGCGTTCTCCACATTCAGCTTCACCAGCGCCGTTTTCAGTTCCTTTCCGTAGCCCAACTCTGTAGCGAAGGCATCCGCCTGATCCTCCTGTCTTCGACTCACAACATTCACCACGCTGTCGCAGATCTCCTCGACTGCGCTCCAAATGCACTACAAATGGCGAAGTATTACGATTCCCAACCTCCATGAACAAAACAAAGCCCATTAAAGTCGGCATGTCGGCGAAACCGAATGACGCGAACACCGCTTGGTTGTGCGCGAAGAGAGAGAACGACTCGATCATAGCGAGCATCACAAGCGAATTGACGGCGAGCATTCGATAGGTGTGCGCAAATCGCCAATGACCGAGTTCATGTCCGAGGACCGCCAGGATTTCGCGTTCGGAGAGCTGAGTCAGCAGCGTGTCGGCGATTAAAATGCCATTCACGCCGAAAAGTCCGTAAGCGGCTGCATTGCTGTGCCCGGTTCGTCGGCTGCTGTCGATTAGCTGCACGCGATTTACGCGGAATCCAACGCGTGAAGCGAGATTCTGAATCTGCTCGGAGAGCGACGAGGGCGGAAGAGGCGTGAGGCGGTTGAAAAGAGGGAGAAGGAAGCGCGGATAGAGAAGATTCAAAACAATGGAAAAGAGGACCAGAACCGACCAGAGAATGAAGAGAGTGCGGTGCGTGATATGCTGGTGAGAAGAAGGGAAGAGAACCTACGCGGAGGATTAACTGGATGATTAAGTAGAGGATGATTTCGAGGATGAGATTCAGAAGCGAACTTTTGATGGTGTCCTGAACAAAGAGGGAAGGCGTTTGCTTGTTGAAGCCGTGTCTGCGCGTAAAAAAAGCGAGCGCCCTACTTTTCTTCAATGACGAAGATGGAATAAATCTTCCAGGGAAGGCGCACCAATTGCTCGTATATGTGTGAGATGACCACAAAGCAGATCGTAATAACGATCTCATTCGACCCGAAGTGGAAATAACTCTACTTTCAAAGGCGATACACACAGAATTACAGAGAGTCTCTTGCTTAAGTCATAACAAAACGGTAAAAAGCCAGAAAGTAAAAAGATGATATCGAAGAGCGTGAGTACAACCGATTTTACGATGGTAAACCTGTTTTTATCTTGGCCATAGAGCTGCGCTTTATAAAATGCCTTCCTCACTTTATTTTCCAGTTTGTCATTCTCTTCCTTGTTGTTTTCTTTATCTATCTCCTTTATTATAGACATCACATCCTATAGATCATTGCTATTTGAGGACGAAATCACTTCTGGGGGATTCATCTCTTGACAATCATTATACTCTAATTTGTTAAGGTAATAATCAATAACGCATCTACACATTCACAACAGCCTTAAACCATCTTACAAGACCCCTGTAATCACAACCGAAAGGAGCATGTAGTTAAACGAGGCTTCTGGCGCTCCCTCCTGTCGATACAAGGGAAACACAGAACCAAATCCAGTTACAAGTTGCATCAAAAAAGAAAATGTTTGTCACAAACAAGGTAAGCCTCAATAACATACACATCCACACTCTTCTCCCAGTCGTCCACAACAACCAGTTTTCCACTATCCAGTACAAATCCAGCCTCGGTAATCTTCTTCGCCACCTCCTCTCTCTTCACCGCCTCGCTCACCTTCACGGTTCTGCACGCTCTGTAATATCCATCGACCTGGTTCGCCATCACCGCGTTGTCGGTCAGCACGAAGATGGGCTGCGCGGCGTGATACTTGCTGATCCATCGCGGCAGCTCGTTTCCGCGCGTCACCGCCACAATCGCCACCGCGTGCTCCTGCAGAGCCTGCTCCACCGCTCCATGGCACACGGCCTCCACGTCTCCCACTCCGTATTTCTGCGCTCCCAGCTCATACACGCGCTACTCTTCACCGCTCTGCCCATCGCCTACACGCACCACACGCGCCGCGGGATAGATCTTCTCGGTCTCCTCGCTGAGTCGACGCAGCATGGAGACGGCAGCGATCGGATACAGTCCGTTCGCCGACTCTCCCGAGAGCATCACAGCGTCCGATCCGTCCAGAATCGAGTTGGCCACATCCGTGCATTCCGCGCGCGTGGGTCGCGGCTTCTTGATCATCGAGTCCAGCATCTGCGTGGCGGTGATCGTGAATCGACCGCGCAGCGCCGCCTCGTGGAGCATGTACTTCTGCGCGAGGAACACTTTCTCGGGCGCCATCTCCATTCCCAGATCGCCGCGAGCGACCATGATGCCGTCCACCTTCTCCAAAATCTCCGCGTAGTTCTGCAGGCCTTCCTGGTTCTCGATCTTCGCGATGATCTGGATGTACTGCAGGTCGGGGCCCAGAACACGGCGGATCGTGTCGATATCGGAGCCTCGGCGGATGAAGGACGCCGCGATGCAATCCACGCGGTAGTGCTTCGGGAATTCCGTGATATCGCGAATGTCCTGCACGTTAGAGAGCTGTCAGAAGAGAGATACGCTCTCTGTGAGCGTGGGGAGCGTGATGATGGCTCCGGGGATGTTCATGTTCTTGGTCTGGCCGATCGTCGCGGTATTCAGCGCTTTGCAGCGAATCGAACTACGGTTTAACGCTCCGTTTATGCCGACTCTGTGCCGATCTCCGTCACCTGGAACGTCAGATCACCGTCGGAAACGTAGATCAGCTGACCCATCTTCACGGAAGTGGGAAGATCTTTGTAGGAGCAAGAGATGCGGTGGCAATCGCCCTTGATCTGCGAGTCAGCGACTCCAATAGCGACATACCGTGTAGTCGGTAGTGATCTCAACGATCGAGTCCTTTTCGATGGTAATGTTCTGACCATCGACTAAATAACCAGTACGAATTTCAGGACCCTTAGTATCCAGCATCACAGCAACCTGCAGATTAGGTTTCGTCGATTTCACGTACGTGCTTTCCAGGACGCTGCTTCAGAGCTTCCATCAGGTTATCATGGGCTTTTCCGTGAGACTATTCGTCAGAATGGAAGGCTGCAAGTACTTCGTGCGTTCCGTGAGAGAAGTTGAAACGGGCAACATTCATTCCGGCGTCAATCATCTTGACCAGAGTATCCACATCCCAGCAAGCAGGTCCGAGCGTGCATACGATCTTGGTATTTCGGTACTTGAAAGGTGTGTTCGCAAGAATGGTATCAAAGCTAGGCATGAACGTCACTCACCTCATTCTACTCTAAGTTGTAGTCAATGCAAGACATGGGGAAGTTATTTAAAGAATTATTGGATGCAATCCGGAAGGAATCAACTGACTTTGATAAAGATGGCAATTGCTGGATCACTGTACATGCAGTCCCTCAAATAGAAAAAAAGAATGACAACAAACAGACATAGTTTGCAGAAATAATATATCGAAAATCATTACAACATGACTTCCAGCTGGTCTGAATTGAGTTTTGGAGCGTATCCCGAATGGTTTTCAGCGTGCTGTAGTCAACTTCGAAATATTCTCTCAGCTTTCCACCCTGATGACTGGACCCCAACTCAATGAGATAGGAAGGATTGTACACTCTGTTTAAACACTGGTTGCTAATCTCCACGTCGAGTCTCCACCGAACGTTCTAGCTTTTAGACGATTCTTATTCTCATACAGTCAATATGCGAGCCGTACTTTCCTGAGACGATGAATCGCTCCCTCCCTGTTTTTTGAGTGCTAAGTTCTAGAGGTGACATCTTTGTGTATCAAAAACGATTCGATCGTAAAATTGGGATAAGACTGCCACTGTATTCTCATTGAACTTTGCTGGAAGTATCACATCACAAAAGTCATAAGGATTTATGCGGTGTTTAATGCACTCTGAGAATATGTATCCAATTACAAACACACAGTGCTCTAATCTTTCACGATCCAATTCAAGGAGTTCTGCGTATTATGCGCATGATTCAACAATACCATATAATTTATCAAATGTAATTGTTGGATCTTCGTGAGTTATATACGAAAAAACGAGAGAACAGATGGATTTCAATCCTAGGCGTAATCTTCATGCAATTCTGTTACGGAAGATTGCCAAATTCCTAACAAATTCGAAATCATTCTCTGCCTCCCTGTCAACTTTGAGACAAAACGACATTATGAAAAAACAAACAGGAAATGGGTAATTAATATTCCAAAGAATAAATATGTTATTTCCTAGAAATGAATTGTGCACGAGAAAAAAGACAAAAAAAATAGAGATACATGCATACTACAAAAACCAAATCATACATAAGTCAAGAAAGGAATCGCCTTCACGGGATCTTTACGCGGATCCACTCGCCAGATCCACTTGACTCATTGCAGACACATCTCCGCTCCGAACAGATGCACTCAGTTCAGACAAAGCTTCAGAGTCCGGGTGATCAATGTCAATTTTAAATACCAGCTTCTTGTTACTCATCTCAATCGTGTCCTCTATCCATTCAAACGTATGAATACAAAATACGTGGCGTAATTATCAATTCTGTTCCATCCGTAGCTTCGTAATGTCCAATAAGCTTCTTCCCATTTATATAGAGAATAGGGTGCGGTTTGTCTAGGTCCTATGCAATAACGCGGGTTTCCCTATTATCACTTCAATTTCGTATGTGCAATCCTTCCAATCTCCCTCCGTACTAATTCCCTCAATTTCTATGCTAACAAACGATTCAGAAGACATTAACAATACAAACTATGAATCTCCTTCAAACAATCAATAGCCTGATGAATTACTTGGAGCTTTCTTTCTAAAACACTGTCATCGGCTTCCGACTCTTCCAACAGACGCTTGGTTCGCGCTTCTACAAAACCCATCAGATTCGCTTCAATTGGAGACATTGAGCCTTTCGGCATCTCTACTTTCGGAGCTGCAGACACTTGCTTCGGAGCAGGGTTTTCTTTCTATTTCAAAGTGCAAAATAATCGTCTCCTACTCTGTAAAACCCATCATCGTCCTTAACAAAGTGAGAATTGCAGGAAACGCAAATCACCTCACCTTGTCGACTTCGCATCAAGGGAACATTGCAAGCGTCGCACGCTGGTTCTAGCATTGTCCATCCCTATAGATGAGATTGTTGAGTCATTTCAAACTTCAAGCAGCTTTTGACCTAAAATAGCAGAAACATCTGGGGCAGACATTGGAAAAATCAAGTAAAAGGCAGAGCGACTTTTCGGTAAAACAGTATTTGTTTGACGTTTTGTGAGTATTTCGTGCAAGATGCCGGAGATGTTCATATCCGATAACTCCTATCGATACTTGGTGTTTCAACGCATCAACCATATCTTTACGTAGTTTTTAAATTTGTGAATCGAGCGTAGTATTGCTAGACAGGCTGTAGAATTTGATAAGCGAAAAGACTACTCGAAGGCTTTAACGCTGTATAGTGTGTGTTCAACTTTGATAACGTCGGAAATTGATGTAGTACATAAAGCACTTGTTGGAATTAGTCCTGGGATGCGTGTTGTGGGAATGACGCGAAGTCATTCCTTATTCGCTTGCGTTCTCTGTATAATTACCGCATGGACTCGATCCACGAGATGCAGCTAACTTCCTATTCTTCAGGCTGCAAGGTATTTCCAGTGTTTTCAAGTCAATTCTAGTTTGAAGATGAGTCTGTGGATTTAAATTCCTTCTCGATCACTCCCGTACCTCACCATAACTCTCCATTCACTCCTAGTCTCCCACATTCTCCTTCCCTACTCCCGATCCCCATTGTCAACCCGACAAGCTCAAAGACCGTCTCAATCTGATCCTTCGGATCGTCAAACACAAGCCGTTCAACACGAACGTGCATCTTCCGGCCTCCATCTTCGACTTTGACAACGTGGTCATTCCCCTGTTCTCCGTCAAACTCATCGCTTTCGAGCAGCTCCAGTCCATTTCCTTCAGCCATTCCACGCCCTCCATCCTCTGGACGACCGCCTCAAAGATCTTCCGCGCGCTTCTCTCTCTCAAAGTAGCGATTGACTTGAGATGCCATGCAGTCGGAAGCAGAGTCGAAAATGAATTTCGTCTCGCCCAGCAGTCTTTTTACCGCGGTTCGCAACGAAAACGCGCGGCAATCCATCGAAGTGTTCCCCGATGCGCCGATCACCCGCGAGTGCGAGATGTGTGGTGAAATTTACGTGTAGGGATCTAAAGAGATACAGAAAAGCGGTTATGGAGTCTGTGAAGACGCTCTTCTCGCTTTCAGCGATGGAGCAGATGGCGACCGAGAATGTGAGGAAAGGAGGCAAAAGTGACGGATAGAGGAGAAGAACGCAGGAGGAAGCGGACGAAGATCGGAAAACGTATGTTGCGGTGAAGGACTGCCAGATAATGACGAGTGAAGTGTTCATTCCGCTGGTAATGGCGGATCTGCACCACCTGACACAAGTGTATATAGATTACCGGAAGAAGCTGCTATTGGAGTTGTAATATGAATTGTTTGTTGAAAGAGTCAATCATGATAACATAGTGCTGAACGATGGGAATATTGCTACCGATTTACTATGTTATTTTAGCCGTCATGGCAGTAGCCGCTCTATATATGGTGAACGAAATCTCAAGATTGTCCCTGAGCGAGTTTTTCTCCATTCTGTAAATCTTATTTTGTAGACAACATCGCAAAATGGGCTATGATGGCAGTGATACCAGCCAAACAGTCAAGGCGGCCGATTTTTCGCAAACTCTTTCCCATAAGCATGAAAAGTTGTCAAGCAAGCGCAACGTGACAAAATTGGAGGCTGCGATGCATTATATTGATTTCAACAAACCTAACTGGTATTGTCAACTTTTGGAGTTCATACTCTTAGGAAGGAATTGTTTGAAGTGAGGAGACAGGTTTTGGTAGAGCAATATCTTGAGTAGCTGAGCTGCTTTTTGCTGACCTCTAGAAAAGTGCCGGATCCGTATCCGATATCAAGTAAAGAGTGAGTTCATTGTGCGTGTACTAATTCGCAGTCCAGAGCACTCGGATATCATGATCCACGATACAAAGCAGGGCTATTATATGCTTCTGATGCACAACGTCTGCTATGACTTTATCCGTGACGGTATGAACATTTATGTGAAGGACCCCAACGATGTCGATATCAGTACGATTCCTGGCGGTACAAATGATCGATTTTCCCTCTAAATTGCAGTCTTTGCAACTGGCTGGAACTTCCAAGTGCTAGCGGAGCCGTTCCCGAGCTACCACAAGATCATCGAGAACCCGAACAGCTACATGCTGATTCCGCACAGTTCCCGCAACATTGCTCACTACATGGAGGTCTACACGATCGTCTACCACATCCTGCACCAGCCCCACCGATTTCCACACGTATCCGTCCGCATCGCCTGGCATGTAGATCGAGAACATCTTCTACCCCACGATGGAGAACCAGAAGATTTACCTCTGGATCCAGCACTACAAGGACATCGCGCTCTCCCTGCTCCCCGCCGAGAGCCAGTTCGACAACGTCTTCCGCGAGCGCATGATGGAGATCGCCGCCGACGGCGCGCTCTGCTTCCGCCGTCTGGTTTCCACGTTTCCACGTTTTGACGGGTAGATGGCTCCGAGCCGAATGAGCTATCTGTTCTACGGAGGCATCTTCACCTCGCCCACCGAAGTGGAGACGGTGCGCGCGGCGTCGTACAAGTTTTACAAGCTGGACCCCGTGCGGAAACGCAACCAATTACCGCGGGTGATGCTGATGACGCGCGCTAATGTGGCTGGAAACCTTCCCGGACGCATGATCGGGAACAAGAACGAGCTGTCGCTGTATCTTCGTCGGGGGCGGGAGTGGATCTACTCGGAGGACGCGATGGAGCTGCTGGACCCGCGGACGCAGGCGCAGCGCATGGTGGACACCGACATTCTGCTGGGCGTGCTGGGCTCCGGGTTCGCGAACGCGATTTTCATGCTGCCGGGGAGCGTGATCGTGTCGTTCTCGCCGCCGTGGGTGGGAGGGTTCTTCTTCAGCACGATGGCGGAGTTCTGCCAGGTGCGGTATATCCCGGTGTACAATTACAGCATCGTGCCGCCGAACGAGTGCACGGGATTGATCACGGAGTACGGAGAAATGACCGGCAAGTCGGAGTATTGCCTCTCCACGCTGTATACCGCTACCGTCTACTTTAACCTGGGCGCGGTGAGCACGATCTTGCGGCAGGCGCTCACGCATGTTCGGGTGTACAAGTATCACACGCAGTGAGAAGGGAAGTGTTCATTGGTGGTGTCTGTAGAAATAAAGTGTGTTTGGTTGTGTTTGAGAGGAAACAGAGCGAATGGTACTCAAGTTGGAAGTGATAGTTCATCAACGCGCTTAGAAACTAAGCTTCTTGAAGAAGTAAGCGACTCCAGCCTTGTGTCTCTCCTTGGTGATATCGTTCTGGTGCAGGTACCTGCCTATCACACAACCCGCACACCACCTACACGTTCTGGAAGGTCTTCGACACTTTCTTCAGAGCTTCCTTTCTCTCCTCAGGCTTCATGTCACCCTTGGTCAGATCAGCAAGATCGAAGTCCACATTGTAACTACAGAGTCAAACGGCGCACATGGAACAAACCGAGTGGGCATGAAGTGCTGGAGGTTCAGAACCTTCGTGAACACCTTCATCGTGGTTCTCTTCTGCACTTTCTTCTCAGACATGCTGGTGAGAACCTTGCGAGGACCTCTCTTGAGTCCGCAAACGACAGCGTAGGGGAACTTGTACTTCGAGTCTCCCTCCTCATTCACCTTCACGATGAAAGCCTTCTTTCCGGCGTACTTGCCAGAGAGAATGACTACGACCTTTCCAGCCTTAAGAAACTTGGTCATCTATTCAAACCGTTAGAGAAGTCGATTTAAACAACGCCTACCTTATCGTAATACCACTTGAGTAGCTTTTCTATTTGAAGCAAACCAATGAAAACGGCTAACCTCTCGTGAGCATGGCAAAAATCGGCACGATTTCCAGGGCTCACAAGAAATAAAAACATCCTATTCTCTCTTGATTTATCAAACAAACAGCTCAACTATTGTACAAAAAGAGAGAGAGGTGAAAAGGCTACGGAATCCTTCGCAGAGTCTTCCCGACTCTTGATTTGTGGAGCCTCCAGTTGCTGCATGCCGGCAGCCAGAGCAACCGCTCTAATCGTCACAACCACACACAATTCGGCTACCGCAATTCGATCCGCGTCGTTTTTCCAGGCTGAATCAACTTATTCTAGGGATCAGCATGCTATTCATGCTCTACAAAACAGCACTCGCCAACTATTTGTATCGAACCCTTCAAGTTTGACCAATCTAAACTCACCACCTGAATCTACGTCTAACTTCGCTCTCGCTCACTCTACTTGGTTCGAAACGTTTGTCAGCACAGCACAAATGGATTTAGGCTCTAACAGGGTGAACTCTTTATCGACCTCGTAGTATCCTTGAACTTGGGCTCTGGAAATGCTCTGAGTTGCAAAGTCACATCGAAATCTACGGGAATCGTCACTTTAGTCGATGTGAGTCCGATCTCCTTATGACCCTTCGCAATGAAGTGGATCGCGAGAGAACCGAGAACCGCGCCTTTCTGAAGAATTTCCGGATCGACCTCGAGGATACAGAAATGCATGTACTTCCCATCCCTATGGACGGAAACCGCTCTACATGCCACGGATTCCAAATCGCTACGAATCGAACGAAGTATGGATCTGCTTGACCCGACTGGATGCAACACCAAAAGCCACATTGGTGAGCAACATGTCCGTTGCGAGTCGATTCGTAATCGTGGAATTCACGACAAACCGATTGTGAGACAGCTGTGTGCGAGAGAAAGCAATGTCGAATGGCTTGAGAGACTGAAAACGATACTCCTCTGAAACGACGAAATCAGTCAGCGAATTGTTGTATGTGAGAGAGATGTGCACGCTAGGAGAGAGAAAGAGGGAGGGAGTAAGAATACGTCTGTTCGCCAATCTCGCAGAGAAGTTTGACAAAGCGAAGCGAAATACTTGTCGATGGAGCAATCGAGAGATACTTGGAAGACGTTCCGACTTCATCGAGAGGGCATCTTCCTGTTTCTGAACTGATAGAAGCCTCGATTTTTAGGATTCGGATAGTCGAATTGCTTGCATTGGAAATCTCGACGTAAAACTCCACTTTCTCTCCGATATAAGACGGTAATCTAGCTTGCAGCCCATCCTGGCAGATACGAGGAGCTATAGTAGTCTGAATAGCTGCGACACGTTTGTGCACTGAGAGTGGACAGATCCTTCGATATTTGATTAATATCTACATCGATCGGCGGAATTCTCTTTACTATCGATAACATGTACAATTTGCTTCTACTAGATATACAGACAGGCGCAGCGTATCGACTCATCAACAGATTCTAGATTAAACGCGACCACTAGAAACGATTTACAAAAGAGGATAAGCAAAAAAAGGCGATCTTTTTGCACTTCCAAACATTTGTCGATTCCAAAACCCTTCCAGAAAAGGAACATTGACCCAATATTAATAGTGTAATAGCTAATGAGCAAAGCATTTTACGTGTTTATATATTGTGCTTTATTCTCTGTCGTGTTTGCTGACTCTGCTCTGAATCCTGATTTTTCTGATACAAATTCTCCTTTCAGTCAGGAAGTGGAAGGTGAGATGGTGATAGATCGTGATCATATTACTTGTAAGCGTAGCCTACTGGATTAACCGTACAGGGGATCTGCGGGAAGCTCCAATTGATCAATTCATTTCTATCTATGGTCCTAAATTGAATGAAGCTACTAGCGTTGAGTTTCTTGGTTCGTCTTGAATTGGCGCGGTAAAATGTAGGGTTGACCAACAAAATGGCTGAAACCCTGGCCAAGGGAGTTTCAGAAACGCTCCGTTCAGGATCCTGTAGCATTAGTTCCTTAACCTTCAAGGGGATTCGTGATGAGGAATGTCCTAGTATGCAGCGAGAGGAAAGAAAGCGCCCCTGCAAAATGAGCCGCGAAACCATTTTGCGCCAGCTCGTCAACACGTTCATAACCTGTCCTTTACAGTCGTTTTCGATCGAGGCCAACCACTTTTCGGCCTCTGCCGTCATCGAGCTGACCCAGAACATCACCAAGGGTCTGTTCCCCCAGCTGTCCCATCTGGACATCGATGGTTTCCCTTTCTCCGCCCACTCACCGCTAGACAACAACTACAACTACGAAAACGTGGCCATGCCCCGTCTGATGCGGATCATCTCGGAGCTCCCGCGGGACATCGAGGTCCGCTCGTTCTACGTGGAGACGCTGAGTGAGTCGCCGCGTTCCCCTGCGATCTAGACGTGATCAAGCACAACCATGGCGAGGACACGCCGTTCCGCTACAACTTCGAGACTCGCTACCCCTCCGACTGCAAGTTCTACTGTATGCCAGATTGGCTGCGGATTCCTCGTAGCGGAGCCCATCAAGAACGAGGAGTTTGAGCTGCTCATCAAGTACCAGCCCTGTCTCTACGCCGAGTCGTTTCTGGCGCACGGAACGGGCCGCGGTCTCGCCTGGGTGAACTACATGACCACGCTGCTGTCGCAGAGCCGCTTCGACCGCCTGAAGACGATGGAGATTTTCGGTAGGACTGGTGCGCGGCTGGCAAGCAGGCAACGATCTGTTCAAGGGCGACATGGACACGTTCCTCAGTCTCTTCACGGCGGAGCATCTCCCGGTCCTGCAGTCTCTGGATATGAGCTGTTTCTCTCCCGTCCGCTCGCTCACGCCTAGCCAACGGCCTCCAATCGCTTCGATTCACCGCCGCCTCGGTGCCTTCGCTCGAGATGCTGATGCTGGACAGTAGTTCTCTCTCCCCTTTCTCTCCTCGCAGGCAACGACCTCAGCAGTCTCGTCATGGAGCCGGGCTCTTTCCCGCGGTTGCACACGTTGAAGCTGGGATGTAGGGATGGGAGCGGCCTGCGATCCAGACAACAAACTCACCACCTTCGAAGTCAGCGAGAACAGCCTGCCGCAGCTCCGCAAGCTCTATCTGGAGAGTGCGTCGTCGCGGGCTTGGCTGACGGATAGACAATCTGCTGAACGCGGATGTCGCGAAGCACATCATCGAAGCGCCCTTCGCCAAATCGCTCACCTTCCTCTCGCTCTTCAGTAGGCCGCGCCACGGCTGCTTGTGACTAGACAATCCGGGGATTGGCGAAAAGGCGGACGAGTTCGTCGCGGCGTTCGTGAAGGGAATCGAAGAGCATCGCTTCGAGCGGCTTCAGATGCTTTATCTGGGACGTAGCGATGAGAGACCGGGCTGACGCGTAGAGTGCGGACTGAAGGAACAATGCAAGGTGATCGAACAGGCGGCCAAGGCACACATCCCTACCATTCGACATGTGAATTGCTTCTAATGGGACTTCATGGTGATATGAATTGTTTGTTGCATGAATGAATTTACGGTTGGAGACTCGGTAGTAGATTCGAACGGGTTTTTCGGTATTGTCGAGAGTTATTACGTCAGCTTTAGGGAGAGTGGAGTATGTCGGTCCGATTTGTCTTTCAAAACCATCAGTTGTGTGGCTCGGGATTTGCTGGGAAGACGAAACAAGAGGGAAGAATAATGGGTCACTTACCGACAAAAACGGGATCCACGTCTATTTTTCTTGCTCACCAACGCAAGGGTCGTTTGTACAGCCCGGTAAAGTGAAAAGGTGCACCAGTCTGTCTGAAAGGTTTCTAGAAAAGTGAGAGCGGACAATCATAGTCATAGAATAGATACAAGAAGGATGGAAAAGACGATTACAATGCGGTGGAACGTATTCAGCTAATAGACAATGGATCTTCGGGCAAGATAATCGAGTTAGTGGGAATGGACCAAATTGCGGAATACCAGTTGCATTCGGACATAGAAGACGTTGAACTATGTGATAGCGCTATTATTTCCTTGGGTGAGTCTCTTCCCCTGTTTTCTTCTGTCAAGCGACTCAATTTGAGTGGAAATCACATTCATAGCTTCGATACAGTCATTGAGATTCTTTCGTGCTTTTCATCCCTCCAAATTCTTTTGTTGAATGCTAATCCACTGAAACCCTCCTACCTTCCCTCTTTTACATCAAATCTGACAGTACCACTTGCTGCGGTTCCTAATATTATGTGTATAGACGCTTGCAGTGTCCCATACGTCCTTACATCTGAACGATCTAATTCCTTTGCTTTCTTGTCTCCCTAATCTTCAGTTCCTCTCTCTTTCTGGCAATTCTTTTGGAGATATTCCAATCCAGCCATTTTCACACTCTTCTCTTCAAACTCTGGATCTGTCCTCAAACCAAATCAGTTCTTGGAGTCAGATTGCCAACCTTGCATCTTTAGAATCTCTCCAAACCCTTTTTTTGAGTTCAAACCTGTTGGGAGACTCGACTCCATCATGCATGTTTCCCTCGATTCGTTCTCTCCATATCTCCTCCATCGGTCTTTCTTCACTCGAGCAGTTGCTGAAAATCACAAAATTCTTCCCCCATCTCCGAGAATTGGAGATGCGTGGCAATGAGTGGTACGACAAGGGAGCAAGCTCGCGCGAAGTACAAACGCTTGATCCCGCATCTCTGATGCATAGGCCGTGATTTCGGAGATGCCGACGTTGGTGAAGCTGAACTACAGCACGATTTCTGAAGGCGAGCGAACCGACGCGGAGTTGTTTTACCTCTCCAAGCGTTTTTCTGTAGAAATAGCGACGAGAAGGTGAGTTGTGTAGGAGTTGCTGAGTTGCAAACATCTCTCTGTGGAGGCATGGGCAGCGCTCCCTCATCGAGAAAGACAGTCCATGCTCGACGGCGATCCCACATTAGCGGTTTGGCATTGTGTCGGCGAATGAGATGTAGCGTTTACTGGCAAACTATGGCGTTCCACGCGTTGCTTCCCTTTCTTCCTCCTCCTCCTTGTCCTTGTCCTTTTTGTCCTCCTCTTCGAAGAGTACGAAAGAAGAGACGATCCAGAACTCGATGATTTGCGTGCGTCTTCGGCCAGAACATGGAGAGGAGAAGGAGTTGAAGGTTCCGCAAACGCTGAGTGTGAAGCAGTTTTGCTTGTTTGCGTGCCGACTTGTTAAGAAACGGCCTCAGTTCGTGGTTCTAAAACTGCACTCTTCTTGCGCTGATGAGGTTCTGCAGGATGGATTAAAAACACTTCGCGAGTGTGGCGTGGAAGATGGAGCCGTCGTAGAGATCGTGGATTCGGAAACAGTGGTCCTACTCAACTGTGATGTTTGTTGATACAAACAGATAATCTAGATGATGCTGTTTTTTAAGTTTTTCAGCCTGACAATAAGTGTATGCAAAGACTGATTATATTTGTCATGATCTCGTTTAATAAAGGCCAGTTCAGATAATACTCCAATATATTGATTCAGATTACTAAGAATCTTCGTTTCAATCTCTTTGATCAAGGCCGAATACTGTTCTTCAGAATACTGCTCTGTATCTCCATTTTCAGGGACTTGCTCACTGCTATTCGAATCTACTGAAGGACCTTTATTACTATTATCATTATTATTACTATTATCATTATTATTATTATTGATCATAGGGTTCAAAGGGGTGGATTGAGTATAATCTTGTTTTGTATGATCAAGCGATATCATATCGTAATAATTCTGAATTCCATCCTTTAGATCTTCCAGAACAACTGTAAAGACAGAATTAAAGCTCATCCAAACTTTAATAAGAAACTGCGGTTCGGATAACAAGCGTTCGCCAGATTCAAAAACATACTTTAATGATCCCAAATACTTATTATTTACGAACAGGGGATTCGATCCTTCACAGAAAAAGAGTTGGATTTCCTTTTGGTGGTCAGAACTGATGGTAATCATGAAATCGCGCACCTCTTCGAACTTTGTATTTTTTTCCAGTAAACGGAAACATTTTCCATTGGGTGACATTAGGGAAATCGTCTCACTGATAGCATCTCTTACTACGTTATTCAGAAGAACAATTGGTATTGTATCATTCTTAATGTGCAGTTGTCTAACTGGTCTTCCACGGGTAATCTCTAAGGGGGTTCGCTGTCTCAATAGCTGGTCCAGCATCTGGCATGCGAAGTGAAAATTCCCTTTTACCACTGCATTGCGAGGGTCTGTATTAAGAGAGAACTGGTCTGGGAATAAATCTCTGATCTTCTGTTGGAGTAACGGAATCACAGAAGAGCCACCAACCAAAACCACGCGAGTAAATCTCTTCGACAGCCTATCTAATGATTCAGAACTCTTTTCACCTTCGTTTACTGCCCTTTCCACAAATTTTATGAATTTAGAGACAAATGGTTTTATGATTGTTTCGAATTCTTCACGAGAGATTGTCAGGTAATATTGGTCTTCATCATCATCATCCTCATTCTCGAAGAATACAGACAAATAAAGAGTGATACTCTTGATCCGTGAGAGCTTTTCTTTGATATCTATGCATTCTTTCATTATTTTCCGTTCAATATCAGGCGTGATAGATTTATAGAGATTGGGAAATTTCTTCTCAATTTGCTCCTTCACCCATTTATATACCAAGAGATCAATGTTCACTCCACCCATTTCATTATCTCCGCATTTATAAGTCACAAATGCATTCTCAGCTTCGCACTTCACAATACTCAGGTCACAGGTACCTCCTCCTATGTCAATCACAAGGACCTTTCCACTTCTTATATTGTTTTCAGTTATATAGGTATTTACTGCTGCTACTGGCTCCGATATCTTGATTGTGTTTGAAAATCCACACTCCTTCATCATTGTATCAATATTGGATATCAACGTTTGACTATAATCTGCTGGATAGGAATATGCAACAGTAGTAAACTTCCTTCCACTCTGATATTCTGCCATTTCCTTGACTCTCGATATAAACCTCCTACATATCTCCAGTGGTTGAATCCCATTCAAATAAACCGTCCCATCGCGAAATTCCTTGTGTATACCTTGATTCAAATCATTCAATGTTTCCAGCTGGCTTTGACTGTTAATGCTTAAATATAACTTTGGGCTTCTCAGAATAAAATTGCCTTTCTTTTTTAGGCCTTCCTCGGTTTTACACAAGTGTCCAATCGTATATGTATCATTGAGTGATAGCATTGAAGAGATATATGGAAAACCGTTACTGTCTACCACGTTTTGTAATTCATGGTCTTTTTGATATATTGCAGTGGTGTTGCTGCTCCCAAAGTCAATAGCCATTACATTTTCTGCATGAGCTGACATAATAAACTATAGAATTAAAAGAACTTAATAAACTGGGTTTTCTCTGTTATTTTTTTATACCTCCCTTAGTCTTGTTTTTTTATTTTTATAGATAGATAGATACACTATTTATGGTATAGCCGTACTATTAACAAAAAACACTACAATGAAACATGTTGCCTAATATTGTCTAGCAAGTACTTTATTGCTAATCTTCATCATCTATGCATGTACATAGTGTTTGAATAAAACATAAAGTATTTCAAAACAAAGTAAATCAAAAAATAATTTTCATTGGAGTAAATAAAGTCTGATGCACTTCAAAGTACTTTTCAAGATACACAATACATAGCTCGATCACACTGTCAATCGCAAAAGAATATGTTGGCTATTCTTCATTCCACCACGATTCGATACTGCCAAGCTCTTCATGTATTCTCCGCACTGTATCAAGCTATCTTTGACCGCCACTACTTCTCACCAGTCACTCTTCAATTTTACGTATTGAGAAATTCTGGTTCTGGTATAATTGTCCCAGTTTGGTCGATATTGCCTCGCAGAGCTGCCGAATCCGTAATTTCTCCATTTCACGCCTCCTCCGATCCATACCTTCTCCGAAAAAGAACTAAGAACACTGCAGATTCGCTTCGCGATGAAGTCCGCAGTGATCGAATCCCCAGGCTTGATTTGCCAGTTCTATGTCTCACACAATCCCATCAGCGCGACTCGCTTTTCGTTCCCAGATTTGCGGATTATTTCGCAGATACTGCTGCAAGTGCTCTCAAAATGGGCCGAGAGGGTCAGGGAGAGCGGATAGACCATCACTACATCCCAGCGAAGCATTGCTGTTACCGCTCGAAGAATCGGTTCTCCAGGCGTACGGGAACTCCGTCAGCTCCTCGGTGCCCACCGTCCAGTGTGTGAGAATAAACCACACGACGTCCTAGGTCATCAGCGATGGAGAGGAGAGGAGAGGCTTACGGACACGACGTTCCAGTCCATGCAGGGCTTGTTTTTGATCGACTCGCCTTCTTTGTTGTCGAACAGAAGGGTTAACAGGCAGAGATAGGACTTCGAAAGGGATTCAGAGATGTGAAATCGCTTGTGGATCTTGTAGACAAGAGGATAGTGCCCGTCTGAAGAGTCAATAAGCTCGATCATCACCTTTAGACCTTCCATTAAGTCACGAACTCGCTTGCTTGGAACTCGGTTGGAATTGATTATTGACCTCTTCCGCTCTTTGATTCCTAGATTTAGGATTTCGCGGACAATTGAGTCATCGAGCCGAAAGTACTCCTACTTTGGAAGTGTTTGCATAGATGTACTTCGCACATGACTCTTCTTTCCTCTACATTAAAATCTACAATTCCACAAGAATCCGCAATAAGCGACTCCTTAAAATAATCGAAGAGACGGTACTACTAATCACACAGTCTTGCAATAGTACAGAGTCTTGCACATCCTTTCGGATTAACTCATCCTCATCTTCAATAGGAGTTACATACGGGCTCGTTTCCTTTTTTATTGTGTTCACTGCCTCCTCGATAGGGCACCCCTTGATCCAAAACTTGAAAATATCGCTTCGAAAGTCAACCGGGTCTCCTATGAAGACTTCCGAGATTTCGGTATAGTAATTCGCCATCTCGGTAACCCAAATTTATTTAACAAAACAAAAAAGAAACAATCAAAAAAATTAATTGGAATAACCAAGTACATCTACATTATAACTCGCTCCTATTCATACGTCCTGTTCCTTTCCATCTGGATTCTTTTGTAGTTTGCGTGGACTGTCCAGATTGCATAGATTGCATAGGTAGCTGTGATCTCATATCGTACACTCCATCCGATCCAGTAACATCTCTACAATCGCACACCTCCTCATCCATTACCCGATCGACATCACACGAGGTCGCTCCTGCCGCCCTGGACGCTCCTGTCGCTCCTGTCGATTCTGCCAATCCAGCGCAGCTCTTTGTTCGGCCATCATCGCGTTTTCCTTCTCCATCAGCCACTTAAAGATGGGGTAAGGGATGAAGAACTTGATAACACGCTTGTGGGGAGTGTAGAGAGGCTTGATGAAATAAACTAGAGACAAGAGAGGGAGCAGGAGCTACGCAGACCCATTACGATAAGTGGAACGATGACGCCGGAGAGGATCATGAACACGAGAATGAGAATGAGAAAGGTGGTGCGATATTGACGCTCTTCTGGTCGAATATTCGCGCTAGGAAGTAACGAAAGGGAGAGAGACATCACTCGGAGCAATTGAACACTTCGAGCATTAGGAATACACCCCATATGTCGCTAAATCCGGACATATTGAATAGATACCCATATTCTGGCTTGAAGCGAAGAAAGATACCAAAAATGAGAGTATAGAACACAGAGTTTAAAAAATTCACCAAAAAGGTCCGGTAATACAGGAGAATAGGACCTACGCTGTATCCACACACTATCGACTACCATCCTTATTCTCTACTCGTGAAGCGCATATTGTAAACATGAGAATTGAAAAAATGAACGAAAACGGTCCTTCTATTACAAAAAGGGAGGTAAAGATTCGATATGCTACATCGAAGAAATCCTTTTATCCAACCTTCATAATATTTAACAGTGATAAAATATGGAATAACGGCTAAACTGTAGTACAGCTGGGAATACAGCAAAGACACCTAGGTAATGAAGCATGGAGAGTTCAATACGAATTGGCATCCTCCCAACGAATATACCATATAGCGGGTTGGAGAGTGAACGGACGCCCACCAATGCTTGATGCTGTCAATAATGTCAAGAACCAATTATCACGTTGATGAAATCTGGTTACATAGACCCCCTGATCGTTCAGATCCCTGATTGCTTGATCCCTGACTCATATTTACAAAGAAAACTATGATTTGCTAAAACACCTGTTCGTATCAATATTAGTTTTTTTAATTACACGCCATTTACGTTTTAAATACGTGTAAGGTAATGAAATACCAATTTATTGTATACATAAACATATTGTCGAACTATTGAATTGCATTTACATGTAGGTTGTTCGTAATCACCCTGAACTTTGTGGTGCTTACGCTTAAGAATGTAAATAGTTTAAAGGAAGTGATTACAGAACAGAAGTCTGTTTCTTCGATCACTTATAGCCTTTCACTGTCTAATGGCCAATCTAGTAATAGGGTAGAAAATGGCAAATATCTAAAAAGTATTTTCAATACTCAACTTCCTCCAACACCTCATAATTTACAAAACCTTTCTGTAGTTGCCAATAACGAGACAATTGCCCATATTCAAACATCTCCGCCTAGTGTAGGTCAATGGTTTATCAACTAAACGTGTGTAGACTAAGAGCAAGGTATTTGCCCAGTTTTCAATTGATAAACCCTATTATACATCTGCCACGTACTCACGCTACAAAGGCTCTACTGTATGGGAATACTCTGGATGCACAAAAGGTGAATCGTTTCAAACAGATCACAGTATGTTAGCATTACTTGCGTTCCAATTAGCCTATCCATACATCTCTTCTCCATACAATATCACTCTTGTCTCCACTGGAAGGTACGATTCCTCCATGCCTTCTCCTGTAGTATGAATCGGATGTTCATGATGCCAATCGCCGCTTCTCGTTGGCGAGGGTACCAGCAGTACTCTTCCATTTCAATCCCTTAGACCTCTTCTCTTCGTCATCCACATGAAAGAGGAAGAAGAAAGCACGTTTGTCGAGTTTCTTCATCGCCCCCAGAATGCGATTCTTTGTTCTCCTCGCATCACTCTTCTCGCCTACATCTCGCAAAACAATTCGTTTTTCCACTCAAACTATCCCATTAACATTCTGCGCAACATCGGTATTCGCCATACTCGCACTTCTCATTTCCTCATTCTCGATACGGACATGTGGGTCTCGCAGACCTCCTACGAAATGCTGATGAAAATTCCCGATTCGATTTGGGCATCTCCGCGGATCGCAGTCGTGATTCCCGCGTTTTTTAGCATACAGTGGAGTCTTCCTCAGCTTCCTTTGGAGCAGCAGATTCTCTCGTAGATGCGGAGAAAAGCGGTTAGGAGTAGGATTCAAGATCGAGTTCCTTTGACAATGGATGATCTTCGGAAATGCAAGAAGGAAAGGAAGTGCTTAGAGAACAAACCGAGATTGTTTACACATGTAGTGCTTGATGAAACGGTCGAGAATAGTATTACATTACCTCTGAATGGATGAAGGACATGAAGAAGGGAACGATGAAGACGTTTTATCGATACACGTGCTGGCCGAATCGGTATCAAGAGCCGTATTTAGTGGTGAAACGAGACGATACGATCGCGTTATACAACGAAATACTTATAAACTATGGACACAACAAGATTACGTTTGTTGAGAATTTGCGGTTTCATGGTAGGGAGAGAAAGGGAGTGGTGAATAGAATATGAATTTGTGTTGGCAGGCAATCTTTTCGCTTTTGATGTGCCTCATTCACCGTAGGTAATGGGTTGAGTGGATGAAGTCAAGATCGAAGTACCATGATCAGCACGTCAGGTCAAGGCAGTCGAAAAATTGGTGGGCTAAAGTGTATTATCTGGACTATCTTTACAAGGAATCAAAGACTCGCTCGAATGTGATGAAGCTGTGTTCTAACGTGAATCCTTATTAAGGCATTTTTGTGTGTACTTGCTTTTTAAGATAGTTCCTCTTTCTATATGTATGTTTGTTTGTTCGTTCCATTTTATAGCAATAGGTAAGAATGAAACTCCCATCTCAAGTTCTAACTCTCAGTGATTTCTGTATTTGGAAGGAGAAAAGATATGCTTGACTTTGTCGACATCGTTGAAGTTGGAAAGGAGAAACCGATTTCGAGCAAGAAGGCTGCTTCCGTGCTTCAGGCGTTTATCACTGCAAATAGTGGAAATGAAAACGACACATTTGATGAGTCGAGAATAGTAGAGCTGATTCATAATTCTCACGGTATAGTTGGACGACATCAAACTTGAGCAACTCAACCAGATTTTAAGCTCCATTCAATCGAACCGGTCATAAATTTAGTTAGGAATCTATATATATATATATATATATATAGTACACATTGATTTCGTTGTTTGTTGATAAAGAAAAAAAAGAAAAGTAAACTCCGAAGCGGGGAATCGAACCCCGGTCGTCCGCGTGACAGGCGGAAATACTAAACCACTATACTACTTCGGATCTGGAATAAGAATACTTTTACGATATTTCACACCATCAAACCCCTCTTTCCTTTAAACTAAAAACATGATTGACGAGGAGAGATTCCGGAGTCTGTGTGAAGAATTTTACGTGAGCAACGTAGGAGTTTGTTTTCCACAATATTTCTAGGCTCCTGCGTTGTCCCGATTGTTAACACTGATTAATGAAAGTTTTGGGAATGGGGGTATCATCAACAATCCGTAACTATGCAAATTTGGTTTTATTGTAGTACACCGGAGGAGATTGTGTTACTTAGTGGAATCGGATATGAGGTGAGTGGAACTACTTGTCGTATCGACGGGGATTCGTAATTTGTGTGTATAACTATCTATTTTTAGTGTGAAACGGTTGCTAAGCGTCCAGAAGGAGGAACGGAGACGTTATCATGCAATGAACGAGATACGATTGAAGAAACTATTTATCAACACACTCCAAGCTGAGTTTCAGTCGAGGGGTCGTGTTGAGATCACCATGTAAGGCCTGAACTTGTCTATAATGGTAGAGATGGTCACTCTATTGATAGTTGTCATACCCGTGATTTGAGCCAAGAAGAGAGAGAGCGACTCTTCATATCATTTTGCAAACGGACCATAGCAAGAGAGAGTGGAAAAGTATTTTTAGGCGAACTTCTTCAGTTTTTCGAAAAACAGATTAAAAGCCCGTTCGTTTGCGAGTAAGCTGTCCTTCCATCGCCTTTACTTTATAGACTCATCCTGAACGATGCAGAGTTTATTGGTGATGGAGAAGATTACTTGAAGTACGAGCAATCCCATCGATTCACGCTTGTAGAGAATCGCTCTACGTCCTTTGCTCGGTTCTCTCAATGATTCCTCATCTATCGACAGACGATAACGAGCTTGACGTGGATGACGATCCTTCCAAGAAGGTTCATTTTAAAGATCGAGAATGGAGTGTGGGATCTGTCGTCAATGACAAAGCTCTTGCTAGATGGATCAAAATTTTGCGTAATGCGGGCGTCCCTCGGGGTTATGTCCGGGTTGATACCAGTATTATTAAATGCGTTCACCAGAAGGCTAGAAAGCATTGGTGTTTTTTCTAACTTGCTTTTTAACAAACAATTAGTTCATCATGCCGATAGAAGAAGTGTTTGTTTCCAAGAAATGTTCCACTCAATGTCCACTTTCGTTTCGATGGAAGGCAATATCAGCTCCGAATCCACCTGGAAGCGTTCTTTCAGTACGCTTCGCTCCGTTTGTTGCACCGCGTTTCCACAGCACTCCGCAATCGCGTGCATCTCCGCAAAGGATTGCTGCAGTGAAAAACAATCCGAGCGTTGCTTCGATTCGGAGCCTCGACACAGACAAGGAATCGAAGGCGAGAATAACAAATCGATGTGATGCACGAGCGTCAAAAGCACGGAACGAACGAGACTCTTCTACAGATCGCCACGCTCCCCAATTCAAACAAAGGCCGAATCGACCAACACCGAAGCCGCAAACTCGACTGCTTGCTCGCTCGCTCTGCACTGCTCCAACACGCAGCACAGCCAAAAGAGACTGCACTGACGGTCCATTGTGAGCAGTGCGATCCAGCTTCGCAGCTGCAGGAGGGCTGAAAAGCCTTCCGGTCGTGTGAGAGACTACAACAAACAGAACGACAAAAACGAACGAGCAGAGGCGCAAGCTCCCACTCCTCAAAGCTGATTAGATAGAGCGATGCGTAAAGAATCTCAATCGGCGTCATCGCCTTGGTTTGGCTTACAAACTGCTCGATCTCCTGCTTTGAACTGAGCTGCTGCAGGACCGACAGAACGTCGAAAAGACGGTTCTGCGAGGGATCGCGAGCGAACGAGAGCGAAGAACCCGTGGAAAATCGCGTAGCGAAGCATTGCAGAACGCAGTTTGCGAGCCAGTATCTATAAAGAATCGAGGAAGAGAAGGCAAAAGCTACTGGCGATGATCCTGAAGAAGGAGAGGCGCTGAGAGAATGAGCGAAGAGAGAGTCAGTCGATCGGGAATCTCGCAGAGAACCGAAAGGATTTCGTCGGTGGGAAAACAGCCGCAGCTCCGATACACAGCGTGATAAAACTGAAACAGGAGGGTGAGAAGCGATTTCAGACGCTGTGGGATGCGATTAAACAAAAACCGTAGCTACATCATAACAACACGAGATGATGAGGAAGGTACGTAGGATGCAGACGGGGAAAATTCGGAGTTCTGATACATTCCGGAACAGTCTTTGCTGGAACTAAGTGTCAAAAAAGGGAATGAATGCTCACAAAACGGGAGTTTCGACCAATTCTTGAAGGGTGTGAAGTAAGCAGCGCTCTGCAACAAAAACGTGCTCTACAACCCAGGGAGAAAGGACAACCGATAATTCTAAGTCCGAATCGTGCTCAATCAAGTGTTGGAGCGTTGCACAATGATCTAGCACTGATTTTGTGTTACATCTGATTGGTTGGATGGGTTGTGTTAAAAGAAAGTAATTTTGCTGGAGATACAGCACACATTGAGACAGCGGAATGTAGTCTAAACCCTACAAACCAAAAATTCAATTGTTTAAACTTCCAACGGAGATAAAACTGGCTTGTTTCCAAACTCAATGCGGATAACTGTATGAAAACGAAGCAGGACCAAAAAATCTCTAACGACAGAATAATCTTCATCTAATTATATATATCTAAAAAAGCAAATCTCACTCGAACAATCATATGACAATATCGAAGAGATATAGTACCCTTTAGGAATAGTTACATCATTGATATATAAATCTTGACAAACTCTACAGGGATCCGAGCCTTCTTCTGGAATTCAGTCGTTTCGTGGATACCCACCTAATATATCGATAATGCGGCGAATTTGGCGTCCTTGGATGATTAAAACCGGATTCTCATAATCTACATCGAACGTTTCTTTTTGTTCCTACTCGCAATATAATCTCCCGCTTCTGAATAGTTCATTCCATTAAAAAATGTCACTGAGCAAGAAAAAACTATACAACAAACAAAAGGCAATACACAATAGTAGCCAATTCTTAATATCACATCAATTCTTAGCGGTATCGTTTTTCATGCGAATCATTACTTGCTTCATTCTCGCCAGGTCACGCTCATCGCCATTCATATCAACCATTTTATTCACACGCTCCCAAGGATTAGCAGACTCCGTATCCTCCTCCAGACTCTCCTTCAGCTTCGCTTCTTCCTCCCGATTCATCTCCGCTCTCTTGGTGAGCTTACTCTTTCTCTCGTCGGACCAGGATTGGATCTCTTCCCTCGCTTCTTTGAGGATTTCCTGCTTCTTTTCTAACGCCTCCTTGTCTTTTTCTTCACATCTCTCTCTGAATTTCATATTCCACTCACGAGTGAATTTGAACTCGTCTTCAGCAGGTGCCATGGGGCTGGGACTACTGGCAGCAGGTGCAGCAAAAGGATCTTCAGCAGAAACGGACTGCTCGGCAGGAGCATCGGCAAAAGGATCCTATGACATAAACAAAAATGAGGAAAAGTACCTCAACTTCCTGAGTTTCTTCACCTTGCTCAATTACATCTAAAACGAGGTTAGATATGCTTCCCTTAAGATATCCACTAGCAGAAACGATCAATCAGCACATTATTTCTCAGAATAACAAAAACTTCAAAGGCTTTTGAAAAAAAGGTTCCAGCAACTTACCATCAGCAAAAAAGTCGTCAGACATTTAATAGTACACGGATATACTTTGACAGAAACTATTAAGTTGGATACAGATGAGGCATTACTCACGGCAGAATTCAAATTCGTGATTCTCTCTGATTTTGACTACGGTGTTTCGTTGACAACATCTATCGTGAGAGTACGAAAAACAAAATTTGAATTGATACTAAGAGTACTCTGCTCATTGAAGATACAGATGATTTTGCAACTCCTTAAGACTATTTTTGTCTCAATTCGTACAGTATTGTACGGAACTCAATACAAAGCTATAATTCGTTGTTTACGCAGCAAGTTTAGCACAATTTCACATACTTTCATATTTTTATGAACATTGTTATAGATATTGGTACATCGGGGTTCAAAGGGAGTGTATGTACCTTAACACAACATTTCTATTTCAATCGACCCGTGGATTATGCTAATGGTGGAGCTCAAGCTTTTTATATGGAAAAGGGATGGCTTTATGATACCTTCATCGATGTGAGTGATAAAAGGAAGTATAACAATCGTATTTACGACATTCACGATATTCTGCGTCTGTTGACTGATAGCTCTGTGGTAAATGATCTGGTAGTGCGGAACCGTTGGTCCTTTGGGTGTGTACCGAAGGAAACAGGTGATATCGAATTGACGGTGACATACGGAGAAGAAAAACACAAGGAATTGCTTTCTCATCTGATCGGAGACATTCTAAAATATATCGCGAAGAGAGTTATTGCAGAGTTGCATGGAGTGCTGAACGGGGTCAGTTTGATTGTTCCATGGGATTACCAAGAGAGCCAATTTAAATTATTGCGGAATGCTTCCTCTGAGGCACAGATGGGTAGAATGCAGCTCATCGATGAGCGAATTGCGACGATTTTGCCTTTTCTCTATTTCGGAGGAATCAACCGTCAAGATTGCTTGCTGTTTTTATTTGATTATGGCAGTTCTGTGCTGTCCTTTTCGTTTATTCGTTTGTGGCACGGCCACGTCAAGATTCGATCCAGCAGGCAGCTTCGCTCTTTCTCTGGACGCCGTCTGAATCAGCTGATCCTTAAGTACATATCTCTAAAGTATCGTCGAACTGCCAAATCGAGTCTTTTTCAAGATGTGAAAGATATGGATGCCCTCTTAGGAGAATGCGAGTCTGCCAAGGAAATGCTTTCCAAAATGCCAAATGTGGATCTCTGTCTCACCATTCTGGGAGCGAAGCTCGATGTCTCTCTCCGAAGACAGGAGTTGGAAGCTCTTCTGCTTCTTCCTCTCCGTACAATTCGAGAAGAGATCAAAGAATCGCTGAAGAAGATCCAATGGACCGCCGAGTCCATCGATCACATCATTGCTGTGGGAGGGAATTCGAAGATTCCCGCAGTGATGAAGATGCTCACCACGCTGTTTCCTTACGCAGAGAACAAGTACTGCCGTCAAATCGCGAACCCATCGACGTTGGGAGGCAGTCTGCTGCTGACGAACCAGACGAGCAGCTTCCGGGAGTATCATCTCTGCTATCGCATTCACTGTGATGATGGCAGCTACGCGCTTGTGGGGCAGAGTCCACAAATGTTGACGAAGGAAATCATGCTTGTTCCCATCGCTTCCTCTGCAAAGAAACCGTCTCCTACCATCTTAAAGCTGATCGTGGAATGCTGCGAAGTGAAGAATCTGACGCCTTCGATCCCGAATCCACCTTCCGATTTGAGTTGTCAGCCTGGGTGGAGTTTCGTATTTGGATACACTTACAACCTGGACTTCAAGCAGTACTTCGGGTTCGAAGACTACTTAAAACGTTCTGTGGGCGAAGAGAAGACGAATCCGTATGCTGTGAATTGTGACCTTCCCGCTTTAAAGCAGGAATGTGTCCAGGTCATTTGTCAAATGATGGAGGACGGACGAATGGTTCTCTCAATGAGTCAACTATTCAGAGGTCGGCTCGTGCAGAACTCGACCGTTCGCTTTACGTTCTTTGAGGGATGCGTCATTGAAAACGATATTCCAAATAACGAGGTGATTCCGGAGCATCATTTAATGGCGTTCCATCTCCAAGAGCAGCATCTCAGTCTTACGCCCACTTCTTCTGTGGTCTCTTCATCGATCCTCCCTGCTCTTCTTTCAGATACCACACGCTCTCCGATTCTCATCGTTGATCCAGAAGAGCGAAACCATACTCTTCTCACAGAACCCATCGTTATTTCGTGTCCAAATCGCCATCTTCGCACACGAAACTTGCCACAACTCATAAACGAATACAGTCAATTCATTCTGAAACGAAACGTGTCACCGATTATCTCGAACACCAATCTAAGCGAAAAGCAGATCATCAAAGCAAAACCCCTTCCATTCTTTGAAGCAAAGCCATATGCTTCGACTGCAAACCAGCGTATGTTCTTCGTAGGACCCGACGTGAGCATGTCACCCATCACAGCATGCTGTTACAAAGGAAACTTCGAGAATGGGCATCGCCAAGGCCAGGGAACGGAATTCAGCATTTCGAACGAAACGGTGTATAAGGGATTGTGGAAGAATGATAAGTACAATGGAGAAGGAACTCTGTGGATGCCGGACGGCTGTCGCTTTGAAGGAACGTTTGTGGATGGAAAGCTGAACGGTGAAGGGTACTTCTATCGAGCGAATAAGAGCATGGGATTTCATGGACAGTTCGAAAATGGCGAGAAGAATGGAGATGGAGTCGAGTATGAGGAAGATGGCAGCGAATATCACGGCACATTCAAACATGACAAGCGAAATGGACACGGCATTGTGAAGAAAGAGGACGAAACTCTTTTTGACGGCGAATGGGTGGATGGAATGAAAGAAGGAAAGGGTAGAGAGATTCAGAGACGCACGATTTACGAGGGAAGCTTCAAGCAAGGCGAGCGGCATGGAAAAGGCGTGCTTTCTCGCCAAGATGGGCAACTCATCTACGATGGAGACTGGGTGAATGGAAAGAAAAGTGGCGAAGGGTGCGAGATTCTGAAAGGAGGAATCAAATATGAGGGCAGTTTCCGCGATGATCGATACGAAGGTCATGGCAAGCAATGGCAAGAAAATGTGCTCGTGTTCGAAGGATATTTCCTCAACGGTCATCGCGAGGGTCCTGGGATTGTGTATAGCCAGGATGGCTCGATCGCGACCAAGGGAATGTTCCACAAAGACCGGCTGAACGGAGAATGCACGATCTACAACGGATCTCGCTCTGTGTATTATACGGGAATGGTCACGAACAACTTACCGAACGGGCATGGCACGGAATACACAGCGAGCGGCGACATCTATGAAGGCGAGTTCGTGAACGGAAAGTGGCATGGGCATGGACAGCTTCGGACCAGCGATCTGCACCTCAAATACGACGGAGAATGGAAGTACGGACTGCGCCATGGAGAGGGAAGAAATATCGACGATCAGGGCATGTATGTGGGAGAATATGAGAAGGGGTTGAAGCATGGAGAGGGCGAACTGGTCTTTTATAATCAAGATCGCTATGTGGGGGAGTTTATGGACGATCTGTTTAATGGGAATGGGAAATTGATCAGTTCGGATGGAAGAGTGGTGTATGACGGAGAATGGCGAAATGGAATGCGCTGCGGGGAGGGGAAGATTTATTTTGAGAACGGAGAATACTATCAGGGCAGCTTTTGCGATGATATGATGTATGGGAAGGGAGTGTGTTTCTATTCAAACGGATTGCCGAAGTATGTAGGTGAAATGCGGAACAATCAGCGAAATGGCGAAGGGATCGAATATGACACGAATGGAGAGATCTTGGAACAAGGGTTCTATGTGAATGATGAGTGCATTATCCCCATTGAATAGCCATGTTTGTGAACAAACAATCTACAAAATACCATGCGCAGCTAACTGCCCGCGCAACTGACCCACGAGTTTGTTCTTTTCGTCGAGATATGAAGCTAAGGTTGTGTTTTCACTTTGGCGGTAGGATAAATCGTTTTGCAAAAAGGTGATTTTCGATTCCAGAAGCTGGACCGATTTGAGTGCAGTTTCTCGAGCCACGATGAGGTCAACGATGCGTTTATTGAGCTCCTGGTTTTCTTTTTGTAGAGAAGCAATGATCTGTGAAGAACAATCAGAAAGGGAAGAACTCACGGAGATAGATAAACTGTTTCTTCCAAGAAAATCTGAAAAGGAATCAGGATCACTGTGCTCAGACTGTCTGACAGCTTTCAATTCATTTTCCAGTTCTAAACACTTTTGGGAAGACAAGTTGAGAGAATCAAGGGCTGATTCAAGCTCTTTCTTTAGAGCTGCTTCTGAAGATTTCAATGAGTCAACAGTAGAGTTCGATTCATCTAGCGATTTCTTTAATGAATCATTTTCTGTTTTCAATTCTTTCAAGGATGTTTGGATTGATTCATTTTCATTCTTCAATGCATCTTCAGAAGATTGGAATGATTCGATTGTAGAATTCAATGTTTCAAGTGAATTTCTCAATGATTCATTCTCATTGTTCAATGAATCCATTTCATTCTTCAGTGAATCCATTTCATTCTTCAGCGATTCATTTTCACTCTTCAATGAATCCATTTCATTCTTTAATACTCCATTTTCATTCTTCAATGATTCATTCTCCAATTTCGATTCTTCATAGGAACTTCGTAGCGACTGATTATCCTTTTTCAGGTTTTCATTTTCCTGCTTCAAAGTATCATCAAAAAGCTTCAACGATCCATTAGAAGTCTTTGACTCTTCCAGAGAGTCGCGGAGCATTTTATTCTCTTGAGCCATTGTGTTGTTTTCAACTTTTATTGTTTCAAGAGTAGCCTGTAATGTTTTAAGAGTAGAGTTCGATTCATCTAGCGATTTCTTTAATGATTCATTTTCTGTTTTCAATTCTTTCAAGGATGTTTGGATTGATTCATTTTCATTCTTCAGTGAATCCATTTCATTCTTTAATGTTCCATTCTCATTCTTTAATGATTCGATTGTGGAATTTAGCGATTCATTTTCATTTTTCAACGACTCCATTTCATTCTTCAGTGATTCATCTTCATTCTTTAATACTCCATTCTCATTTTTCAGTGAATCCATTTCATTCTTTAATACTCCATTCTCATTCTTCAATGATTCATTCTCCAATTTCGATTCTTCATAGGAACTCCGTAGCGATTGATTATCCTTTTTCAGGTTTTCATTTTCCTGCTTCAATGTATCATCAAAAAGCTTCAACGATCCACTTGAATTCGCTGACTCATTCAGTGCACTTTGCAATGATTCGATTTCCTTTCTCAACGCATTTTCAGAAGATTTCAATGAGTCAATAACCGCATTTGACTCATCAAGCGATTTCTTTAACGTTTCAATTTGCTTATTCAATGATTCGTTCTCCGATTTCAATTCCTCAAAAGAAGCCTGAAGCGATTCAGTATACTCCTTTGAATGTTTCACCGCTTCTCTCAACTGGGAACACTCGATCTTCTGCAATTCCAGCTCCGATTGCGCGTCTTTCAACTGCCGTTCCAACTCCTCTTCTCGACGTTTCGCTTCTTCCAACTGACTTTGCAACTCTGAATTTTGTAGAGACAAACTCGCAGCTGATTTTCCTTCTTTCACGCTCTCCTCCTTCCACTGCTCTAACTGCTTAATCGTCTCCCTGGCTTCCTTCTCTCGTGTTTCCAAGGCATGAAGATCTTCTCTTTGCTGTGCAACAACTTTCTCTCTCTCTTCCCGCTCCTTCTGCAGCGAAGCAATCATCTCTTCTTTCTGCTTGATCTCTGCCTCCAAAGCGATCATATCCTCCATGTCCTCCATTCCATTCGTCGAATCATTTAACTGGCTGATAAGCTCATCTCGACGTCGCTCCAACTGCGCAATCTGCTGACGATGCGCGTCTTCCTTGCTCTTCATTTCTTCCTGATTCGACGCCAATACTTGTTCTAATCTCGCGATCTCTTGCTCCTTTGCTGCAATCAACTCTCCTTTTTCTTTTAGCTGAGCGCCAAGGGATTTTACCTGCTCATTGCAGAGCTCGCGCGCTGATTTCTGAGATTCCAACTGCTGTGCAAGAGAAGTACTCTCGCTCTTTAGACTCTCCATTTCGCTCTTCAGCTGCGAATTTGTTTCATTCAATTCGGCGATGAGTGAATTGGACGTTGCGATGTCTTGAAGCAGAGCTTCTTTCTCTTGTGAAGAATCTCCACGCTCTTTCAATTCGCGAATTTCTGCTTCTCTCTGCTCACAACTCTTCTGCAAGTCCGCGATTTGATCTCGAAGACCTTTCAATTCGCCTTCCTTCCCCTGCAATAGAGTCGAGTACTTGCTAATCTCATTCTTCAATCCATCTGTAACGCTTTGTGCCTCTGACAATTCTATGGAGAAGAGAATTGACGAAAAAAATACGTTTCTGCAGTTGCTCACATTCGCGGGTTTTCTCTGAAAGGAAATACTCCTTCTTTTGGCCCGTTAACGTTATCATTTGCATTTCCTCTTCCAAGCGATTTGATTCATTCAGATACTAAGGGAAAGAAAGAACAAAACACATACACGATCACGCTCAAGACAGTAATATGCTTCGGGGTCATACATTCCCTCTTCCATTGTATTCACCTGACTCGTCAACTCGCCGATTTTCTTCTCATAAAACTCCATTTTCGTTTGGTGCTCGATTGTTTCCAAGCTGAGCTGCTCATTCAACCGAATGATCTGCTCCTCATATGAGGCGCATGCTAAACAGGTTTTTTGCAACTCATCCTTCACCATTGCCAAAGACTCATTAGAGACATTTAAACTCTGCGTTAACTGATCGTTAGAGTTCCTGAGGGTCTCCGCTTCGGTTTCAAGACTATTTACTTGTGCCTGGAGTTTGGAATTCACTTCTTCAGCAGATTCGATTGCAGACTGCAATGCCGAAACAGTGTTTTCATGCAGCTGCTTTTCATTTTCGAGTTCTTCCTCTTTCAAACGTAAGTTCTCGGCAGACTGCGTCCCCTGGATAGATACCTCGTTCACTAGTCTCTTTGCAAAGGAAAAAGACCCGCGAACATCTTCAGCCTTCCGTGCAAGGGCATTCAAATCTCCAACACGAATCTCCCGCTTCTTACTGATCGCCTTCACCGCCTCAATGAGATTGAACAGGCTAGACTCCAAATTATCCATGCTGCTCTGTCTCAAGGATATTTAACAAACAACCCTGCCATTATCTCTCTAGCCGTCCTTTTCCCATTGTTTCATCGAACAAACAAAACTACCTCCATCGGGTTGAGCGAACCCTGGCTGATCGAGCCCGAGCTCTCTTCTTACATCATCATGCTCTCATAGTAGGCGGCCTTCTTCTCCGCGTACTTGGCCTTCTCCGCACGCTTCTTCTCGAGGTTCTCGGCCTTGTGCTTGATGTTCTCCTCCATGGCCTTCTGCTCGGCCGCGCGGGCGATGGCGGCGTAGGGGTTCAGGCTGTCCATCACGGCCTTGTTCTTCAGCGCGTTGGCCTTCTTCGGGTAGGCCACCACCTTCTTCGCCGGACGCACCACCGCCTGGATCTCCGCCGAGTTGATCAGACGGCCCATGTCCGCCACCGTCAGCACGTTCTTCGGCATCGTGTAGCCCACCTTCTCCGACTCGGGGCCGTACAGAGCCTCCAGACGCTCGAACGCAGCCTTCGTCCAGATCACGAAGCGGCCCACGTGGCCACCGGGCGCCATGCGCAGCACGTTCATGCGGTTCACGTTGCACAGCTCCACGCCGGGAATGTTGCGGAACGGCAGCGCCACCGCCTCCTCGCCGTCAGCGTACACCACCATCGGACCCACGCGCATCGTGTATCGGCGGTTGCGCATCTTGCCCTTACCGCAGCGGATCTTCTTGCTCTCAGACACTCTCTCAACGTCCGCGTAGCAACCGTTCTTCTGCAGGAACGACACAGCCTCCTTCGTCTTCGTCAGCTTGCACAGAGCGTCATCCACAACGAACGGAATCTCGCTCACACCGTCGATCTTGTGACCACGAGCCATCACCAGAGCCGGAACAGCAGAAGCAGCAAGAGCAGACACCAGAGCGTATCTCTTCTGGTTCACGTTCACCTTACGGTGCCACTTTCTCCAGATCTTCGTCGGAGCGAACATACGACCCTTGCGACACATGTTAGCGAACGCTCCCTGACCAGAACGAGCAGTGCCTCCACCAGACACACGAGGAACACGAGCCACAGCTCGACCAGTTCCCCACGAGATAGCAGAGTGCTGGTGACCAGCGCGCTTGAACACAGCGTACGGCTGGCGGTGGTTCTTGTTCAGACTACCTCACAACACTAAAAGCACCACTTACTTCGTGTGGACGAACTGGACCACATCAGTACGAATGGGAGCAGTGAACACAGACGGAAGAGGGACCGTGCTCACGATCTTGTTAGCAGTCTCCACAGAGTACACAGAAACAACAGGACGAGCAGCCTACCGCATCAACCGATATTCCAACACCTCCTACCATTTTATTCCTTGTAATAGAGGTTTTTATTCCAAATCAATGGTTCCATCGCACGTTCAGTCATCAGCCATTATCATGGAAACGAGTTTCAGTCCAACAAACAACCCCATTTTCATCCAATTTATCATCATTCGCTCCACAAACTCCATCCATACTATCCACACGACTCCTTCTTAAGGCTCCACACGTCCACGAATACGTCCAGTGCGACGAGCAGCAATCAGACCCACCTTCTTTCCGGGGCAAGTGCCACGGCTGCGAGTCGAAGGCTTACCAATGTGCTGGTGGTTACCTCCTCCGTGCGGGTGATCCACAGGGTTCATGCACACACCGCGCACCTTCGGCCACTCATTGCGCTTCACAGCGAACTTGTGGTACGCACGACCCGCCTTCAGCATCGGCTTGTCCATGCGGCCTCCGCCAGCCACGATTCCCACCATGCCACGGCAGCTACGCGTTACAACCAACACAAAGAGAGAAAAACATACCTCGAAGAAACCGTCTTCTTGATGCCCGAGGGCAGACGGATGAACGTCATGCTGCGGTCATCCGAGTGGCCAATCACAGTCACGTAGTCGCCAGAGCACCGAGCCAGACTGCCGCGATCCCCCACCTTGTGCTCCACGTTGCACACAACAGTTCCCTCAGGAAGCTCACGCAGAGGAAGCACGTTACCCACGCTGATATCCGCCTTCTTACCGCAGAACACGCTCTGGCCAGTGAACATACCCTCAGCAGCCAGGAACAGCTCCTTGTCCACCTTGAAGTGGTAACTACCCATTAGCCACCTTCTCTCTAACACAAATACGGATTGCGGAAAGTCACGCGAGCAAGAGGAGCGCCACGACCGGAATCGTGAACGATCTCTCGCACCACTCCCTTCAGGAATCCGTTGCGCTCAGAATAGTCCAACGCACGGAATTGAGGCACTCCCTTACGCAGGTGAGTGTGAGCCTGGAAAACAGCTCCTTTAGCTCCTTTTCTTTGTCCTATATATGCAGTTAGACATAAATACTATATGGAGAATGCAAATCATACAAATATTGCAAAAAGAAAAGCAAGAAACAGCAAGAGTGTTGTCGTTGCTGTTATTGTTGTTGTTGATAACCAATTTCAAATTATCACCTACCGCGAATGACACGACCCATGGATGAAAGCTAGATTCTAAACCAATTGAGAAATAGGTTCAAATGTCAATATTGGTTGTATTTCTGGAAAACCAATAATTGGATGTATTTTGCAGAAATGATCAAGTTGAACAAAGTGGAATGAATGATGGATAGATGGCTGAATGGATAGTGAAATAGGTAGAGAATGGGATGGAAAAGTGAAAATGAATGTTGGAAACCTTTCCCAACGTGCTAGTTTGTTTGTGTGTGGTAATGGCATTGTGAATCGATTGGTGTTTAATTGGAAGGAGTTTGCAAAGCGATATATTTAGTTATTATGTCCTATAGGAGGTGAGGTGAGGTGAGGTGGATGTGCTGAATTCTATGTACTTGTGGTTGTATTGAAGTACTCAGAGAGATGTTATGAAGTGATAGAATGGAATAATTGGTTAGAACTGAATGAACAAACAAACAAACAAACAATGAATCACATTGGTCAGAGTGGACTTGTGATCAATCATGATTTTACTACCACCACTTGCTTCCCATTTATCATATCTGTTTCAAATGCATCAATATTGAATAGTATAAAACAAAGAGAAATGAAAAAATGAGAATCACAAAAACAATCCAACATATCAATAATAATACAAAAACTACTAATTTAGTATTAAGTAATACCTGTGTATTATTCATTAAAGCAATTTGAATAAGGCAGTTTGACATTTTGGAGATTCGGAATATCTATAGCACATCAGTATTCAATGTTAAAAATACTTTCCAATGTCACTGAACGAGGAATAATCAAACTCCATCCTTCAGAATTGATGGATGTTAGATTTGGAAGATCTAGAATCAATCATTTCCAATCACTTCATTCATACTTCGCATTATCAATGAACAGGATTGATCATCTTTTCCAAAGAGTGCAAACCAACCGAGTTGAATGGATTGTAATGATGGAAGATCTACATCAATCATTTCAATCAAATTCATTCAATACTTTCCATTATTGTTGATAGGGATTTAGAGAATGTCCAATAACCTAATGTAATGGATTGTAGATTTGGAAGATCTATGCATAATGCATTTTCTACATGAAATCAATACCTCGAAGCACAAATGAACTATAATAGAAATTGAATGAATCACTACTAATTTTACCAATTTGAATGGATTGTAATTGTGGCAGATTCTTCAATTCAAAGTCTCCTCCATAATCACTGAAACTGAATTCACCGATTTCTATCGATTCCAGTGATTCACAATTCAATATGTGGAATGATTTCAATTCATCATTTCCATAATAATTCTTACTCTGAGTAAATGAGTTGATTCCGATTTTGATAGTTTTCAATCGATTCAATCCGTCGATTTTGAATGTTTGCACTGATTCAAAACAATCATTACCGATTTCGATTGATTCCAAATTATACAACAATGAAACATCCCAATCAACCAATACACCATAGTTAGTCAGTTTCATATGTTTGATTCCGATATTCAGTGGCTTGCTTCCATCTCCTTCATATTTTTCATCAATATCACATTCAATTCCATTATACCATTCACATTCATTCACTAATTTACCATATCGATCATACACTTTTCCTCTTCCAAATCGATTATCATCACACCAATATCCTTCATACTCAATACATCCATTATTATGATAACTCGTTCCATATCCAAATCGTTTCCAATTGATCATTATGCCCTTGTACACCAAGAATCCATCATCATCATACATTTCACCATATCCAAATGGAATTCCAAACTTGTTATCTGTCAATACCAATCCTTCAAATCGACTTCCGTGATCCAAATCCACGATTCCTTCTCCAATGGATTCTTCATTATATGAAATAGCACCAATTTGATGATTTCCAAACACTTTCAACACTTTCTCATCACCCATCACAAATCCTTGATTCATAAATACTCTATTATCGAAATGCAATACTACACATTCTCTACTACTCAAAGTGACTGAAATCCAGCCATCCACTTTCATTTCTTGATTCACACATCCTTGTATATCTCGAATGATGGAACTATTAATACTGTAGTCATTAATAGCAGAATTGACATAATCAACAATCTTTTGCATCATAAAATATCTCTTGCTTATTCCGCCATTTTTTCTTCCACTAGCTATTCTCCATTTCTAGTTCTATGGAGTGAATAGTACCAAACTACAATGCGGAATACCGATTCCTTTTGACTTTTCATCTCCATTCTAGAAACTCTCGTTCGAACGATTCATAGCAATCGGTATCACACTCCTAATCTTAACAAACTGTATAAAACAAACATGCATTCTATCCGTGAAGATAACTAACTCCCTTTACGAAAAACACAGATAATAACTAGCACGATGTTAGAAGAGAATATTGCTGACGTGCGACATTTATCCAGGCAATGACATCGTTCATCTCTGCACTTCCGCAGGCATATAAGAAGTCTTGCAACTTATCCAAGTTTAATTGGAAGTTCTTCTTCGCATCCGCAGGAAGCGACTCTTCTTTTTCTTCTAGTAAGGAGCTGATTCTTCGCACCAAGTTCTCGAGCTCATTGATGTACCCCAGTTTCTTCGCGTTTTCCTCATCGTCCTGCCGGAACATCTCTGCTGTTTCGATCATGGATTGGATTTGCTGTTGCGATAGATTCGTATTGGCGTTGTCGATGAGGATCTTGCTCTGCTTTCCACTGCTCTTCTCCACTGCAGACACATCTAAAATGTTGTTTTCATCGATGTAGAAGGTGATCTCAATGATCGGCTCGTCGGCCCGCATCAGAGGAATATCCGAGATCGTAAACTTTCCTAGAAGACAATTATCGCGCGTTAAGAGTCGCTCTCCCTGATACACCTTGATCTCTACGGTCGACTGATTGTCTGTAGGAGTCGTGTACACATCCGTAAAAGTGGTCGGAATGCGAGTATTCCGAGGAATCATCACGCTCATCACACCCCCAACAGTTTCCACTCCAAGAGAAAGGGGAGTACAATCCAAGATATCGATCTTATCGAACACCTGCTCTGCCGCTGAGTCGTGGTCTTTGTCCAGCTTCTGTGCCATAATCAGAGCGCCCATGGCAACAGCTTCGTCGGGATTGATGCTCTTGCAGACCTTGCTGTGAGGGAAGCAATTCGAGAGCAGTTCCTGAATCTTGGGAATTCGAGTTGAGCCACCGACCAACACTACTTCATGAATAGCGTCCTTGCTGAGACTTGCATCGCGCAGCGTTTTGTCCACGATCGAAATCGTCTTTTTAAAGAGGGCACTATTCAGATCTTCGAACAGAAAACGACTGATGGTGCACTCAAAATCATATTCCTCAAATTCAATGCGAGAGGTAGTCGCAAAGGAAAGCTCCTGCTTGCAGTTCTCGCAAGCATCCTTCACTCGAGCTTTCCATCGCCGATTCGAGCGAATATCCTCGTCCTTCTCTTTGCAATACTGGTCCATTACATACTTGGCAAGGTTATTGTCAAAATCATCACCTCCCAAATGACTATCGCCATTGCATGAAACCACCTCAAAATTTCCATTTCTCAAAGCCAAAATGGAGACATCAAAAGTACCACCTCCAAGATCATAAATTAAAATGTTTTTATCCGAGTGCTGGTTCTCAAAAACATAAGCAAAGGCAGCGGCAGAGGGTTCATTCAGAATACGGAGGACGTTTAGACCCGCAATTGTTGCAGCGTCCTTTGTAGCCTGTCTCTGGCTATCATTGAAGTACGCAGGAACGGTGATTACAGCGCTTGTTACCTTAGCATCAAGAAAAGCTTCGGCTTGCTTCTTCATCTTCTCGAGAATCATTGCACTAATCTGCTCAGGACTGAACACCTTCGCTTCCTTCTTATACATAACATTAATCACTGGTTTTCCCTCCACACTTTCTGTCACCTTGAACGGCCACATTTTCATATCGCTCTGCACTTCAGCATCTTTGTACGCATGACCAATAAGTCTCTTCGTGTCATATACCGTATTTTGATAGTTTGAGCGCATACGTTTCTTTGCCGCTACTCCAATGATTCTCTCACTGTCTGTAAATGACACAACAGAAGGAGTAGTTCGGGTTCCCATCTCACTAGGTGCAATTTGAATCTGTCCGTTTTTCCAAACTGCAACGCAAGAGTTCGTCGTCCCAAGGTCAATGCCAATTGCTGTAGAAGTAATATTTTCCATATGAATAATAATGATATTAAAACGGTTACAACTATGATGAAACTCCCAGCAAAACCCATCCCTTTCTTCAGTTTATCGTTACTTATTTATGATATGCTATTATAAAAAACTCAAGAATTATCCAGAGACTTTATTGTGATTATAGAGACACTCGATTCATTTGCTTATGCTGCCTTTTTGAAAAGTACATTGTATGCTGATTATTTATGAGATGAATTGTATGTGTCGACTTTCAGACTAAGTTACAATTAGAGTATTCCTGTTTGTAGTGTTAGTTTTGACCTTTTCCGATTAATGCAAAAGTCGTGTAGAGCTAAATATCAACTTCCAAAAAAAGAAGTTTGACACTTTACATCAGTTCACTATTCTTTGATGGAATTTATTCCCGTTGGATCCTAAATTCAGTGTACTCAAATTATTGTATCCAATGTTCTATTTTGCGAATAGAAGAATTAGATTCTCTGTATTGTTTGCTGACTATATGATTTTACGATAGTGATAGTGATATTATTGCGATTCAAATCATATCATTATGCAGTGGATTAGTTCAACTTCGATCTAGAATCGTTATTGGAATGATATCAGTCATTTCAATATGATGATTGACACATTAGGATTAGAGTAGCAAAGAAATACATGCGACCTCTATAATGATACAGTCGCTGTTGTGCTTTTTTCGACAAACACACGCAATCTATACAAAATAGGTAAATACACTGTAGCGAATGTTCAACAGCAATATCCAATCGACTCACAGCAACATTACTGTTCCACTGTGTATCGAATCACTGGGAATGCATACTGAAGTCATACCCTATTCGAAACAATTCATAAATTAAACAAATGTAATGTGCGATTCACGATTCCAGAATTATGGGGTATTCTACTCAATTTCATTGATCTATTTTTCTCAATAAAAACGTAGATTGATCTATTGTTCGCAATAACGATTTGTAGTATCTCCATTTATGAGCGAGGAAATAGAAGATTTCACGCTGGTTCTTGATCCTGAAGTCGATGCGGCATTAAGTACCGTACTAATCACAGTATTTTGATTACAATCTTAGATTCTTCAGTCTGACGATCCTTTGGATGCTCCTGACTTTGATCCTGTTGTTTATATTAATTCTCAGGTATTTTTTTGTTTTTCTGTGTGGATCTTATTTGACTAGTTTCCTGATGAAGAAGCAATGTCTCGAATTAACACATATTCCTCAGAGCTCAAAGAACAAATCAACACATTGGAAGAGCAAATTATGCAAACGGTTCCTCTTGGCGAGTCGTTTGATTGCTTAGGTGAGAGATCAATCGCAGGTTGGTCGCTCTGCAGAGGACGATATTGAGGAAGCGAAGCAGACGATTAACGACCTGTTTGCTCGTATCATCGAAATCAAAGAAAAGGCGGCGCATTCGGAAGAGCTGGTCCAGGTGATTTGCAAGTATGCTATTTCGTTTGATTTATTCATTTTATTTTAGAAACATCTCCAAGCTAGACGCGGCCAAGCGAAATCTGACCGAGAGTCTCAACGCCTTGGCTCGATTGCAAATGTACTTCTCCTTCCTCTCTCCCTCTCATGCAGGTTTGTCTCCTCTCTGGACGCTGCCGAAGAAATCCAAGGCACGCATCAGTACATCAAGGCCTCGCGCAGCCTAGGAGCCGTTCTCCAGCTGAGCTCGTTCTTCGAGAAATACCACGAGATCGAAAGTGTCGGAGCGATTCTCCCCTTCGATGTGTAGATCGCTGCGCTGCTGCAGCGCGTGCAGACGCTGCGCGACTCATTCTGCTCGCTGATCTTCGGCGATTTCGACCAAGTGGAGGACTTGGTGTACACGTTCGAAGAGGGATCCAACCAGCCGATCACCGAAGACATGCTGGAAGAGATGGAGAAGCAGGAAGCCGGATTTGATGACCAGCTCGTGACTCGCGGACGACTGCAAGCCGCTTGCTATGTGATCAACGCGATGGGCGAAGAGACGCGAGGCCGCTTGATCCAGTCGTTCTGCGTGAACCAGCTGAAGAACTACGACGCGCTGTTCATGCCGGGAAGTGCCGGAGAAGGGCTGGATCAGATGGAGCGACGCTTCCATTGGTTCTGGAAGACGCTCTCGGAGTAACGGAGAAACGGAGAGCTCACGGGTAGCTATGAGGCCAAGTACCAATGTCTCTTCCCGTTCAATTGGCACGTGGATGCGCACCTTCTCCAAGCGTTCTGCGAGAAGACCAAAGAGCACGTGGAAACGGTGCTGAAACGCTTCGAAACGCCCGAAATGGTGGACGTGCCGCTGCTGGTCAACGCGCTGCGAACCACGATGCAGTTCGAGCGAGTTTGGCTTGACTTTGGACGCTAATCAAAATAGGAGCTGGTGCTGAAGATGGATCTGGGCATAAAGAACGTGCCGCCGGAGAATTTCCCGTACGAGCTGGACGAGGAGGGGCAGATCGTGGATAGCCAGAGTCCCGCGGGGATTCGGCTCCGCTACGAGCGTCTCCGAAAGCGAGTAGAGGTGGATGGGAGTTCTGAGCGGCAGGAAGAGCGCGAGGCGCAGAAAGCAGCGGAGAAAGAGCGCGTGGAGGCGGAGGGAAAGACGTACAGCGATCCGCTGGTCGAAACGGGGAGTGGATTGAACGATAGGACGCGCTGCCCTGCTTTCTGGGCTTCATTTCGAACATCTTCGACCCGTATCTCGCGGCCTTCGTGAGCAGCGAGAAGCAGAACTTCGATCGGTTGCTGGCGCGGCTGTCGAAGGGCGATGAACTGGCGACGGGAGGCGACTTGCCGGTCCTGCAGGGCGCGGTGAAGCTGTTCCAGTACCTGAAAGAAACGATCTCGCGGTGTGCGACGATGAGCATGGGCGAGACCTTGGTGAGTCTGGTGAGGTGGGGACAAAGGAAAAGGGAGTGAGGCGTAGCGAGGTGAAATCGACGCTGGGCGGATACCAGAAAGCGCTGGAAGACAAGCTGCCGCACTCGAAGAGTCGCGATAGCTTCGGCGACGACTGCGTGAAATTCAAGAAGGACACGGACCGCGATTATGTCTGCTATTGGTAGGCTCTGTCCCTTGGATCTCACACGCAGCATCAACACAGCGGCGTACATCGCCGAGATGATTCCGCAGCTCGAGCAGATGGCGCGAAATCTGGCCGAAGCGAAGGTCCGCGAGTCGATCGATCTGCAGAGCGACCTGCTGGACGCGTATTACAACACGGTGAGCCTGGGAATCAAAACGTTGGTCAGCGGAGAATACGCGAAGGTCGAGAACGTGCTCTACGGAATGACCAGCATTAATTGGGCCACCTTCGACAACATCGGCGATCAGAGCGGTAGAACCAGCGAATTCGATCGAATCTAGGGTATGTTTCCACGATTTCCACGACGCTGTGCAACGAATATCCGAATATTCGGAACCTGCTCTCTCGGATTTACTTCCGAAACTTCTGTGATCGCATGGCGATGCAGTTCCTGCCTCGTTTCTTGGACTGTGTGAGCCGATGCAAGCACGTGAACGAAATGAGCGCGCAGCAAATGCTCCTCGATCTGCACTCGCTTAAAACACTCTTCTTGAAACTTCCGATTGTTGGACAGAACGAAACCGACGAGTTCAAATATGTGATTCCTCCCACGTAAAAATAGCCCCGATTTTGTGAATTCCAGATATAACAAGTTTGTGAATCGCGCAGTGGAGAAGGCGGATAGCATGTTGAAGTTGCTGGGCACGCCGGTGAGCTATCTAGTAGCCTCCATTCACAATATGTAGGAGAGTGAAGGGAATGAGGAGTGTAGAATGCCGGATGCAACGGAGGACGATTTGGTCACGATTCTAACAGTGAAGGGAGCGACGAAGGCGGAGAAGGCAGAGTGTTTGGAGGAGTTTCGCAACGAGTCTTAATGCGTGAATTGTTTGTTTGTTTGTTTGAAAAGGAAAAGGAATTGGAAATTCTGGAATTCCAAAGTTCTTGGGAAAGAAGATTTCCTTTTTGATAGAGTATAGAGTATATCTATATCATGACTGAGACCAATTCTTCATGTATGCTCCAATCACTTGATGATTCTGTAGTGGGGACCTATTGGAGTTCATTCTTCAATAGTATCCGAAATGACATCAACGAAATAAAGAACACCGTGAGTGAAGGAGCAAATGAATTGTATACTTATGTAAAAGAATCAGTACCTGAAAGTGGGTGTTGACAGAGATATTAAAGTCTAGATCATTCTCAAGAGGAAAGCAAACCGGATCAAAGTATATCGAGCCGTTTAGGGGGCTTCTTGAGTTCAACTCTAAATAATGCGAAAACGATCATCAATGAAGTTTTTGAAGAGGAAAAGGAAGAGGTTGCTACGCCTGATTCTGAGTAATGTTTTCAAATTGACATCATGAAAAGAATGGACGAAAAGGAGGAGTTGTTGCGTGTATTACACACCACAGAATCAACATATACCACGATTTCGGAAGAGGAAGCCGAGGATTTTTCCAAGTGGCTTTCTCAGAGAGATATTGTGTACATCCATAGCCTGAAAACGACTCTGATAAAGGATCATCCGATTATTCAAGTTATGTATCGTCGCCTAGTGCCTAGTGTCGTTTCAGATACATCTTTCTGGAATAACTACTTTTATCACTTGGAGAAAAATGGATATAAAAAAGCAGAACGTGAGTTGTTGCGTATTATTAAGAATAGAAGTCGTACCTACGTCTATCCAAGCATCTACATCTACATCTGCGTCTGCACCTGCTTCTGCGTCTGGGTCTACATCTGTACCTGCACCTGATAATAGTACAAAGGAAGAAAGTGAACCAAGCATTGATCAAACGGCAAGCCGTATCGTAGGAATCAGCATATGATGAATAGAGGAAATGGAAGCCTTAAAGGAAGGATGGTCGGATGTGGGAAGCGAGCAAAATCCCATCGAGGGTGAGGGTGAGTTTGGTTGTTGTGTGCTATTCTAGAACTGGCTGCACTCGAAGAAGCAATAGCCGATGTTGACATTGGCGAAGTAGAGAAAATGAATGTATTCTCTGTTATTTGAGTTTTTGATCGTAGTTGAGTGATGATTGGGACGAGTGGGAGTAATTTCGTTGTTTGTTCAACAAACCTTGTAGCACAGTTTTCACAAAAACTAGTTTACTTTATTCAGCGTCCTCCTTATCCTCCTTCTCCTCACTATCGTCCTCCTCGTCCTCCTTCTTATCGGGAAGCAGCTCCGAGTGCACGAACGGAATCACACCTCCAGAAGCAATCGTCACGTTGCCGAACAGCGTGTTCAACTCTTCATCATTGCGCACAGCCAACTGAATGTGGCGGGGAACCACACGGTTCTTCTTGCTATCCTGAGCAGCGTTTCCAGCCAACTCCAGAATTTCAGCAGTCAAATACTCAATCACAGCAGCCAAGTACACGGGAGCTCCAGCACCAATACGATCAGCCACTCTCATATCTCTCATGTAACGAGCCATACGACCCACAGGGAACGTAATTCCAGCACGAGCAGAACGACTCATCGTCTTTCCTTCAATATTTCCACGGCCTCCTTTACCTTTTCCAGACATGTTTATATCAAGTGTAGAATTTCAAAAATGAAGAAATATCTGAGAGAAGATAAACATATTCCTTCTATCAGAGTTTTGTTTTACCAATCAGAAACAATGGTCGCGTATTATTGGGTAAACAAAAATCAGCTATATCGTGTTTAACCAATCAGATGACAGCTAGGATTATTTTGTTCAACTCTCCAAATATCATAAATTTGTATTATATATTTAATTTTTAATATCTCTTATATATCATAACCATGTCTGATAACGAAAATACGAAGCCTACGACTGAAGTTCAGGGAGACGATAAGAAGAAGGCCCGCAAGATGACCAAGGTCGATTCTTATGCTACCTACATTTACAAGGTTTTGAAGCAGGTGCATCCTAAGCGCGGAATCTCGAAGAAGGGAATGGCTGTGATGAATTCCTTCGTTTCTGATATTTTCGAGAGAATCGTGACGGAGGCTGGCCATCTGGCTCGTGTCAATCACAAGAGCACTGTGGGTACTCGAGAGATTCAGACCGCTGTTCGTCTGATTCTTCCTGGAGAGTTGGCGAAGCATGCCATTTCCGAGGGTACGAAAGCTGTGACCAAGTTCCGTGGCGAGTCTGCATAAAGTAGCTGCTGGTATTTATCAATACCGACTTTGTGTTGTTTGTTTTATTCATGCTTTGTTGTGAAGATCGGCATTTCTAGAAGAGGAGGCTTTGAGATTGAACATTTTTACGCGATCACAAAGAATAAAGTTTCGATTATTCTCCCTTCTCAAGATCCTTATTCCTTCTCCACTATCCACTGCTATCTCGAACAAACAATCCACACAAAAGCCAGTCGAATGACAGTTTCCTTGACCGTCTGAAGAATCTGCTTCAACGAATCCCCCTTGCTAGGCAGTCCATCCCCCTCCTTGCTCTCTCCAAACTCCAGCAATCCGCCCATCCGATCCGGATATTTTACATCCTTCAGCAGATCCTACGCGCTTGCTTCCCTCCCTCTCTCCTACCGGTGCGAAATGCAGAATGAAATCATAAGTGCTATACAGCGGCTGCAGCTTCTCTGTGTCGTCGTAGAGCGAGGTGGCCAATCGAATCGCCGTCAGAATCCACATGTTCAGTCCCTCCTTCATCGTCTTCGCGTTCTTTCCCAGCACCAGCAGCAGCATGTCCAGCTACGCCTCACTCCGCCTCCAAAGCCCCACGTCCTGCTTGCTGTTGTAGTAGTTGAGCAGCGTCTCGAAGTCGTTGGCTTCGCGCAGCGTGCTCAGCGCCAGCTGCGTGGAGATCGCGCCTTCCTGCAGCAGCTGCCGCTTCGCGCTGGCGACGTCGTGCTTGAGGATGCCCGTGCTGTGCAGATAGTAGAGAAGGGACGTGGTTTTGGGCCCCGCGGTATCGAGAATGTGCTGGTGAAGATGACTTGACCTGTGCGTGAGTCGCCATCCAAATGCAAACAGCTCGGCGGAGATGGGCACGTTGAGGTGCAGCAGCGACTGCACGTAGCTCAGCACCACGGAGAGATAGCTCGCCTGCGTCATGCTCGGCTGCAGCGCGCGCAGCACCTTCTCCAAAAACTCCGACTGCGTCACCGCGATGTTCCCGTTCAGCTCGCGCGTGCTGCCGTCCTTCGCCGTCGCCTCCACGTAGGCAGCGAGCTCCTTGATGCTCTCCGCGCGGTGAAGCAGCGACGCGTAGTCCTACCGATCATCCTTTTCTTTCTTTTCGCGCCTACCGCGTTGAGAACGTTGAACAAATCGACGAGCTGGTTCTGCTGCAGCACCTGCGGAATCGTCTGCACCAGCAGCTCCAGAAGAAGCTGCCGCGGGTAGGCGCTGATGGGCTGCTTCTCGACGACCCACTCGCCGTTGACGTACATCGGAACCACCGATCGGCGCCGCAGCAGGAAGCGGACATTGTCGATGGTGGAGACGGACCGCATGGTGAGAAGCAGCCGCATCACCAGCATCGCGTGGTGGTTCGAATCGATCATCACGTTGTTCGGCAGATAGTGAATGCCCTCGTCATACAGCGACTCGCTCAGCCGCTCCACCTCGCTCACTTCGCTCACCGCCGTCACGGGAAGCTCTCCATGATACGCATACGGATCGTCCGCCGCGCGGCCCTGCTCGAACCGAATCCGCAGCGGGCGTTTCTCCTCACGGAGCAGCTGCAGGACGGAGGCGAAGGTGTTTCCGACGACGAAATGGTCGTTGATGTGGGTGATGTACGATCCGACCTCCACCTGGGAGCGCAGCATCGGACTGATCGTGTCCGTGTAGCCCTTCACGAACGCGGAGCTGTCCAGACAGCCGTGCACGCGGCCGTCCAGCGCGTTCATGAACAATCTGCCGTCGAGTCGACCCGCCACGCCCACCTCGAGAACGTGCTTTCCAGCTCCAAGCCGATCGACGCGCTCGAAATCGTGACCTCGTAGCTGCGGTAGGGAAGCGACGGTTCTTCGATGAAGCGGAACGACGGGTCCTCGATCGCCTTCTGGATCTCCGCCTTCTGGTACACCTCGTTCGAGGAGAGGATCAGCTCCAGCTTCGACACCGCGTTCTTCGTCACCGCGGGGAGCGACATGTTGCTCGCCGCGTCGAACGGAACGTCCGCGATGTCCACGCAGAACGACACTTGCGACACTTTGTAGTGCACCATCAGCAGGTTATCGCTCGTCGACAGAACCGCGGGACCCGTCTGCGGCCTACGATGGTCAGGGAAACGAAACGAGGCGCACAGAGCGACGGTGTTGTAGTACTTGAACTCGTTCTCGCGATTGCTGAACGCGAAAACGTACAGAAACCCGCGCTGCTGGCAGTACTGGATCAGATACGTCGCGCGATAAAACGTGGAAACCATCGTGGTCGTGTGGTCGGGAGCGATGTTCAGCGACAAGGACTGGAGTCTCTGGCGTCAAGAGGGAGTCGAAAGAGGACCGTAACGACCAGCTCGCGGACGGTGTAGACGTAAACGCGGCCGCTTCCCGTCTCCGAAGCGATGACCAGCTGGTTGAGGTGATTGCACCACAGCTGCGAGACGTTCAGCTTGATGCTCTTGATCTGGGGGTGAGGGGAGGGAGGAAGAGAGAGAAACCAGGTAAAAGGACTTCACCGAGACTTCGTAGAAGGTCAGCGACTTGTTGGTTGCCACCACCAAAATGGGACAGTACACCTTCTGCTTTTTCACCTCCCCTCGAGTGTGGATCCACACGGTGCCGTTCGGAATGATGGATTCCTTTGATTTGGTCGTGATCTTCACGCAATTATGTCTACAGCTCGCAAAATGGAGACAACCCTACTTCGGATCGACGAGGTTGTAGATTTCAACCAAATTGGGGCTGCGAACAATCGAAATAAAGCGACGGTCATTGGAAAAACTTACGGAGAGAATAGGTCCCTGAGGAATGAAGGTAATTGGGGTCGACAGCTTCACAGGAAGCAATGTCAAATCGCTCAGTGTCTGAAAGAACATTCTACAACAATCAGCCCGATCTCCTCAAAATAATACATTGGCTGCTCTTTGTGTACGTGGACGAGAATGTTTGAATTTTCATCGTAATAAAACTACGACTCACCACCCAATTCCTATTCCCCACATCAAACGCCTCGCTATTGATCTTGAGATAATAAGGAGATAATATCGTTTGTCTAGAATACACAGAGCTCATATTCTATTTGTGTTTCTTTGAGAAAACAAGCAATATATACAAAAAAGCGGTATTTCTTGTGCTCCATCCCCAATCTTATGACTATCAACACTCCATATCAAACCTTTTTCCATCCCATCTATTTATCCTTCTCGTTTCTAAAAACGCCTATAACTATTATTCTCGATCCCCCTCGTCCAAAGAAAAAAGCGCCGAGAAGGTGGATCGAACACCTGACCTTATGATCTTCAGTCATACGCTCTCCCAACTGAGCTATCTTGGCTTCTGTTTCCATCCTTGAGAATGCACATTTATACCAAGTGCATATTTCCTGACGTTTTTTTAAATGGTTTTTTTCAACAAACAAGCATAATTCTTAAATGTTTCAATTCCATTTTTCGATACAATCTTTGTGACGTAGTGATGCTCGTTCATCGGGAACCGCCCTTTCATCTCCTCCTGGCAACGATTGCACAATTCCAATGCTTCCTCTCTGGTCATATCTTTCTACACATCACCAAGCCAAATAGAGGAGAACCTTCCAAAGACGATCAAATAGAGCAAGGAGAATGTAGGAAGGATATCCGTGACTCGCGTAATTCATCTTCTGTAATGTGCCCAAATAATCAAGGTAATATATCGAAGGAACATCGTCGTCCACTCCGCCCAATATAAAGTTTACCTGATAGGGTTGACGACGAAGATAGTAAGCGACCTTTGGGTAATTGGATTCGATGGATGCCTACAGTGTTGCGGAAAGAGTGAGCAGTAGCATCCATATCAGTTTCGCGTTCATTCCGAAATTTGTACAGGTTAAAGTTGGCGAGCAGATACTCTCCTAATTGCTTTCTATCTCCATTCTCTCCCGAGCATCCAAGAAGCTTTGTAGAACTCACTTCCAGAATCTAAAAATGACAAACCATTCGGCTCATGCGCACCTTATCTTCTGTCTGTGTCAGCGCAACAATGCTAGGTTGAACACTGCTACTGCAACTGATAAGAGTGAAACTACGCCTAAGTCCGCCAAAGAGAACTGCACTCCTTTCCAACGAATCCAAATAGTATATCCATAGAGAATAATCAAAGAAACGCCTCTTAAGTTACACAATTTGAAAGAAAGAAAGAAGTCTGCAAAGAACCGCGGTTTCCGAAAATCTCAAAACAAACAAGCCAACACTCCAACGCCCCACTACTCTCAATAACCTCCCTGCATCCACTGCTGTCCGTACATATTCCCATACATCGGTTGTCCATATCCATAATAATTCATCGGCTGCTGCCACTGTTGTTGCTGCTGCTGCTGTTGTTGTTGCTGCTGCTGCTGATTTCCATTTCCTACAAATCGCAATTCCCCCGCTTCCCTACCGAGCACGCGTCCCGATTCCAAATCGCTCATGAACGACGTGTACTCATCGTTCATGCGGCGATGCTCCTCCAGCCGCCTCTTATCATTCCGATTCGGACAATCCCTCGCGATATGCCCGGCATCTCCGCAGATCTCACATCGGATGTCCTGATTCCCGAACTCCACTATCCATAACGCTGCCTCGCTTCTGCCTACTCGGACGGTTCGGACATTTGAATTGATCGTGCCCGGTCATGCCGCAGTACGGACATCGCGCGTTCATTTCGTGTAATCCGTTCAGCTCCGCTAGCTGCTTCATTTGCTTCTGTTTGTGGATGTTCTTGTCGTCGTCCAGCGGCTGCAGCAGTTCGTTGATGATTCGCTCCGCTTCCGCCACGTCGTCTTCGTTGTCTCCCGTGATCATCACATGCGGATCATCATCCTGCGCGATGAGCTCGTAGTTGCTTTTCCCTTCTCGCCCCGTGCCACGCCCGCGGATTACGATCTTGCAGTGCGTCTGCTGCTCCAGTTGCCGGTGCGTCGACCCACGCGGTCCGATGATTAACCCCAGGAAGTTGTAGCCCGGGTAATCTTTGATAGGGAAGTAGATCTTCACTTGGCAGTGCGCTTTCGGCTGGATTGCCTTCAAAATCGGGTTCAGCTTCACCACTTCATCCATGATCTCGCCGCGCTGCTTCTCGTACTCCACGCGCATTCGCTGCGCTCGCGTGTTCGTACGGTTTCCAACCTTGTCGTACTCGGGAGGAGGCGACGGGGAACGATTGGGATCGTTCGAGATGCGAGCGGCGTCTGCTTCCACCGTTTCGATTTTATCGGTCAGCTCCTGCATTCGCATGCGGAATTGGATGATCTGCAGCTCCTCGATCGAGATGACCGAGGCTGCGACCGCTACGGGGAGGCCGGGGTCGATTTCTCGCTCGTCGTTCTCCCAGCGGGAGGAAGCCGTGCGGCCCTCGGCTTTGCCCCAACGGCTTTCACGTTTCTTACGACGCTCCTCTTTGAGGTCCTTCTTCTCTTTTTCCTTCATATATATCTTTTTAAAGTCGCTCCAGTGGTCCCATTCCGCCAAATCCTGCCAGAACATGGGAAAACGGCCATATCTGGGTTTTGAGAAAGAAATTCATGTCAATACTTTTCCTTCAACTCTTTGTTGTCGTTGTACCATTTTTTCATGTCCTTGTAGTTGAGCTGCATATACGACTCTTCTTCCATCGATTGCTCTGTTTTGGTAGCCTGAGGTTCTTCTATAGATTGCATACATTTAATTGGCCGTACCTTCCATTTCACAATCGACAAAAAAATAACTTTCAACTCTCCGCTCTTTTCTCAAAACAAACAAGCACTTTTATTCGTTCAATTATAAATCTATCAACCATAAACATCATAATTTTTATTGCAATTTAACAATATCCCGCTCTCGCAAAATGGAAGGCACACTCGTAGCAGGAATCACAGAAGTCTGCATCACAATCGCCGAAATCAGGTTCGCAGGCACCAAGTCATACGATAAATTGATAAGTTGCAAACTACTTCGCATCCACAACCATCCCTTACTTCTCGATCTTCTCAAATCCCTCCAAAATCCACTTCTCGTCGGAGTACATCGACGAATGCGAGGAAATCGCGGCAAGCGAAGCAGGTCGGAACGAATTCGGATCATTGATCTCATTCTTCGAAATGCTGTCCAGCTCCACATCGCGCGAGAATTTCATCGTATCGGCCACGACGATCAGCGGAATGTTGTATGTTTTGCACGCCGAAGCCACGACGGCCTAATTCTAATAGGGGTCATATGTCCAAAACAGTCCCAATATCGGCAATCGCTGATCCATTGATCAGCATCGCTGTAGCAGAGATAAACGCCTTCGTGGCACTCTATACATGCGAAAACCAGAGCAAACGTACCTCCATGACATAGGGCAGGGCATTAAGCGGAGCTAGCGTGCAGGGAACGCTCTCTCTGACGAGTCTTCGCAGCATGTTTTCATTGCTCTTTTTCGGACGGCTTCCGATGACGATTACGCGGAATGGAGCTTTGCGTCCCTTCCACATGGCCGCGACGTTCACCAACGCCTCCGTAATGCGCGAAGACTCCCCAAACGTCACAATCACGTCATCCTGGTCGATCATGTCCATGAGATGCTTCACGACGCCCTCCTTATTCCTCCGCAGCCCCTACAATGAACCCCTCTCCCCTCCCTCACGTTCTTCAGATCGTTCACCTTCCTCTGGATCTGCTCCTTGGCGCGCACGGGGTCGATTCCGAGGTCGATCGCGTTGATCATTTCGTGGATTTCTTCGTAAACCCGCTTCATCGGAACCGACGGCGCGCGCACCGCGCAGATCGACGCGTACTGCTGCGACAGCGACTTGCTCAGCAGCATCGGGTAGCTCCGCGCCTCGGCTTCGGTCCGCAGTCCCGCGGGGGAGCCCGAGGACGCGGCGGAGGCCGGGAGCGCGGTGGGGAAATCGTCGATGAAGCGCTGGAAGGCGGCGAGCAGCGCGTCGGCGCGGCGCGAAGCCCCGGTGATCTCGCGGTTGCTCATGAGGAGAGCGAGCTGGACGAAGCAGGGATGGAGGCCGCGCGGCGAGGACGCGAGCGGATCGAAGGAAGCGAAGTGCTGCGGCAGCGAGGACGAAGAAGAAGAAGAAGAAGAGAGCCCGTGCACGGAGAAAAGGTGGCTCTGGGGAACAGGGAAACGTGGAAACTACCACGAGCTGGTCTTCGGAGGGAGGAGCGGACGTGGAGGGTTGGGACTGGGACTGGGACTGGGGTTTGGGCTTGGAGGAGGGTTGGGGTTTGGGCTTGGAGGAGGGTTGGGACTGGGGATTGGAGGAGGGTTGGGACTGGGGATTGGAGGAGGGCGCTGGGGTTGAAGGGGGAGAGGGGACGTACCTGGCGGAGAGGAGGGAGAGGGGCCTTTCTTGGCGGCCTTCTTGGCGCGACGCAGCGCTTGCTTCTCTTCTTGGCTGAGGTTTTTGTTCGCTTCTTGCTGAGCGCGGATCGCTAAGGAGAAGCAGAGCAGGCACGGAGCTACCTTCTTTGGTCAAGGCTGGCGAGGAAGGGGCGGCTGCTGCAGGCGCCTCGCTGCTTGGAATGGCTGCTGCAGGAGTGGCAGACGCAGCAGACTCTTCATTAGGGGCTTGCTTGCCTTTCTTCGCCGCCTTCTTCGCTCGACGCAGAGCCTGCTTCTCTTCTTGACTCAAACCTTTATTTGCTTCTTGCTGCGCTCGAATTTCTGTTAGGTAGTTCAAGTCATCGATTCCTTACCTTCTTTTGTTAACTTAGCAGGAGCTGACGCTACCGCAGGAGTTTCGTTTGGAACTGAAACAGTGGGATTATCATTCGGAACGGCGGTTCCAGGATTTGCAGGCTCAGCAGCCACTTCGGGAACAGTTTCGTTTTGCACTTGCTTGCCTTTCTTGGCGGCTTTTTTTGCTCGACGCAGGGCTTGCTTTTCCTCTTGACTCAAACCTTTATTGGCTTCTTGCTGAGCTCGAATTTCTATCGTAAACGCATATTTGGAAGCAAATACGTTCTTTTGTTAGTTTAGCAGAGTTCAATGTCACAGAACTATCCATTTTCTTCTGCTATTATTTGAAAACCAGAAAACAATTCTAAAGGAATAAAACTAGTGGAGTTGAGCGATTTCAGGATTGCTCAGAAAATTGGAATTCCACAATTTCGGTCAACAAACAATCCAAAATCGATTAAAACACCATACAGAGCAGCAATCACTTCATCTTGTTGCGAATTGTTTCCACCACGTCATCCGTACAGAAGCAGGGACTCTTCATAACCGCCTTGTATCTGCATGTCGAAGGCTCCACCACATTCACAATCTCCTCCTTGTCTCCGCATTCAAACTCCACAATCAGACGTCTCTCAATCCCATTCCAGCAGGATTGCCCGCCGATATACTCGACGGTTCGATTCGCAGCATAATCCCTCGAAGAGTCGATCTTCCACGTTCCCAATCGCACGCTTCCCTGTTTCGCTTCTCCCAGAATGCAAATCGAGTAGTCATACTGACCGAAGTGAGACATCGTGCATTTGTCTTTCTGATTGAGCAGACACTTCACCGTGGGCGAATACGCGTTATTCCCTTCCAGCCTCTCTTTGATTTGGCTCAGAATCGCTTGTCGGTCCGCGACTTCGCGGATCATTTTGAGGAGGAAACGAGTTTCGGCGCTGGCGGGCCGGTTGGCGGCAGAGACGAAGAAATAGTGATAGAAGAGGTCGGGCGTGTGGAGAGCCACCTGGGAGATGTGAGCGATGGAGGAGTTGGGAGGCATGTTCATGAAGCGAGAGAGCGATTGGAGATGCGCGAAGTGGGGTTCGGAAGGTTTTTGGACTGGAATGGAGGAAAATGAAAAGAGAAACTCGCGGAGTAGCGAAGGAAGTCGAAGAAGAGCTTGAACGGACTGAGGAGAAGGCCCACGAGGTTCACGAACGCCATGTTGAGCGCCTAGAAAATGGGATTCGAAGGGGAAAATACGTCGATATCCGAGAAATGAGTGGAAACGGAGAAGGCGTCGGGGTGGTAATGCTGCTTCGAGTGGAGATAATCGCGGAATGTGAGGGGATGGGCGTTTCGGAACGTGATTTGGGAATGGTAGAGAGGGTCGATGACTTTTTTCTACAGGAGAAAGGCGACGAATGAATGAATACGAACACATCAATGGAATTCACGTCGTTCAAACTGGGCAATTCCGCGATTTGGACAGAAAAGCGCAGTTGATCATCGTTAATGATCTTCATTTCCTCGGATTCATCGAAATGATTGGAGTTGTAGAGGTCATCTTCATCGTCATAGTGACTGTAATCCTCGTTTTCATAGTCGTAATCTTCGTAAGATTCGTGATAATTCTCGTTCTCTTCGTCGTAATCTTCGAAGGCATCGGGGTTTTCTCCTTCGTCGTATTCTTCTTCGTATTCTTCAGGAATTGGGTCTTCCTCTATGACGGGTGGTTCGGGGAAGGGAGTGCCCGTCATGGGAGATTCATCGATTTCATTCAATTCGGTTTCGTCGATTGGTGAAGGAGGTTCGGAAGGAGTCGATTCCTGGGCTTCCTCTTCAGAAATTGGTGAATTTGAATCCTCCACTTCATCGTTATGCATTTCGATATCTCCCTCAGTATTTACTTCTACGTTTACATTTTCATTGATCTCTTCATTCACTTCTTCATTCACATTTTCATTTACTTCTTCAATTACTTCTTCATTCACTTCTTCGTTCGCTTCTTCACTCACTTTCTCATTTACTTCTTCATTAACCTCTTCACTTACTTCTTCACTCACTTCTTCATTTACTTCTTCATTAACCTCTCCACTCACTTTCTCATTAACCTCTTCATTAACCTCTCCACTCACTTCTTCATTCACTTCTTCATTATGATTTGCTTCCTCTTCCTGATTCTCTTCATCCTTTTCTCCTTGACTCGCCTCCTCGTTTTCCTCCTTCTTCACGTACTCCACATCAATGTAAGGATTCTCCAGCAAATCAGAGGGCGGAATTTCCCCAGTTCGCAGAATGTACCGATTGCGATACAATGCGTATTTCTTATCGATTAACAAACTGCGCTGAAGACGAGACCGCAACGTCTGCATCAAATCGTCCAATTCCTTCGAGGCCATTTTCACTTCCCTCAGCTTCTCGTCTAACAAATCCAAATTCTTTTCGCCTTCGAAAATTCGGTCTTTCATTACCTTGTTTCCATTCTCTGCAATCTCTAATTCCTTTCGAATCTCAGAAATATACTTTTCGTGCTCTATCTACACAGTAACCACTGTCATAAGGATATACGCCGCAAACATTCTCGCACACTCCTTCCTTTTCATCACTTCCATCGCAGCAATCACAAATCTACCTCAAAATTACCAAAAACAACCCACTCCATCATTTACACGCGATGAGTATATTTTTACGCTTTTATATCCCTTGTTCTCGCATGTAAACTTCGAATCTGGCACAAAGGAACAAGCAGAAGTTAGATACTCGTCCTTGCCATCTCCAGTGCAGTCGCAATAATCATCATTGATCATAGACTCTGTTAATTGGACTACCTTACCTGAACCATCTACACAGGTCGATGGAGTCAAGCCTTTTACAAAACAACCTATCAAATGAATAGAACATTGCTCAAATCTTACTATTCAATATTAGGAAAATGATCAGTAGTTGATACATGCTTTTTATGAGGTTTGATATTCAAGAAAGAATAAGCTGTGATCCACTGTGTTTGATAGTATTATCTGCACAACCCTTCCATTTCCTATTTTTTGATTTTATCTCCAACTCTGTGTCTACAAGTCTCCTGTTTCGAAATTAGTCTTTCTAAGACGATAATAAAAAACAACAAGTCAAATGAACCGCGGTTTTTTCAATACTTTTTTTCTTGGTTAATATTTTTCTTTGTGTGGAAACCTGTAAGGCATTATGTTCACGCAATTATCGAATCTAGGTGGTTCTGCTACTCTAATTCCGTTTCTAAGTTACGGTATGGGCGATGTTTGCAAAAGCTGCGGAAAGACAGATTTTGTAAATGATATGGTGACTGGAGATCGCATTTGCACTTTCTGTGGGAACGTGCAGTTACAAAACATGCTTTCGGAGGAACCGGAGTGGAGAGCGTACAAGGAAGAAGGTAGCACTCATTCTTTTCGTTCTAATTTCCAGGAAATGCTTACGACGATGCAAGAGTCAACACCTTATCGGACTCGATTATTCCTTCGAATTCCCTGTCTACCGATTTCATACTAGATGGGCGAGACCTGGACACGAAGTCCTCTAAACTGGTGAGGCGCATGGAAGACCCTCAGGAGCTCAAGCGCACCCGCAGACTCCTCAGCATCCACTCCATTATCCAGGAAACAGCCAACCAGCTCGATGTGCCCCAGAACGTCCCCATCTGTGCATTCGACATCTACTCTCGATGCTTCACTCTAATGCACATCCGCGGCAAGCGTTCCGAAGTGATCGTCTCGGCCTGCTTCTACCTCGCATGCCGCCTCACCGGCTGCTACCGTCTCCTAAGCGAGATCGTGGGGGTTGTTCTCGCGGACATCCGCAAAGTGACGCATTTGACGCAGATTATCATCACGGAGCTGAAGCTTTCCGTGCCAATCCCCTCCGATCAAGACTATATTCGCAGGTACTGCGCGTGTCTGATGCTCCCTGCGGACGTGGCGTCGCTGGCGTTGCGGCTGGCGAGCTGCATTCGGGAAGGGAAGTATCCCAATGTATCGGGCACTGCGTTGAATGCTGTTGTAGTGCTGATGGCGAGTAGGTTGAGCGATGTGGAGGACGGGCCCTCGGTGGAACTGCTAGCCACCATCGCCAGCAAATCGGAGAAGAACATTGTGAGGCTGTATAAGGCGGTGTACACGCACTGCGATTCGATTTTGGTGGCGGTGTATAAGGATGATGCGAAGGTGACTGCCAAAGTGATTATGAAAATGACGCAGAAGCTCGACCCGAAGCGTTTGTAACTTAGTTTGTCTGTATTATATATATGAACTACTCTCTATGCGATGGTTTGAGTGTTTGTTAAAAAAAAAAGAATGAATGAATGAATGAAAGAAACACGCTGTTGTCTTATGCTTCTACAAAAGTTCCTTGCGGATTGGGAACGTAGACCGGAATCGGTATGGCTTCACAGACATTTCCGTAAGGAGTCTCGAACACCGTGATGCCTGCTTTGGTGTTCTGCGGATCAAAATACATATCAGGCGGCAAGTTTAGGTCCTCCATGATCTGTGCGCGGCGCTCTTCGCGGTACCGCGTCGCCCTGAACTTGAATTTCTGCACGATGGTCTTGCGATACTTGATTCCCAGCACCACGCAGATCAGTCCCACGACGATCACGCAGCCGATCTCCAGGATTCGAAGCCACACAGGGACCGGCAACGCGATGATCGTCGGTGTTCCCTCGAACTCCACATTCTGCACATCGTCGTATTTTCCGGGAAACTTCCGCTTCAACGCCTCCAAGAAGTCGCTCAGCGAGCTCTCGACGAACTGCGCGAGCGAGTTGGCTTTCAAAGACTTGATGTGCATTTGGACCGAGAGCGAAAAGCTCGACGTGGTTCCACTTGATTTGTCCTGCACTGCGAACGCATACGAAGCGATCGGCTTCGTGGAACTGTCCATGAAGAGCAGCTCCTTCGCTTGCAAAAAGTCGTCCGCCAGCTGCGTCCATGCGAGCTGATCGCGAATCGGCGAGAACACAAGCGAGAATTCGACGAACGAAATGCCGCGCCCAGGCAAAACAGACACTACCCTTCAACGAAATCGGGACAATCCTACCGATATGGCTCACTGGATCGCCCCACACTCCTTTCCGATCGAACGGATCGCTCGAGTTGGTCACGACGGTGCAGAATCGAATCATGTATCCCTTCGTCGTTTGGTTCCGCAGGCTCACAACCGCGAATTGGTTTTCCCAGGTGCGAGCAAACCCGTCCTCCGCCTCGCAGAACAATTCCTCTCTCGAATACACCTCCAAAGCTCCATAGAAGTGCGCGTGGTTCGTCTGGGAATTGCTGGAATACACCGAAACCGTGAGCGATGAAACGGGTCGCGACGCGTCCAACGGAATCAAAAGCGGCTGCGATTTGTTATTCCACAAATACGGGTGATTGACACTCCCCAGAACATGCTCGCTTCCCTCGGAAATGCCCGAGATCACCACCCAGCTTGGCTGCTGCGCGATGTTGGCCGCGCTGGAGTACAAAACAAGCCGAGAAACCGGGGAAGGATACAGCAGAGGCAGCGTTACCGATGAGGGAAGCGTGGAACTGCCGTAATTGAAAGGAGTAAACGGAGAAACCAGCGTCATAGGGTCGTACGAGTTCTACCCAACAAAGAGAGAAACAGGAGAAACGGGCGTTACGGCGGGAGAGCGACGCGGAGTGCAGGCAGGAGAGCTGAGAAGAACGGAGGAATAGATGGGGAAGGCGATGAGCTGGAAGGAAATCTGCTGAGGAACGCTTTGCCGCCCCAACAGCCGCACGGCGAAGACTGCTTTGCCTTCTTCGCTCGTGGAGGCAATGGGAGTGACGAACGAGTAGGTGCGTGGATGGACCCAGTGGGAGATCGGGGTGAAGCCGCAGCCCTTGCCGGCGCAGTTCTCCGACACGCCGGTCTTAAAAACGAGCACTTCGTTGAGATAGACGATGAGAGGGCTGGAGGTTTGCAGAACGACGCCCAGACGAGACGGCGGATTGGACGGCAGGTCGAAGTGCTTTCGGTAGTAGATCTCTCCCTGCTCGGTGGACGGAATCGGTCCGGTTCCGATGTAGGTGATCATCCAGTCGATATCTTCATATGCAATTTTGTACCAATAGGAAGAAATGGGCTCTGGAAGGACCCAACGGACCCAGAAATCCTGGTCATTCAAAATCCAGGTGAGTTGAATCGGAACGTCCGTTTCGCCTGGCTGTCGATGAGCAATGAGAATGGAATGAACATAGAATTCGACATTCATGTCATCACTACAAGTCACAAAAGAGACGAAGCAAAAAACGAGGAAGAGAATGGGAATGAAATGGAGCCCTCGGGAAGAATGAGAACCTGCGAGAAGGAGTGAGTGAAATAGATGGAAATGGGGAAAATGGATTGCTCAATGGCTGTGTCGTTCACGGAGAAGACCGTGATCGTTTGGGAATGAAAATCGTTCGTTTCTTTCAGTGTTAACACTGTGATATTCGGTGGAAGCGACAGGAAATCAAACACTTCCAGACTTACTGGGAAGGAAATCGTTTCATTCATATTCGATACCCGAACACTTCCTTCAAAAATACCGACTTCTTTGGCGATTCCATGAATCGAGTTCTCCAACCAATCATATTCCATCCATTCTGGAAGGTTTATCAGCTCAACACTCTTCACAAATCCCTTCACATTCCACAGAATCGTCGAGAACGGCCACCCAATCACCGTCGCGCCTTCCGTTACGATCGGTTCCACGCTGAATTCATCGAGAGGCAGATTCCATTCCATCATGACTTCTTCTCTGTAATGAACAAAGCGAGGCGGCTGACGCGTGGAGTCGGTTTCCAGTCCAACCCAACAACCCAGAACCGAATTGCATTGAATGAAGCTCATTAGTGTTCCCTGTGTGATGCAGGAAGTGAGTAAAAAGCCTTCCGATTCGATTTTGTTGTGGAGAGTTTGCGAGTCGAGTTTGATCTGTAGATATGCGTTTCCTTTGATGAGTCGGAATGTGTATGGATTGCAAGGATCCGATTCGATTTGGAGCGTCGTGCTGACTTCTCCTTTCACGTTTCGAGCTATCAGAGTGAATGAATCGTGCAAAGGAGCGATGAGCTGGCCAGAGAGCGAGGTGAGCGAGAGAGAAAGCGTGGAAGGCAGAGGAGGAATGGATTCAATCGTCGTTCCCATCGTTTCATCCACGCTAATATCGATGTGGAGTGGCTTTCCAAGGATCACAGAGATCGGGGTTTTGATGATTTTGCCATCGATCGAGAGAACCAGCGAAGAGGGCGCTTTCACAGGATCTAATTCTCATCGATGTCCGTCAAATCTACTCTCAATGAGAATCGTTAACTCCGTTTCATAGTTCATTTCCTTGCAGCCAACGCGGAGATCCCATCGGCCTTCTTGGCTGCTCGTTCCCGAAATCACGCCATTCGAAGAAAGCGTGAAACCGGGAAGAAGCACATCGGAGAGAGTGAGCGAACACTCCGAAGGAACGAACAGAAGCGGGTTTTCTTTGCACGTGGCGTTGACCGTGCAATGATATACAGGATACAAAAACGAAAATGCGGAACGAGGACGCGTAATGAGCGGCTGCGTCCAATTTGCTTTGCTTGAAATGAATTTGATGGGCGGTGGAAGCGATCGGCCTGCGCAGCGAATCGAAAGATCCATGATTTCCTCTGCGAATGAAGAGCAAAATGGAAATCAACGAGAGGAAGAAGGCGTGATTGGCTCTGTAACGAGCTCGTTATCGAGATACACTTCGCAAGATTCGGCGTGGACAGCGAATTCCGCCTCGTCCTGCATGATCAGCGTGGAATTCATTTCGATGAGCGGGTGCAAAAGTGAATCGGGAATGTCCCTACGATTCAAAAACGATCGAAGCTGAACTCCAACGTGAATTCCGAGATGGTTTCCACGACTTTTTGCTGTCTCACCCCGTTTTCTATCACACTCACAATCATCCCGTCTGCCGGTTCTTCGATTCGGTATGGAATCGACATCTGCGACAGCCCTCCGTTCGAATACAAAAACAATTTCACCTCCGACAATCCTGCGATTGGATCGCGAATCGCCAAATGATTCAGCCCCGCGATTGTGAAAATCTTCGAAGAATCTGCAAGCTGGATCTCGGAGAAAAGACTCTCTGAGTGGAGATGGATATCGAACGGCTGATGAGCGAAGCCCACCATCGTGTCCACAGCCAAAAACCGCGGGGGGAGCATATGATAACTCATGACCTTTGAAGTAATCAGCGTTTCGAGTTGGTTCAGAATGTGATACGAGTAGAACAAGGAGAAATAGGACGAACCCGCGCCTGCAGCGACATACACAGTGATTCGATGAAATGTGTTTGTTAATTTGATGGTGACGCGATGGGTTATGAAGGAGCTCGTTGGATCCGTTTCGAAAAGAGGCGTTTTGAAATCGTCAAGAAGAACGAGTGTTTTTGAGTTTGTTGATAGGCTGAACGAGACAGGCGCTCGATATTGGACGTTGAAGTACCCGGAAAACTGCAGCATGGCGTAGGGAGCATCGCCGAGAAGCTCGTTTTTGGAGTCTGCGGCGTTCGCCCAGCTCAAAGAGGACAGAACCGAACAACGGCGATCCAGAGAGGACTCGAAGAGATCGGGGAGGAAGGGGAGAGGAGCGCTGAGAGGGATCTGGCAGAAGCGAATGCCCTGGATCGACGAAAACGATTGGTGGAAGTAGAACACGAAGGTTGTGCTGACATTCCCTAGAGCATTCCTCGCGGTGACGGAAACGGTTGATGTCTTGCTCTTGTAGCTGAATACTGGAGTTCCCGAAATTCTCCCTGTCTTATTGTCGAAGTGAAGTCCATTTTCAAGGGGGGAGTTCAAGATGAACTCTTCAATATAGGCATCACTGGTAGGGACTATAGGGTCTATCGTCGTTGCATTGTAAGCATCCATTAACAGGAAACCATAATCTACTTCAGTTGGCTGTTTCAGAGCTACGGTTGAGATTCCAAAGAATCCAAACTGTGAAACCGGATTACGCAGAAATCATCTTCGTAAAACAAAATCGTGCGATGATTGAACTCTTCCATGGAAGTAGAGCCAGTAATATATTTGCCATCAAAGATCAGGCCAGGCGGAAGGCCAGAAATCTTTAAATTCCGGTGAGGTGAGTGATCATCCGAACATTCAATCGGATCTATCGTCTTGTTAACAGTAATCAAAACCTCTGTCACATTACAAAATATTTTCATGCCCTGAACGCACTCTACAACATGGGTCTTCAACAACTACTTCATACGTGCCACAACAAGAACAATCAAAGCGTAGAATCCTGTACAACAATATTTACGCATCATTATAAAAATTAAAATGTAAAACAAACACACAAAAAAGTGGGAATGGATTTGCTAAGATAAACGTCATTCACATAGTTCCAGTTTACAATAGACCACCACTCTACGCATTACACAGTTTTCACACACTCACTCTTAATGTACTCGGCGCGACGGAACTGGTAATCCAGATAGTAAGCGTGCTCCCAGACGTCCAAGACGAGCAGAGGGCGCAGACCAGCTAGAAATCACTCACAACGCGAGAAACAGTACATTGCATAGGATTGGCCTCGTTAGGAGTGCTCAGCACCTTCAGCTTGTTCTCCTTGGGGTCGTGGACAAGCCAGGCCCAGCCGCTTCCGAAATGCGCGGTTGCCACTTGGGAGAAAGTCTCATGCAACTTGTCCACCGATCCGAAGTCGCGAAGGATTGCGCTCTTCAATTCGCCCTCGGGAATAGCTTTGCCTCCAGGACACATGCAGTTCCAGAAGAACGTGTGGTTCCAGATTTGAGCAGCTTGGTTGTGAACACCTCCAGTGACGTTGGTGATGTAGTGTTCCAGAGGCTTTCGGTCTGTTCCCTTTGTCATGTTGTTGAAATTGTTTACATATCTATCCATAATGGAGAAACTCAATTCAAACGTTTGGTGGTGTCCGTCATAGTGGCAGTTCAGTGTATTCTCACTGATCACGGGAGCCAACGCATTCTTAGCGTAGGGAAGGGCACGAATAACATAGGGAGCAGTAGCAAAGGATCGGAGCAAGCTTGCAGACTTGATAACAGACGAGAAGGATTTCATATACATTTGGATATAAAAATTAATAACTTTTTGTGAAGATTTCTACAAGTTGTCAAAAATAAAAGGTATTTCTGTCAGGATTGCTCTCAACTGAGCATCCTAACACCAAATACGTCCACCAGAATGAACAGGACCCATAGAGGAATAGAGAAATGACTCGAAAATGCCGAATCCCTGACCATGACGGAACGCTTAAAATACAAACGAATCCCTATTGAATACTCTGCATTCTGTATGCCACGTTGCAGAATCGTTTGTTAAAATAGTTTGACATGAGTGGCAATTCTCCTGCAGATCGCTCTGGTATAGTTAGACATTAAGTACTTAAGAATGGTAGATTTGGTTCCCACAGAAGTGTTTAGTTGCTGCAAATGTGGTGCTCTTCTGTTCCGAAAAGATCAGGTCGTTACTCACACTCCAGGGGAGCAGGAACTTTTGTTTGAAAAGAAGAAACACGTACTTTCGAAAAGATGCGACTTACGAGCAGGACCGGCATCCAGCACACACCTGCATGTCCTACTTCCTCTCTTCCTGCCCTCCCTGGGTCAAACAGAAAGATCTAATCGAGTGCAAGATCTACTGCCCAAACTGTAGCTTTCGTCTGGGGATGCTCCAGTGGCAGGGAATTCAGTGTTCTTATATCCTTCCAATGTTAAATCAGCGGTTCTTTAATCCCAAGCGGTACTTGGGTGAATCCGGGTATTCAATTTTCGAAGTCCAAGGTTGATATGAAAACAGTACTTCTTCCCCGAAGAACCAAGCCGGCCTCGGAGTCGACGGAAAAGCCTGCTGCTGATTCTCAGGAGAAGAATGCAGCTCCGGAATCAGAGGCGAAGCCGGAACCAGACTCTCAGCAGTCGTCGTAGAAATGAAATAGGGGAAAGAGAATGGGATCGATCGATCGATCGATCGAAAGAAGAAAGAGCTCTTCTTCAAATGGAAGGAACAATATTAGTACCTGTTTTAGTTTACTTCACTATTTTGATTTTGTATTTGTTTCATATTTAAAGAACGATGCAACCTTTGGAATACACCGCGTCTCCCATCTTCCCACGAACAAACCCCACCGACCCGATTTATCTGGATTACAACGCTACGACACCTGTGGACCCGGAAGTCGCGAAAGCCATGTGGCCCTACATGACGCAGTTCTTCGGGAATCCTTCGTCGAACCATGTTTATGGAAGATGTGTTTTTGTTTCCATTCGGTGATTTCTAGTGGCGAAGGAGGGAGTGGAGAAGGCGAGGGAAAGCATTGGACAAATGATTAATGCGGAGCCGAGCGAGATTCTGTTTTTGTCGGGAGGAACGTTTTTTCCATGTTTGTTTATTGATAGGTTCTGAATCTATCAATCAAGCCCTTATTGGGGGTGTGCGCGCGCTCAACGATAGTCGAAGAACGATCATTGCTTCCTGTTTTGAGCATCCTGCCGTCAACGAAACTCTTGCGTACTCTCTAATCTAACCCACCACCCACTAGCTTCTTGGAAAAAGAGTACGGTTTCAAGATCGAGTATCTTCGTGTCAACAAGTACGGATTTGTCGACGTGGATCAGCTCGACCTTCTCCTGACTCCAGACGTCGCCATGGTCACGTGCATGCTCGCCAACAATGAGATCGGCTCCATCCAGCCAATCGCCTCTCTGGTGGAGCGAGTTCGTTCCTTCGAGAGTACTCCATCCTCTACTCGCTTACCTGCAGGTTCTGCGCAGGGCAACGGTCCGATTTTGTTCCACTGTGACGCGAGCCAAGCTGGCGGGAAAATGAAAATCGACACGAAAAAACTGGGCGTGGACTACATGACGATGGCAGGCCACAAAATTTATGCTACGAAGGGCGTGGGAATTTTGTACATTCGAAAGAATTCGATCACTCCCGCCAAAATTATTCATGGCGCGAATCAGGAAGGAAACCGTCGCGCCGGAACCGAAAATGTAATTCTCTGTGTGGGCATGGGGAAGGCCGCAGAGCTCATCGTAGAGACAGAGAAAACGCGTGAGGGGTAGAATCAGAACTTGGAGAGCGACATGAAGCGCATGCACGACTTGGTGGCGAATCGCTTCGGCTTCTTTATTTTTAGAAACAATATTTGAAGGTGCTTCTGTTGGATCGCAGTCCTGTGAATGTGCGTGTCAACAGCACGAAAAACCCGGATCCCTATGTGGACGAGGACGATACCGATTTCTATTTATCGAATACGCTGAGGTAGTCGTTAAAATTTTTGCTAACGCAGTATTGCCTTCGAAGGCATGCTATCATTCAGTCTGTTGTCCATGATGGGAAGCAAGGTTTGTAAGCCCCGATCTGTTCTCATCTCTAGTTATGCACGTCAGCGGGAGCTGCTTGCCACTCTTCGGACGGCATCTCGATTAGCGATGTTCGCTTCGTTGCTATCTAACACGACAGGTGCTTCGAGCCATCCACTGCCCTCTCTCCTACGCCATCGGAACCCTCCGTCTCTCGGTCGGCCGATACACCACGAAGCAGGACGTGGAAGAGGCCGCGGAAATTATTATTGCGGCCGTCTACAAGCTGCTGGAGCAGCCGTCAGTGAATCAGAAACTGGCATGGGAGCTGTACAATGTGGATCCTGGTACGGATATCCGTGTGTTGTTGCTTAATTTTAGAGTCGATCTATCGAGTTCCGAAGGTGGCTTCGGTCAATCGGAACATCGAACTTGATCCGTGCATTTGTATAGTCTATTATGAAGTGTTACTCTCTAGGCGATGTGGAAAGTCAAAAACAACAATGATTGTGTCCTTATGTTTGTTGAAATCATCCAGTACAATGCGGAATAAGGGTGAATGCAAGAAATACCGCAGTGTTAAAGGGTTAAAGTACCGCGGGAATCATGACGAAAGTGGTCAGATTTCTGTCCATGATCATGCCATAAACCCACGGCGGAATCTGCGATCAATATAGTTCTGGGTTTTTGAACCTTCATATTTTATTTCCTCAAAGATGTTCCGGAGAAATCTTTTTGTTTGCGCTCTTGCTGGTAGGTCTCGAGAAGAATGATCGTTCTCATATCTGTGTTTTGTACAAATTCTCATTGTTTGTAGTGGTTCTTGCTATCGCTGCTGCTGATTGCCCTTCCGATGGTACTTGGGGCGTCACTGTTCCTGGTTCGATCGCCGTAGCTAATTGCCAGGGAGAGACCGTGGGAGAGATGACTCGTGAGTGCCTGAGTACTGGATCGTGGGGCGCGATCAACACTACCTATTGCCTTCCTAAGTGGCCTGAGAATGGTTACGCTCATGTCGATTTTGTGTTGTTCATTATGCGCGGAAGATATGACACCATCTCCAAGAGACCTGAGGGTATTAAGGCGGCTATTTTGTCTGCCATCAATACTGTGGATGAGTCTGCGATCTTTGTCCACCGTATTGCTGAGAATGTTGAGAACAGCTATGTCTCTGTTCAGATCCGTGTTACTGATATTGAGTCTCGCGCTAATCAGTTCTACAGACAGCTCAACGATGAGTTCCTTGAGAAGTTCTTGCAATACTTGCTGGACAACAACACCGAGCGTGAGAAGCTGAACTTCCTGACGGAAACCACCACGGCCAACGTGACGTTCAAGTCCAATCCCATCTACCAGGCTGCGAAGCCGAAGAACACCACCGCCATTGTGGTGATTGTTGTGTGTGTGATCATTGGTGTCATTGTTTTGGTGATCGTCGGCTTCTACGTGTGGCTGCAGATCAAGAGATCTTCGTCGAAGAACGGTTCGAAACAGCTGAAGAACACTAGTAAGGTTTAAGTTCTCTGTAATGGCGTGTTTGTTGAACAAGCAGGGGAGTTCCAAGAAAAGTAATCGAGGTAGTAGAGATAAAACATCGATTTGTCGATGAAAAGCCGCATGAAAAGATAGCTGTTCCTGTCCTTGTACAGGTGCAGGTACTTCGTCTTGTCCAGAATCCAGATCCGCTCCTCCTTCTCCTCCATCACGATCGTCGACGAGTACGGCGGAATCACCATCTTCGTGAAGTAGGTCTGGAACACTTTCCGCACCGCCTCCTCCGAGAAGCTCAGCGACGTCCGCTCCCTTGCAATATCCGCATTCCGCACCTCCGGACAGAGCAGGCTCTTCAGCTCCGTGTACAGATCGAAGTCTGGCACCACCGGGAAGGGCGGTAGAATCGCGTCCTTCATCTCCTTCTCGATCTCCTCGCTCGACACGTAGCCCAGCGGGTCTTTGTAGTACTCATAATAGTCAGGGAGGTTGTCCGGCAGCCAGATGTGATCCTGATCGATGTTCACCACCGTCACGCCGTTCAGCTTCTCCAATTCCTCGCGCGAACTAGCCTCAACCGCGCTCCCCACGCCTACATGATGTTCGACGAAATGCCCATCAGATAGGGCATCGGACTGTAGATGAACCGCTTCATCTCGCTCGGCAGCACTGGGCAGTATGTGTAGCTCCACACGAACGGCTGTCTACGACTCAGCGTCTTCTCTCTCCCCCACAGCAGCTCCTTCAGCGATTCCGCCGTGTTGGTGAGAATGGAGAGCTGCGTGGAGAGGAGCAGCACGCTCCGCTCGATGAGCAGCACGCGGAGAATCACGAGAATGTTGGGGATGGAGAGCAGGTGGAAAAGCTGGAACATCCGACCGAACTGCGTCGTGTCGACGACTTGCTTGGTTCGAAGCGAAGGCGTTCGAATCGCGTGCTGCGAATGCCTCGGAGGCGGCAATGGGACCGAAGCTTGTGATGGTTGTGATGGTTGTGATGATTGTGATGGTTGTGATTGTGATTGTGATTGTGATTGTGATTGCGGTTGGATTTGCCCTTTGAGTGCTCCGGCAGAAGGAGCCACGAACTGGCTTAACATCGCGGCGGACATGCGGCGATCCTGCGAGTTACAGAGAGATTCGGTGGGGACATAGGCGTGCTCGCCGCGCGCGAGGAGCGAGAGAAGCAGAGAGCGGCGCGTCTCCGCGGCCGCGTTGTGGAACTCGACGTACGACGAGTTCAGAAACCGAACCAAATTCTCGCGAAGATTCGCGAGATTGTTGAACGGGGAGAGCAGAATGAGGCCTTCGGGGACGTAGCGCGTTTCCTGGCCGATCGTCTACCGGAAAGGAAAGCCGACTCGACCTACGTGGGGGTAGTAAACGTTGAGGCACGCCGCGCTCCATCGCTCCGACGGCTGGCTTCCGAGCAAAAAGGTGAAGCAGCGCGGCGACGTGGGCGTTGAGAACGACTGATATCCCTCCGGGAGGAAGAAAGGGAGCGGCGATGGAATGGAGAGGCCGGTTTCTATGCGACATCGATCGTGGAAACGTGGAACTTTCGAAGTCAGGAACGGTGATGGTCTCGAGAACACGCCAATTGCGAGCAGACTCGTCGCCTTGAATGAACACGACGCGAATGGCGGCGAAGTTCTGGAAAGCGCTGAGATCGGTGGGATGCGGAATGGGCGGAAGTTGGAAGAGAATGAAGCTGTGGTGCTGCTGGATGTAGAGAATCAGCTGCGCGAGATCGACGCGACTCCCTGCGTTGAAGCGAGCGGCGATTTGGGTGCGGACGCTCCCTTCCGAGACGGAAAGATCGCCGTTGCCCGGCGGATTGGAGGCGGTTTCGCTGTTTGGAGAGAGCGGAGAAGAGGGAGTGGTGATGCCGAATTGAGCGGTGCTGCGAGGCCGACCGCTGCGGGCTGGCTTCAACGCGGCCTCCACTTGATAGTCGGTGGGTTCGTCGTGGATCTGTGCGTTAGAGGGAGGAACGGAGAGAAAGTACGGAATGATCGATGAGATCGATCGCGAATTCGCTGTATTCTAGGGGGTATGCTTCGATGAGAAAAGCCAACCCTGAATGAACGAGCTGAGGTGAGGGATCTCGGCTTCGCAGCTCTCCAATCGTTCCATGGAATACTTGGTGGCGCGTCGGAAGGAAGCGAACGGGAGCTGCGTCGAGGAGGGCGATTGGAGTTCGTTGACGAGATACTCAAAGAGATCGGTGATGACGAAATAGTGGTATTGGTAGTTTAAAATCCACGAAAAGAGACGCAGTTGGACGCATGACAAAAAAGTGGAAAAAAGGTCAAGAAGCGTGGAATCAATGAACGGAGTTTGTCTCAAGGTTGTGATCATCGAATCGACAATGTCGTAATAGAAAGATGGAAGGCATTTGATGCTTCGCTCTGCGAAGAACTTCTCGTATAAACGAATGAGAGCGCGCGTCAGCTTCGCCAGCTCGCTCTCCGAGTACGCAGCAAGCGGGTTTCCCTCCCCATCTTCTTCCGAAGTCAAGGAGCTTTCGGAGAGGAGATGAGGCGCCGAGCTGTCATTGCTCATTCGAATATCTTTCAAATCGGTTGGCAGTTTTGCCAGAATGGTGACCTGGTTCTTCAGAATGGCTTCTGTTTCTAGAAGCGTTTGGCACGTGTCAATCATAGGGACATCCGAAACAGAATCGTCGGATGTGTCCTAGGAAATAGTTTCGATCATTCAAGAACACACGGGGTTTTCGGTCTTTTTGAGAGATGGATTTCGCATGATGTTTTCCAGAACAAAAGCGATGTTGTTCGGATAGCCGCTGTTTTTGATTTGAGAAAAAATCGTGTAGTGGATGTCCATCCAGAGAGCGACTTCCTGGTAACGGCGACGCGAAATCAGGAAGGCGAGAAACACGTTCGCAGCGTGGTGATTGTACAGGACATCTTGGAGATTCAGACGCAGAAACTGATATCTTTGGATGAAAATGGAAACAATACTCTATACTCAGGACTGTTGCTGAAACCCGCCCAACTTAAGGTCATAACACGATTCAGTAATTCCGCTTTCATATTGTGAAAGTAGTACAACACTTGCTCCACTGTCTTCCATTGCGTGTAAGGAACTGGGAACGTATAAAACAGGCAGGCGGAATACATGCCGTCCTTCTTGATGTATGTATTTAAGATAGAATTCATATCCCGCTGGCGGGTATCTTGATCCACGAGGCCTAGACGCTCCACTTCGATCACGAAGGACAACCAAATATAACAGAGATATAACCTCTTCCGCTTGAGAAAGCGAAGATAGATAAACAAGGAATTCAGGTTCGATTTCACTTCATTCCAAGAAATTACTAGATCAGAAGGAATAGGGCCTCTTTCGAAAACTATTTTGACGGGTCGCTTCTTCTTCCTGAGAATATCCATAATTGTATCGAAATCCTCATTTTCAACGTTCTTCCCTTGAATCGAAATGATTCGATCTGTCAATGCAATCTTCCTCAGTCTCTCAGCGCACAAAATATGTTCATTGAGCTGAAAGAATCCACTTACTATTGCTCCTCTTTCATCACTATCGGAGGCTAGCGTGATTCCCAAAGACTGCTCGTCTAGTGACACTTCGTACAGGATCCGGCCTTCTTTATGGGACATAAAGAAACTAGACAATGACTTCTCACTGTATTTTTTGATTTGGGGTATTGTTATTTTAACAAATGTGTCTATTTTGGTGGATGTTATTTTTTTAATGTACAATAACGATGATAGGATCTACAAAAATGAGTATTGTACAGAATGACACTTCATACACTGTATAAGGTCAACGCATATAGATTCCTTGTTAGTAATGAAAGTGAGGTGATTTTGGTCATTAAGGACAGCTACTCTTCAGTCCTTTTGTAGTTCGTGATTATTCGAAATGAGTATTTTTCATGGTACAACATGCAATGAAAACGACCAATCATTGAAAATAGGTGATTATGGATGTGTATCATCAAAGTCAATCAGGCTGCAGTGATTAGGTAAAAAAAAGTCCACATATTGTCGCATATTACAATGCTATTCTATTACGGATATTGTACTATTGGTGTGACACTAATCCATTCCATCACTTTAACAACGATTCCCTTTCCATGATGAGTAGAATCGAATCCATATTCCAATCACACCACGCCTCCTCTCCCACTTCTTCCAACAAACACATCACAATCCCCTCTCCAAATCCTTTACAAGTTCCGAGAACCCATCCGGATTCGTCCCCTTTCGCTTCCCCATAATCTTCTCTAAATCAACACTCGTCACCGTTTCCTTCTCCAGCAACAGCTTCGCCAGCTGATCCACATATCCCCGATTCTCCTTCAGCATCTCCACAGCCTTCTGATACGCCTCCACCATCAACCGCCGCTTCTCCGCCTCGATCGTCTTCGCCGTTTCTTCGCTCACACTCCCCGCCTCTTCCGGATCCTCCACGCCGTACCACACCGGTCCCAGCTTCTCGCTGAAGCCATACTTCGCCACCATGCCCTCCGCGATCTCCGTTCCTTTCCGCAGATCGTCTTGGCTTCCCGTGGTCACATCGCCCATGCACACTTTCTCCGCCGCGCGGCCTCCCAAAATCTGCACGAGCAGTTCTTTCAACTCCGCCTCGGAGTACATCGCGAGCTCTTTCGGGAGACTCTGCGTGAACCCCAACGCGCCGTTCGTCCGCGGGATAATCGACACTTTCAGACACGGATCGGTGTGTTCGCAGAGCCATCCAATCACCGCATGACCCGCTTCGTGATACGCGACGCGCTGCCGCTCTCGCTGCTGCATCGTTTTGCTCTCTTTCTTCATGCCGCACATCACGCGGTCCGCTCCATTCATGATATCCTGCAGCCACACCTCGTCGACGCCTCGACGCACCGCTTGCAGCGCCGCTTCGTTCACGATGTTGCTGATATCCGCTCCCGTATATCCGGGCGTCAACTCCGCGATTTGCTTCGCCAGCATTTCCCGATCATCGTGGAGCTTCACGCGCTTTAGATAGATCTCGGCAATGTCGCGTCGGCCCTGCAAATCCGGCTTCTCCACATCGATATGCCGGTCAAACCGCCCAGCGCGAAGCAGCGCGGGGTCCAAAATGTCGACTCGGTTCGTGCTGGCGAGCACCACGACGTTATCCGTCGATTTGAATCCGTCCATTTCCACCAAGATCTGATTCAACGTTTGTTCGCGTTCGTCCGAGGCGCCAGAATAGCGGCCACCGCCTCGCTTCTTGCCGATCGCATCGATTTCGTCGATGAACACGATGCACGGCGCGTTTTTCCGCGCCTCCGCGAAGAGATCGCGCACTCGCTTCGCTCCCACGCCCGCGTACAATTCGATGAAATCCGAGCCGCTCATGTACAGAAACGGAACGCTCGCTTCGCCTGCCGCCGCCTTCGCGAGGAGCGTTTTGCCGGTACCGGGGGGACCGGAGAGCAGAGCTCCCTTGGGAATGCGAGCTCCGATGTTGAGGTATTTCTCTTGGTTCTTGAGGAAGTCGATGAATTCCATGATCTCCGTTTTGGCCTCGTTGATTCCAGCGACGTCCTTGAAGCGAACCCCGGTCTCTTTCACGATCTCGATCTTCTTCTTGATGTTTCCACTCATCATGTTGCGCATTTTTTCGAAAAAGTTCTCCTCCTCCTCCGGCAAAATCGTAAAGTCATCCTCATCCAAACGATCGGACTTGTTGGGGGGAGCTTCTTCGTCCTTGGGCTTCTTGGAGGATTGTTCCTTCTTGTAGCTAGAGCCCAGCTCGATTACAGGAATTGCTTCCTCAGGCTTTTTCGGCTCATCGACAAACTCGATGTTTTTATCGTTTTTCAGATCTTCTTCCGTGGGAGTATCTGTAAAGCGGCGCTTGCGAGAATTGAACAGCTGTTCTCCCAACTTGGCAAGATCTTCTCTCTGTTTAGGAGACATTGACATCGCCTGCCTCATTGCCATACGTTGCACCTCTTTAGGCACACTGTTCATCATGTTTTTCACTAAGAATTACAAAGTCACATCTAAACTACAAAATTCCTCTAAATCATCCTCCTTCTTCTTATCGGCATCACTAAAACTACGAAAGAATGTAGAGAAGCGAGGAATCGTTCTAATAGAAGAACGGCAAACAGAACGTATCTAATTGTCATTTTCGAACAAAACAAAATCACTCCTCTCACTTGAAGGGCAAACAACATTCTCTTTGCCAAAAAACACAATTCTGGAATTCCAAAAAATGGAGCTTTCTTCGATTTTTGGGCTACCATTATACAACATCATTTCGATGCTTTTCTCAAAGTTTCATGCAGCATCTCTTCATCGTTCACACATTATTGCCGTTTCGTCATTCTCTACAGAATGCAACGTGGCAGCAATTGATTGGTAACCCCCAATTTCTCTCTTCGTTTAGGGATTAACACAAAAATGAGTTCCTTTATGTTTGCATTTGGATCGTTGCATCATATATAGAGAAGAATATAGAAGAGATGCAGGCTTTCGAAACGTTATCCAATTGGCAATTGGATTTGGATTTATTTATTTTGGTACGAAGCTTGGTATCTGGCTAATATGAATAGGATTGAGAACGACCCAGAGCTATACTGTCCCTCTTTTAGGAAACCTGGGTTCTCTGTCTCTTTCCATTGCATATTTTGGCTATGCATTCGCAAATCTCTTTGTACCTTCCATGGTATCCGCCTTTAAGAACGAACGTTTGGCTATGGCATTTGCCTCTATGGAATACCCGTATTGATCCATAATTTGGACTTATATCACAGCATTTATACCTACTTCTTCGTTTACGTTATTCCATGGGTGTGCATTATCTGGTCGGTTGTGCACGGATTTGCAGCTTCCGTATTCTGGGCATGTCAAGGTGTGTATCTATCTACGAATTCCACCGATGAAAATCGGGGTCGTCGTGCAGGAATATTCTGGAGTATCTACATGATGGGCGCTGTAATTGCCGCGGATCCAACCTAATTCGCAGGTGTTTGGCAATCTCTGCGTGTACATCATCACCAAGTTCATGGACATCCAAGCCGGTGGAGGTCCCGGCTGGAACGGCTCCACTTCCATTCTCTTCATCTTCCTTGGCACCGTGAGTATCTGCGGCCCGTGGATCCTTTTCCGCTTGAAACCCGCTCAAGATCCCATGGAACGAGCCACCGGACACACGATTTTGCAAGACCTCACCAGCGTGATGAAGCTCCTCTTCACTCCCAAAATGCTCTGCTTGGTGCCTCTCTTCCTCTGCCTGGGCTTCCAATCGATTTTCGTGAACAGCATGTACAATCGGCAGATCGTCAACAAGGGCGACATCTCGCTGTACATGATCATCTACACCATCGTGGAGGTCACTGCAGGGTATATTCACGGTTGGTTCATCGATCGCATCGGACTGTTCCCGATGTTGATCGTGTACTTGATTATCGGTGGATGCTCGATGGCACTGGCCTACCTAGCGAATTCCACGCAGAATCTTTTGTTCATCCCGCTGTATATTCTGTTTTCGCTCACTGATTCCGGATTGCAGACATTCGTAGGCTTGGAGGGAGGAACCATTAAGTGTAGTGTCTGACTGTGGTGGGCAGATACTTTAAAACCGAGAAGACGACAGCGAACGCGATCTTCCGCATGTTCCAGTCGCTAGGAGGAGGAATTTGCTATCTGTCTGGTGGACTGTTTGTGGATCAGGGGGCCACTTCGTCTACGCCGCAACAGCTGTTGCAGGAGGTGATGTTGAGCTCAGGATTTTTCGTGGTGTGCTTCTTGTGCTATATGATATTTTACGTGGCATATGAGAGACGAAATCGAGAAACAGTCGAGTTGGCTCAGACTTTTGTTGAGGAAAATTAGTTGCTTTATTGTTTTTAATTTGTCTTGTTTTTTAAAGGAAAGTGGAAGATCGTTATTGTTGTTTCCAACTGCAATTATCTTTCCATTCTATCATCTGTTGGATTTTGCTTGATCGATATTCCATTCGATTGTCTATCGAATGACATGAATGAATTCCATTTGTTGCACACAAAACGAGCTGCATAAGATTGTGTTGTACTCAGAAAACAACAACAACAACAACAACGTAAAGAATACATCTATTTAAACCCTTTGTACATCTTCCTTTCTTATCCCACAATCCAATCCTTCAAATGTCCTCCTCCATCGGAACGAAGTCGATCACCAGGTTCGTATTGTTGATATCGATTACGGGTTCGGGCTCACAATGAACAATATCTACAATACACTCAGTCCAAATTTAGTACCAATAAAGTATTGCTGATTATTGAACTTGATAGGAACGTGTCCTCCCTCTGCTAAAACGACGAAATGCCTTAGCTGCTCTTCAAATCTTTATTTAGAATACGAATCGACACCTACGTCGCCTTAATATCAGGAACCGAGAGCAGTTCTTCGTTACAAATGCGAACCGCCACTGATTTTCCTTTTGGGATGGAGATGTTTTCGATGCGAATGTAGGATCCAATTTTTAAGTCGAGATCGTTCATCATCTGCGAATCATTGCAATTCAAAAGAAAAACCCATTGTGGCATAAAGCATGTACCCGTGTTTGCCGTGAATTCCTCGACTGAGCAATAGGTTGTGTACTTTTCGGTGGTGATTCGAAATTTCATAGGGTTTTGGACTGTTTTTCTGACTAAAAGTGAGAAAGCACAAGATTGGTTACAGAGCAGATCCATCGAGTAAGAAGACAGAATAACTACAAATCAAATTTGTTATCCGTGTATACCGTGGTCTCCATTATCGTTTTTAGCTCTCGAAAGGCTGTAAGGAATCACCTGCAAAAACTCTTGATAAGGTCTTTCAGTTACACGAAAATGGTATGTACTACTCTTGCTCATTGACAAGTACCTTGCGAAATTCAATTGGTTCCATAACAAACAAAACTAACAACTATTTTCTAAACTTCGTTCTGCGACTCTGCACTTCCCGGAGCCTCTTCATCAGTTCTTTGTTGTTCTCGCATTCCACATGGAATGTGTGCATCAATTTGGAGTGTACACGCGTCTTTTCCTGCACCATTGCCTGATTCTCCCGAATTGCTTTCAACATTCGGTTCTTCTTCTTCAAATCCGTATTTCGCTGTTGCGTCACTCCAACGAGCTCTACGTGCCACTCCCTCCCCATCTCTACGGTGCGTAACCGAGGCGAGCGCCGCGCCAAGCGTTCCCGAAACGCCATGCAGCGAATTCTGCGATTTCTGGACGGTTTCCGACAGCGATTCGAGGAATTTCAAGTGAGATTGATAGGGATCCAAAACGCTGTGCAGACTATTCAGCACATCGTAGTACTGGGAAAGTCGCACGGACCCTTCCACGATAAGTTCGATGAATTTGGAGATTTCGTTCTCGAACTAGGCGTCACAAACCGCGGGGATTCGCACGAACAGCAGCTCCGCTTTGGAGGGAATCATCTCGAGAAAGCAGCGCGATTTGAGAATGTCCACGTTGAGCGATCGGTAGATGGAAAGCAGCGACAACAAGCTCTGTTGGACCTTTTCTTCGATCCCCGCGACCATGAAATACTGTTCCTGTTCGTGCTGGACGATCTGCTTTTTGTTCTCTGCTTGCTGGCGAAGCTGGCGAAGCTCCTCATCGTGGAGCTCCTTGCTGGCGTTTCGCTGTGTGCTGAGCGATTCGAGAAGACGAAGAAGCTGCCGAAGTTCCTGCACTTTGTTGAGTGTTCTGCGCGTAAAGCGGAAGGAAAAGGAGGCTACGCATCGTCCTGGTTTGTGGTAAGCGCGTCTTGCAGCGCACATTCGATTTGTTGGTATTTGGTTTGCAACGCTTGGTACCGTTCTCTGCATTCATTCCGCTCTTCCACCGCTTTCTGTTCCCGTTTTCTCATGGTCAAAATCTCGCGGATTCGCTGCTGTTTGGTGTGGAGAAGCTGAACGATGTCGGACACGCTCTGCACGTCCTCCGGAGCGTCGAACGCCGCTGCGTTCATCGGTGAATTGACTGCTGCGTTCATCGGTGAATTGGCTGCTGCGTTGAAATCAGCGACGAAATCGGAAGCTAAGGACAGCGTGTCGTTGTAGGTTCCGCCTGCCAGATAGCTCTGGGACTGCAGGTAGGCGATGAAGGTGAAAATGCAGCGCGGGTTGCAGGGGGAAACTGCGAGTTAGGACAGACGGAGAGGACGACTGATCGTTGAGGTGGTTTGGCATGAAAGCATGGCGGTGGACTGGAGATCGGTCGCTGATGTTGAAGAAGGAGAAGAGAACCAGAGCGAAGAAACAGCGTCTGGGGGAGCATCGGAAGCATCAAAACAGAATTCATCTTCGAAGAGTCGCTGAGCGGCCAGCGACTCATAGGAAGGAAGAGAATTGCGGATTTCGATGATTTTCTCTTTTAACCAGGTCAGCAGTGTTTCCATCGCCTTGTAGTCCATTCCCTGGATTTGCTGGGGACTCAGGCGATTTGGATACTTCATTCTACTATCAAAACGGAAAGAGAGAGTTACTGAATGAGACATTTGATAATGTTCTCGGAAATGGCAATCTTTTTCCCTAGACTCATCCCCTCCGAATAGGCAATATCACGATTGAATTCGGGCTTTATATAGCCAATACACCAGGAAAGACCTCCTATCAAAGTCTCAAAAGGATTTAGCTCTTCCCGACTCCGTAGTCGTACTCTAGAGATCGAAGAAACATTGAAGGCGTTACCCATAGTAACCAATCTCATCTAAAATTGCCAGGATTGCATCGAATCCAGAGCGCGGCTTTTTACGCATTACCACACGCTCCCCAGGGGTCAGTTCAAAGATGTTTCCATTGCTGGTAAACAAACCTCCCGTTTGATCTCCTACAGATGGCATAATCGTGTCTCAGTGCAGGGTATTCACAACAGAGACAAGAAATGAAAATTAGGAAACTCTATGAGAAAAAGTTTCGTAACGAGGAATATTTCAACATTTGTGATTTTGAACTTTTGTGCATTACGTTTTTTGAGTTGCAAATAATCAATGAATGCTTATAACGAGGTATGATAGTATGTTTCTGTGCCCGAATCATAGGGATTCAGCTCGGAGCGTGAATCTCTCCAATTACAATATTATAGCAACGAAGAAAGTGTGGTAGAAAATTCATCTTCTGTATTTTTCAATGCGAATCGTTATTGTCCTAGGAGAACCGTTTTAACTCCTACATAAGTGGAACATCTTCTACGATGATCGAAAGCGAAGAAGAGAAAAGAGACACTACGTTTCGTTACGAATTGCCGTTGGCTGTGGGAACAACGATCCGTAGAGTTTGCTTTCACGGATGCGTATAATCGTAGACGATCTACCACCTTCTAAACTTATGTTATTCAAAGAATATCTTGTCTTTCAATGGCAACATCCCCTACGGAGAGTTTGCATACAGCTTTTTCTCAACAGCAGGTTTTCCATCAAAATAGGCCAGGACAAACAAAATTTCGATCCTCATGACTGCCGCAATCTCCTCACCCTAGAAGAAGAGTCCCTCATCGACTCTTTCAAGCACGAATACCTCGTTCTCTTCAACGAACACAAGGGACTCACCGTTCTCACCTTCATCGTCACCAATGACAAAATGGAAGGCAATGGCCGCGTTCTTCTCCATATTCGCTCAGCTCCTTCCCCCGATCGCTCCGCCACCGACTCAAACGATTCGTCCCGCATGGGCTCCTCCCTCTCTCCCCACAGCCTTTATTTCCCGCGATCTCCCGTCCGTTTCACCCATCCTTCCACTTCAAAACCCGTCCCTTCCTCGATTCCACGTTTCTCCCTTTCCCCACAGAGCTCGCTCCCCACCGACCGAGCCGTCCAGCAGCCCTCCTCCTCGAAAAAACCCGTTCAATCTTCGCTCTCCGAATTGAGCGGGCTTTTTGCTTCGCGCCCGCCAGTCTTCCAGCACGACGGTTTCCACTATTCCACGACCTTCGCGACTCCCAGCGAGGACTCCGCCGCGCTGCTCCCCTCCATTGTGTTCCAGCGAGCCGATCCCTCCACCCCGGAACACAATTCCTTCACGGACTCCGATGATTGGTCCGAATCCACCGAGTGGAACTTCCAGCGCTACTCCACCGCCGAGACCGACCCGCTCTCCGCCGCCTCGCTCTCCTCCGACCCTCCCGATCCCCCGGCGAAGCAGCTTTCCCGCCACCGCTGGAACCTCCTCTTCGCCGACGACGAAACGCCCGCAAACGCGGGAAACGCGGTTTTCGAGGCGTCGTTGGAAGAGTGGAAACGGGGAAACCGGATGAGGAGTAGGATGAAACCGCCGAAGGAGAAGGCGGAAGTGCCGCCTATCGAGGTCTGCCAGTCGTTTGGGTGCCATGAGGTGGTTCCGCGGTTATCGCAGCGGGAGAAACGGGTGTGTCAGCAGTGTCTGTTTGTGTACTGCGAGAACGTATCGATTCCCGCGGTTCTGAACCCTAGCACAAGCCGAAAAAGCGGATCGTGAACGGGAAAGAGCTGCTTCTCTGCGACCACTGCTACGAGTCGAACTTCGTTTCCCCGGTTTCCCCTTTTCACCGTAGAAGAAAAAGCCGGACGTGACGGTGCTGACCCCGACGGACAAGGACTCGCTGTCCTCGATCACGACGCACACCACCTCGCCGCAGCCGCTCCCCGTGGTTGTGACTTTTATGTCGTCTCCGCTGGGCGTCTCGCTGCAGAGCGGGACGGACGCGCGGAACGCGATGCTCGTGAAGGTGGAGCGCTTCGAGAACAACGACTACGGGATGAAGGTCCCGCTGAACAGCTTCGTTCTGCAGATCAACGACGTCGTGACCATCGATCGTCCCTACCAGGAAATTCTCACGCTCATCAAGAAATTCCCGCTCCCCATCGTCATCACCTTCGGACCTCTCTCCGATTCCCGCATGCAGAACATCCGCACGGTTCTCTGTTTCCACTTTGGAGGGTCGGTTCATCTGCAGCGGTGAGAGAACCGCGGGAACGTCTGTGCAACTTCGCGATGTGCTCGCAGCCGATTTTGGAGTCCACGTCGCATCTCTGCGCCGTCTGCGAGCGCTGGTACTGCAAATATCACTGCCGAAGACTGCTCTATCTCGACGGAAACTCGCCTTCCTACGTCTGTCAGTTCTGTTTCCCGCTGTTTTTCAATCCGTTCGAGTCGGAGGAGCCGAGTAACCGCGGGAATGAGGTGGGATGGGATGTAGCTCCGTGGATCCCGGATTATATCGTGGAGGAGTGCACGGATGTGGAGTGCGACGTACAGTTTTTGTCGTTGATGCATCCGTTTCGGAAGCGAAAGCATCATTGCCGATTGTGCGGGAATGTCTTCTGTGACAAGCATTGCTCGAAGCGGGTGTTCCTGCCGGAGAAGAATATCCCGGATATGGTGCGCGTTTGTAATTTGTGTTTTTCGCTGTGAGGAAAGAGGGGTTGAATGAGGTGTAGGCTGGAACAGCATAATAAGGAATTGTAAAATAGATCGTATGAGGTGTTTGTTTTCAATCACATTAGTGCGTCAAGTTATTTTTTATTTTACTTGCACATTTGAGATGAGTATCATTCGATTCAGTATCGTAGCTGCCATGACCACAAAGAGGGGCATTGGGCTCAACGGGGGACTTCCTTGGAGAATAAAGCAAGACATGAAGTTCTTCGTGGATCTAACGACAACTACGACTGTATTTGTAGCGCATTGAGTGTCATATAGGATTCTGAAAAGCAGAATGCCGTCATCATTGGGAAAAACACCTACTTTTCTTTTCCAGAGAAGTTCCGCCCTCTGAAGAACCGAATCAACTTTATTATTTCTCATGACAAGGAGTTAAGAGAGTAGTTTTAAAAGGTTTAATCAACTGCTTAGAAAGCACAATATTCCCGATTCTGTGTATATCTGCTCTTCTGTGGATGAGGCTCTGATCTTGATGCAAGAGGAGGAACTAAAGCGAAAGATCGAAAACATCTTCGTGATAGGTGGAGGCCAAATCTACAAAAAGGCCATCAATCTTCCCGAATGTGAAAAGCTGTATCTCACAGAAGTGGACGCAGACATTTCTTGCGATACCTTCTTCCCTGAAATCCCTCTAGCGTATAAAAAAACTGTATTTTTGCTTGCTTTTTCGAGGTAAGCTTCCAGAAAGAATCGGAAACATTCGAAGAAAACAACTTCAAATTCCGCTTCGCCGAGTATACACGTCTGCCCATGACCTTTTTGCCCCCCTACCGGACCTCTCTCCAAGTACCCGCTGTTTTCTTTTACGATCATGATAATAGGAACACGAAGAACTCCAATACCTGAATTTGATTCGCTACATTCTGGATCACGGAGCTCTTCGAACTGATCGCACCAACACTGGAACGAGAAGCGTTTTCGGCACGCAGATGCGATTTTTGCTGGCAAACGGCGTGATTCCGCTGCTGACGACGAAGAAAGTGTTTTGGCGGGGAATCGTGGAGGAGTTGCTGTGGTTTATCCGCGGTTGCACGGATGGCCGCGTTCTGAAAGTGTGTTTGTTCGATTCTCGTTGAGAGTAGGAGAAAAACATCCACATTTGGGACGGAAATGGCACGCGATCGTTTTTAGATAGCGTGGGACTCACACAAAACGAAGAAGACGATTTAGGCCCGATTTATGGATTCCAATGGCGGCATTTTGGCGCGGCTTACGAAGGCAGAGACAAGGATTACTCGAATCAAGGCGTGGATCAGCTGAAAGAAGTGATTCATTTGCTGAAAACCGATCCGTATAACCGACGAATCATTTTATCGGCATGGAATCCGGCGGATTTGAGGAAGATGGCGTTGCCTCCATGTCACGTGATGTCCCAATTCTATGTGCAGAATGGGTACTTATCGTGCCAGATGTACCAGAGATCGGCGGATATGGGTCTTGGCGTTCCATTCAACATCGCATCGTATTCGCTGTTAACGATTTTATTGGCGCATATCACCGGATTGAAGGTACGAATTGGATAGCATTCTGAGTAAAAGCCGGGAGAATTCGTGCATTCGATTGGCGATACGCACGTGTATGTGAATCATGAGGAAGCGTTACTGCAGCAGATCGAGCGAGAGCCGCGTCCGTTCCCGACTGTAAATGTGGAGAGAGGAATTGAGGGCTAGTTGCGGATTACAAAGCAGAGCGAGAATATTGAGGAATACACGTTCGCAGACTTTGAGTTGGTGGGATACAATCCACATGAGACGTTGAAGATGAAAATGGCGATTTGGAGTGTTTGTTTAAATCAGTGGTTCATTTGAATTAGGACTCCATTAGCGTTTTCTTTTTTAGCAGTCTCATTCGAAGCGATTCCTCGTCACTTTCCCAACACACTTTTTCTATTGGAATAGAATACTTTTTGTTGTCTATGAGTAATAAATGATGATGATAATAGTGTAATTGTCAATCGGTAATGAAATAATAATAACATAGCATGGAGATCTAGATGATGTTGTTGTTGTTGCTGCTATGAATGTGTTAACTATTGGAGTAATGGGTGAATGATTGGATAAAAGGATTATTACGAAGTTTTATTTATAGTATTGGGAGGGTATATATTAAAAAGCGAGTACAAAATAGGGGAAAACTAATTCGAAATAATTACCTCTATTGCATTATACTACTACCATAAATATAGCTATAATAACTAAATGAGCTATTATAAAGCATTTCGTTATTAATAGATTATGTTTCCAAATAAACTGTTTCTTTATATTTCATTACATTTAGATACAAAACATTGTTGATTTTGTCAATTCTGTTATTAGTAACTATCACATTGATAGTTTCATTATTCAAAGTGTACAGGCATGCTTGGGTAAAGAAATGAAACCAAATGGCTGGATTTCACTCATATTGAGTAATGGAGTATGTTTATTATTGCAATTCAATAATGGAGTATTCATGAATCAAGGATTTGTCCTCAATGAGCAGAAAGTGTTGAAAGTGTTTGGAAATCATCAAATTGGTGCTATTTCCTATAATGAAGAACAATCCATAGAAGTAGTAGAAGGAATAGTGGATTTGGATCATGGAAGTCGATTTGAAGGTTTGGTATTGACAGAAAACGAAAAAGAAGGTAGAATAGGAATTCCATTTGGATATGGTGAAATATATGATGATGATGGAATATTGGTGTACAAGGGCATAACGATCAATTGGAAACGATTTGGATATGGAACGAGTTATCATAATAATGGATGTATTGAATATGAAGGATATTGGTGTGATGATAATCGATTTGGTAAAGGAATTGTCTATGATCGATATGGTAAATTAGTGAATGAATGTGAATGGTATAATGGAATTGAAAGTGATATTGATGAAAAATATGAAGGAGATGGAAGCAAACCACTGAATATCGGAATGAAACATTTGAAACTGATTGACAATTGTGTATTGATTGATTTGGATGTTTCATTGTTGTATAATTTGGAATCAATCGAAATCGACAATAATTGTTTTGAATCAATGAAATCATTCCAAATCGATGGATTGAATCGATTGAAAACTATCAAAATCAAAAGCAATTCATTTACTCAAGTGATAATAATTGTAGAATAAAGGAAAATGAAGAGTATAAAAGAGAGGAAAAATCATTCATTTTAACCTTACATAGCAATTCTATATTAATATCGATGTACTCATCAACATATCAACCATTATTGTATTGAAAATGAAATGTGTCATGTTTTGTATAGTTTTTTACGTATTCGTTTTCTACAAAAGATGTCAGTTTATTATTACAAACATAGATTTGATTACATCCCAATAGTTCACTACTGTCGATATTACCGATTTTTTTATCACTATTAAGAGTATTATTTGATCTACTGGATAAAGGCCATTTTCACCAAATAACCAAACAACGAATCTTGAATGCCAATATTACACTCGATGCGTTGTATTTTATCTATTTTAACTTTGTAATATGGTAAGTCCGGTAAATGACTCTAATATTCAAAAAAGCATTCATAGCTGTTTGGATTTGCTTCAAATGCATGTACAGATATCAATACATCATGATTGATTATCTTATAAAATGCTTATATTTGCTCAACGATTGTGTTTGTATTGCATTCCATTACGTCCATTAGTTACAATCTACACCAAGCAACCTATTCTAGTCTTCATTTCAATTGTTTCCTTTTCACTTCCCATATCCAACACACCACACATCATTCATCCTTCAAGTCCTTCAACTATCCTTGTATTTCAACAAACAATAACACTTCTCACACATACTCTCTAATGCGCAGCAGAAATGGGAGGCAAAGCTTCCCGAATACACGATCCATACCCCTCTTTATCCACAAAAATCGCCAGTTTCTTTGCTTGTTCGGCCACCTCCGTACTCACCGAATAATAATCAAAACAGCCACTGATATCCGTGAATCCATCCTTCAAGAACTTGTTTTCTCCACTATTCGTCTCCGCGTACACCTTCACATAGCAGCACGGAATGCCCGCATGCGTCTTCTTATCCATCACTCGCAGCTGTCCAGACTTCACAGACAGCGCCACAAGCAGCGAATTGTTCAGCGAATAGCAGGCTTCGCGCAGCGTTCCGTTCCGTACTTCCACCAAAACATTCTTCTCCTGGTATTCTTTCGGAAGCGTGTAGCAAAACTCGCCCACGCCATCGACTTCAGGAGGCAGCTGGACATGCTGCGTGTAGTTGGGACGAATGAAGAGCGACGAAGACTTGTTGAACACGAAGGGATTCAGACTGAAGAGCAACTCCACATCCAGCTCGTAGAGATTGATGTCTGCCTCGCGTAGATTGTAGTAGTGCAGCGTAATCACCTGATTCGTGGATGACACTTCGAGCGAACTGTCCATATTCATTTGCGATCGTTTCGATTTGAATTCATCGCGAGCAAGGTCCGATTCATCCCTGATTTCGAAGGTCTTCTCGATATCCATTGTTCCATCCACGCTCTTCACCATCGAAGAAATGTTGCTGAAAAGATTTCGCCAGTACAGAACTGGATAGGACTCATAGCGAGCACAGATCTCGCGAGCCTGCGTCAAACTCTCCGTGAAACAATCGAAATACGCGATCATATAATCGACCTGGACGTTGCAAACGCAGTCTGCGCGCGGAACAAAGCGGCCTTCTCGCTCTTCACAGACGAACTGTTTAAACACAGAAAGGGCGGTCATCACACGATCCTGAAGAATCAAATAATACACCAACAACGCGTAATCATTGCACGTGGGCTTCTTTTGCATCAGATACTTCAAGAAAAGCTCGTATTGCTTCTTTAGCTTGTCGTTCGGAATGTTCATGCTCTCTCCTAAGCGGAAACAACGATTATTCACGTAGGGTTTGTACTCGCGAATATTGAAGAGTCCCTCAGCCGCTGAATCGATCGTGAGCATCGGCGAAGAGAATGCCAGTCCAACACGCTTCCTCATTCTCATTCCCACAAGATCCTTCGTGGACTGCAGATCGCGGTGTTTCACTCCGAACTTCCAGATATCCTCGTTATAGAATCGAATTTGACGCAGCTCGGCAACCAGCTTCGTAAAGAACGAAGCATTGGACAGTCTGCCCAACACATACTTCCATTCCAGCTCCTGCACATCATGTGATCGAATGTAATCAAGCAGAACGTCCTCCGAAGCGTTGAGCGCCACATCTTTCCACGAAGTGACATCCAGCGTCTTCGCCTCCTTCACGCAGTGGAGCGTCGTGAAGGAAGGAGAAGCGACAGCGAGGATGGTCGCCTTCGTTGAATCGATGATGTGCGCTGGAAGATGCTCAAAGTCTCCCACCTTCGGGAAATAGAACGAATAACTCAACGTGCAGGTGCTGAAGGCATCGATTGTCTTCACCTCGTTCACCAAAGACTTGAGATTGGATAGAGGGTACGATCCCCGCGGAATCTGATACATGACCTCCACGACTTGCTGGATGGGCGCCACATTCGTAATGACAATCATGCAGGTGTACGAAACTCCCGCGACGAACTCGTTGGTTTCCATAAAACGCTCCACTTTCTTCCCGTTCACTGTCTTCCAGTGATTGCTGTTATCGATGTACTTGGTCAGCACCATGAGAGGACAATCCGCAGGCTTCGTTCCCTCCTTCAGCATTTTGTGGAACACGAACACGGGCGAGTTCGTGACTAACTGCGATTTCTGTAGGTGATAGGCGGCTTCTTCACTCTGAATCCCCAGCACAGACAGGCAGAATAATACTTCCGAAACAGAGTGAGTGCAGAGAATGAAGTCTTTGGAGAGGAAGGGAGAAGACGAGCCGCTGCGCAAATGATGGGCAAAGGACGCCCAGAACGCTGAATTAGGAACAAGATTCACAGGAGAAAACATTTCAGTGCTTTGATAATAATATCCCTCCTGATACTCCTTCGTTTTCTCTAATCGTTCGTAGTGATGTTCTACACTCTTCTTCTTTTTGTAAGTGTCAATGTCTTCCATTCGATCAGCCGACTGAGCAATGAATCGATGAGATGGCATGGCATCCATTCGACGCATTCGTGGAGCGGCCATCGGAGGAGGCGTTGGCATAGAACAATAATCGACTGCATCAGACATACACTCAGAGCCCATGCTCCTATTACAAGCTCCTAATTTTATCCTTCTTGGTACAAGATTAGAAACAATAGACCTCGCACACATCTTTGGTTTTCTAGCTCCACAAAGCATTGGTCTTGGTCGACATAACTCTTCCCTAGATGAACCAATGCTACCTATAAGAAATTCTTCCACTTCCACTTCCTCCTCCTCCTCTTTTTCCTCTTCTTCTTCCACTTCTTCTTCTTCTTCCTCAGGTGGAAGCACAGAAGGCGGCGCATTCAAACTCTTCAGATTCATCGCACTTTGGAAAATGGAGGCGAACGCAAAGCGAGAAAGAGGATTGTGCGCAGCATTATTCTTCATTCCAAGTTCAATTGCTGCGCCTTCTTCTTCAGAAACTCGACTGGCCAGCAAAGCGCGCTCAAAAGCATTCAGACGCTCAAAGAATTGGGGTTGAAGGAAGCGAGACACATCGCCCCCAGTAAGCCACACATCCAAAAACGATTTCTCGACCTTCGATTGCAGAGAAGAAGCGAGATATGCATCAAAGAAGGGACGGTCACGGAAATAGATGAAGACATTCACTTCCGAGCAGTTATATTTGTTGTACAATCGCATCTTTTCCTTTTCGTTCATTCTGTCCCACGAAAGAAGGAACGAGAATTGCTGCAGCCTTGAATCGTCCAACAACACCTTCAAAAGCAGCCATACATCCTCTAGAGACGCCAACACTTGCATCTCTGACTTGCTATCAATCGACAACGGTTCCTCCGCCGTTACTACCGATATCCGCTTCTCTTCCGTGTAATTCTTCGAGGGATCCAGCGATTCCTCCAGCGCTTGCTGCTGAACCATCAGTGAAACACGGTCATCCTCGCTCCCAGAATAGAACAACACGGTGTCCAAGAAACGGCCTTCATCCACTGCAACCACTTCAACCTCGCATCCATTCTCCTTGTAATCGCTCAGATCGATTTCTGCTTTTCCATCTACCATCTGGATGTTCGGCAGCAAACGAGAAAACACACGGATCGTCTCACGACTATCGCGCTGTTTCATATCTTTCGGAGCAACATCCAACTCATCTCGTGTCTTGGAAACGCAGGCTCCTGGACGTTCTTCATGCTTTTCTGCAAAGTTCGTTCCAGCCGATGCCTCCTTCGCTTTCGTCGTCGTTTCATCCACTTTGATCGGATTCATCAGCAATCCAGGAGGAGGCAGCATATTGCCAGGCAACGTTCGATTCGCTCGCTTTCGTCCCTGGATGTAGTCGTACTCTTCAGGAAGTTCACGATCATTCACGATAAGAGAAGAAACGGGATCTAGCTTAATTCGCGCATAGGAAGGATTGCTCAGATCTCGGATGTGATTGCCAAGCATCAAACTCTCGTAGAACGACTTGAGCAACACATGAACGTGTGCAGATGGTGTGGCTCCATAAAGCTGGATCGTAAGATGCTGATCGTTCGGCGTGCAAATCATTGAAATGGGGGCATTACTCAGTTGTCGAGCCCAGGAACCAAAGAACGCATAATGTTCAGTAATGTTCATCTTGGAAGCATGATAAACGCTGATTCGAATCGTGTACAAGGTTCCATTCCTATCTCGAACATACAACACATATTTTCCAGGCTTCAGATTGTGAATCAAAACATAGCCATCGACCCTTGCCAAACAAGATTGCAAGGATTCAATTTCGTCCTCGCTCGACTCGCAAATCAACATATAGTCATTCAAATCATCGCTGATGAGAGGAATCAGAGCTTGAACCTTTTCGTTCTCAGCCACTTCCCAGTTCTTTTTCACGTTGAAGGTTTCGAAATGAAGCGGGAACACAGTGCCATTCACATCGATTCGGGTGATATTGCGGAGAAGACCCAGCGAAACCTCTCCCTTCTCGTCTGTTTCGAGCGAGAATCGGAAGGTCGATGTGCTGTAGAGGTGGTTCAGCTTCACACTCACAGGCAGACTGGGATATGGTTCGCCTGCAGGACCGGATGCATACACAAAGAACTCCACTCCCTGCGAGGTTCTCTTTCTGAACAGAGAGTACGAAGGCTTGACTTCCTCGATGTTCAGATTGCGCTTCGGATTGTAGTCGGTAGAATACAAATCCAACGAAGCCGACAACTGCTTCTTCACTCCATTATTCGTCACAACGGACGCGGTAATGCTCGCCTTTACACTTTGAATCGGCTTTGAAATGCGCAGAGGAACCACTACCTCTGCATCATCTTTCAATACTGGCTTCACAGTCACTTCCGATGCAATGTCATCCATATCCTTCATGGAGAGAGTGATCGAAACGTCCTGTAGGAGCGAGTTCGGGAAGGGAGTTTCGTTCAGCATTGCGGATACGCGCAGAAGCACCTGGCAATTCTCATTTCCTCGCACGAGCGCCTCGTTATCGACATCGCCCTTCAGTTCGAGCGCAAAACTCTCCGCAGGGATGGAGAGATCGCACTTCTCCGTGTACACCCAGTCCGCTTCGATCTCTTCGCATACCAACGCCTTGAACGTCTGTCTGCTGCTCCCAGGAGGAAGATAGGGGATCGCAATCTCGTGATGGTCGTTCAATTCGTACTTCCGACCATCCAGAAGAACATAGACGTTCGATTCTTTGCGCTCTCCCTGCTCGTCCAGAACCGTCAGCATCAATCCCGACAGCGATTCGCGCACCAAAACGTTCAGTTGACCCATATTCACCAAGAAACGACTGCTCTGTCCCTTCGCAAAGAAGTCCACAGCGCAGCAGCCGCGATGATTGATCGTCGGGAATATAAACGTCTCGATATGTCGCTGAATCGCAGGCAAATGATAGTGCATGATGCCCGATGTGATCGGTCTGAGACCATCCAAATCGATCGTTGTGGAAATCGGAGAACTGTTCTTTTCGTAGTAAACGCGCGTGTTGAGCTCGAACAGCTTCCATTCCAGCACATCCACGTTCTTCAGCTCCAGGGAAACGGACACTTCGTCTCCCACTCTGTAACATTCCTTGTTGCCTTCCAAAATTCTCAACCGAACTTGATCCCTCAAATCTGCGATCTGTTGATCTGTGTATTCCTGACATTGGATCGATTGGCCACTCAGCAAGCATGCCTTCTCGTAAGACCTCGTTACCGAACGACTGTCGAAGTACCGATAGAACGGTTTGGGCGATTCCTGAGGAAACAAATGCTCCAAATAATCGCGATCCAGCGGGTACATCGATAAATCGTAGCTTTTCGTTTCCTTATCCCATGTTTCCGTTGCCGATCTTGCCTCCAAATAATCCAAATACAATTCTTTGTCGTATTCTCTATGACTGCGCAACAACTCCAGCAATTGTTCGAACTCGTTCGCTATCCCACTGATCTTGTTCTTCTTATAGAATTCGATTCTTCGCATACACACTCGTTTGGCTCGCTCAAAATCGGCCTCATCGCTCTTCTCGCTGCGTTCTGGGTTTCCAAAACGACCAATGTATGTATTTAGGAAGTCAGAACGTGTGTAAAGATCGAAAGAATACTTCGATTTCACCTGGCTGCGCAGCTCTTCCATTGCATCAAAGGTCAAGAGATTCAGGAAAAGGGAGGCAGTTGGAATCTGCTTCTGCTCCAACGTTCCCAGGTACTGCATTATCAGTGGAACAACGTTCAATCCCTTTCGATCCAAATGTTCAAGAATCGTCTTTGGAGAGAATTTAGCATTTGCTGAGGATAAATCCTGCTCAAAGAAATAGGAAGTGTAATGAGACAGAGAATCGTCGAGAACCACTTTGAGAATATCGGATTCCTCTAATCTTGTCGGATACGTCTTTTGTGATTTAGTTTTGCGCCTATACGAGTACTCATCAGGATCAAAGTCCAGATTCAGAATTCTTTCCAGATAACTACTTAACTCAGGAGTAACGTCTTCATGAACGCCTTGTAACAATAGTTCGTAACGCGCTTTCAACATGTCTCGTAATTCTCTCAAATCATAAGATAGACGTCGCTCCTCAAGAATGTCTAAGAGTTCTTTTTGCTTTTCCAAGGATTCAGGCTCGTACACTTGATAGTAAAGAATCTACGTCTGAGAAGAAAGGAAATACAATACTGTGTAACATATCTCCTCATTACCAGAATAGCGCCGCTTGATTACACTCAGCTTATATTGGCATTTCAGTGACAGTAATCTATAAATCGCAATGATAGTTTGCCTAATTGTGAATACCTGAATTGAACGATTGCATACCATAACTCTCTCTACAAAGGATTTACCAATTTATTGGATCGAATTTGGCTAAAAACAGTTTTGGGGTATGTCACCAACTATTCATTTCGACCACCATTCCAATAACTTCAATACACAATCTTTACTTTATTTAGTTCACACCTATAATAATAATTATAATTATAAGCAATACAAAACAGCTCCATTTCATTTTCACTCCTATTTCGACACCATCGTTACTCTTGAATAAGTAGCATTAGCATCTATCCAATTCATTCGTATTGTATTGTTGGATAATAAGTCAACCAAAGGAAGAAAAGGAAAATAAGGAAGTTATTGTGACACTGATAAACTCTCCAACCCAGCTACATCTCTGCTTAGCATTCCCTAAAAAATAATGCCCCAGCATATTACTTCAGGATATGACTGTTCATTTCTTTCAGAAAAGTCTAGTATAGAACTCTCTAGCATATATCTCATGAGAACTCCACTTTCTATAGAATATCCTATATCATTAGAGTCATATCATCAAACTCGAAACCAGCTGCTTTTTGTTACTCGCTAATTAATAAAAACACATCTTCTAGGTTCTACAAATAATATATATTACCATTTTCTAAAATGCTTCTTGTTACCCCAAATCAAGGTTTAGCATTCCCTGGTCTTATTTTTCAATTAAATTTTGATTCTAAACACATAATCGCACATAAAAATGATTTGCAAACCATATTATTACTTATGGAACGAATACAAAACACAATAATAGTTTCTTTCATACTTTTTTTGAATGGATCGTGTATTTCTATTATTTGGCCAATATGTAGCAACCATCATTTCAACCTATTCCTCAGTTATCGTTTTCCTCTTTAGGCCGTTTAGAAATGGTTTTGGTATTGTTTTCTACTTATTTGTAGACTCCCTTACCGTCTGATTTTGAGAATACTCAGAATGTTGAGAAGAATTTCTGTGTTGAGGATTAGGTGTATGTTCAATCTGTTTATTCGTCAATGTCTTCTGCAAATCAAGTAATCTTGATTTTTTAATTTATTATTGTTTCTAGATTCCATCAGCACACTCTCCAAATAACGAACCAGTACAGCAGGATATTCAAGAGATGGATCAAATGGATGAAACAGACAAGAATCCCACCAATCCGGAAGAGGGTGTCTCTATCTCAGTAGATGCTTCTCATAACACAAACGAAAGACGTATTCTATGTGAGTATCTGATAAGTAGAATCTGCTGATGAAGAGCAATCCTGTTCTATGGGCTCAGTTACTACAGAAGACGTACGAGCAGCACTTGCTCAACTATTTAGCAGTAAAAGCTGTTGCTGGCCGAAGAGAGCAATAAAAGAAATGGATATAACGATTGTAAGGCACTCATCATAAATCACAATCAGAATAAAATGTGGAGTTGCTATGTCTGCTCTTGGGATATCTTCTCTGAGGAGCGCTCAGCCGGTGACTATTACCGAGCAGACATAAATAGAATGGTATCTCAGCTGGATTCTTTGTAATGACTGATAGATGGATACTGAGGAATATGGTCCGATTCCAAAGCTTTGGGAATATCCGATCTCTCCCCCAACTCGATTTAAGGGTGGAAGTAAAACGATACGCTGGCCACATACAGATTGTAAAGAGACATGTCCTAAGTGTGGTGGCGATTGTAGAGTGAAGTGTACAAGATGCCATGGTAGAGGAAGAGTTACCCGTTCACAATATGACTCAGAAACTGGACAATACACGTATGAAGGTTATTGTATTGTTTTAAAAGTGTAGAACCACTACTGAAACGTGTAGTCGGTGTTCTGGTACAGGCAGAATGGAATGTCCTGAGTGTCAGGGAAAAGGATATGTGATAGGATTCGTTATGGTATAATCTAAGCAAGCATGCTTCTACTCTAGGCCACTGTGAACTATTATAACAGCAATATATCTCTTGTCTTATATGGAGGCGATATTCCGCCTGATCCTATTTGTGATGCAGAGTCATCGCTATGTTTCGAGTATTCGTCTGGTGCATGATTCATCATAGAAAAGAAGGACCGGATTTACAGGCACCGAGAGATTTTGAAAACAGCGATATCCAGGAAACGTGTTTTGACTTGGAGAATCGCGCAGCAAAGGTTCCGATTGGGAGACAACATGATCAATAGAGAAGAGCAGAAATCGAAGAAAAGCGGAGAATAAACAATCAACGTCTCATGGTGAGCGAGCTACCGATTATTGAGGCTTATGGGACATGGAAAGGAAAGAGCTGTGTGTTCTGGGTCTATGGAAACGATTTGAGAGTTTATGCTCCATATTATGAGGAGATGTTTTCTTCTTGTTGCACTATTATGTTTTCTGTTTGTTTCTAAGAATCATAAGGTAGATGGTTAGTTGATGGGAGGACGATCCATTCCGAATTCATTTGTGATTGAATGATGATAAGTAGAATAATAGGAATAGCGTTGTTGAATTGTTCCAAAATAATGATTGGAAGGAAATCGGAGACTGAAATCACGGTGGATGGCTTGTTATCTCCTTACTGACTCTGGTAGAAAGTAGAATCAAAGTAGGGATGAGTGCAGGATTATTATCATCTATTCTGGGTAAAGTGTATGATACGGGTCGATCAAATAATAAACCACTTATCAATATAGATGTGAAAGAACAGGTTGGGAATAGACGGTGTTTTCAATTACCATCAACTCCAGAATCATCACATCTATATGTGTGTCTAGTATCTATTTGCGCAAAATAGTAATAATATTATCATTTCAGTTCAAACTTCTACACTACTCTACGATCCATTCTAAAACTGATGACCATCATTCATTTGCATCCATTAAATCATTGGCACTTGAAAATTGCACAAATTAGAGTGATTTAATATGATAACAACATGAGTGCTTACAACCAGTAAGAATTAATTTTTCTTACCAAAAACGAAGCAAAATTATCCAAATTTACTGAACCTATTCACCTACTTCCAAATTCGTGTAGTTACCAAGTAATCTTCATCTAAGCAACATAGACATACTTGCTACACTACGGAACTCATTTTAACACTGATAAACAATAGATATGCTTGCTACTTTCAATTATCTTTGATATTCCCTTTCAATCTTCCTATTCCATCCGTCTCGCAGTTAGAAATGAAGTAGATCAAATATACGTGTTTGCAAAAACAATTCTATGAAAAGACTATGAAGATTCATCTCTCAGAATTCCATAAATAGTCAAATATTTACGTTGTCAGTATATTTTGTAGAATGAAAATGGACAAAGGTGTATTACGACTACATCAGCCATCTGAATATAAATATCGTGTTTCTGGTCATAACAAGATGATCAAGCTGCCCAATGGAAAAGTAGGTTCTCTCTTTTTTGCTGAATATATAGATTGCGAAGCAAGCAACCGAAAAGGAGCGGTCATGTTATGAACAAATTATGAGATCGAATTCGGATCTTGCTCGTTTTAGTGCTTCCTATTTTGGCCTCCAACCTATAGAAGTTTCGTTTGTTCTATACTATAATATTGCAGATTATATCTCCCTTAAATGAGCCCTTGTGTAGACCTGAGGGTTTACGGTATTCCCTGCACTTGGACGATGATATTTCAGAAAGTTCTGAGTTTCTTCAGCAGTAATTGTCTGGCATGCACTTCATTCCATAGTGAGCCCATTTTGAACGGCTATTTAGTTTTGGAAGATTTGAATAAATCTTATGTGCATCCCTGTATTTTAGACGTGAAAATCGGCACGCATACCTATTGTACTTTTCTTTCTTTCTTTCTTCACTCATCTGAAGGGGACGGAGCGCCTCCACAGAAAATCGAGCGGCACAACCGCATGTGTCAGTCCACCACTTCCGGCTCTCTCGGGATGTGTGTGTGTGGCATGCGCGTAATCACTCTGAATCTTCTTCACGATAGGTTTACCGTCCGCAAAGCCACGACTGGCTAATCGAAGATAAAGAATGGGGCAAATCGCTGGTAGCCAAATCGATGTTATTGGCGATCGCCTTGTTCTTCTTTGATGGCAATTCCTTTCGTCTGGATGTTCTGGAGATCGTTCTGGAGAAGCTTCTGAATCTCCGCGATATCGTGCGACGCGTAAATTAGCGCAGAAGGAATGAGAAATAGTCGAATTGGAGGTTCTGGTCGTCGTCGTTTTTGTTTACGTACGAGGGCGAAGGGGAAACGCGAGCGGACGTTCATCTGATCGATTTTGGGAATTGTAACTTCTCGGATTGCTATGATACGCCGGATGAAGTGGGGATGGAGTTGGAGAATGAGGGATAGGGATGTATTTTGGCGCTTAGCAATATGATTGCGTATATTCGACTTATACGGAATGGAGCTGTGGGGCTGTCAGAGATAAGGCGGTTTGAGGCCAGTTTGTGATTTTTTGTATTCTAGTTTTTGGCTGTTTGTTCAAATAATAAGCTCCATGGACATCGAATACGCCGTTAACAACATCGGTAGGTTTGCTTGATTGATTGTGGGTCTAAATGAGTCTAACTCTGCAGATCTTTCCGAAGATGAGTCTGTCGGGGTTTTACTCTCGTTTCCAGATAGCAATGGTGTTAGAGTGAATATCATGCCAATATGTATTGTTAGGTCATGGATAACACCTGTTTTAACATAGAATTGGAAACAATGGATATCGTCGATACGGTCGCCAGCAGCGATGTACATTGCTGTTCGATGTGATTCAAAATAGGATTTTGCCGATAAGCAAGAAAACCCTAAAAGTAAGCTGTGATCATTCTAATCGATACTAGTGGCAATCCAAGGAAAGCTATGTCTATCAGAAATAAAATTGTGTTGTGTCGAGGCATTTTCACTCGAACCCAATCTGGGATCAAGGAAGAGAAATTCAGCATAGCGTAAAAGATCATACATTTATGATGGATGGCATATTCATTCATTCATTCACTCAATATTACTTGTTTATTTTATACTATTGCTATGTTAATCACATTGCATTTCACATTGTTTTGTTGATCAAATAGAAAGCAAGGTTTTCATTCATAGGATTCATGGATTCCATCCATCATATTATTCAATCGATTGTTTTGTTTAATGATACTATGATTCCTATTCACCATTTCAATCTATGAACCACATTCCTTTCTCTGCAATATCATTCTTTGTACTCAATATGGATGGTCATTGTGACAGAAGAGAATCGAAGTATCAACAGAGAATCAATACAATAAACCACTTGTCAAATAGAAATGATGGATTTTGCATTCTACATACTACTGCCATACTCTCTATTACGAATCTAACCATTCCAACAGTATTCACTATTGTGAGTTCGATTGTTGCAAAACAATATCAACTACCACATAATTGATATATTTTGAAGAACATATATCCATTATAGACTTAATAGAACAGCCATTCTGACATGAGAAAGTAAAGGTGATCAAAATGAGTAATAATTTACAATTATAGCTATAAGTATCTAAATATAACACAAAAATAAATGAATAGATGGAAATGCACCAAAATATAGAGAAATAGAGATGGGTGGAGAAAATGAGATTTTATTATATGTATTCTAGTTTGTAACACACCAGCATATCACAGCCATACACAATAATCCACGACGTGTGTTCTATCGAGAAATAATGAAACAGATCTTGTTTCCAAAAAAACCGTTTTACCATATTTCTTTTCATTTCCATGCAAAACATTGTTGATTTTGTCAATTCTGTTATTAGTAACTATCACATTGATAGTTCCATTATTCAAAATGTGCAGGGATGCTTGGGTAAAGATTGGAAACCAAATGACTGGATTTCACTCATTTTGAGTAATAGAGTATGTGTAGAATTGCAGTTCAATAATGGAGTATTCATGAATCAAGGATTTGTGCTCAATGAGCAGAAAGTGTTGAAAGTATTTGGAAATCATCAAATTGGTGCTATTTCATATAATGAAGAACAATCCATAGAAGTAGAAGGAATCGTAGATTTGGATCATGGAAGTCGATTTGAAGGATTGATATTGACAGGAAAGGAAGAAAAAGAAGGTAGAATAGGAATTCCATTTGGATATGGTGAAATGTATGATGATGATGGAATATTGGTATACAAGGGCATAATGATCAATTGGAAACGATTTGGATATGGAACGAGTTATCATAATAATGGTTTGGTTGAATATGAAGGATATTGGTGTGATGATAAGCGATTTGGAATTGGAAAAGTGTATGATCGATATGGTAAATTAGTGAAAGAATGTGAATGGTATAATGGAATTGAAAGTGATATTTATGAAAAATATGAAGGAGATGGAAGCAAACCACTGAATATTGGAATGAAACATTTGAAACTGAGTGAGAATTGTGTATTGGTTGATTGGGATGTTTCATTGTTGTATAATTTGGAATCAATCGAAATCGGTGATGAATGTTTTGAATCAGTGAAAACATTCCAAATCGATGGATTGAATCGATTGAAAACTATCAAAATCGGAAGCAACTCATTTACTAAGGAAAAGAATGGTAATGGATATGGAAATGATAAATCGAAATCATTCCACATATTGAATTGTGAATCATTGGAATCCATTCAAATTGGTCAATTCAGTTTCAGTGATTTTGCTGGCGACTATGAATTGAAGAATCTACCACAATTACAATCCATTCAAATTGGTACAATTGGAAGTGATTCATATAATTTCTCTTTTAGTTCATTTGTAATTCGAGGTATTGATATGATATTGAATATTTGAATGATGCATAGATCTTCCAAATCTACAATCCATTACATTAGGTTGGTGTGCATTCTGTATGTCCTTCTCAACAATAATTGAAAGTATTGAATGAATATGAATGAAATGATTGATGTAGATCTTCCATCATTACAATCCATTCAACTCGGTTTTCTGGCACTTGATGGAATATGGGATGATGATTCATGTTCATTGACACTTCGAAGTAATAATGAATTGATTGGTTATGATTTGTTTTGTAGATCTTCCAAATCTAACATCAATAACTTCTGAAGGACATAGTTTCCGTTATCCTCGTGTAGTGACATTGGCAAGTATTTCTGAATATTGAATATTGATAGTATTTAGATATTCCAAATCTTCAAAATGTCAAACTACCTAATTCATTCGATGAAGTTCGATCGAAATCAATTTCGAGTATAGTTTGATTGATTTGATTTGATTCATAGATGTTTCTTCCATTCTCGCTGATCTTGTCCACTAAATCAAGCATTAAATCTATAATATTGATTGGATTAGATTTGTTCAGTGATTCGTCATTGTTTAGGAACATTTCCATTGATTGATTGATTGATTGTTTGTTTGTTTCAAACCGATTCTTGATCACAATTCATGATTCTATAATTATCAAAATATCGATCCTGCCTGATTATTATGATGTTTTTCTTTTCCATTTTAACAATGATACTGAATTATGATTGTTGTTTCAATCAATCAATCAATCAATCAATCAATCATTGTTTTCGATCATTATCATTATTATTATTACCAATGACCCAATGATCACATATTGAACATTCACAAATGATGAATCCAATCTACCAATAATAATAATAATAATAATATACAAATGATGGTTTGAATAGGTTTGAACTAGGATTTGTTCAATATTGATAGGAAACTGCTTGCTTCGAATAATCATAATAATCATCATAATAATAAATAATAAGATTGGATTTGATAGTGACACAATGGAATGGTTGGAATCGATTGATATTGGATGATTATTCACATTTGTGAATCCATTGTTAAATCGGTAGATAATACAATACAATACAATACAGTACAATGATTGATATTGAATTAGGATATTGATTTTGACTTATTGAATAGGAATCGATCACTGTATATATAGAATAGAATAGAATAGAATCAAATAGAGGTGAAATGGATAAAACGAGGCAATGAAACTAGAATAGAATAGAATAGAATAGAATAGAATAGAATAGAATCCGATTGAATAGCATTGGAAATCATATTGGATTCACCATTCAATCAATCCAACTATCTATCATTTGTTTGTTTGTTTATCAATGAGTTACAAAACATGGATATATCAATTTGATAATAATGGAATCAAATCGGATGTGTTTGATACTTGATAGTTGTAGTTCGTAGTAATATCAATCGTGGTTTCACAATTCGATATTTGGATGGAATGTCGTATTCTTCAATATCACACAAACCACTCACTCACTCATTCAATCAATGGATCAAAGATAGCTGATTCAAAATGCAAATGAATGTTGAATATCGTAAAGAATCAATTCATCATTCACAATCAATAATACTGATAAGAATAGAAAGGCTGCTCAATCTGTTGAATAATTGAATGATTGACTGAATGGTTTGTATTTGGTTAGTTTTCGATCTCCATTCATCATCATTATCATTATGATTGTATCATCATCCACATTATTCATCGGTCTATTTCAGCATATTGAATACCATTAGATCACTTTGGTATTGTTGATCATGAATAGAATGATTGGATAGGATCGATCAATCAGAATCAGAATCAGAATCAGATTGATGATGAGTATTCAACCATCAATCCTCGTGATTATTATTATTAGTAGTAGTAGTATTTGTTATTGTATTTGTTCGATTATCAATGATATAGAATCGATGGAATGATTCATTGATAGCGATCCAATCGACTGATAGAATTATCCAATTGATTCGATCGAATCCAAATGGAACAATCACTCAAACACATTGTAGTCTCAATGGTTGTTTTGCAATTGAATCGATCGAGATTCATGAAATCGTTATGTTCGATCATTGGTTTAGCTGGAATCTGTCATTGTACTGTATTGCATAACAATACTCTTCTTTCTTTCTTTCTTTCTTTCTGATCATTATTATCGTTGTTATTGATATCATTCAAATCATTAGATCCCATTCGAACAAGTCAATATGGAATCAGCATTTGATAATCACAATACAATAATGAGGCATATTGTGAGAACCATTTGTGTTGTGGTTTGAATATGAGTATTTCGATAATGGCCTTTCTTGGAATCCATTGTTTGATTGTATATTCAATATGCTGTTTGTGATTGTACACCGATGAATCCACAAATCACATATTTCGAATGAATCTTGATCGAACGACTTCAATCGAATCGTTTTGACAAGATTCATTGCACTTAATCCAATTGAATCAATAGGAATCGACATAATCCATATTGCTTGCCAATATAGTATTAACAATAAATATTAACCGATGCTTCATATACAATTATATGAATTCCAATTATATAAACCACTTGAGTACTCTCAAGCAAAACATAGAGTGAATGCAAAATTACACAAGAATCTAAGCTCGGTATGCCAGTTGGATTGAACAAACAAAGAAAAATACAATTCAACACGATGAACCATCGCAAAGTTAACTAAAAAGGCAATTCGGTTACCGGCGTCATTTCAGGTCCACTCGTAAAGAAAGGATGTTGTAGCGCCTGCTCGGCAGTGATTCGCGTCTCCGGATTGTAGTCCAACATCCGATACAACAAATCGCGTGCCTCATCCGAAGCCTTCGGAAACAGCGAAGTCGGCTTCTGCGGCTCGAACGTCTGACTGAACTCGACATAATTCGCGAATGTTTCCATTTCCTAAAAGTCAGAAATCGATTCGAATCGAAAACGGGCCAGTTCTCTTTTTTCGGTGTCCCAAGCAAGTAAAAAATCGAATACAAAACCTCCTCGTTCGTCTACCGTTCACTCCACCAGCGATGTGCTACTGCTCCGAGGAAGAGCGGGGCTCGGAGGAATAAGGAACCGAAGATGCACCCAACGGACCAAATGTCGACAGCAGTTGTGTACAATGTGGATTTCATTAACACCTCGGGTGCTCGGTAAAAGCTGAATTAGAATGAGGGAGGAGAATCGTACAGTGTTTGCACGTCCGTGGTGTAGGGACGCGGCGTTCCGACATAGCGAGACAAACCGAAATCGGAGAGACGAAGGTGTTTGTCCTCTCCGATTAAATAGTTCTCGGGCTTTACATCCTAGTGGAAATCGAGTAGGGTAGAGGTACTCGATGAGCAATGTATTGGGAGTGGCATAGCTTTAGGGGAGAAAGGACTTCGTACATGATGGCTTTTATATCGGCTAATGAGAGATTTATGGATTTATCGCTTATCACACCAAGCAAATCTCCTCGACACCGCTCAATAATAAGGTGGATTCGGTCATTTTTAATAAAACAGTCGTAGAGCTATTTAGAACCATTTTCAAATCAGATACTTTAAGAATATTTGGATGATTGAGCACAGAGAGTTCAGTAAAGAACTTGAGTTCACGAATGTATTCCATAGGGATTCCGTACATTTTATATGATTGGTTCTCTTGTCTACTCACTTTCATAACCACTTCTCGGTTTTGTTTCTTATCATTCTATTGCAATTACTAAAAGCCTCCAATAACGTACAACCAAGTAAACCTTTCCTCCTCCTCCGCCTCCCAGCTCACGGACGATCTTATATCGACTTGATTTCTCATGACCATCGTCCTCCTGACTCATTCCCAAAATTTAGTTTTTTTGAGCATTTTTCAAAAATGGACAGTAGCGACAACGACCAGGAAGGGTTCAGCATGTTCTCGAAAAAAGCTCGGATTGAGAAAACAAGCACAGGGACCGAGCAAACGGTTGAGAAAGTGCTTCCCAAGAATTTGAGCGTAAAGAGTGTGGAGGACCGTCTTACCTTTGCTGATCTTGGCCTAAATGAGTGGGTAGTGAAGTGTGTCAATTCCATGCAGATTACGCGTCCAACTCCTGTGCAGGTATGCTTTACAACATTTCGTTTAGTGGTTAGAAATATTGTATCCCAGAAGTACTGGCTGGGAAGAATGTGACGGGTGTTTCCGAAACGGGTTCTGGTAAAACGGCTGTGTTCGCCCTTCCCATTCTCCAGCGACTCTCTACCGACCCTTATGGGATTTTTGCTGTCGTGCTGACTCCAACGCGCGAGCTGGCCATTCAGATCGACGACCAGATGCAAGCCTTCGGAGCTCCCATTCACGTTCGAACCACTCTCATCATTGGAGGTCAATCCTTCGTAAAGCAGGCTGAAGCTCTGCGCAAGCGTCCCCACGTCGTTATCGCGACTCCTGGCCGCTTCCTGCAACATTTGAAAACAGCCGATCCTCCCGTGACGAAACGCCTCGGCTTTATCGTTCTGGATGAATGCGACCGCATGTTGTCCGACTCTCTCAAAACCGAAGTCAGCGAAATCGTGTCTCTGCTCAAATCACGATGTGTTACCCATCCCCAGTTTCTCTTCCTCACAGCCACGTACGACGCTTCCGTTCGCTCCGAACTCGTCGAATTCGCTGAAATCGCTCACCCTCAGAAATCGATGGACATCATTCCCGACTACGAGTACATTCCCGAAGCATCCAAGCAGACAAACTCCACCGTGGACAGCCTCGACGAGTTCTATCTCCTCACGCCCGACCACGTCAAGCTCGCCTACTTCATCTACTTCATGATCCACAGCAGTACGAACCGCGGTTCTCTCCCTCAAACCCAGTGAATCCCCGCGAGGACGCCGAGGAATCCGAGGAAGACGCCAAGAAACGCCTGCTGCACAAGGCCTCGGCCATCGTTTTCTGCAATACCTGCCGCATGGTGCAGCTTCTCTCCGAGATGCTCCGCGCATTCCAGGTACCCGCGGGAATCCTTCGTTTTGGCGTAGATCGAGAACGTCCCGCTGCACTCCCTTCTCTCGCAGAATCAGCGCGACGCGGCGCTGGCGAAGTTCCGGAACAACCGAACCGCGGTTCTGGTGTGCACGGACGTGGCGTCCCGCGGGTTAGACATACCGCAAGTGGACTTGGTGACGAATTATGACCTCCCGAAAGACCCGTTCGATTACATCCACCGCGTGGGACGCACGGCGCGCGCGGGCAGGGCGGGAACCGCGGTTTCGTTCGTGACGCTGCCGAGCGTAGGGAAGCTGCAAGCGATCGAGGCGATGACCGGGAAGCGGTGCCGCGAGTTCGAAGGCGTGGAGGAGGAGAACGTGCTGAAGATTCTGAACCGCGTGGGGAGGTCGCTGCGCGTGGCCAGACAGTTCATGGTGGAGAACGGACTCGAGACCAAGATCGAGGAGAGGAGGAGGAAGAAGAAGGAGCGCAGAGAGAGAGGAGAAACTGGAGAAACTGGAGAAACTGGGGAAACTAAGGAGAAGAAGGAGAGAAAGGGAAAGAAGGAAGGGGCGAAGGGAAAGAAGAAGAAGAAGTCCACGGCTGAAACGAGTGAAAAGTAGAAACGTGGAAATGGTGGTTGTTGAAAATAAAAAGGGCGGCAACCCATCTTCGCGGTTCGCTGTTTGGCTTTTGTCCGTTTAGACTCGTTTTTGTTACAAACACTTAATATCTTTCGCACACACACGATATCACGCTTCACCGTGTCTTCGCCCAAGGTTTCCACGATTTCCACGGTCAGCGGCAGTTTCTCTTCCCTGATTGTGTCGATCAGCGATTGGGTGCCGCCTCCCAGACCGAAATAGTATTTCTGCGAGGCCAGCCAGCAAACCGTATCCTTGGAAGCCAGCTGATTCACCGCGGTTACGAACGAACGCACGGTGGCGGGCGTGTAAATTGTGTCACTGGCAATAATATAGTCGATTTTTGCCTCCGGGATCAGAGCGGGCGTTTCACTCCATTCACCGCAGATGAGTTTGCAACTAGAGTGAGAGGAAAAAGATGAGGATTACCGGTCGATAGCGGAAATGCCGGCATTTAAAACGATGGTGGGAATTGTGGCTTTTTGGAGGGAATCGATGTTGAGGTCCTGGAAGTACACGCGAGCTCCCTTGCGCAGGAAGAGAGAGCCTGGAAGTCCGTGGCCGCAGCCAAGCTCGACGACAGTGGTGGAAGCGGAGACATCAAGGTTCTGTTTCTCGATGAAACGAATCAGGTCTAAACAGCCTTGCCAGATGCGATGACCACCTAGAAATAGAGGGGAGATATGTAGATTCACACCTTCGAATTGACCTGGAATGATATCTGCATCGTTACCGATTTCTCCGGCATAATGAATAAATTTCAGATCCGCACTGTGTAGTTAGTCGGGAGATAATAATCAAATACATCCCAAGGTCGTTGCAGGGGAAATCTTCATAGTCGGATGCGTTCTCGAGACTGACATAGAAAGCTTCCTTCTTGTCCTCTTCTGCCTTCTCTCGTATTTTGTCGCTCACCACTTCTTCCTGAACCTCAGCCGCTGCATCCTGCATTTGATAAGCAATAGCAATTCGTTACATCAAAGAAGTTGAATTTAAAGGAAGCGCTGTTTCCCTTGAACATGAAGAAAATGAGAATAGTGTGTATTTTTCTTCAAAGTTTTTCTCATAGAGTACAATTCATCAAGTATTAATAAAATACTGTATAGATTTCACGAATCCACAGAGAGTGATTCAATCTCCCCACTACCACCACCCTTTTTCCAACAAACAGACACAAACGTAATCCATCGTTTCAATATCATCCAATTCCAAACTCCGATCTGACCCCTCACTCATCATCTCCTCGCTCTGCGAGTCGGGATGGTTAATCGCGATAATATTCTACCTTTCATCTCTCCCCTTCTCTCCTACCTCCGTATCCACCAGAATACACCCACAGAACGCATCCTTACATCCATGATCCTACATCTCACTTCCACGTTTCTCCTCTACCCTCGACGTGCTAAAAATCGTGATCACCCGTCCCCCCTTGCTGATATTAATCCCCTTCTGCGTGGGCTCGTGCGCCCTCACGATGTGCGACATCCCCGTCGTGTCCAGGAAGTGCTGAATCGCCTTGTCCCCATAGCAAATCGCCCCGGGGCCTCGCTCGCCCTCCCCGAACCCCGTGTTGTCTAAATGCTCTTCCTGCTCGTGCTGCGCGGGGTCCGACCACAGCAGATCGCTGGACAGCTGCTTGATCTGCTTGGACCGCTCGTCGATCGCCAGCACCTGCACCGCGAACGGACAGGGGATCTTGTTGATGCTCTCCAGCGCGCTCTCCGTCTCCGACAGCGGCCGGGGAATGCCGCCGTGCACGCAGAAGATCACGTCGTCGATGGTGGCCGCGAAGGGCAGACAGTCGAACACCGCGTTGGCCTTCTGCCAGAGGTCCTTCCCGATGTTCGACCCGTAGCGCGACTTCAGCTGGCCCAGGAAGCACCGGTTGCCGAAATGCGCTTCCCAGCCGTTGACGGAGCGGAGCTCGTGATTGCCGCGGAGCATGAAGACCTTGTCGGGAAGCATGATTTTCTGCGCGAAGAGGTAGGAGAGAACCTCGATAGAGTACTGCCCGCGGTCGACGTAGTCGCCGAGGAAGAGAAAACTGCCTGGAGTTAGATGCATGCCTAATGGCCACATCAACTTGGCGAAAGCGATGAGATCGGCGATGTTTCCGTGGAAATCACCGAAAACGTACACCGGCGATTTCAGCTTAAGAATACGTGGTTCCGAAGAAAATATGTGTTCTAAAAAGTTTATAAATTATTGTGCAACACGGTACTGATTTCTTCACACTGATTTTCAAAAGCATCCAAGAAATCTTCAGAGAGGAAGAAGGAACTTGGCATTGGATCTGCGCAATGTGATATAATTTCTTCATTGTATGCATCCGTGTCTTTTTCATCTTCGAAATCAAAGATGCTTTGCGTAACTTGACTTGCGGCGCTAGGGGTCACGCATAAACAAGAAACATACCGAGAAATTCTGTTCTTTTGAACGTTGTTCTTGTGGAACGTGTATAAAGTAGGAGCAATGGTGTACTTTTTTCTTTTACCACCACCCTCTAGGATAGCTATGCGTTCTTTCAGTTGGCTGTTTTCCTGCAAAAGCTTGATGCAATTATCGCAATAATTCCCATCTTTGGTTTTTTTAGCCTCCTTCGAGTCCCTTCTCCCAAGAATCCCCCTGGATTCCTGCGAAGTCGATTTCTTCCTCCTCCACATCTAAACAATACGCTAAGATGATAATAGATAAATAAGAGTAGGTTGCATAATCGCGGGGATCTTTCTTTATGAATTTCAAATCAAACATATTAGCACATTATACAGCTTCCTTTGAAAACGCGACGAAACTCATCATGGATCGCTCCAATGCGGCTGTCAGGAATCTGCAAATAAGACAGGTTTAGTAAGCGGAGAGAGTAATCTTCTTGCTCTCTGAAGAACTCCAAAAAAAGATTCGTTCCCACTTTCGTGATGCCCGTGTACGACATATCGAGTTCATACAAAATCGGTAGCACACCACTCTGTCCGTACATTTCTAAAAACACCCCCACGAAATCATCATCCACGCAGTGATTCCCACTCAAACGGATACACTGCAAGCTTTGGCAAAACTGCGAAACCAGCATGGCTTTGGTCATGAGGTGTAAATCCTCAAAGCTTAGGCTGCAATTCACGAAGCTGAGTCTGCGGATCGAGCACGCAGCCGGTGATGTGAGCCACCGGTACATCGAATCTCCGACCCCTGTGATCGGTGTGGACATAATGCTAAGTCTGCACAGTTGCGACGAAGCCTGCGAAGCGAACGAGATAAAAAAGTGGTCCACGCCCTCTGTGGAGAGTTGCATGTCCTCCAAGCTAACGCACGTGAAGCGCGTCATATCGACGTAACTCTGGAAGAAACTGATCAGAATTCCGATGTCCTCGTTCGACACAGGATTGTGCGAGATATCGAACTCCTCGATGGACAGACAGGGGCTTCGTGTGGACAGTGAGAAGAGCTCGCTCCACTCCCTGCCGAAGGAGGACATCAGATTGCTGCTCACGTCGAGGAGGCTCAGCAGCGTGATGGAAGAGAGATGCAGCGCGCGGAACAGCAGGCAGAGACCCGCTCCATCGATCAGATTCCCGCGGAGGATGAGCTTCTGCAGCCGCGTGGGGCATTTCTCCTGGATCCAAAGATAAAACTCGCCGAGAACCTCGCGAGTGAGGAGCAATCCCTCGAGATTGAGCACCGTCAGGCAGCGATTGGTCGATCGGTGGAGCTGCTGAAGGAACTGCGGGAGTCCCTCGGTGATCTCCGGGTTGTTTCCGATGTCCAGGATGGTGAGCAAGTCCGCGAAGCTGCTCCCGATGAAATGACCCAACGCGTCCAGCTCGATGAGAGACAGTCCGCATTCGTTGAGCTCCAGCACGGAGAGCAGTGGACACACTCCTTCGGCAAGGTTGTGCAGCCACGCAGCGAGCGATCCGCAGCCCGCCTCCTTGTTATGAGAGAGCGAAATGGCGCGGATATTGGGGCAGAGGAACTCGGAGAGAGGCTTGGTGAACGCGTGGATGGCATCGAACGTGAGTCGGTTTTCGGAGAGATCGATCTCGCTGAGATTGCTGAGCAGGCCACGCTCTGCGGCGTTGGCGATGCCGATCAGCGTTCGGTCGGTGAGCTGCGTATTTCGGAGATGGAGATACGCGATGGGGCGAGCACTGTGCTCCTCGTCCATCGGCCAGAGCGAGTTGAGGAGGAATTGATAGCCTTTCGGCGTGATGGGATCGTTTGTCAGATCGAATTGAAGGAGTTTGGGGCAGTCCACTAATCGGATCGTCTTCAGAATCTCTTCAAGACCATCAGATTGGCGGACGATGAGACTGATCGAAGTGATCACTCGGTAAAGTGTCGAGTTGAAAAACTTGGAAAAGCGGAGGGCAAAGTAGGGAGAGAATTCGTTTTCTTGGATCAGGAGTTTCGCGTTAAACGAATCGCTCACAATGTTCATTGCGATGTCCCGCTCAATGCGCGCACTGAGAGCGTCCATGATTTCTAGGAGCGCGAATTCTCCAATGTAATGCAGACACAGATGATTCAACTGCAAAAAACCATCGTTGCGAAGCAGGGTTGTGAATTCCTTTAATTCCGGCTCTTTGGGCTCCCCGACGAGCGTGATCTCCTTTAAAAACGTACTTAGATGGATAGCATCCACCCACCCAGCATTTGCAGCCAGAGAAACTTGACTATGAGAGATCTTTACGAGCTTGCGAAAATAGCGATTTACTCGCTTCAGGTTGAGTTGCGTTACAAGATCCAAGTATGACACGAGTTCCATCATGGTAGAGCTTCGAATGCGACTCACATCGAAAGGACCTGATTCGATTGGTGCGGGGTACATTGCAGAAAAACGCATCTTGTAGCGGTTCATTCGCTCATCATAGAGTTTTCGGATCTTCTCCTTCTTTTCATTGTGATTACTTACAGGAGTGACTTCATCAAACAATGAAGAATCTAATATTCAGCGAAGGAAAAGAGAGGGTACCCGAAAGGGGACTTTCCTCAGGAAGAGAAGTAATGCCCAAGTTGTTCAGCGCATGATCAATATCAATCCCACTTTCGTACATCGACGAAAAGTATGCTGAAGTTTTGGCCCCTCGAGTGTGCTTTTGCTGTCTTCTCCTTCTTCTTCTTCTGATAGAAAGATCCTCATCGAACACATTAGGATTATCAGATAAGGAGACTGATGCCGACTCAGCTTGCCCCATTTTTGCTATCTGTTAATCGGTTGTTGTACAGTAATCCTTGATCATCATAAATGAAAACACTCATCCAAATGATTCGTTCTATTATTACGATTCTGATAATGCATAATCATATTATTTAGCTGAATTTGATTATTCATAGCAATATCTACACATTAGAACGATAGGGTGTCACTATAATGGTCTTTTGGTGAAGTTTTCCTGGAAAAGCGTCTATCGATCATTAAGTTAAAGCAGTCTGTGTTTATCATACTGTAAGAAACAAGTAATGATAGAACATGGCGTGATTTCCTCTATTCGATGCATCTCTTTCCTGTCGAGTAATATTTAACAGAACGCTATGTATTCAAATAAGCGATCCAATTCTTGAGTTACTATCCCTTATTTTTTCTTTCAAGTGCACGTTTTGTTGGATGAAACGCCTTCTTAGTGTTAGGCGGCAATTTGAACCACTATTTGGTTCATCCAATCGTTCCACACTTTTTTGTTCTGTCATTACTTTTTTTTAATATTTCCCAATGGAGGTCCGTTCGAAGCGTAAGAGTATTCTGGCGATGACATTTGTCACCGTCTTTATTGATGCGTTGAACAACAGTTTTGCAGGAGCTGTTTTGCCTTATATGATATTGGAAATGGAGACAACTCCGTTCCAGGAAGGTTTAGTATTTAGTATTTATTCCTTAATGCAACTCCTGAGTATTTGGTTTTCCTTTATGTGTGAAGTCTAGGTTTGCTTATCATGGGCGTGTTGAGTGATCGCTATGGTCGTAGGCCATTTTTGATTTTGTCTCTGTTTGGGTCTTTTGTTGGTAAGTTTTGGTTTTGGTTATTTTCTAATGGAATAGGCATTATTTTTCAAGGCCTATCCTATGATATGTGGACGCTGATTCTCTGGCGTGCTCTGACCGGTTTATTTGCTGGTTCCCTGGCCATCGCTCAGTCGTAAGTTGCTGGTGTTTCTATGTGATTTAGGGTTGTTTCGGATGTGACCGATGTGAGCGAACGCAGCATTTTCATGGCTCGTGTTTCTGCCGCGAATTCGGGTGCTTATGTATTGGGTCCCGCAGTGAGTGCTGGCCTTATTTTAGTCAATTTACGTTTCCCCTTCTTTGTGGCTGGTGCTGTCTCAGGCATCGCCTTTTTCCTCTCTTTCTTCTTCTTGAAGGAATCGAACATGGCTTATTTACAACGCAAACAACGCAAACAACAACAACAGCATTCCGCTGCTGGTTCCACTGCAACATCGACGTCTGCCTCTGTGTCCGTCTCGAAAGAATCTCATTCTTCTTCTTCTTCTTCTTCTTCTTCTTCTTCTGCTTCTTCTGCTTCTTCTGCTTCTTCTGCTTCGGAGCGAGTGCACTGCAAGCCGATTCTTCCATTCTGTCTATTCTTGGAGTTCTGTACATCATGGACATGCGGATGCTACAATTCCCGTTATGCGATCTATCTGAGCGACAAATTCGGCGTGGCATCAACGCTCTTCGCGTTAATGCTCTGCATTCAAGGCTTGTGGTGTTGTCTCAACCAGTCCATTGCCTATCCCTGGGTCATGAAGCATTACAACATCCCCATTCCCTATATCGCCATAGGAGGAATGTTCCTCGAAGTTGTCTGTCACGTGTTGATTGGATTGGCGAAGAATGTATACATGGGTTTCGCTCCCATTTTCGTTTACTTTCTTGGCTGGAGCTTCGTTTGTCCGACATGCACCTCCATCCTCAGTGTACTCTTTTTCTTCTTTTCTCTCTCATCGTTTAGACGAGCTTCCCTCCTTCTGTGGCCGGCAAAGTGCTTTCCTGGGACAACTTCGCCATGCAGATGGCGCTAATCATCAGTCCGCTGGTTCTCTCGCAGATCTACAGTTATAGTCCTGAGGCTGTGTACTACGTGACTGCTGGGGTGTGTTTCTTGGGCATGCTGGACATCGGCTATGTGGCTACATGGAAGGGATCGAAGGACTTTGGCAAGATAGCGAGCTATGAAGAGGAAGAAAAGAAAGAGAAAAACATCGAGATGAGCGAAGTGGAGAAGAAGGGAGCGGAGCAAGGGGAGAGTGGTGTGATGGTTGATATTACCAACGCAGATTCTCCTATGAAGAACTCGGTACAATCTGCTGATGAACTTTCGACAACTCCGACGGTCGCTGAATCGAGCGAGGTGAACGAAGCAGCGAAGCCTGTTGAATCATCGAGCCCATCGATCGTGTCGAACACGAATGAAACAGTCAAAGTGACTTTATAACCCAGTCTCGTGACTGATCCATCGACTGAAACGATTTCAATTCCTGAATTGCTTCATTCCAAGGGATATAATATTCGGGTACATCGACGATGGAAGATTGTTTGTTTGAAACGTATGTGTGATAGTTGATGAGAAAGAGTGAATGATTAAACAATGTATTGATTCAAATAGAAAGCATTTCTGCTAAAGACTTGGTCGATGTAGTGAGACGATTGTAAGAGGGAAGAGATAAACAAGCTATTGGCGAACGATGTAAATTGTGTATCGAAATCATCAAGAACAGAATGGTCAACGTTCTATTCACCAAAATACCATTGTAAAGAATTATTTCATTCGTTCCCTACCCAGGTTCACACTCTAACCCTTCTCCCTTCCCTTATTTTCATTCGAGCCAATGTTTACTACTAAAGAAGTGATTACACAATACTCTGCTGACATTCCTGCTCTTTACAGCATGCCCACACAGAAGACAATTCTTTAGTTACTGTGTGTACTCTACTTTTACTCGTTCGCACCATGTTGTACTCATTACTCCTTAGTGAGAGAACCCAATAAGGTTCTGATTTAGTGTATGTATGTATGACTACTATGAAGTGGCGGTGAGATAACTAGCGGTTTTCACAAAGTCTCCTACCCGATCATTGATTTCTATCCCACTACAGCTTGATATAGCTATCCAGCCTCATACTTCAATCGAGCAAATGCAGCAGAGCACCAAAACTACATTAGCAAAAGCAGAAATTAAATTTGGCTGAGGAAATACCATCATTGCTTGTGAGCTTAAAATCGAATCAGGAAATAAAGAAATACACAGCACTCAAAAATACGAATACAAAAAACTAACAGATAGAAAGAACCTGCATAATTCACTGCTAGGTGAGTAATGAACCTAAACTGAACGCAGAAGGATTGCTCAGGCGTAGTCCTCATTTTTGTCTCATCTGCACAACCGAATCATTCCAAAACACTAAAAATAAAGCCGTACTTTCACCGAATATTTATAGCCCACATTCGGCTTTCGTTATAATCTCAAATTTGACAGTTAAGAAAAGAGATAGATCAGTGGTGACTCACCACAATTTCTATCTCTCATTTACCAATAATACCATGGATGACGTCGATGACACGTTGGTGAGAAAGGCGATCGCCTTCGTGCTGCTGTTCGGAATTGTGGTCGCTGTAAACTATACGTGGGGGGTGATATCGACGAAATCCTTGCAATTGTCGTCTGTCTATTTAAGTCCTTATCCTTCTATCGTAATGAATAATTTTCGGCATTCAAATGGGACTCTACTCTCTCCAGAAGGCCAAGATGTTCGGTGGAACGATTATAAAGAATACTATAGTGCTTATCAGTCAAGGCTATCAAGGACCTCCTTTGAGCACTATGTAATTTACTATTCTACACTCTCCGGTTTGGCCAACAAAATCAATGGATTAGTTTCGTGTCTATTGATAGCTATGGTTACTGATCGCGGATTGAAGCGTATTTGCGTGACTTGCGGGTGATGTGTAGTTGCTGATTGGCCGAGCTTCGATTCCTACTTCAATCTTCCCTTAGAAAACCATCATGTCAATCTTAGCTGTACGAATTGATCTTCCCCTTCACATCAGTGAGTTCTCCGAAAGGCTCCTCTCTGAAGATCTGGCGTCGCTGCATCGAAGCGAAGCGTCTTCTCCACGGGGACATCAACAAGAAATTCGGCGATGGCAACATCAAAGTGAACACCAACTGTCCGATCTTCCGCTCGCTCGCCAAGAACGACTTCTACTACGAATCGTTCGTGAACCGCGGTCTAATCCGCACTGCGCGCCGCGGAGACTACGAGGCGATCGCCGCGGACATTTACTACCGTCTTCTCAGCTTTTTCTCGCTGGAGTCCAGCCTGCAATCGAAGCTGGAGTCGCTCTCGCGCGGCTGGGAGGACCGGTTCGTGGTGGGGATGCAAGTGCGCGTGGGTCTGGGGAACAGCGCCTTCCTGGACAACTGCAAGTTCCTCTACATGCAGGACGTCGAGACGTTCGTGCACTACGCCGAGCTCTTCTCGAACCGCTCCCGGCGCACCCCGCTCTGGTTCATCTCGACGGACTCGCCGCAGGTGGAGGCGATGCTGCGCCGTCGCTTCCCTGCGTTCGTGGAGAGCATTCAGGAACTTCCGATGAAGCATACGAAGGCGCTCGCGTATCAGTACAAGGATCCCGCCACGCAGAGGGCGATCTTGGATAATTATCTGCTGTCGAAGTCGGATTTGCTACTCACTACCGCGTGGAGCAGTTTTGGGGAAATGGCGCTGGGGCGGATGCAGCAGGGGCGGACCATTATGATTACGAGAAGTGATCCGATCCGAAATCCACCTCCTGTAGTGTATTTTAATCGCAGCTCGGTTTATTCGAGTGTTTGTTGCAGCAAGGAACGAGGATGGAGTGATTGGGGGAACGACTCTGATTTCTTTCGGGTTCATACGGTTTTTGAGCGGTCCTGTGACAGAGAACGGCTCTCCGTGCAATTCGAGCAAACTCACTCTTTTCTTCCATGTACAACGGTATTGGATTGAGAACGGCTAGAGGGTCTGGAACGAACGGTTTCGTTCAAAGAAACCTCGGTTACATTCGTCCTTCTCGTATTTTGCAGTTTACGCAGAAAAATGAGCAGCAAATCATAGAACCGAAGATTAAGAAGCAGGACGAAGCAATCCTGAAACATCAAGTGAAAAGACAAATCGAGTTAGAGTTACTTGAACTGGAAGACAAAATGAAGCAACAAGGGTAAGCATTTTCGTATTCGGTCACGTTAAGATACTCAAAGGAAGAAATAGAAGCTCGCATTGAAGTCGAAAGAAAAACTCGAACGAGTATGATGGACGACGATGTGGACAAGCTCCGACGATTGAAGGAACGCCAAGACGAAGGGAAAGGAGAAGAGTTGCACGACTATTTGGGAGAGGAGGGTAAAAAAGCTTGGATGGAGAGTGGAGCTCGCTCCGATGAGAAGAGCCGAGATCGAGAAAGACATAGAAGACACGGTAGAGGTCGAAGCCGAAGTCGAGGCCGAAGTCGAGGCCGAAGTCGAGGCCGAAGTCGAAGTCGAAGTCGAAGTCGAAGCCGGAATCGACATCATCGACATAGTCACAGACATGACCGAAGTCGCAGTCGCAGTCGCAGTCGTAGTGAAACCAAGAGCCAAAGCCGGAGCCAAAGCCGGAGCCAAAGCCGGAGCCAAAGCCGGAGCCAAAGCCGGAGCCAGAGCCGGAGCCAAAGCCAGAGCCAGAGCCAGAGTCGGAGCCAAAGCCAGGAAGAAAAGAAGGAAAAGGAAGATAAAACCAAGAACGAAAGCCCAAGTCGGAGTGCTTCAAAGCACAGCAGCACCTCGAGTAGCAGCTCTAGCCGCAGTCCGTCGAGAGAACACAAGTCACACCGTCGTCACCATCACCATTAAAGAGGTTGTTTGTTTTCAGAAAAATTGTAATGTTGAGTGTTTGGCTGCTAACATTGTGCTCATTGCTGTTCGTCGGAGTTGAATCTTTCGGCTTCACACTTGCTCCTTCGTCGGAACGAGTATGGACGCTTTTTGTGAATTAACCGACTAGTGCTTCACAGAACACATGGATTTGCACGCAATGACAAAGTCAAAGTTTATTGTAATGGACACTGTTGATTTTGTCAACGACAAGACAAACATCATTGTAACGGTCCGCTCTGATTCCGTATTTGACATTTAGCTATATGATCCGAACAAGGTAGTTCTGTACACAAAGAAAGATGCCAAGAAAGGCCGTTTCGTTACAAATGCCCCAGTTTCTGGAACGTACACTACGTGCTTCAAGAACGAAAGTAGGGCGTCTCTCCTCTCCAAAACGACTAGATAAGTTCAAGGTGGACATGTTCTTCAAGTTCAAATCGGGCATCGAGGCTAAGGACTACTCCAACTTGGCGCAACTGCACAACCTGGAGGAAGTGGAGGTGCAGAACCAGTGGATTTTAGATGCTTTGTACGAGGTTCAAGATAGCGTGGAGTAGGAGACAGGAAAAGGCTGTCATGTAGCGTTATCCAGGAGCACGACGAGGAGATTCGATTGATTGCGAGTAGGTATTTCGTGGGCAGAGCTGACGTATAGTGGATCTGGACAACAAGCTGATCATTTTCTCTGCGATTACCATTACTGTGTTGATCTGTCTATCTCTCGCTCAGACGGTGATGCTGAAGAGAAGACTTGTGAAGGCGAAGCTATTGTGGGTTGTTTGTTAACAAACCATGGCATGAGTGTACATCGTTTCGTTATTCACCGTTACTCCTGCTTCTTGTACTTCGAAAAGTCCATGTAGGGACCGAACGAAGAGTGCAGATCGATCGGGAAGTGCAAGCCAGCATACCACTTTCCATTGGGCGCCACCTTCTTGTCATACTCATCACCCAGCGTGTGGTTCACGAGACGATGGTCCGCTTCGTCCGCTCGAATCACCAGCAAGGCATCGCGGAGCGTCGCGTCCTCGGGCAGACCCCAGTAATCCTTGGTAATCTGCGTCGCACGTTCGTTTTTGAGTTTTCCAGTGTCGATACGCTTGATCATTTCCGTGTAGGAGTCCACGGCGTGCTCCTCAAGGAACCCCACGAGTCGATGGGACGTGCGAGGAGTGAATACAAACATGAATGAAAACAGGGAGACAAAGCTCACCTGAAGAATGCGGATGAATAGCTTTTGAACTATCGTCAGATTGGTGTACGTGCGAACTGCAAGCAAGTGCATTCGCTCGTTTTCAGCTTCGTCCACGAGCGGTTTTATCCATTCGTTTGGCTGAAGGCGTCTCAAACAGCGCAAATGGTGGAGGCTGCTGCAAACCAAACCCGGAACGGACGCCACGCTCTCCAGGAAGATGGCTCTTCGGATATAGTTGTCACGGAAGTACAGGTTACCACAGAAGAAAAGCATGTCAACAATTCCCTTCGCGATTCTATCACTGATACCAACAGCTTGGCGTTTAGGTTGCTCACCCCAACACTGCTCTAAAATCTGGAGGTATTCTCGGTTACTTGAATGATACTGAAAGTCACAAAATCTCCCTATTGGACCTACCCGAGTACTCAGGATGTGGTAATGCTTGTTCGGCTTCTTGTTGATGGCACGCTCTAACACGTCCTTGTCAATGATGCCTTCTGGAGTAGTGGCCACTGCGCGAATGAAAAAGGGTACACGAGAAGTTAAGGATCTTGAGCAGAATCGGGAGAACATAATATATTATGATCAAATAAGTAAACAGACAATTAGGGACAGTATCCTGATGACACAAATCAAAATACAAGCTTATTTGATCCTTTTATGGTATCTACGGATGAAACGATGCGTATCCATCGCGTATCCAAGCGTATTTTGCTCGTAATCTCTCCCTGAGATTCAGAATCGTTATACCAACAGGCGGCCTATAAGGGGCCTTTTAGTATTGGGTCAGCCATTGATATCAAATGATTATTGCAGCCGAAATCAAAATCCTATTTACATGAAGATGGTCGAGCGAGTACAATACCGCAGATAAACGCCTTTTCTTCACGATTGGAGATGCATTGTGTGTGGTTTCTGCCCCAAGTCTCATTCCACTCAATTTCCAACAAACACACTCTAAACACACCCTAAATTTGATCTTTTTCACGGAACCACTCGATCGGAGGGAGCGTATCGACCGGTCCATACCCCGCCACAGCAATCGGTTTGTTCACGAATGTGGCGCTCGCCACGTCCTTCACCGTCTGCAAATCCACCGCATCGACCCTCGTGAAGATCTCCGCGGGCGTAAGCCGTCGCCCGTACATCTGCGCTTGTCTGCCAATGTCCTCCACGATGTTGTGCGAGGCGTACAAATCCATGAGCAGCGTGTTCTTCAGCTTGTTCTTGGCGCGATCCAGATCCTCCTGCGTGACATACTCCCTCAGATCGCGCAGCGCCTCCACCGAAATCTCCATTAACCGCGGGATATTCTCCTGCGTGCACTCGCAATACACTCCAAACAGCGACGTGTCCTTATAGCACGTGTCGAAGCAGCTCACCACCTGTGCGGTATTCCCCGCGGCCGCCTGCGTGCATAACCGCGAGGCGCCGTTGGGCCCCGCGCCGGAGAGCCGGTCCCACTCGCCGAGCATTTTCTGGATCAGCATCATCACGATGGCGTTCTCGTCCGCCCAGCCCACCGACTCGAACGCCACGGCCAGCGCCGCGTGCGGGTACGCGGCGTCCTTCTGCACCGTCAGCGACGACGTGAACCGCTTGCTCAGCGGGGGGATCGACGCGCCGTTCGATGGAATTCGGGGCAGATGGCCGAACGTGCGGTCCGCCATCGCCACCAGCTATGCGTTACGGTGGAGAAACGGGGAAACGTGGTCGTGGGAGAGCGCGCCGGCGCCAGCGATGACGACGCGGGGAGCGATGTAGTGGGTCTGGACGTAGTCGACGAGGTCGTTGCGCTGGATGGAGCGGATGTTGCGCTCGGGACCGAGAATCGTGTAGCCGAGGCCGCAGCCTTGGTAGGCCGTCGCGTGCAGAAGGTCGAACACCACTTCGTACTTGTTGGTGAACACGTCCTCCATCTCCAGGAGGATCGTGTGGCGCTCGCTGTTGATGGCGGAGGGGTCGTAGCGGGAGTGCAGGAGGATGTCGCCCAGAATGTCCATCGCGCGGCCGATGTCCTTCGTGAAGCAGCGAGAGTAGTAGACGGTTTGCTCTCGGCTTGTGTAGCTAGGAGATAGAGTCAGAGAAGTGCAGCGAATACGCGTTTAGATGAGCACCCATGTCTTCGACTTCCTTCTCGATGTCTACGCGGTTTCTCCGCTCGGTCCCCTTAAAAGCAAGGTGCTCCAAGAAGTGGGCAACTCCGTTATTTGCGTCGTTTTCATATCTGCTTCCTGCATCAATAAACACACCAACAGAACACGTCTTTCCGTATCCTCCCTACGAAACATAAAGGTAAGTGCTCTTTGCCTACTTGAGAAAGAACACGTACGCCGTTCGGAAGGGTTGTTACCTCTGTAGCGGGGACATTGAACAGATAACTAGGCAGAGAAGACGAAAATGCTCTTAGCAGATTCCGCTACACGATCAACTTCCAGAAACAACCAAACCGATGGAACCAGCAAACGTGGATTATGAATTATACGAGATAACATATTTCGCAATAAAGAAAATGATATGAGGAAATCGACCTGAATTTTGGAATCTGAGTCCTTTGACGACAAACAAGTATTTTGGAATGTTCCGTTCTAGTGTAAATCTCGATTTTGAATTGGTCACCTGTAGGGAAGATTACCACCGGAGGTTAACCGTATTCTTTACGTAAAGTATTCTTTTCTTCTTTGCTTGCTTATTTCGCAGGAACCTTCCTTATAAAATCACAAATGAAGAAATATATGATATTTTCGCCAAGTATGGGGACATTCGTCAAATCCGAGTGTATTTTGCTTTGAATAGGCATGACGGGTTAGAGGAGAGACCAAGGAGACGCGAGGAACTGCCTTCGTCGTCTATGAGGACATTTACGATGCAAAAGATGCCGTGGATCATTTATCTGGCTTCAACGTCGGTGGTCGCTATTTAGTTGTGCTCTATTTCCAGGCCACAAGGTGGTGGTTGTAGAGGTGTTTGATTTGTAGAGCGGTGAAGACGGCGGATACGAAGAAGCGCGAGCAGGAGATTGAGGAGCTGAAGGCCAAGTTCGGCTTGGCCAAGTAAATAAATAGAGATCATTGTAGTACTATTCGAAAGTGTTTGTTCGAAATGGGTGGCTGATTTGTGGGTATGTTGTTTCTCGGATCTCGGCTTGTGCATGTCTGCTTACCATGCGTTCCAATGGATTGAAAAGGACTGTTTTAGGGGCACTTTCTCTTCAAGGAGTCGCAATGCTTCGTTTCAAACTGAATGCCCCTCCAAAATGGTCGACAAGGTTCAATTTCTCCGATTCCATCCATTTTCAAAAGATTGACAAGGAATAAAACTAAGAATCCCTCAATGATTACAAAAGTCATTGGAATGTGGAAACTGGAGGAAAGCCTATTTTCATTCTTCTATTCAAAACTACTCAAATGTTCTCTCTGGCTCGCAGCGCACCCAGATTTGTGTTTGCTGCTCGTTCTCTTACGTGCACAACACGACTTTATCATGACCTTGTGATTGATCACTACGAGCATCCTCGTAATGTCGGTATGTTCCCCCTATGTGGAAATTAATTATCCAGGCTCCTTCGACGCGAATGATGACGACATTGGCACAGGAATCGCCGGAGCTCCTGCCTGCGGTGACGTGATGAAGCTCCAAGTGAGATGTCATTGCAGTCATCGATGAGTAGATTAAGGTCGCCGATGGAAAGATCGTCGACGCCAAGTTCAAAACGTTCGGCTGTGGTTCAGCCATTGCGTCTAGTTCTGTAGCCAGCGAATGGGTGAAGGGAAAGACTCTGGAAGAAGCCATGACGATCAAGAACACAGATATTTCAAATCACTTGAAGCTCCCGCCCGTGAAGCTCCACTGCAGGTAGAGACTCGGTTGGCGTGTCACACATAGCCTGTTAGCTGAAGATGCCATCAAGGCAGCGGTGAATGATTATGTAAAGAAGAGTGAGAAAAAGCAGTAAACGCGGTACTTTTAAGCATTTCGTTTGTTGTAACAAACAGCAAAGCCATTACTTTCTGCAATAATTCCGTTAATTTCGTTTCTACATCGAATGCCAATCTCCTACACAAACACTAATTTACGTAGTTCGCCTGTCTACAAGTCACATTCAAACACGAAGCAAACCTTCATCTGAATGCTGTTCCTTGCTTGCAGCAGCTGCGCTTTCCGCTTTTCAATGCTGTCATCCCCATCCTTCTCTCCTTCACTATCTGCCGTTGCCACGAGATGGGCTCTGAAATTGTGATGAACCATATGTGAATTACCCAATGACTGCGTCGCAGTGATGGCGGAACACTTCTTCGTCGTAATGTCGGAATTTATCGAATTGATCTATAATGTCTTTTTTATTTCGGCCGAAGGACTGCATGTCCCCGGATTCGAACGACTTTTCAACACTCTCCAACTCCTTCTCCACTTCCTCAAATACGATAATTTCCTCCACTTCTTGAGAGGTAAACTGCATGTTGCAGGGAGGAAATGGTTGAAATCAAGATATCTTTACTCCTCCTTTTAGCTAAAACAAGTGCGGTTTTAACTCGCTCAATTTCTAGCGAATTCGCATGGGGTTTGAACATACTTTTCAAGTCACCGTTGCATTCGTCTCAAATCCACACCGCTTTCAGAGAGTTTTTAACCATCTCCTTCCGTTTTGAATTGGATGTCAATACATAATGAGTCGGGATGACCTGAATTCATTTTCTTCCGGGAAACTGCATATAAACTATCGTGAAGAAGATGTTCTTATCCACTGTACAGACAATCCAGGGAGAACTACATTCTTGCGGACAAGCGTATCACAAAAAGTCAAAGCGAATTCTGCCCTCACTTTCGAGGAAGCCTATTCTGCCTGTGTCGATGATGTACTGAGGTGCTGTGTGGTAAGAGGAATGGGTGTGATTGATATGAAGGAAAGACACATCGTTGACCTGTATGTAAAAGTAGTGAACAAGCGGACGGATGGGATCGCTCTTCTTAATAAAGCCATGAAAATCGTGATAGAAGGAGGTGTTCACATTTTTGCCACCGACAGTCCTTCCTCCCAGCCTTCATCGAAAACGCGAAGGCCGAACTACGATAGTGGCCGCAGAAGGTATCATAAAGATAGTTATTCTCTGGAATCCTATAAAGAGGTTCAGTCGTGGAGAAATAGAAAGCAATAATATTTTGGCACCGCTTGTTTGTGGAAAACATTCATTGTTTTTCATGTCTTCCCTAACTCCAATCTCAGGCATTATAGTTCGGTGTGACCCGACGACAAAGCTATATCTTGAGAAGAAGGACAGCGAAAACATTGGTTCGCAGCGATTCATCAAATGCAGTCTTGGAGATGATTGTATATTTATAGAAGAGAGTAAAGAAAACTATGTACGCAGTTTAATTAACGAATGGATTGATACGACAAGTACACCGAAGAAAGATGATGATACGAAAATATAAATATAGGCTATGTAATTTAAAGGTAGTAGTTGGATGTTTTCTTGAGAAATGACTTTGTGTGCAGCGATTGTCAATGGAACCACGAATCGTTGATTTCATTTGATTCGATTTCGTTTGTTGCATTTATGTTGTGTGATGTATGAAAAGTACAGTAAAACTCTTAATTGTGTTATCTAAGAGTTATTTTTTTATATAATATATTATGGAATCTACAGAGCCTTCAAATCAACATTTATTGAGGAACGTTTACCGCTTTTGGCGCACGAAAGAAAATGGAGCAAATGTATGTATTCTTTTTGTTACTGTTGAGTAGAGCCAAGAATACGAGAATGGACTAGAGGATTTGGGACGTTGTGGGACAGTTGAAGAGTTTTACAGTATTTATTGTTATCTTCCGGTGATTGGCACGGAGCAGGCTACGAACTACTCGTTATTTCGGGAGGGTATCGAGCCCCTGTGGGAAGATCCGGCGAATAGCCAGGGAGGTCGTACAATCTTATTAATCAATGGTACGGAACTCGCTCCAATGTTGTGGGAGAAGCTAGTAGTCGTGTTAGGTTTGTTTCACAGTAGTTGTTATTCACGATATCTGAGTCATTTAACGTGGGCGATGAAATCTGCGGAGTTTCTGTGACTGTGAAAACAGACGTGACATCGCTCTGTGTATGGAATCGGAATTCGTCTCTTCGCCGAACAGTCGATGAAATAGAGTTTGCTAGTGTTAGTTACTGACAAGCCTAGAATCGGACTGCGGAACGGGCTGGCGCTACCGAACACCGTTCGAGTTCATTACAAGCCGAACCGCTCTGCGATGGCGAACGCGACGAAGAACGCGCGAAAGGGCGGGTTCAATCCACAGCAAGAGAACAAGAAGGGGAAGTACAAGCAGTCGAATCGTTTTTCCGGGTTAAATGAGGATAGTTGATATGTTTGTTAGTCACCTCAAAGAAATGGATTATATGTAGTTACAAACAAACAGAAATCCAAACGCCAAATATCAAATACCGAGCATTAAGCACAGATAATCGAACGACAGAAAAGTCTAATGATCGGTTTCTGACTCCCATAGTCTGAGATTATCACGAATCAGCTGCAAAATAGATACACTATCTTGGTAGTCCTTCTCTGGAAGATTTTCGAGCATCTTCATAGCATTCTCGAACGCCTTCGTTGCCATGGCACGGGCTTCCTCGCTTTGGCGAGTAATTTCGTATAAAAACACGGAGTAGTTCAGGTAGAGACCCAAGAGGGTTGGATTCACGTCACTCACCTGGAGATTCTCCGCCTCCTTCAGGGCTTCTCGGTAACTACACGTGAGAGCAAGGAAAGAGCGATACCATTTTCGAGACTTTTCAATTGCGACCAGCTGCGCATCTCCCACCATAAACTCGGCCTCATATCGATAGTAGTCTCCTTTCATTTTCATATAGTAAATAAAGTCATCCACGCTGGAAGAATCCACGCATAATCCTCGTAAGAGGTGTTCGGAAATAACGGTCTGAACTTCCTGGCATAGCTGTTCTATCTCCTTTTCGATTTTTCCTTTGAGATCCGCAATGGAAGAGTCGATGGAATCGTTCCCAGAGCTTTTCTGCTGAATACTAAACAAAACTCTCCAAGCATTTCGCTTGGAACTAATAAGATCCTTATAGGCAAGCGAGAATAAATTTCTCTCTTCCAAGGATAAGCTAACTCTACTTTGTCCCTCAGGAATGGTGGTCGCTACAAGCTTGATATACTTTTTCATATCTTCGTAGCGCTCGGCCTGTTCGGCAATACGAGCCATAGTGACATAATCCGTCAAGTAAGACATCCTGGAAAAAACCTATGAAAGCTCTTAGTTCTCGCTCATTTCTCGTCCTTCACACCGATTCCACACAACAAATGCGTACTTAAAAAGTCAATACGAACGAAGCAAACTTTTGAACAAACAGAGCAAAACTTAGTATCTAACACCGAACGCTCTCAAATACTCGTCTCCAATCTTCCAGCCCATCTTGCTCATAAACAACATTCCGTTTTCCACAAGCACCTTATAGAGTCTCATTTTCTCCAACTTCAGCTCGTCCGTCCTCATGCCTCGCATCGACTTCTGAATACACCTGCACACGCTCTCCTTCTTGCTCACAGAGTTCAGCAGCCGCACCACCTCCGTTTTCAGCACTCCCTCATACCCATTCATCATCTCCACCAATCGCTCCGGCTGATTGGCCAGCACCACGAGCGCGCCCAGGAACAGCCCCAGAACCTCCAGGGCCATCGTGTCCTCCTCGCTCACCTGGAACAGGAAGGGCGTGAGGGGCGCCACGGCGAGAACGAACGCGGTGAGTTCGCTCTGCACCGATCGAATCGGCCGCACCGTCGCTTCCACCGCCAGAATCACCTGCAGGACGAGCCGCAGCACGCCGCGCAGCGCGGGCCGGGCCTTCTCGGTCTGCAGGAGGGAGAGCGAGGCGCCGTTCTCGCGGAGAGAGCGGATGAGCGGGCAGTGGTTGAAGCGGCCGAAGAGGGAAAGATCCAGCGCGGCCATGGCGCCCTCGGTGGACCGGACCAGCACGGAGAGCAGAGAGAGGCTCTGCGTGACGATGGCGAGCGGCTCGCGGGCGGCGGTCGAGGCATCGAGGCAGGCGAAGTCGAGCTGTCCGACGGCCTGGAGGAGCGTGGGGAGGAGCGAGGAGTGCTCGAGGAGGTAGTGCGTGATCGACTCGCTGCTGTCCTCCGCCATGAACGACCGGAGCAGCGTCGTCGCGGCCCGGTGCAGCGCCGCGTCGGAGCTCTGCAGGTCGTGCGCGAGGAGCTCCAGCAGCGCGGGGAGCGCGAGCTGCGAGGGCGTGAAGAGCTCGCGCAGCGAGCGCTGGGGCGCCGCCTTCTTGAGCGAAAGGAGGAACTGGAGAAGCAGGAGGTACTGCGCGGTGCGCGCCGCTTCGGGCTGGCGGAGAGGGTCGTTGAGGATGCAGACGAGCAAGTGGTCGAGGCCCTGGTACCGCTCCGACGCGCTGAGCGTTCGGTTTTGCTCCGTCAGCAGGTGGAGGAACGCGATCGCCGCCTCGCACGCGTCCACACGCAGCAGATTCGGCGGCGTCGCCTGCGCCAGGAAGTCGAGCAGCGCTCCCACCACGCCGATGGGCAGGGCTTCCGCGGTTATCGGCAGGGACGGCGGCAGCAGCCCCGCCCACAGCGCGGAGCAGTCGATCAGCGCGATCTGCAGCAGCGCCAGCACGCGGCGGAAGACGCGTCGCTCCAGCGCGCTGCGCGCCGCCACCTCGTTCGCCTGCTTCGCCGCCGCCAGCACTTGATTCACCAGCGAGACCTGCCACGCCGAACGACTTCCCGCGCTTTTTGCTTCGCCTGCTTCGCTTGCCGCCAATTCGCGAAGCTTCGCCAAATCGATGCTCGGAACCGTGGAACCAAACGTGGAAACCGAGGTCTCGCACTGCGCCAGCCAGGCCTCCGGGATGAATCCCCGCGGGATTTCGGTGAGCGCGAAGCCGCGCAGCGCTCCGAGCAGCCGCTCGATGGGCGTTTCGCGAGCCGTTTCGGCGTCCGGGAAGGCGTCCGACACGCCCGGGACGGGGAGAGCGAAGGATGGCAGCACCTCGCGCACGAGTTCCGCACGAGTTTCATGGTTGAAAGTGAAGAGAAGCGTGGCGAGGAGGCGAGCGGAGGAAGCGACGAACTGCAGCAGCAGCGCGTTGGTGGGCGCGTCGGCGTGGGTCTGCGTCCAGCGAACCAGGCAGGGCAGCATCGCCAGGAGCTTCGCGGCCAGCCCGGAGCCCGCCAGGCTCGCGAGGAGGGCGTTCCCCGCGGGATGGGTGGGGTTGGCGAGGAGGGAGAGGAGGCGGAGCGTGTCGAGCGCGAGCGAAGCGTGGCGGAGAACGTGGAAGGGAGAAACCAGGAAGGCGCAGAGGCCGGCCAGGAGGGAATCGTGGAAGAAGCCGCCGGGGTAGAGAACCGCGGGGATGTCCAGCAGCAGGGAGGTGAGAGAAGGGGAAACGGAGGCCTGCTGCTCGAGCAGATCGAGCAAGCAGCGCGCAGCCAGCATGGAATCGTTCTCCGATTGGTTCTCCGATTGGTTCTCCGATTGGTTCTCCGATTGGTTCTCCGATTGGTTCTCCGATGGGTCCTTGGCGGCTCTGCGTTCGCTCGGTGCGCTGCGCAGGGCGCGCGTCCAGATCTGTTTGCACGCGGTGCGGAGCAGCGCCAGCTCCTCGGCGAAGCCGCCGAAGAACGACACGAACGCCGCGGGCGTGTTCTGCGCGGCCAGCTGGCTCAGGATCTGCAGCGTGGCGCACTGCAGCGCCGGCTGCGTCGCGAAGCACAGCTGCATGAACAGCCGCAGCAGCATCGTCGAATCCGCCGCCAGCTGCTGCGCCAAAGGCCGCGCCGTCCCCGCGGGGGAGGCCGAGGAGGCCGAGGAGGCCTCGAGCGAGCGCTGCAGCGCGTCGAGGAAGGGCGCCGGGAGGCGCAGCAGCTCGCCGAGCAGCGCGGACGCGGCGGCGATCGCCTCCATCCGATCCGCGGGACTGGCCGCATTTTCCTGCGCCGCGTCCGCCGGGGGAAACAGCGGCAGCTCCGCGCTCTGCACGCTCAGCACGCGGCGCAGCAGCGGCGACGGCACGAGCAGCTCCGCCACCAGCGCGCCCACGCCGCTCCCCGCGGGACTGGGGCCCTGGGAGGCCTCGGCGAGGCGCGCGACGCAGAGGCGCAGCACGCGCAGCGACGCGGCCTGCATCGCCCAGAACTCGCCGTCCCCGCGGAAGTCGCGCGGCTGCGCGCCCAGCAGCACGTCCTGCACCACGAACTCCAGGAGGGCGAAGAGCCCCGTGCTGCGCTGCAGCGACGGCAGCGGGAGCTTGGCCAGAACGGCCTCGAGGAGGGACAGAAAGGCGCGGGAGAGCGCGTGCTCGCGGAGCGGCGTTTCCTCGGTCTGCCAGGCGGCGCGGAGCGAAGCGAGGGAACGCATCGCACCTCCAGACGATGACGACGAAGATGACGACGAAGATGACGGCGAAGATGACATGAGGGGCGACGAAAAGGGATTGGACGCGCCGTACGCCGTGCAGAACGATTCCAGATGCGACCAGATCGCGCGTATTCCCGCGGGATCCTCGGCGCAGCGCGCGAGCACGCGGCAGAGCGCGGCAAGAAGAGGGAGCGGGAGATTGCGCGGCAATAATTGGAGCGAGAGAGAGCACAGATTAAACCCGTTCTCTTGCAGAACGGCTTCCCGCGCTTCCGGATCTTGCAGCAGCGCCGCCATGAGGTCCAGAATCGCGGTTATTCCCGAGACATCATCGGGACAGAGCGGCGCGGCGCGGGGCTGCAGCACGTGCTGCAAAGCCTGCTGCAGCGAGGAGAGCAGCAGCCGCCAGGAAATCATCGGGGAGTCGTAGGAAAGAAGCAGGGCGCGAACCGCGGAAGCGGCCTGCGGAGACAGCGCGGCAACCGCGGTGAGGAGGCGGAGCGTGCAGTCGAAGAAGCAGGGCTGCGCGACGAGGCGGTCCAGCAGGAAGAGCAGCAAGGAATCGATCGGAGCGTCGCGCAGCGGCGCGTCGAGGAGCGGGAGCAGCGCGCAGAGCGCCTCGACGAGCGTTTCGACGCCGTCCGGGAAGGCGGAGGCGGGCGGCGCGACGGCGAGGTGGGCATACTGCTCGCGGAGACTCTTCAGCGAGGCGAGCGGACAGCTGGCGAGGACGTAGCGCTCGATGAAGACGATGAGGGCGCGGTAGAGCAGGGAGAGGCAGCGCGAGCGCGCGCGCGGAGAGAGGTCCACGAAGCCCAGCGCCGCGATGGAGCGGTGGATGCGGAGCAGCTCGTGGCCGGAGAGGCCGGCAGAGACCGCCAGGACGCACGGAGAGCTGCTGTCGTCGCGCAGCAGAGCGAGGCCCAGGGCGAAGGAGAGCGTGGAGGACTCGGTGGCGGAGAGACTGGTGAGGAGAGGGAGGAGAATGGAGGAAGAAGGAGGCTCCGAAAAGGGGTGGAGAGCGCTGTCGAGGAGAGGAGCGTCCAGCAGGACGGAGAAAAGCAGGCAGTGCAGCAGGGCGTAGATATGGCCGCAGGAAGGGCAGGCAGCGGAGTCCAGCGAGTGGAGCGTGGATTGGAGGGATTGGAGCTGGGACGCGGTGATCTGCGCCACGGCAAACAGGGAGAAGAGCGATTGCAGGGCCGATTGGCTCTCTTTGAACATCCAGAGCATTGTTTTGGAGCTCTGACGAGCAAATTGCGAGGGAAGCTGAGTGATGTTACAGAGGATCGATGCCACATAGTCACTCGCTAGGACCCGCTCCAACATTGCTTTGAGGTAGCGGATGAGACTTGGCTGCCTTTCGCCAGCGTTAAACAGCTTCAGAAAAGCCTACGTTCGAGCCGACACGCACAAATACCTTCGCAATCAAATCCACGCAGTCGTAGCGCTTCGCTCGATCTTGGTAGTAGCACGAAACAGCCACATCAGCACTCGACGCCACTTGCTTTATCGTTCCATAAGTTGATTTGTATTGGATCATGTTGTTTACAAAATAAGCAAGAAGAACCGAGTCAGAAATCCCCGAATTCTTGCTAAAGGTAGTAATTTGATTTATCTCCTCAGCCGTTGGAGAATATATATTCCTTTCCAAATCTCTACTCAATGACCAAAAATAGCCCTTTCCTACGTAACAGCAGGACAATCACTCTCTAGTTTGCTTTCTATAATCAAATAATCAATCTTTGACATTATAGTTTCGCACAGTGCGTCCGACTCGTTCGAGTCTTGCACTATTTGGTCCAAACTGTTTGTCATCTCATATAGCTCGGTGATAATAGAGCAGTAGCCTTCTACGGGAGTTTTCTGATCCATTTCACGAAAGGACTAGAACTCTATACCAATTCCTAAGGAAATAGGGCGATTTCAAATTGGCGCTAGAATAGCCAAATTCCCGTTTGTTGGTCCATCCTTTCTCAAGGATTGAGAATCATGGCTCCACAACAAATTGATGCGAAGTGCAAAGCGAATAATGAGCTCGTAAGAGGTTTGAAGAGTGTTGCAGATGGCTTTCAAGAAACGCAAAAAGATCGACTCGCATCGACTGTACGAAGAGCGATTCGGTCAATTATCGAGTTTGTGAATGTTTGGGGATGAATGAGTAGTTGTCCGACTCCAATTCGGTCAAAAGAAGATGCTTTGAAATTGAAGGGGATTGGCGAATTTATGGCGCATAAGATTGAGACCATTTTACAGAAAGCGAACTTGCTGAATACAGAGCCATGTAAAATTGTTTATCGTTGTTTACTGGTAGTAACTATCGACCCTTCTGCTGAAAGCGAAGTGCAATCACCTCGACAGGAGCCTTTGGGCTATATTCCTCGTGCTGGAGGATGTACAGAGTGTTAGGAGGGGTCTAGCATAGTCGCCCATCTATTTCTCCTGTCCCTCGCACTAAGCATCAGCGAATCGTCTCTTTCCTCTGCAGATCAGGGCGATGTGGAAGCCAAACTTCACGACCTTATGCCCACGAAGCAGTTTGGTTCTAAAAAGCTTCGCGAGACTGCCACCCTTCTCCACCGCAAGGGTCTCTTATCATCTTCCTGCAGTCCTTATTCTCTCACCGATCTGGGCAAACGCACCGCTCTCAAATGTCTCCAGCTTAGCCGTCTGCAATATCCCCTCGTCGAGGCCTTTCTAGAAGCGGGCGGAGCACGCCGTCTCGCACCCCCGAATTCCACGGTTTCCACGGTTTCCACGGTTTCCACAGCAGCCCACCTGGTTCTCCCCCATTTCAGCTGGCCGCTGGCTCCACCCCCCGCGGGGCAGCGCATGGGCGAGCCTTGCCCTGTCTCCGACGCGGCTTCCCCTGTTTCCCCGGTTTCCCCAATACAACCCATCGCGCCCATCCGAGTGGACGGTCGCGAGGCGGACTGGGACGTGGTGCTGGTGCTGGATAACCGCGAGGTGCGCAGCCAGCAGGACCGCGGGTTTCTCGCGAACCAGCTGCACGCGGCGGGGCTGCGCTGCGAGGTGCGCGCGCTGGGGCTGGGGGACGTGCAGTGGACGCTGCGGCATCGGGAGAGCGGGCGCGAAGCGATGCTGGATGTGCTGGTGGAGCGGAAAAACGCGCGCGATCTCGCGCAGAGCATTCTCGATGGACGCTTCCGAGAGCAGCAGTACCGGCTGGGACGCTGCGGAGCCAGACATCCTGTGTATCTGGTGGAGGGAGGGCTCGCGACGCAGGACGTGCTGCCCACTGATTCGCTGCTGACGGGCGTGATGAGGACCGTGGTGAACCAGGACATCTATGTCTACCAGAGCACGTCGATCGATGATTCGATCGTGTTCCTGAGGAGTTTGCACGAGATCGAGAAGGCCGCGGTCCATCGGTACTTTGCGGAGGGAGATGAGTGTGTTTTGAATGTTATAAATTTGACTGCTAGTTCGTGTTTTCATCCGCTGAAGATCAGTTTTGCGGACTTTCAAACGCTCTACGCAAAATCGAAGGGAACCAAGCTGAATCAGCTCTGGTGTCGTCAGTTACGGCAGGTAGACTGCGTTGAAAGGTTTCTAAACAGCAGATCCCTCGATGTACTGTCGCCAAGACATTGATCATAGCCAAGCACTACCCTACGCTTGCCTCGCTTATGCGCGCCTACAAAGAGCAATCCTCCGTCAAAGAGAAAGAAGGACTGCTCAAATTGCTGTGTGATTCAAATCGCAAGAACAAGATTGGTCTTGCTCTGAGTCGCAATATTTATCATTATTTATGTGATTCTTAAGCTGTACTCTATATTATTGTTTGTTCTAGAGGGGGTATCAAATTGTGTGAGAGAGATTGGGGGTAGGGAATGGCACCCCCTGGGAAAGGCCGTTTCATTTGTATTGTGGGTCTTTCAGATTTGTCCAAAGTTCGTTGTTAACATAGAAAATGGCTCCCCCTGCTGCTGCTGGTGCTCCTACTATTAGTATGTCAATTTCCTTGAATTTTTTGGTTGATTTTGTGAACAAGGCGTTCTAACGTGTGTGTAGTTTATCTCCGTGCTGTCGGAGGAGAGAGTGCTTCTCCTGCTGCACTTGCTCCCAAGGTCGGTCCTCTTGGTATGGTATTTGTTCTGTTTAGAAGAAGTGATCTCGTAGGCTCCTAAGAAAGTCGGAGACGATATCCAGAAAGCCACTATGGACTGGAAGGGCTTGAAGATCACCGTCAAGCTGACTGTGGTCAATCGTCAGGCTACCGTGAGTTTCGTGCTCGTTCTTGACTCCTAGGTGGAAGTGGTTCCCAGTGCTTCCTCTCTGATCATTCGTGAGCTGAACGAGCCTCCTCGTGACCGCAAGAAGGAGAAGAACGGTACGGATTGGTAGTTGGCGTAACGGGCAGTCAAGCACAACGGAAACATCACTCTCGACCAGGTCATTAAGGTGGCGAAGGTCCTTCGTGAGCGTTCCTACGCTAACAAACTCGCTGGAACCGTGAAGGAGGTCCTTGGAACTTGCTAGTGAGTGTCTGAAGCGATTTTGATGGATAGTTCTGTGGGTTGCACCGTGAATGGACAGCATCCTTCGGATATCATTGCGGCCATCGATAATGGTGAGATCGAGGTTCCTGAAGAATAAGGAATGCGTGGACGTTTTGGATTTGGGCAATCTTTCTCTGGTTTGTTTGTTTGAAAGACATTTCCCGCCAACTCATTTTTTTGCTAATGATCGCTTTTGTATGTGCTATTAGTTTTGTCTGTTGCGTAGGTGGTCGATTCGAGGGGAGAGAATGTCTCTGCCGAAGATGAAGACATTTTCTTCCAACGAGTGTCCGAATGTTTGCTGCCTCATTTTTATCTCCTATTCTGTGTGCAGGTTCAAAATCCGAAGAAGGTGTGTATTGTCAAGTCATCGAGTCAAGGGTATGTGTTTCCTCACCGCCTCTCCCCAGAGCCTCCATCTGTCTGCGTCCTACCGAAATCTCAAAATCTACGCTCTCCCTCATCGCCAACGCGATCCGGTCTCTTCCCAAGAAGCCTTCTCTCACTTCTGCCAATCGATTCACTCTCGACGCTCTTCTCTCTTCTCTCCTCCCTCCTCCTACTTCTCTCTATGCAATTCTCCGTTCTCCCAGCACTCCCTTTCCTTCTCAATCTTCTTCTCCCTCGTTCTCTCTCCGCACCTGCATCCTCGGCGATCGCATGAGTCTCCTAACTCTGGAATCCACGTAGCCTCGCTCTCCTCCCTGCACGGCTAGTCTCCACAGCTGGCTTCGCGATCATCTCTCCTCCTTCTCCGCCCAGCTCCATCTCCCCTCCTCCTTCGCGCAGATCGGAGTCCATTCCGTGCCTCTGCTTCGACTCCTTCATTGCAGATCCCTATCCGACTCTCTGTACCGTATCTCTTCGAGCGACCTTTCCTCCCCGTCTCCATCACACACTTCCAGCATGCAGGCCTCGCTACACTCACTCTCCAAGCCGTACAGCCGCAGACAAAAATCGATCTCGCAACCATTCTGCCGTTATGGCATTGTACAGCCAACGGCGATGATCCGCATTGGCGATCCCTCTTACGATTCCTCGACGCCACGGCATCCTGCATAATCTGCTCTTGCGTGCATTCCAGTACACATCACACACGCTCAGCTAGTAGAAATCGGCATCAAAGAGCTTTACGCGCTCTTCCCGGCTAGAGAGAACAAACGCGTCGCGCTGCTTTGTAAAATGGCCATGCGGGAGCAGCTACTCCCCGTTGCAGAGCTCGGAGAAGGAGATGACGGGAACGAAGAGAAAACGAACGAGAACGAACGTTCGCGAGCCGATGATTTGAAATTCGATTTGTATTCGCATCGAAAGAGAGTGAAAGGTAGACTGTTACACGGATTGCGAAGTGACGAACCCGCTGCCTTCTCGATGCGAAGTGAGTTCAGTGAGCAGATGAACCGTCAATTGAAATGGGCTGTTTGTTCGATACTGCATAATCGCGGGAATTGGAAAATCAAATTTTTATCTCTCGATTTTCAATTCAAATGGATAATCGATACGAGGACCAGGAAGGTCATCGCCGTGAGAAGAAGCAGAGCTATATTCATGTATTGCGCGCTAAGCTCTACGGGGTGATCGCTGTAAACACCTTGGAAGGAATCAATAACGAGCTTGACAATATTCTTCCCTCCGGGTTTGACAAAGGTGCTGACAAAAAATTTAAAGTTATGTCTAGACAACATTGATCCTCTTTCGGAACAATACCGCAAGGAGCGAAACGGCAAATTGTACCCTACCAGCTATGGAGATCACATGGATCGCGCTATAAAGAGCCTGGGGAAGGAAATTGGCGTAGCGGTTTCTGTAGATTTAGCAAACACGCAGGCTGTGAAAGTAAATTCGGGCGAATCGTTTCACCCTAGAAAGTACTCTCCGAGTGCATCCGAAGAACCTCTCAAGAGGAACGAAAGCAGGTGGCCGAGTGGCTGAACTCCTCCAACGATGTGATAATGAAATCCGAGCGTTTTGAAGACCTTATTGACAGATGTTGCATGCACTTCTACAAAAAGCATTCCAAAGAGATCAGCGATGACAACTTGTCGTTCATTCGCCGTTCTGCCAATGAATTGCTCCGGAACAAAGCATCGAAGGATGCCATGCGCAAGCGGCTGTTAAATACGGACTACCGCTGCGAGGAGAACGTGGACGACGTGATAAGTTCCAGCGTGTATCCCATTTCGGTTTGTCTTGCATCTTCATTTTGACCATTACAGAGCGCTGGAGGCGAGCCTCATATTCTGGTCACCGACACTTCCGCATTGCTAAATACGAGCACTGTCACGATTCCGGGAATCGGCGATATGAGTAATCTGACATCGATCAGTTCGATGATTAACATCACTCCCATAAATCTCGTTTCGAACCCTTCTTACGACGCGATTCCGCTCCCTCACATGAATCAGATCAGCTCCTCCCCACACCCGTCGATGCTGTCATCGCGCGAAGTGGAAACGTCGACGACAGGAATGAATATGAGCGTGCCAATGCCGATCAATCCGATTATGTCGATGAACATTTCGGCAGTGTCGGGAAATCCGGTGAACAGCGTGCCGATGGGGATCATTTCGATGAATGGGATGGGGATGATGGAAGGGCAGAGAGGCTTCAGTGGAAGCTCGCAGAGCATGGATATGGCCATGGCGAGGCCAGTTAATGTGAGATTGGATGGCGTGGTTGATGTGTAGGAGGAAACGGAGGAGAGAACGGTGAGGTCGTAGTGGCGTAGAGTCCGTTTTTAGTGTGATAATATATTTTGGATGGGTGTTTGTTTCAGAAATGGCGAATTGTGTTTGCATTTTAGAATTTTGTTTTATCATTTGCTAGAGTTAGTGGCTTAGAGTCTATTTTTAGTGTGATAATATATTTTGGATGGGTGTTTGTTTCAAAAAAGGCGAATTGTGTTTGCATTTTAGAATTTTGTTTTATCATTTGCGGGAGTTTCGTTCCATTGATCCTCACAAATGATGAATTTTTTCTACTATTTTTTTCGCATTTATTCTCATGAGCAACATCCCTACTGCCGATCTTGTAAGCCACGCGAAGGAGGTCTATACTCGAGTTTTTGGAGGCGAGGCCGAGATTGTTACCTCTGCTCCGGGTCGTCTGAACTTTGGAGGCGAGCACTGCGACTACATGGGAGGATACGTGCTACCTTTCCCCACAGTACTCCGTGGAGTCGCTGCTGGACGCCGAGTTCCTGGAAAGGTAATGGCAAAACCGTTTTTCGGGTGATTTATAGCATTGCCGTGTGTATTCTGAGTATTTTGATGAGACCATCGAATTTGATTGCGATGAGGCTCTGGAGCGTGGCCCGAAGGGAGAGTGGGCCAACTACTACAAGGGTATGTGCCACTTCTACCTCCCCGAGATGCCTGAAAAGGAGCTGGGTTTCGACATGGTGTTCATCTCCAACGTCACCATCGGAGGAGGCATCAGCTCTTCTGCCGCTGTCGAGGTTTGATTCCTTATTCTCTCCTCATCGCTCTAGATCTCCTGCGGTCTGTTCATTGAGCAGTGTCTGGGAATCGACTTGGATAAAAAGGACCGTGCGATGCGAGCCTATCACGCGGAGCACGAGTTCGTACAGATGCCTTGCGGTGTGATGGACCAATTGATCTCCGCCTGCGGCCACTACGGTCGCATCTCGCTGATCGACTGCATTACGCATGACATGAAGGACTATCCCATCAACCCCAACACCGACCCCAACGCCGCGTTCCAGGAGTGGCCCGTCACGCTTCTGAAGCTGTACGTGCACGTGGAGCACAAGCTGGTGAACTCTGGCTTCGCGGATCGCGTGCGCGAAAGCAACGAGGGCGAGCAGATTCTGAAGAAGCGCTTCAATGTGGACGGTAAAGAGCCGGTGCGCGCGCTGTGCCGCGGCGTGACGATGGAAATGCTGGAGGAGGTGAAGGGCGAAATGAGCGAGGACGTGTACAAGCGCTGCTTCCATGTAGAGTTGCAAGAGAAAGGCGAGATGTAGATGATTCGCGAGACCGATCGAACGCTGCGCTACGTCGATTTGATTCTGAAGGCGGACTGGGAGTCGATCGGCAAGCTGTTCTACGAGTCGTACGACGATTCGGTGAAGTATTTCAAGAACGACCATCCGGATATCACGGCCTGCATCGATGTGCTGAAGGAGATCGGATTGGAGGGAGGTGTGTATGGAGGACGCATGATCGGAGGCGGCTGGGGCGGCTCGATTCTCTGCATTGTGAAGAAGGGAATGGAAGACACGCTCATTCCGCTGATCCAGCAGAAGTGCGATGAGAAGCTGCACAAGCCGAATAGCTGCGATGTGATGATTATTAAGGAGGCGGGAGATGGAGCTCGTGTGGAGCATTAATTGAAAGAGTTTCTTTCTTTCTTTGTTGCTTTGTTTGTTTGTTTGATTCATTCTATGCCGCTAAGTTGCTTCGATGCTTCGATGCTTCGATGCTTTGTGTGCCTTATTGTCTTGTTTGTTGAAAGAAACAGAGAAATGAGAGGGAGGACAAAAGGAAGGAGGTGGAACGTCGAACAGACTCGGGCGAGAGCGCTTCGCTGGAGGATCCTCGTTGAAGTGCAGCGCTGATTCTTTCTACCATCGAGATAAGCTCACATCGCTACGCAACTATTCACCAGCGATCGCAGACTCGTCAATTTCTGCGTCGCAAACACGGACGCGCCGTTCATATTCCGAACCGAACGCGCCAAACTCGCATCGATCCGACTGCATCGCTCGTCAATGCTCTGCGCTTCGCTCGTCACCGTTCGACACGCCTGCAGCACCTCGTCAAAGATCGCAGAGCTGGTCACCGTCATTCGAAGCACGTCGTCACGCAATGATTCTGTTTTCTTTTCCTTCCCGCTGATCTGGCGAAGCTGCTCCAGCAGCGTTTCGCACTCCGTTTTGCGTTTCGCTTCCGCCTCTTCGGCCTTCTTCATCTTTTCTTCGGCCTCGTTGATCTGCTTCTTCAACGCGTACGTCGTATCCACCAATTCGCGGATCTTTCCCACCTGCTCTTCCACCTTCTGGCTTTGCGCCTCTGCTGTTTTCGTCGCGTTTGCGATCTGCTCCAAGTAGTTCGAGATCGAAACGAGCGGGCTGTCTATCTTTCACGCTCGCTCGCCTCCCTCACCGTTGATCAGCACGAAAAACGGATAACGAACTTCCTGTACGCGCTGCCGCACTTCGCGCAGCTCGTTTTCGGTCAGCGAGGGGCAGCGGAACGCCAGCAGAGAGAGGTGAGTGAAGCTAAATCGGGAGAGAAACAGCAGAAACTGAGAGATGGAGATCTGTTTGACGTAGGTCCCTGGCTATCAACGCGATCTAGACAATGGATGTACAGGGAATGAAGAGCTGGCGCACGGAAGTGATCGCGTTGTTGCGCACCGCAGAGAGACCGTCGATGCAAAACTCGAAGTTTTCGAGCGAATCCGAGACGGTGATCGTCGAGATCGCGTGGTCTGTGAAGCTCAGAATCAGGGCAGGGACTTGCTCTGGAGATTGTGGCTTGTCTACGTCGAAAAACGGGCGAATTCGAACAGGAAAAACGAAGATTGTCCAGCTGGATGCAAGGTCGATTTCGAATCGCATCGATAAAGCGCGATTTATTGCAGAGCGAGGGAAGGAATATGTCTTGAAGCTGTAAGTGGTCTGTTCCCTTAATGGAGTGGTAAAGGAAGGCGATCGCGTCTCCTTCGCGGAGACCTAACGATTGTATAGTGCTGAGTGGGGAGATCAGTCCGTTCTCGTTGAACAACGAGATTCGTTTATTCGTATTGAGCGCGTTCTACTCTCCACAAACCATCAAGCGATACTTCGAGATTTTCTATTATGAGACTTATTTGCGAACTCTCTAGAGCTGACTGGGCATACATCTGCCCTGTTATCAAATCCACCAACACAATTCCTAGTTTCTATACAATATCTCTGGTCTTTGCTCCAGTACCTTCCCCGCAGAGTATGGCGACTTTGGAAGTGAATATGAAACACGATCATAGACATTCCCATAATCCTCAACAGGTTCCTTATTTGTTTCGATTACATTTAATAAATAGTCATTGTTGAAGTTAAAAGATGACAGAGTTAGGTTCATATCTACTTCTCGCCCTCTGTGTAGAAATCGCAAGTTTTTCAGACTTCCGGTAGATAGGCCTTTCGGATGTTTCTACAAAGATGAGAAAAACCCGCCAAATAAACGAATTACACTTAAAAACGTCATAGCCACCTGAAGGAAAGTATTCCGTTCCAGAACACGAAATTCAAACGGGTCTCCTTTCCATAGTAATGTGACGTTCATAATACAAAACAACAACTACTGAGTGAAAACAAACATGACTTGCTATTTTCTCTATCACTTCTGCTCTTTTTATTTTTCGATGGCTCGACAAGAGTTAAAAATGACAAGCCCGTTCCGAATCCTACACAGCTCCATCAATGATTTCCACCTTCTGCTCTGATTTTCGCTTTTCTATGCCTCAATCGCTTGGAATTCAAAAACTCCCGTGTTCCAACGCCTTCTGAGGATTTCGATGGATCGCTTCATTCGCCTTGTCTGCTGACAAGCCCACCGCCTTTGCGATTGTTATGTACTCCTGCGGGCTTCGCAATTCGATAGGATCCAGCGGGTTTCTATCTTCCACGAATCATTCGCTCATTACGCTGAGAATAGCATGTTGTTTCCTCGTGAGAAGAGAAGGAGAAGCGGAGAAGCTGCAAAAAGAGCGCGGCGTGCTGAACGATCTGAGAGATATCGCTCGACCTTTCACAACACACCTCGATAAGCAGGAGCGAGTTGGAACTCGAACATAGTTCCGTTTTTGATTGCTTTGTCGATGGACGATTTGGAGTACGTAAAAGGAAGAGGGTCCACGAGAGGAATCTCGATGATGTCGATGAGTTTCTAGAATGAAAAAATCTTCAGAAAAAGCTACTGAAGAACAGGCAAATTCAAATCCCTCCTGGTTTTGCGGACGGAAAGACACCAAGTCATAGTCATTAATAAACGGTGAATTCTATCCATCAATCTACTACCAAACTCAAACTAAAAGCTGGAAGTCTCTTCGATCTTGGATAGAATAGGACAGTCGAGTATACACCCTAAATTGTGTCGATTTATTAACTTTTGGATCTCGCAATAACGCGCTTCTTTGATGTTCAACATAGTAGTCGTGTACGACTGTCTTATCACACTTCTATCCCATGTGAGTTACGAAACGGTGTATCCTACATCCAGATCACAATCAAGGGGTCTGTTTTCGACAACTGTTGTAAGTACGACAGCGCCAAACCCAACTACCTGTAAGATCGTTCAACTCTCAGAATTACGACTATCCAATTCGGTGACTACTTCCTGAACAGTGCTTTCATCAAATTCGCCGCTATTCACCGCAAAAAACGACTCAACAAACATTGTATGAACAAACAGCTCCCTATAAAGTTTCAAATTACGGATAAGTCTCAAGCTAAAGTACCAAACTACTCTTCAATCGTCTCCGCAATATCATCCTCGTTTTCTAAATCGACCATCAATTGCCCATTCATAATAATATAAAAATCCTCAATAGGGGACGCAGATCGCTTGTGCATCGACAAGTTTTCAATCTGGTATGTCCCATCTTGAGAACTCTTTCCAGTGAGCGTAACCAGATAATCTCCGTTGCTTCCATTGACCACGAAGGTTATGGACGCATTGCCATTACGCAATGAACCTCGCGCTAAGCCATAACTCTTAATCGGAGAACCCAGTAAACGTTTTGCTAAATTGGAACGATTAATTATCTCGATTGCAGCCTTAAAGATGGACGACTTCTACAAATTATGACGATATCTGTAGGCGTACCTGAAGACTAGAAGAATAGTAAAAAATACCACCTGCGATTCCCAGGGATGCAATCACGCCAAAAATATAAAGGTAGGTGTTTGAATCGTTGTCTTCGGCTACAGTAGAGAATTGACGGCAGCAAGGTTTCCTGATGATGTTATTTCTTAGCATAGCCGTTCTCTGAAAGTAGGTCACCTGCGTCCTTCCTTGCATCAGCAAAACCATAGTCCTCCGTGAAAGATAGGATCTTCGAAATAGAAGACTCACTCCCTGTAATGTGACGTTACCGATTCGAAGAAGTTTCGGAAGAACGGCAGGATTCATAAAATAATATAGAAAATAAGAGAAAATCAATTGCTCTCTCAACTGATTTTCTCTGTTTTTGAGTAATAATCCTGTTGTGATATTGGATAAATTTGCATTATGCTGGATTTGAATGATTCATAAAAAAACTAGAGATAGATACTTTACAGACAATTGAATATACTGTATCATTCCAGACAACCCCTTTGGCTGTTGGCAAAAAGAATACACATTGAGAAACTCAAGATTGCGTCTTAATGATTCCAGTTTCTTCTTCACTTCTCCAGTTTGTATGTTAGCTATAAATGCTATAGTGAAAAAGAAGGAATAGGAGCGTCAATGGTCTAATGGTTAGGATTCTACCCTTCCAAGGTAGAGGTCCGGGTTCAATTCCCGGTTGACGCATTTTTATTATTCAACAAACACAAATCCATTTTGCTCAACAATTCTAAGCAATTTCTTCATACAATTGTTGGAGCGTTTTCGTCTCCTCCAACGCAGCACCAAATAACGTTTCCAAGGAAGCGGCATATCGCTCCATGTCCTCGGGCGAGAATGCAGGATAGCAATAAGTGCAGTGCAGATAGCAGCCGATTCCGGGAATCGTGAACGAGTGCAGGTTCAGTCCCCCCATGCCTGGCTGTCGCATCACGGTGGGCAGGAAGAAAAACTCCTTCAGCGCGAAGAGATTGTATTTCGCTTGAAGCTCCGTAACGCCCAGCGTACAGCCATTGAATGAGGCCGGAGGGATCAGCGAGAAGTCCTTGGCGCGACATATCGCAAAGAAGTCGTTCATCTGCTCCTCCTTCTCGATCGCCTCTTTCAAATGGCTTCGCAGCTCGCTGCAAAAGTCCCAGAAAGCTCGCTGCGGCTCGACCTGGCCTTCAACAAAGATCGTGTATGCGCCAACCACCAAATCCTCCTTGGTGATGGGGCGTTGGAAACGAGCACGACCCACCGTTGTTGCAGGTGTGCCAAATCGGATGGTGGCAGGGAACTGCTTGTGAAAGAGAGCCATCTGGCACAGAGCCATGCAAGCCCAGAGATAGCATTGGAAAGTACAGCCGTGCTTGCGGCAGCCTTCCAGAATACGGTTCATTCTGTCCTCGGGAATTAGTACCCGCTTGGTTCGGAAGTAGGAGGGACAAGACTCGCTGTCCTCGTGAAGGCGAATTGGAGCAGACCAAATCTCGCCTTTGAGATCTGAGAAACGAATATGGTTGGGCTCTTGCTCCTTCAGAATGATTTCGTTTTGGACAGAAACAAACTCACGGGAAGGAGGCAGAGGCTCCTGCGGAGAATCCAGGTAATGCAACAGGTCCACAGCAACTCGAATAGAAGACAGAGCGTCCACACAGGAATGGCAGAAGCACCCAATGATCGCTGTGTTCGAGTGAACATCGTCGGCAATCACTTTGAAATGAGCAGTATCAGTACAAGTCGAGTCATTGCTGAAGTCGCAAACAATATGCTCAAATCGGTTGTGAAGCGACTCTACGTCAAACTGCTCCATCGAATAATCCAAAATCGGATCGGTGAGTAACGAATCGACCAACACCATGTCTGTAAACGACTCTCCCTGTCGAATACTACATCGTAGATAGGGGTGTTTTGAATAGATATGCTCCAGTGCATTTCGGACGTATTTCTCACTAAAATACTTATCCAGCACAATTGCCCAGCTCACAAACATTCTGCGCGTAAGCGCTTCGTACATATTCACCTGATACTCCATTGAAAAAGAAACCTCTTTCACTACAATGATAAAAATAAAAATAATAATAATAATGGTAGTAGTAAGTGAAGATTAGAAAAATAACAGAGATGCCCCCTCTGGGAATCGAACCCAGGACCTTCCGCTTACAAGGCGGGTGCTCTACCAACTGAGCTAAAAAGGCTCTACTAGAAAAAAGTCCACTTTGCCTTTAACAAACAGGTAATAGTAGTATCAATCAGAAAAGCACACATTGAATTCACTTGGAATGTATTGGACATACTCCTTACTCACAACGTTGATAGGATGCGTTTTGTCATGGTCTGGGAAATCACAATATCTAGGTTTGATCGTTACGACAACCTTCATACCCCTTGAAATGCAGCCATTCTGATAAGCCTCCATTCAAATTGTACGCTTTTACTCCCTTCTTTAACTCTTCTTCCACAATTTTGGCAGAGCGCTCTCCTATACGCGAATAAAAGAAGGTTCGGATGGGCAATTTTCCAAGATTTGCACTTCGATAACTCTCCTACTTCTTACTCGTTCCTCACATTGCTACAAGGGTTTTTGCATGACTGATATGGCATGAATCAAACTCCTCCTGTGAACGGCAATCTATGACGTGGATCAACTCGTTACTACGAGTGAAAATATCATAGAACTGCTCCATATCTATTTGTTGATCTTGCTGGAAGGTTTCTCGGATGGATTTCAGTCTTTCATCAATAGCAGCAAAGGCCTCTTCTTTTGACAAACTAAAATGTGAATTGATATTTGCGCTCTCTACCGTTCCATTATTGCTCTAAAATATCTGCAATACTTTCTTCTGAGTTAAAAAGTGGAAGGAGAAAATGGTTCTTATTTTCGACAAGGGAGTTGTATATTGAGTGTGTAGATGATGCACCATGAACAAAGACGAGATACCGAAGGTAATAGAATACAAAACGGGCTCTGCATGTTATTCACTGTAGTCACATGTTACTCAGTCTTGTTTCCATTTTGAATGTTCAAATTTGATGTATTGAAAACAGTAGGCAGCGGTGCTTCAGGGCTGATACTATTGGCTCGTGAAAAGGAATCCCATCGTTTGTTTGCTGTCAAGAAATGCCAGATACCCGATCAGAGCAGTGAGTCTCCAGAAGTTCCTCATATTGAAGTAACGTTTTCAACTCTTTTGAAGTTTAGGAGCGGTATTTATCCAAATTGACCCATCCCAACATTGTATCTTGTATAGAATCTTTTACAGAGGGTTCTTCTTTTTATATTGTGATGGAATATGCGGCCGCTGGTGACTTGCAGAAGCTGATCAATCGGTTCGGTTCGGAAGGCAGGTTTATTTCGTTTGGAGTTTTTTATTTAGCTTTTTTGCCGAGTACGCAATTCGTTCCATCTTGTTTGATTGTCTCAATGCATTGGGATGTGTTCATGACCATGGAGTTGTTCACAGAGATATTAAACCGTCTAATATTTTGCTTTTCTGTGACGGAACCGTGAAGATCTGTGACTTTGGAATCGCCCAGCCTGATCTTGAAACTTCACCAACCCAATGCAAGGGGACGTTGCAATACATGGCTCCAGAAATCATCAACAAGGGTAATTATGAAAAGAGTGCTGATATTTGGTCTCTCGGCTGTGTGCTGTATGAGATCATGTGGAGAGAGCCACTGTTCAGTGAAGGATCCTATTCGGAAGTGATTGCGAAGATTGTCGATTTCAAATCCAAGAATTGGATCGAGTTTCCGTCGATCTACTCTACAGAGTTGCAGGAGATTGTGCGCTCCATGCTATCCATTGATCCTCAAGCGCGTCCGAGTGTTCATGAGTTGATGGAATCGGAATATCTAAAGAAAGGAGTTGATATGGGACGATCGATTGTTCAATACTATGCAGAACAGCAAGTGTTTGTCAATGAGGTGAAAGCATCGATCCATCATTTACGAAGTGAGGCTTCTAACGAAGCAGCTGAAGCAGAAGCAGAAACTGAAACTCAAGCACAAGCATTTGTACAAGCTTTGGCACAAGAGCCAGACTATTCCAAACTATACAATCGACTTCTACTCGATTCTACCTACATTCAAAGTGCGATGGATGCTTTCGAATCATGTAATGTATTGATAGAAAACAATGCATCAAATGTTTCAGGGTACAAATAAACGCAAAAAGTCATACAGCAAAAGCTTTCAATATCCCTTTTTTCATGTAGCAGATTTCATTGCTTCCTTCTTAACAACCACTCGATTCTCCCCTTCTTCCTCGAATTGAATAAACAAATGATGGCGAACGCAGGTATCATCAAACGTGTGATGCTTCCACACCTACACTTCATTCCGCCCGCTTTCTCAGACCTTTTCATACGTCTGGTTCCACACCAGCAGTTCCTTTTCTTGCGAACGCCGAATCACCACGCCATCATGCGAAAGAAACACAAAGGCGCGGTTCAATATTACATCTCCGAAATGCTTTTCGATCATTTTCCGCGCAGAATCGATCCGAGCCGATCCGCGATCCACCGCGATCACTCCGAACGGCTCCGTTTTCCCCACGATATGCACCAAAATCTGGCTATCGCGCTGCTGCAGCCTGCCTGCCTTCATTCGAGTCGAGCCGAGCATCGATTCACTCTTGGGAAGCGGATAATAGCCCGACAACTCCACAGAATCGGAAGGTTTATAGTACAACGCAGAATCGGAGGCTCGGCGAGCCAGTCCCTCCACTGATTGAAAATTCCCGTTCCCCGAATTGAACTGAATCTCTCCATTCACAAATCCGAACTCTTCGCGAGACGAAAAACTTCCCCGACCCGGAGGAAACCCGCGCGAATCGTCGTTTGGAGAGGAGAAAGCGGGCGACGGAGGACATTCTCTCCGGTACTGCCCATTCAGCTTCATCATATTCAAGTCAAAGGAGGGTGGCGGAGGTTTGCACATCGCATTCGCCGGCGCTTTCTGCAGCTTTTGCAACGGAAGCTTCCCGGATCGAGCGGGGAGAGGCGCCGGCGCGCCGGCCGCGCCTGGCTGCGGGTTCCACTGCTGGAGGGTGTTGGCGAGCGTGTTGGGAAGAATACAGGGCTGCGGAAGAGTTCCTGGCGCGGTGGCGGCTGGGGAAACTCCGGGAGCGCTGGGACCCGCGGAGGCGAGGGGGGCGACAGAGGGCGAAGGAGCTAGAGGGCAAAATGGGGGCAGAGAGCCTGCAGGTGCGATGGGCAGAGAAGAATGGTCGCCTGTGCCAAAAGGGAAATGGGCTGGTTGAGGTTTGGCATTTCGGTTTTGACGAAAAGAAGGCTGCGCGTTATTTTCAGACTTTGTCTGGCAATTCTTTTTACGCTTCGAAGCTGCCTTGGTTGTCGAAGAAGCAGAATGAGGACGCTTCGAAACTTCTTTTTCCTTTGGAACACACAAAGTAGGTGCGCAAGAGATATCTTGATTCGTTAGGTTAAAAGGCATTGATTTCTCTTGCGAATAGTTAATGTTAGCAACGGTACTTGGCAAAATTGTCTGTAGAGGTGGAATGGATGGGTCTATGATGCTCGGGTCCTGAAGTGACTGAGGCTCTTTATTCGAAGCAAACATTACTTCCAGAGTTGGGTCGATTTCATAATAAGCAGATCCAGGCAGCATGTCACTGAGTTCTCCCAAGGAGAATAGCTCATCTACGTGTTTTGACATAAACACCGTTTCCTACTATCAAAAGGAGAGTGCGTTGTTTTTCTATCAGTAGCAAATGCACTCATTGAGTTTTAGAGGGGAATATTCCTTTTGGAATACAAAAGAAAATGACTAATATGGAGTTCTTGATAATAATGATTATTATAGCAAATCTGAACGTTTGGCTCATTTCATATTTTATTTTCGAACAAAGAAGGAAAATCACACTTTGCACTTTACTAGTATAAAGGCCGCAGCGCAGATAAAAGAAAGAGTCATTCCGGTCAGTACGGTAGTTTTTACATAACTGTTCTGTAAATACGCATCTAAATCTTTGTAACTACCATTCACGGACATAGACATATTACTACGACAATCCGTGGTCACGGATCTCAGGATTAATGGGCTCCAGAGGACTGTGGTAGGTATTGCTTTCTTTTGAGAATATTTCCGTTCTACACAGTAAGAAGGTGCCCAAAAGTGGACGAGGAGGGGACATGTGCAGTGTAAAGTTCATTGTCGTAAATAACGGCTACGCCTTGAAGACTACGTTGTTTTATAAGAGCAGATGTTGATGTATTTTGGTAAATCGTGTTAGAAAGGATGAAAACGTTCTACAATAAAAAACGTCCACCGAAGCAACATTTGTTCTGTCGATGTCAAAGAAGAGACTACTCATGTACAACAACCAATTATTTTCAATCTGCAAGACGTTCGACTGTTCGATGACGATTCCAGCCGTGCAGTCATAGATCGCGTTCTTTTTAATCTTAACTAGCTGGACATTTCTGCAATCCACCCCTTTCTGCCCGCAATCGTGAATAATGCAGTCGTGGACATGCATCCCAAAGCAGGAGGCCACTGACACTCCATATTCGCACCGAAAGATGCGCGAATTGCGAAGAATCAAATCGCAGCTGGACACGGAGATCGCCGCCGGGCAGTGCGACACCAAACAATCCGCGATCACTCCAAATTTTCCCTCCATTTTCTCTTTCGAGTAAATTCCGATCGACGAGCAATGCGCGACTTCGCAGTGGTCGAGAGAGAAGGCGCCCAGCAAGCGAAGACCGATATCCGAGCGAAGCACGGAGAGATTGATCCCCATGAGATGATGAAGATTGCTTTGGAAGTATAAGCCGAGCCGACCGCCCTGGATTGACGTGTTGGAGATGAAGAACTCGCTGAGAGGGTCGACGGTTGAGGGAATGTTGAGATGAATGCTGGTGTCTTTGATATGCTCGAATCTGCAGGATTCGATAGAAATGGGGGAGTTACTGCGAATTCCGTGACGGGCAGAAGCGAAGGAGCAGTCCTCAAAGCTAATCTCGTCATACAAGAAAAAACATACCTGCTTTTGCTGTCTGTGAGGACAAAAATTGTGTTGGCTGTTTCCGTTCCTTCAAAAGAACAATGACGGAACGAAATGGTAGAAGAAGTTATGTTAAATACTTTAGGAAGGTTACAACACCAATTAAATGAACAATTTTCCACCTCGACATAGGCTACATTGAACAAGGAGTAAAACGCTTACAATCTGTGATAGTAAATTCAAAATTTGAATCTGATATATATTTACTGCTTTTATCTGATATAATTCGGATGTGCTTTTCCTTAATTGTAGCAGATGGAATAGAACTGGACTAGAATCACAAGAATTGAAATATATTACCCATATACAAATTGTTCCATAATCGGAGCATTCATCAATAGCTTCTTGGAGAGATGTTTTACAGATAACTCCTTTGCATATATGAGTGTCTGCAACATAAATGGGTCTAGGCTTAATTACAAATTGGAGTCTTACCTTCCCCAAACACTGTCAATCATTCCTTCTCCAGTGTTAATATGAGTACTGCTTTCCATAATGATGAGGCAACCACAAATTGATTCAAAAGGAGTTGATGTTAATTCTGAAGAAGAAAACAACAATAATGATGGTTTGTGTAGGTGTTTAGTACGTGGGAGATATTGATTTCATATTGTTTGATAATTTGGATATAGAAAATTAATATTAGGTAGAATACTACAAACAACGACGTGTAATGCCTAGTAATAGAGATAGAATGTTGTGATAAGAATTATGAATGGTTTTACTGTGACAGTTTTAGATGAGACAGGGAGTGGGAGTACGTAGTAGGTTGATGAGAATGATTCTGACTAGGATCTAATTATGGGAGTTCCTGGTTTTATTAGTAATGATAATAATAGCCACAAAACTAAGCAAGGCATACCAATAATAACTCAGCATGCTATTTCTTGACTATTTGTGATATGTAAACATGGTGGGATGAGTTTCTATTTCGAACTACGTATTCAAACAATAATAATACGCCATAAACAATACTATGACACACAATATAATTCTTATCTAGGTTATTGGAAAATAAACTATGAAATAGAATGACCAACCAACCGTAAGCTGAATTGATTTCCACAATGTCACAAGCTTTTTGTATTATAGACGTGTATCAGCAAGAATGCTGATTATCAAGATACCAGGAATACCTGAAAAGGTAAATATTGTGGAATGTCGGTAATCCAGTGCACTTAGTGCTATATTAATATTATTATGAATAGCGGTTTAAAATAGAGTCAACCTATAATGGAATAGTAAATGCTTATTCACTAATGTGTTTTAATGACAGTGATGAACAAAAGAATCGTTTGATGATTCTGCTCATGGTTTACCTCATGAAATTGTTGATAATAAAGTTCACTATTGCTGATCTTGCTTTTAAAATAAACAAAACTCTTATGTAGCAAACCTTCTTTAGAATTTGGAGCTGAATTCAATATTATGGTCGAGGAATGTATATTTCATCATTCGTATTTAGCAATAGCTTATTTGACGGAGATTCATGGAGCCGAGTATCTACTTGATGGTTACGCTACCTTTGGTCAATCTGAAACTGTTATCAAGAATGAAGAACGATACATTGTTCAGCGATATCAAGGAAAACACAAAAACGAATTCCTCTTGAGATCTGAAAATGGCGAGGTTTTTCTGTATGAAAATAACGTACTGAAACAGTATTGGAAAGAGTATGAGGATGGAAAGAGATTGGAGGAGTTTATGCGATACAAGAATGGCCGAGTTGATTTCAGTCAGCGATTCGAGTACATTTTGGAACAAATGAATAGTAAACGTTTTGTTTACCACCCGAAAGGGCTTCGAATGGAAATCTGGTCAGCCCAAACGGGTCATTTGTTGTATCACGGAGAGTACAACGAAAGACGAATGAAAGAAGGCTGGGGAATTGAATACGATGAGGAAAGCGGAAATATTGCTTTAGAAGGCATTTGGAGCAAAGGAACATTGAAAGAAGTGATTCGATGTTTCAATGGAGATACGATGACTGAATTAAGGAGAAATGGAGCAGATAGTTTGGATCCCGTTAAACGAATTCCGATCTATATGGGTGGATTTCGCTATGATGAAGACAATGAAATGTTTGTTCGTGAAGGGAAAGGATGTCTGATTGATGAAAAGACTGGAATCGCAACTCGAGAAAGTGTATGGAAAAATGGTAAGCAAGTGAGTGGAGTGAATCTGATTGATGGAAAATACGATCCAAAATTGAGGTAGGGTTTATAAATGGTTATGATTCCCAGACTAATTCCTGATCCCCTTCAAATAAACGTCAATGGGTCTATGATACTAAGTGATGTGAGTTTGAAAGTGACCGATTTGACGATATCATCGAATTGCTGTAACGATTTGAGTGAATTGGATCTAGGCCAGTTTTCGTTCCTTGAATCGATTGAGATTGGCGATGATTGTTTTGGATCCGTACAGACATTCAAAATCGATCGATTGAATCGATTGAAAACCATCAAAATAGGAAATAGATCATTTACTCAGAAAAAGAATAGTTTTGGAAATGACAAATCGAAATCATTCCACATATTGAATTGTGAATCATTGGAATCGATAGAAATTGGTGAACATGGTTTCAGTGATTTTGCTGGAGACTTTGAATTGAAGAATCTACCACAATTACAATCCATTCAAATTGGTGTAATTGGAAGTGATTCAAGCAATTTCTATTATAGCTCGTTTGTAATTCGAGGTATACATCTGATATTGAATATTTGGATAATGCATAGATCTTCCAAATCTACAATCCATTACATTAGGTGATCGTGCATTCTTTAGATCCTTATCAACAATAATTGAAAGTATTGAATGAATTCGAATGAAATGATTGATGTAGATCTTCCATCATTACAATCCATCACATTTGGTTATTATGTACTTAATGGAAGATGGAATGATGATTCAAGTTCGTTGATAATGCGAAGTAATACTGAAATGATTGAAACTGATTGAAAATAGATCTTCCAAATCTAAAATCCATTGATTCCAAGCAAGGAAGTTTCCAAAAACCTCGTGTAGTGACATTGGCAAGTATTTCTGAATATTGAATATTGATAGTATTTAGATATTCCAAATCTTCAAAATGTTGAACTACCTGAATCATTCGAGAAAGTTCGATCGAAATCAATTTGGAGTAATGTATAATTTATTTCATATAATTTATAGATGTTTCTTCCATTCTCGCTGATCTTGTCCAAATCAAGCAGTAATTCCAGCATTGGATCTACACACTTTATTCCATTTCATTCCATTCAATGATCATTGAATATTCAATGCTTACTTTGTTTCTTTGGTTCAAACCCCTTACCGTCATTCTTTGGTTATAATTCTAGAATCCAATCATCGATTCACTCACATTTATCATCGCAATCCAGATTGATTTAGCTAGCATTTTTCAATTCTATGTGTAATCGATGTTGAGAATGAAAATACTTGTTCAGAAATGAATGAACCACAGCGCGATTATCATATTTAGGTGTTCGTTGAAAATAGAAATATTTATCATATTCGTTGTTTTGATTCGATTTGTGTAGATTGAATATATATATTCTAATATGTATAATATTATTTTGCAAAGTGAATCTCTCCACAAATTAATATTCGAAATGGGCTGTTCAAACGTAGTAGTATGCCATATCCAACATTGATTAGGATACATCCAACATGCTTATAGTTCTCGGTTAGTATTCATTTTTTCTATTCCTCAGCAATGATTATTATTGCAATACATACTGAAGAGTATGCATTTTCTCTAAAGAGATCAAACAAAAAATCTTGAGTGTTCATATCGAGCTGTGTTGCATTCTTATGAATAGTCGAATTAAATACCTTTTCTTGCAAATAATGATTCCAAGTTGTTAGTACTTCAAAAATGCATGTATCGCAATCATTACATAAATAACTTATAATATCCATGTGTATTTCAAATATGCTCTATGTATGGCATGTTCCATGCACTCATAATCCAGTTCTACCATTCATAATACTAATTGGGAGGTTAGCCCAAAAACTATTACATAATATTGCCTCAGTTCATGACTGCTTCTACTCATACACCATCTATATATTACATTTTCAAACATTTATAGAATCACCTGCTTCTTCAACTTTTTTTGATCTTATGTTGAAAGCAGTCAAGGGAAACGGAAAGCGATTCAGTCTGGTTGGAGATATGGAGATTGACGACGAGATCAACCGTTTTCGAGATATGAATACCGATGTAAATATCAATCCCTTTATAAATGAAATAGAGTTATGAAATTATCGTAAAGGGCGTGATTGAAAAGATCCTGAATTGCAAGCTCGAGAGCGATTTACTTTCGGAGCTGGAGGATGGTGTTGTATACACATTCAATTAGAGATGTTATTTTTAGATACTGTGTCAACTCTTTGAAAAACTAGTCCCAGATCGTACTATAAAGAAGCCAACGATATCGAAGAGTATAGTTTGTACCATTCTGTTAAAGATTTAGATCTTTCTTTCTTTCAGAAGCGAGATAACCTTTCCAAGTTCACAAATGCATGCCGATCCATTAGTATTCCAGATATATTGCTAATTACATATTCCTATTTTGAAAATAATGACAAGAACTTGCTTGTGTCCGGTTTAGTCACTTTTTTCATCTGGGTATTAAATCTGTATTTGATTGATTCTGTACTAATCGTTAGTGGAATTGTTGATTCGTCTCAGCACGTTACCATTAATTCCTTGATGAAGGTGTCTAGTGATGGCGATATGAGTAAAAGTGTCGACACCATAGCACGGAGATTGTCGAATCGTGCGGGAATCATCACAGGAGAGATTGCAGAAAATGAGGCAGGGACATGTGATGTTCCGCTTGCACAGAATGAAACCGACAAGAACACAGCCGAGCAAAGAGACGCAGAGATCCATGAAAAGATCTCCCAGCTCACCAAGCAAATCAAAGAAAGCGAGATGGAGTATAAAGAACTTTTCAATGAACAAAACGCGAACGAAAAAGCGGAAAAAGAGTCGGAATTCGAGGAACAGAGAGATCAAAGAATTGAAACGAAACCATTGAGTGAAGAACTTTCCGCAAATCCAGTCGAGCCCGCTTTGAATCCAGTGAAAGCGGAGCAAATCGTCTCGCTTGGGATGATTGAAGAGCAAACGCGCGCCGATTCTTCCAAAGAGCAGATCCAAACGGAAACTCTGCGAGAAATCGAAGAGCGATTGAACCAAACGAACGAAATCCTCCACCAAATCCATCCTTCCGTTCCCATTGAACCCTCTTCTCATTCATTTGAACCCTCTTCTCTTCCATTTGAACCCTCTTCTCATTCATTTGAATCTTCCTCTCATCCATTTGAACCCTCCTCTCTTCCCTCTGAACCCAATCCACAGTCGACATCCTCCATTCAATCCTGGATGAATCGCAATGGAGTGTCCCCCATCGTTCCGGAAGGCGATCTTTCCGAACACTCGCGCGCAATCGAACGAAAAATCAATCGATTCATCAACAAAGTCACTCATTCCTCCCGCTCCAACACTCCCCTTGTCTTCCAGCCCACTTCTTCCATCGTTCAAGCCATGCCTTTGCTCCCCGCCGAATCGCCCCAACTCATGATCGCGCCTCCAATCGAACCCAGCGAACTGATAGAGACCACGGCTCCTATGAACGTTAAGAACCCGATCAGTCGAGTGGAATCCTCAGAGCCAATCAACGCAAAGAAAGCGGAGAGACAGCGCGAAAAGCCTCCGGCTGCTCCTGCGCAGTATCATCTACCGCGACATCGAGCGCTGGACAAAAGCGATGAGGTCATTCCCAAGCGGCGAAACATTCAAAAAGTGCCAGCAAATACAACCGTCGCTTCGAATCCTCCCGCGAAAGCTTCCAATGAGATTCGAAAACGGCCGGTTCGCTATGTCCGACGGCTGGGTCAACGACGAATCGTCGCAGGAGCGGTCTGTCAGTCCTGCTATTTGGATGGATTGGACGAGAATGGAGAGGTGATAACAAGTGTGCAAGTGCGAAATGTGGGTCTGGGAATGATGCGATTGAAGCGTCGCGAGCCCGTGAATCAGGGAGAAGAGCTGGAAGAACCACGCCATCGTGGAGTTGGCTTGTTCAGCGGGGAGGACGAAATCGAAAACGAATACGAAAGCGGAATGGAGCAGTTTTACAACCACGAACTGGATGTGAGCGAAATGGAACGCGAACTGGATCGCCAGATTCGACAACTCCGAAATCCCACACTATCTCTTGTTTGTTCCACAAACAACACAGTCTATAATAATATCTCTACGATTCCTCGCGTGCCATCCACACGAATCTTCATCCCGCTCTTGATCTTGGACAGCAGTCCCGTCGCTCCCGACACGCACGGAATCCCCAACTCCTTCGCGATCACGCTTCCATGCGTCAGCGGACCGCCGATTTCGATCGCCACGCCGCCTGCATTCACAAACAAAGACGTCCATCCAGGATCCGCTGCGCGCATCACCAAGATCTCTCCCTTCTGAAGCACCGTGCTGCGGAAGTCGGTCGCGACCACGGCGATTCCTTCCGCTACGCCAGCCGATGTTGGGATCCCACGAATTACACTCGGAGGTAAGTTCTCCAGCCCTCGCATCGATTTCTTGGAGAGCGTGATCATCGCGCACTCCGGGCCTTCGATCACGCGAGGAAACGCCATACGCTCCGCTTGGAGAAGGAGCTCTTTGGCCTCGCTGACTTTGGACCGGAAGTTGGAAGCGGCGAGCGTGCTCTGCTCGTACCAAAACAAATCATCGAGCTGCAGGTACATCACGTCGCCGATCTGATTGATCCACCCTCCCGATTGCAGCTGTCTTCCGACTTGGAGAATGGCGCGGTGGATGGGGAGGAGAATGCGAAGCAGAGAGTATCGGAAATGATCGCGATAGTCCACAAAGAGACGCGCCATCGGTAAAAGCGAAGCGATTTTTTTGCGCTGCGATGGGGGCAGGCGAGAAAGAAGATCTTTTTCGGCTTGGTGCAGAGCGATGTCTTCTTGTTTGGCCGATTCGATCGCGCAGTTGCACTTGCTGAGCGCGAGGGAGAGAGGGAGGTAGGGACGGTCTTCGTATCTAGAAAGGGTCAATCGCCCAACAAAAAGCAAACCGAGGAACGCCCACGTCGAGTTCTCCTTCATTCCGACAGCCAAAATCCGAAATGAACTTGTCCCACAACGTTAAAAAGCATGAGGCTTCGGTGGATTTCTGGACGCGAAGCGTGTCGATCCACCTCCAAACGCTCTGCGAATCCTGCGAACTCACCAGCTCCTGCGATGTGAAAAACGAACGACAAGCAAACCTCCACCGTGGCTTCTGCGTTGAGCGATTTGATCGCCTTCCCCAAGAGAATGAGGCTTTCGTTCATTCTTCGCTGGACGCTTTTTTGCCGCGCCCCGATCAGTCGGTCCTTCTCTCCACTCGGCAATCCGTTCTTTTCGAAAATCTCGCCGATTTGGCGATACGCCTTGCGCGGAACGTGCAGATATCCCTTCTGACGAGCGAAAAAAGTCAATAGATCGACTTTGACCGAGAGAATATCGCTCAGCTTCACGATTTTCGGCTGCTCATCCAAAAGCTTCTGGATTTGATCAGCCACCGCTTTCATTTCCGCTTCGTTTTCTTCCAGCTTTTCAGTGAGCTGGTCCACGTCCCATCGGCAACATTTCGCTCGCAAGACATCCTTGATGATCGGCTTGATGAGTACATTCTTTAAAATTGAATTGGCTCGCTTTTCCGTTTTGTGGTCAAAGCGATAATAATCATCGCGATATACTTCCTTCATAATTTGAACGATTTCAGGATCGATTCCATTCCTATACGCGTCTATAAATGATGGCTTCTGCCGGAACACACATGACATAACAGATCGAGTAAAAAACGTTGAAAAACACCCACACAGATTGATAAACATAACTCCATTCACATAACACAAATAACGTTCCGAAACCTGAAACAAGTGTCGATACAATGAGTATCCCATCGGGGTGATCAACTCTGTCATGATCTTTAAGTCTCTGCTATTCACGAAGCAGGCCCAATCCATGTCGTAAGGATGGATGAGAGGGTTGATCGCTAGAAATCACACAGTGCACCCGATCGAACCGTTTGGAATGCTGAGCAGATGGGTGATAGGACGTGCTTGAAGGACGTAAAGTGTGTTTTGAAAGATGGAAAACTCAATGTCCATGGGTTTCTGATAGTACTTTTCTATGTTAATCGCAAGCTCGCAAATGGATTCGATCTGCAGATGAAAACAAACAAGGACGCAACACCTCCTCTCGCGAGAAGCACGCTCGGTTTGCTTCTTCTGGAGAGAGCTCCACTTTCGTGGTTCCCTTGTTGGGGTAATTCGATACAGATTTATACAATTGGTTCCCGATTCGTTCTTCTTCAACAGAATACGGATGCGGGCCGTAAGGCTTACGGATGATCCAGTGATCCGTGTTCACTTGTCCGTTCATTAACGGCTCGCCCATTCCCTGGACCCCATCTAAAGAAATATGCGCGAGAGAACCTGTCTGGGGATCCGCTGTGAAAACAACGCCCGAGGAGGTGGCAGGGATCATCACTTGGATAATTACAGCGATGGCAGTGTCAAAAGGGGACAACCCATGTTGAATGCGATATTGGATTGACCGTCTCGAAAAAAGAGAGCGCCAGCATTTCTTCACGGCGTCTATCACCGGCTCCAATTCACACTTCACATTGAGAATTGAGTCATTCATTCCAGCAAAGCTCGCATTCTCCAAGTCTTCGGCGATTCCACTTGAACGCACCGCGAGAAGAGGATGCGGAATCTGGCTATTCCTTTGCAAATCATGTAGCTGGTTTTGAATTTCAGCTGCAAGCTCGTATTTCACTTCGTAGTGATCAAATTGGCTTTGAATAAGTCCAATCTGTTCATCCGATATGGATTCGATACAACTATCTTCAAATTGTTCTTGCCACAAGCTTATATATTCTCGAAACGCTTCTTCGCGAATGATAAATGCATGCGGTACCAAAAACTCACCTTGCGCCAGAACGATGAGATTGTACCCCTTTCCACCAATATGCTCGAGTTTGATACAATCTCCTCTCGACGAAAGCTGCACAATCAGAGAAAACGCAAAGACCTACACTAACTGTATAATTCATTGACTTCATCAACGATTTCGAAACAACGTGTTTCTCATCAAACAATCCGATCATTTCACCTCTGGAAACTGAAATCCCTCCAAATAATTCGCCCAGGCCTTGTCTTCGGTCCGCGTCGTTCTCAACTCTCCTTCAGAAGCTGCAAACATTTGATTTAAGTCCTCCGTCTCAAACGTAAGTACGTTCTTAAACACGTTCATAAACTGTCTCTTGTACACAGCATAGTACTCCTTCTTTCTCGAGCAGATATTGTAGACCACAAGCCCATCACCGACCATGCTCTTCAACTGCTCCAAAAACTTCTTCTACACACTCACCGCCCTCCACAACGCACACCGTCAAAAACGCCACCGGCGGGAAGCTCGACGTCGCCTTGAGGTCTTTCGTATCGATATCCACAATCACCACATCGTACGTCTTCCCCGCGGCTTGCTGCTTCTCCACAAACTGCAGCGCGTCCTCCACCACGACCTCTACATCCTCGGGGAGCTTGAAGTACTTCCGCGCGATCTCCGCGACCGTTTCGTCGATCTCGACCGCGGTAATCGCGGCACGCGGGATGGAAGCGTGAAGAAACGACGGCAAACAGCCGCCGCCGAGTCCCAGAACGAGGATTCGAGGCGAAGCCGAGCGCGGAGGAGCGAGGAGCAAGGCGGCCGCCATGAACTGATGGATGGAGAAGAAGAGTGTGCGCGGCTCGAAGACCTTCCGCTTCTTTTTCTCTCCGGAGATGTGGAATCCCATCTGGGATTGGATGGCGCGCGCGTTGCTGGTGAAAAGCAGGCGGCGCGATCCCGCGCGATCGCTGGTCATGACGTCCTCGACGGTGTAGGAATCGCCCGAAGCGAGCGAGCCCGAAGCGAGGGTCGACGACTTGTATTGGCTCTCTGGGGGCGAGTAGATGGGGATGGGGAGGTTCCCGTTGAGCGGGAGAAAGGAGGGGAGGATGGGCGAGAAGTCTTTCTTCGCCTGCTCGTTGTCGATTGCGAGGTTGCGAGCGTGCGAGTTGCTCCGGAAAATGATGATCATGCGGTCCGCTTGGGCCTCCTCCATGAGCTGCCAGACGCTCTCGTGCTCGCGGTACATGGTGGAGGTGTTGCTGCCCGCAGGGACCAGCAGACTCACCGTGGAGGGCTGGCGATGCCCTTCGAGGGCGTTGTCCCAGATGTCAAATTCGTATTTGTTCTATGCCAACAAACAAAGGGATGGGGAGAAACGGGCGTGGCGGTCGGAGAGCTCGCGAGGAGCAGGGAGACGGAGAGCTCGGGAGAGTGGGAGCCGCTGGCGACCGTGCGGAGCTTGTTCCGGCCAATGAAATAGTAGCGAGTTTCCTGGATGTGCTGCAGGAAGTCGGGTTTGGGGAGCGATTTCGAGGCGTCCAAGGGGGTGAACGTGGTGTTGTTTCGTCTACGCGATAGAGGAAGAGAGGAGAAAAGGAACAGAAATCCGTCGGTGGGGATGAAGAAGAAGCGGAACGGCTTCGGAGAGGCGGCTTTGCGCGTGATGAAGAGGAAGGGAGGGTTGGTCAGAGGGGTTTGGAGCGGCTGGCTGGTCAGATACACGTCCGTTGTGTAGGGAGAGAGCATGTCTACAATGAGCCAGAAAAACTCGAAAAGAAACCATAGAGCAGCGAGCAGATGAAGTCCTGCGACATGGAGATCGTAAAGAGAACGCCTTCCGGCTTCAAAACGCGGAAGTTCTCCTTCAGATAGGCTGTAGCGTCATTCTTACACTTCGGATTGTCCTCTGCATAGATAGCGTCTAAACAGGCCTTGTCAATAATCACATCGAACGACGCATCTTCAAAAGTCATCTTTGTTGCATCCATCACATGGTATTCGAGCGTTTCTCGCTTCCCACGACGGTTCTTCATCGTCTCAATCACAGTTTCGCTGTAATCGATACAGACGATGTTGCGATAACCATTGTCATACCTAGCAATCAGAAAATAAACAGAAAACTACAGTTTTTCGCCGAGATTGCTGTTTCCACAACCGACTAGCAAAATTCTGTTTTTCTTGTTGATGTAGGTAGCGAAATAGGACTTGAAATCGTTGAAGCTCCCATACCAATCAAACAGAGACTTGTATTTCTCGAACGCTTGGTCCCAGAACTCCTTCTTATTGTAGTCCTCGATGTTTTTGGGGTTTAAATACTGCTCCATTGGCAAATCGATGGTCTTCTGAAAAATCGACTAACGGGAATCGCTCGGTTTTTGGGCAAACAAAACAGTCGTATTATCTCTAGAAGGTTTCATCCCATTCTATAGAAAATGCCACAGTCGCGATTAGTGAGTGCTTCTTCATCCAGTTGACTCTTCCGTTTCCGTTTTACTGTGTAGGAAGCCGATCTCGAAGTCGCTCGATGTCTCTGGAGAAGGATCCATCGTACCCGATTCGATATTTGTAATAATCATAGAAGAGAAGATAGTAGAAGCCGACATGACAAACGAGAGAACAGCCTCTCGTACGTGAGAGTGAATTGTGTAATTGTGTAGTAACACGGAAGACAACGAGGGACAAGATAAAATTGTCGTAAAAGATCTGTCTTCGTACGCTGTGAACGAGAGATGGGTTACTAATAGAAACGTAAGCGAGAAGCACTTGAAGGAAATCTTTGGGCACTTTGGAGAGGTAAAAGACGTCTCCATTCAGTATTTGCCCCATTCCTCCATCTCATCTGGAACTGCGTATATCGTGATGGCCTCCGAGGAAGATGTGGAGAAGGCTGTCAAGGGAATGCACAAAGGCCAAATTGATGGTACGAATTGTCGCTCGCCTTCACGCTAGGCCGAGTGATCACAGTGGAAGCAGTGGAGAAGAAGAAGGAGAAGAAGAAGAAGAGCGAAAAGAGCGAAAAGAGAAAGAAGCGAGAAGAGTCCAAGAACCCCGAACCAGTAGCAAAACCTCAAACGAAGCCGGAGCGAAAGCCGCTCCTCCGTCGCAAGAACCACTCGCGTCTGCGAGGCCGCTCCTATTCCGACAGGAGCCGATCTCGCAGCAGTCGGTCGAGCAGCTATTCTCGCAGCAGTCGGTCGCGATCGCGATCTCGCAGCAGTCGGTCACGATCGCGATCACGCTCACGCTCACGATCGCATTCACGTTCACGTTCGAGTCGCTCTCGCTCAAGTCGTTCTCGCTCGAGTCGTTCTCGCAGCTACAGCGGATCTCGCAGTTATTCCCGCTCGCGAAGCTACAGCCGGTCCTATTCTCCCTCTCGAAGCTACAGCCGATCGCGTAGTCGATCCTATTCTAATCGTGGCCGAAGATGCATTGTTTGTTCAACAATCACGCAATCACAACATCATCATCATAATCATCATCATATTCTTCATCATCATAATCTTCATCCATCCAAACTCTTTGTTTAAACGTCATCATCAGAAGACACAGCCTTCTTGTGGTGGCGTCTCTTCTTGTGGCGGGTCTCCGACTTCTCAACCTCCTCCTCGCTTTCCTCCTCCTCCTGCATGGCAGGCTGGCGAGCAGGCGCGGCGTCCATATCGTCGTCGCTCACATCGGCTCCAGACGAAGCATCGTCATCCAGCATTCCTCTCTCCTCCTCCGGAGACACCAGAGATCTGCAGTGCAGTCCGAACAGGAACAGCCAGACGGCGTAGCAGAGCAGGAACACGTAGTAAGTGAAGTCCGACTTGTTGTTGAAGAAGTCGTAGTTCAGCAGCTTCAACAATTCCAGAAGACAGGTCACAGCACCCATCACAGAGCTCACATAACCCACCAATCTCCAGTTTCCACCGATAATATCGAGCTCCTTGTCATAGATAGTCGCCATGTACACGCCCAGACCCAGAATCAAGTCACGGAAGAACGTCAGCCAAGTGAACGAGCTGCTCATGATGGCCTCAGCAAACAGCATCGACACGTGAGGATAACCCTTGGCCTTGGAATTGGGGTGGAAGATCAGGCCTCCCACGATTCCAGCGCTCACACGCAGGCCCACAGAGAAGGCAGACTTCATGATCTCAAGAACGGTTCCCATGAGCAACAAGGTACGCATGACCTTCGAACCCTCGTGCGCGCTGAATAAGTCCTCCATGGCCTATGAGTGACCGAACGTTCGAGCCATTACGTAGAAAGGAATACAGGTGATCAGACCGAACAGCATAACTACCACTCAAATAATATAGAAACTGCGTACTGACCAAATGAGAAAACTCATACCAACCGATATGGCGGCTCTGGTATGAGAAAAATTCAAGAATGCAAGTATGGTTCAAATCCTTCCCTTAAACGAAACAATCAACAAAATACAGTGATCGCGCTCATTCCACAGCTCGAGGTGTTCTTAACCACCACAGAGTTAATAAGTTCTCGGATGAAAGGGGCCAAAACCATACCCACGGATCTTCACATAATAAGCTAAGCAGGAACCTACCCAATAGTAGCGCAATAAGCTGAAAGCTTGTAAACACCGTTGGGATCGTTAGGCGAAATCTTAGTAAGTAAATTGTTAAAAGCTGATTAATTATACAAAGCAAGCAAAAATCTACCCATTTGAGACGAAAAAGGATTACAATATAAACACTTCTGCGAAATGGAGCACACAAAACACATTGACGACACACAATCGATCTTTCTACCCTTTTTCCTATCTATCCAGGAGGGACGACATACATTCTGGTGAATTATTTACGCTTGCAATTATTCTGCAATTTGCTCACGGCATTTGTAGACTACTGGAGCTGCCAGGAATACCAATTTTGCCAAATTGTGTATTCGTGTGTTTTTTGGGAAATAAGGAGGAGAGTGCTGGCAGTAACGAAAGATGAATATTCAGTAGGGTTTCGAAGAACAGTTGGTGATTTGTGGAAAGAACAATTGTTTCGCATTCGCGTGACTGTACTAAAAATGTGTAATGCATAAAATACAATATTATTGTGTTTAGAGACACTATGTGCGATAGTATTTGAAAGTGAGATTTGTCGCGGGAATTTGGAGATGTCTTTCTTCCAGATTTTCTAAGAAACAACGAAGAATGAAATCAAAGCAGAAGGACAAGAAGGAAAAGAAGGAAAAGAAGGAGCCAAAAATGGTGTCAAAGAAGAAGGAAGTCATGCGAGCCCTGCCGCCTAAGAAGAGCGAATTATCGAAAGAAAAGTATAAAGACGAAGCAACAAAGCTAAAGGAAGATGTGATTCACATCAATGAGACCATGATGAACGAGGGCGAACGTTTGTTCTTCACTCGCTTGCCAGAAAAAATAATCGAGCTTACAGAATATATTCAAGTATGTAGTTTGTTTATCGAGTGCCTTGTTCTTACTTTCTATAGAATCAGCCCCTATTCAAGAAATCTTTTAATGATGTGAAGCAAGAGATATCTGTGGACAAGTACGTAATCGCATATATGGCAGAAGCCAAGGAAAAGGAGTTGGTGAAAAATGTTCTCGAGACTCATGAAACCTTTAACGATTGGAGAAAGAAGCAAAAGCACTTGCTCCTCGGATGCGAGATCGAGGGAAAGGTGCCTGTCTCTTCGAAGAAGGAGAAGGAACATCCTAAAGTTCCTATTCCCTTCCCTCCCGATTGTATCATACCAGTGAACGCCGTATTGGCACTTTTCGTTTCCTCATCGGTAGCAACTCGCATCCATGCTGGACTTTTTGAAGAAGGAGGTGAGCGAATGTGCGATTCTCTGCGGTGCAATTAAGATGTGGATCACGCTTCGTATTCCCAAAATGGAGGATGGAAACGACTTCAACGTATCCATTCAGGAAGAGTGCGTCAACACCATTTCGGACGTGGAAGACGAGGCGTACAGCATTCTTGATTCCATCTCCAACTATCATCATACACGAGGCAGCTACATTATTGAGGTAGAGATTGATGGAGTTGTTGAATGTAGATGGTTGCGAATCCCTCGGTGATGGATTTCGCCAAGTGCATCTCGCAAGTGGATGAAACACAGTTCTTCAATACGAAGCTGTCAATCCAAAGCTTCCGGAATAACTACGCCTTGCTATATGACCTGGTGATCAAGAACTTGGAAAAGCTGCGCACACCTACTTCCCATGTTGATTCTCTTTCATTTTATTAGTTCGTTAGTTCCTCTGTTTTCTTAAACAATGATTCTGTAAAGTGGACATTTTCTGTGACTCTCACTAAAAAGTAAGGAATCGATAGACTGAGGTTTCTTGGCCATTTCCGTTCGCTAGAGATGGTTCAATAAATACCATGCATTGAATAACGTGATGAAAACCATTCTCAAATCGACATGCATAACAAGTTGGTCCCTTAAAGCTGTATGTCGTCCTTTCACTCATCTTCCCTGTTTCTCCATTATTCTCCCATTCTAGGTTTTCCCAAAGAATGCTCGCATCTGTTCCTTCTATGATTTCGAAGCGTGCTGTGACTCTTGCTGTACGATTTTGAATCTGTGAGTGTGATGGTGTAGCGCAGTTTCGCCGGAGCTGTTGATTTAACGAAGCCTTTCACTGAAAGACTTGCTGAAGCTCGCCACAGCGCCCTTATTGGTGGAGGCGAGAAGCGCATTGATTCTCAGCACAAGCGTGGCAAGCTGACCGCTCGTGAGCGTATCGAGCTGCTGGTGGATAAGGGTTCGTTCCGCGAGTACGACCAGCTGAAGGCGCACCGCTGCGTGCATTTCGGTATGGAGAAGCAGAACTACCCTGGCGATGGTGTTGTGACGGGTCACGGAACGATCAACGGTCGTCTGGTGTTCCTGTTCGCTCAGGACTTCACGGTGCTGGGAGGTTCTCTGTCTGGCACGAACGCTGAGAAGATCTGCAAGGTGATGGACAAGGCCATGGACGTGGGTGCTCCGGTGATCGGTCTGAACGACTCCGGCGGTGCTCGTATCCAGGAGGGCTGCGACTCTCTTGCTGGCTACTCGGAGATCTTCAAGCGGAACACTCTGTCGTCGGGCGTGATTCCGCAGATCTCTCTGATCATGGGTCCGTGCGCTGGAGGCGCTGTGTACTCTCCTGCGATCACGGATTTCATCTTCATGGTGCGCGACACGTCGTACATGTTCATCACGGGTCCGGACGTGGTGAAGACGGTGACGCAGGAGGAAGTGACGCAGGAGGAGCTGGGCGGCGCTGCGATCCACACGAAGAAGTCTGGCGTGGCGCAGGGCGCGTTCGACAACGACGTGGAGATGCTTCGCGCGATGCGTACGTTCTACGACTACCTGCCTCTGAACAACCGCGACGGCGTTCCGAGCCGCGTGTGCACGGACCCGCGGAGCCGCGCGGAGCCGGCGCTGGCGAACATCGTGCCGCAGGACGCGAACATGCCGTACGACATGAAGAAGCTGGTGAAGCTGGTGGTGGACGAGCAGGAGTTCTTCGAGACGTCGCCCGACTTCGCGAAGAACATCGTGGTGGGCTTCGCCCGCATGGAGGGCCGCACGGTGGGCGTGGTGGCGAACCAGCCGCTGGAGCTGGCGGGCTGCCTGGACATCAACGCCTCGGTGAAGGGCGCGCGGTTCGTGCGCTTCTGCGACGCGTTCAACATCCCGCTGGTGACGTTCGTGGACGTGCCCGGCTTCCTGCCCGGCGTGAACCAGGAGCACCGAGGAATCATCCGCGAGGGAGCCAAGCTGATCTACGCCTACGCGGAGGCGACCGTGCCCAAGGTCACCGTCATCACCCGCAAGAGCTACGGAGGCGCGTACTGCGTGATGTCCTCGAAGCATCTGCGCGGAGACAGCAACTACTCGTGGCCCAACGGAGAGATCGCCGTCATGGGAGCCGAGGGAGCCGTCAAGATCATCTTCCGAGGAAAGGATCTCCAGAAGAACAAGGCCGAGTACGCTTACAACTTCGCCAACCCGCTCATGGCCGCCCAGAGAGGATTCATCGACGACATCATCGAGCCCACCGAGACCCGAAGAAGACTCTGCGAGGACCTCGAGATCCTCCAGACCAAGAAGATGACCAATCCTTGGAGAAAGCACGGAAACATCCCGCTGTAAAGAGCGAGAGGTCCCGAGCCGAAGAAAAGGAAAAGAAAAAAGGAGCGAATTGGTGGATAGAAAAAGGGAGTAACATGGAGTTTACACTATTATGCCATTATGATAGGGTCTGTTTGTTCGAAAACACAATTGCATTGTTATGGCCGCTACTACGCCTTGGGTGAGTTACCTCTTTTTCGGTATCTCTGTGATCATGGTCTTTGGGTTGTACGCTTGTTTGGAGGACATGTTAATACACAGGTTGTATCTGAATGCAGAGATCGTATTTACCAATATTCATAACGTATGGGATGGCGGAATGCTGAAAAGGTAGACGAAAATCAATAATGGCGAGATCGTGTTTTCAGCCGAAATGGTTCGAGAACCCGACAAACCGACTCCGTTGGAAAATGTTACAGGTACCGAAGAGGTTGTAATGACCGAACCTCCCAAGTTAAACGTGATTCCGAAGATTCTAACCTTGATTAAGAGTTTCACTTCGTTTCCCAAACCGGCAGTACAAAATGCCGAAAACAAGTCACCTATTCGCCCCCATCCATTTCTTCGAACCTACTCAAGAGACAGCATGACCACTCCCACGAGTTCTGCTCCCACTTCACAAGTGCACGACGTCACTTTTACGAGTCAGGGAACGTACTTGATTTTCGAAAGGGTCATCTTCAGCACGGTTCGCTACTACTACTTCCCAATCCTCCTCCAGCGCTGGACTGGGTATTTTTAACTGGCTACACTGAAATCTAGTCCTCTCTCCATCACGCTGTGCTTAAAGCCGGAAGAAGTATCCGATATCAACGACCAATTAGCCGCCGACAATTTCGACTCGCGTCTGTCAATCGTCCAATACGTAGCCACCAATCCCGGCATCTACCCCATCAACAAACTTCGCAATCTGGCCATCCGGAACGTGAAAACGGACCATTTCTGGCTGACCGATTTGGACATGTGGCCGTCACGTTTGTGCCGATTCCTTCGAATTCTGTGTAGAAGGCCTCTACGAAGCGATCCTCCGACTCCCCAATTCGGCATTGCAGGATGAAGTGCTCGCGATCATCGTTCCTGCGTTTGAGATCCATGCGAGTTCGTGCTCTACGTTCCAGGCGTGCACGGATCTGCCGTCTGATTGGTCGTTCGGTTACGCGTAGAATCTTGCCCCAGTTCCCCAACACGAAGAGAGAACTGAACAGGTGTATAAGCACGCGGAGGTGCAGCACGTTCAGGCCGTGGGATCAGCTGCATGATTACCACTTCCCTGAGTGGTACCGCGAGTCCTACACGGCGGAGCTGACGCCTGTGCGGTGCTTTAAGGGGAATACGCAGGAGCCGTAGAGGTCGCTGTGCCGGTTGATTTGAAGGTATGTCGTGGTGAAGAAGTCGCCGTTTTTGCCGTCGTTCGATGAGCGATTTGTGAACTATGCATATAACAAGGTGCAGTGGCTGGAGCATCTGCGATACAGAGGATATGTGTTTTCGATTCTTACTGATGGATTTGCTGTGGACGTGCCACATCCCTTGTTTTCGTGTTGGAGTGGTTTTAGGAATAGCTCTGCGCTGCGCAAGAAGTTCATGTCTGTCCGAGAGACCACAAAGCAGACGCTAAACAAGGAAATGTATGACCAGTTCTTGGCAGAGCTTAGACGCAACGAGACGGATAAGAGCATTGTAAAGTATTGCAAACAGAATAACAATTCAACTCTTTGTTCAACAAACAAGTAGCCATATGCATGCAGTTAAACGATAGACTAGAATTCCATTACAACTCCACGGTAGGAGCGGGAGCGGGGGCAGGAGCAGGGACCGGCTCAGGGGCAGGTGCCGGGGCAGGAGCAGGAACAGGTTCGGGAGCAGGAACAGGTTCGGGAGCAGGAGCAGGAGCAGGGGCAGGGGTAGGCTCAGGAGCCGGAGCCGGAGCCGGAGCTGGGACAGGAGCAGGTTCGGGAGCCGGAGCGGGAGCAGGAGCAGGAGCCGGAATAGGCTCAGGAGCGGGAGCAGTGACCTGAATAGGCTCAGTCGAGGCAGGGACAGGAACAGAGGCCTCAGCAGTCTCCGTGGGAGCAGGTACCTCCACAGGCTTCGACGGGTGAGAAGCAGACTTGGCAGACGTCTTGGGAAGCTCCTTCTTGGCGGGACGCTTGGCACAAACAGCAATGATAATGATAATGATGATCACGACGACCACGACCACAATGATAATAATAAGATTCAAGGTAAAGGTGATTCCAACGCAACCATCGTCACTCATACGGGTCTGCACCGAACCATCAAACTCAAAAGAGTCGCTGCCAATATACATCTGTACAAAAATCTGTCCATCTTCAGGATTAGCGATACCGTCAATTTCGGAAGCCCACTGATTTTCACCACCAGCGCATTTCGCGAGCTCGTGGACATCATAGAACACTCCATCCTCAATAGTAAAGGTAGAGCAAGAAATATATTGATTGTTGTAGGTGCTATCAGTCATAGCAGCATACGCTTCCGTAGGGTGGGCCGAAAGTTCGTAATAACCCTCCTCTCCTTCCAGCTTTGTAACCTCATCAATAACGTACACCGTCTTCACAGCAAACTTGAAATTATCATCAGTACAATCATTTCCTGCAAAATTGGTAATAGTGGTTTCATATCCAGTTCCCATGATTCCTCTGTTACCAATGATTTTCGTATCAGAACGAGCAACTTAAAGTTAAACACAAACACAAAAATTACCTTGCTGCTTGTTGCAGGTGCCCTGCCAGCTACCACAAACTATATATTACCATCCAACATAAATTGTACTGTCGTAGTCAAACTCGGGAGGAGACAATACCTTCGTAACAGGGCGGAAAGACTCAGCTGAAGCAATAGCAATGAGCACAAATGCCAAAACAAATGAACACTTCATTTCAAAAATAAATCTATTCTATTTCTAGGAATTAAAAATTTATGTAGACCTCATTGTCATTTGTCTATTGTCAGCCTGCCATTACCGTCATAGAACCGTGGGTTCGGCAATCCCATTCAATTTAACCAATTAAAGTCATGATCCGTATTTGGTTCGCCAATCAAATGATCGGCCCAGCATGGGGGTACATTATACATGTAAAAATATATGAGACTTATTAATCGGATCTTCACACCCCCATCAATTGTGTCTTGTTACTCGCGGGGAAATAGGTGTTTGACTTTTTCGATTGTATGTAAATCGTGAATTTTCTGCAAAATGCAAATATAGATACTATTATGCTTCAGTGAATCGTTCGACGGAATAATATCTGGAAAAAGTAATCTTTTCTGAAGCTTTTTCGCTTCTGACACACGTAATTATGATTCTATGAAGCTTATTTTATTTGCTACCTCACTATCTATACGACACGACTATCATTACATATCTATATTCAAAATCATTATCATGTGTTTTTTCGCTTACTTCATATTTTTCATATTACTACTTGCTTTTAGTACTTCGAGAACCGTTCTTCGGCCCAACATCTACTTCGGGACCCGATCGCCTTCCGAACAGTCCCACTTAGTAGCGACTTTATGAATTATCGATCTAGACGGGAATCATGTGGTTTGAAGGCACGAGGCTCGATAGTGTTAGACATGAGTGTAAACGAGAAGATGACATTCGGAATTGGATATGGAACGAATTTGATGGAGATGGGTATGGGAAACAACGACTTACTGATGTTCACAATTATGTCAGACTAAATTTGCGATATCTGAAAGAGGGAGACGATTGGATTGCTGAAATCACAGGAAATCCTCTCAAGAAGAGCAAAGTCCAACGAAATGTCACGTTAATCTTTTATTTGGGTGTTGCGGGAGAAAAGAGTTATATCCAAGTCCCAACAATTCATTCAAAACGGGTATTTTACTCAAACGCTCTTCGAAATAGGGATCGAAGGGTCCAGTTGTGCTCCCTTTTTATTCGGGAGACTATGGAGACGGCCACATTCGAATTGTCGAAGATGCTTTGAATGTGTCTCCAGTCAACCTTAACCATCCCTTTTCCGCGCTGCACTTTATAGCGTCCGATCCAAAAGACGATCGATCGCTGGAGAACTACTTCTGGTTTGGAGAGACAATCAAGAATCTGGACGATGGTTGGCGTTTTCCACAGTTCACTATCTGCTATTAATCGCTTGACTCGTAGCATCGTAAAAACCAAGCTGGAAGATAGCCTCAGACAGACATACTCACAATGGCAAAGCCAAATTCATCACTACCAGAAATCGTTTTCTCTTTTTTCGTTCTTTCATCTCACGCAGACACCCCGGACAACCCCTTCCATCTTCGACTCAGAACCAGCTTTCTCGGAACTTTGTCCCCTTGCTACCCAACACAGTTCCTTCCCATCCCAATTTCGTAGCAATTCAGCGGGTGTTTTCTCTTCCTTTTCGAATCACCATTTCCATGAGTCACACAAAAACACCCGCACAGAAAACCTCATCGTTTTGGAAACCGTCTTTCTTGTCACGCTCCACCGACGAACCGCTCACCGATTTCGAAAAACTTTCCCAGGAACAAATCGAGCAGCTCGCTCTCCTCAAAAGTTCGAGCTTCTTCTTCCCACTCTCCGATAGGCGCTTCGCTCGAAAATCGCTTCCACTCCATCTTCCCGATGGATGCCTACTCTTCCAAACAGCAGAAAGTCGCTCTTGCAGGACTCAGCAATCTTCTCGCGGGGATTTCCTACTTCTACGGAAGCACTGTTCAATATAAAGAAGAAGACGGATCGACACACACCACGCAGAAGGGAGAACTCATCACCGCCATTCCCGGGAGATCCTATTTCCCGCGTGGATTCTTGTGGGACGAGGGGTTCCATCAGTTGGTTCTTCTGCATTGGAACGAATCGCTTTCGTGGAAGATCCTGAAGAGTTGGTTCGCACGAATGGAACCGTCGGTGAGCATTGAAGGAACCGATTTGAGGAAATAGGGATACATCGAGCGAGAGCAAATCCTGGGAAGTGAAGCGCGTGCGCGAGTACCCAGCGAGTTCGTGACTCAAGATCCTCGCGTTGCGAATCCGCCCACGCTGCTGTTTGCTTTCAGACAGCTTGTAAAACGAGCGATTGAGCACGCAAAGCAAGACGTCGATCCGCAACGCACCGTCGATGTGGAGATTTTGGCAGAAGGCGAGCAATCGGCAGGTTTGGAAGCTTCGATTGCTGGGTTGGAGATTCAGGAAATGTTCGAAAAGGTGAAGAAGTGGGTGTTTTATCTGGAAAAGAGCCAGAAAAGCAAGCTGCCTTCGTCATATCGATGGTTTGGAAGAACGGAGAATCATTGCTTGGCTTCGGGAATGGACGATTTCCCGCGGCATCACATTCTTTCACAGTCCGAATCCAATGTGGATCTGCTCTCTTGGATTCTGTTCGCCTATCAGAACCTTGCAGAAATCGATCAAATGCTGAATGGAGAAACAGAATTTGGAATGGGAATGAGGCAGCAAATCGAGTGGATGAAAAAGCGATTGGATGAACATTGGGATGAAGAAGCAAAGAGCTTCGGCGATCTTGGAGTAATTCGATTGAATGAAAATGGAAGCGAAGAGATAGGGTTTGAGATCCATCGGGGCTATGTCTCGATTCTCCCCTTCGCATTGATGTTGTTAGATGTGAATGATCCTCGAATTGAATTCATTCTCAACGATATCGAAAACCCTGAAATTGTGATTTGCATTTTGTTGCTTCTCATGTAGATGTGGAGCCCCTTTGGCTTGCGCTCTCTCTCCAAGAGTGATCCCTATTTTGGAAAAGGAGAAGATTATTGGCGTGGACATATTTGGGTCAACTTGAATTATCTCGTTTTGCGTGCTCTGCATGAGAAATATGCTGTGGAAGGTCCGTTGAAGGTGAATTGTCGTCATTGTGTGTGAGAAATAGGAACGATGTCAGTCTCTCTACGAGAGACTACGAGAGAATCTTGTGTCGAATATCATTGATCAGGTTTGTGTGGTTCTTTGGATTCATTCTAGTTCCAAAGCTCGGGATTCTTCTGGGAAAACTATGATTCCGTTACTGGAAAGGGATCGGGAGTTCATCCGTTTACTGGATGGACGACGCTTTTCATTCCGATAATGTCCGAAAAGTATTAAACAAAGAGGGTAAAGAGTAGTAGTAATTACATTGTGAAAATAAAGTCCATCGTTTGTTACAAAAAGCACGCTGGGAGTATTGCCATTGTTTATTGGAATGCCCAAGCAACTATTAATACTCTTTATGTTTGTTTGATAGCTAGCGCATATGTGCGGAGACGAATCGACTGCTTGAAACTGAATCGTGTCATTCGCACTATCATATTGAGATATCATTCGAGGACTCGTTGTCCCATGAAAAAAACTAGAAACGAAAGGAGTCGCATTCTCTGAGGGATTCACAAACGAGCAAAGGGAATCGACTACACATCACTCCATTTCAATCACAATCACAATCAAACTTCAGCTTGCGAGCCCTTCCATTCACAATTTGCGTGGCATGTCTACTCGAGCATGCAATCACAAGTTCGTTTTCCTTTCTCTCCGCCACCGCTGCGTGCCATCGCTCTCCTTTATTCTCCCATCGCTCCGTTCGCGACCACGAATCGCCCAGCAACACCCAATGATACACTCCATCTTAAATCGATTCAAACTCAAAGGATCTACGTGCTGTCACCTGCACTAGCGAATTGGGTGAGTCAGAAAACAAACATAGAGAAGAAGAGGACGAGTGGATCTGCGAGTGCGGCCTGCACAGCATTCGGCTGTCAAACACGTCAATCCCGTTGGAGCCACTCAGAAAACTACAATCAACGCTCGCTCGATTCGTGTACAATTGAAAAGAGGAGCTCGAAAACGTGCTTTGAGTTACAGACCGCGACGGAAAAACGGAGGCGATGACCAGCTTCTCGCGAGGATCGAGAATGAACGCTCTCTTGTCCTGCGTTGCAAGCAATTGCGAGCTGGACGGAAAGGAGCAGAGCGAAGTGAGCGAGGAGTCGAACTCGGCGATTGAAATCAGTTTTTGCTCTTCGATGTCGAATTGGGAGAGACTTTTTCGATCCGAGTGGGAGAGGTAGAGCGAAGAAGCGCGGCTTGATGCAGCTCCCGGCCGATTGGTTGGAGTGGGAAGCACAAAACAGGGGCGATCGACAGAAGTGCTGAACGCGAAGGACAGTTGGAACTCAAAGCGCGGCTCTGTTTTGCTGCTTTGGGAAGATTCGGTTGATTCTGTGTCCATTTCGCTGAAGAGAGAGCAAAGCTCTATGGCCGAGTTCTAGATCAGAGTGTGTTTTCAAAGCTACCATAGCAGGATTATCTCTCGATGCGTCTGTTATTTGTGGCTCCTCCTCCTCCATTTGTTGTTGTTGTGATGGTTGCTGCTGCTGCTGCTGCTGCTGTAGTTGCTGAGATTTCTGTGACTGGGCCTGAAGAGACTGAAGATATTGTATTTTAGATTGCTGCTGGCGAAGCATTCGTTCCAACTCTTCAATCTTCTGTAGAGCTGCTTTTTCGCGTTCTTCTGTCTATACATCACATAATTATATCAGACTAACTCTTTTTCGTTGATTCGTTTCGGTCATTAGCTTTAATCGAAGAGTGGCTACTTCCTGCTCGTCTTTAATATACAAATTTGAAAAGAAAAGTCTTCGAATATGCGATTTTTTTGCAGGTAACTTGCAGATCGGGCATTGTTTGCTTTTCTACTAAAAACGACCTTTCCAAAGGAGCTACGCTGAGGGCTATTGTTATACAGCGATGGCAAAACAAATGGCCACATTGGAGACAGACAACTTGTTTCGGACCGGCATTGGACATTATTTCGTAGCAAATCCCACATCGTTCCTATATCACACAGCTCGCTATTCCCATACATTTCTTCCCTTCTTCTCATCTTGACTCAAACTCATTTTTCCAACAAACAAAGCACCCTTATAACCATTGTTCCTGCAGCTTCGGACTTCGGATTCCTCTCCGGTTCAGCGCCTTCTGCAAGTCCGGAATCACAAACGCGATATCATTTTCTACATCACACTCCCTTCGCTCTATTACGATTCAGCAGCAGCAGATCCAGCTTCACCTTCGACTTCCCATTCAAAAAGTTCACAATATACTTCGCTCCCTCATCGGTCAGATTGTTCCCTACATCGCACTCCCCTCCCTCCGCTACACGACAAATCCAACACTCGGACCGGACACGACGTTTCCCGCAGCGCCAGCAGCACCGCCAGCACTCCCTTCTCCATAATATTATTCTCTACCGTTTCTCCCGCTCGGCAATTCTACCCGCCATGAGCAATTCCTGCAGCTTCGGCAATGCCTTCTTCTGCAGAACGGCGCGCAGGTGCTTGCACCCGTCGGCCTCCAGACACATCCCGCTGATGACCAGGCGGCGCAGCAGCGGGGCGCGTCCGCTCTCCAGTCCCGCGAGTAATCCGTCGAGCATGTTCGTGGAGTAGTTGTCTGCATGGCAGAGAACCGGAGAACCCACAGGAGAGATCGAGGAGCGCGAGATTGGGGAGCTGGCCGTCGCGGAGGAGCGCGCCGACGCGGTCGATGGAAGCGGTGGAAAGGCCGTTTTCTGGAATGAGGAGAGGAGAGGAGGGTACGAGAGAGAGCGATCTCGTAGAGGGAGGAGGAGTGAGGGAGGAGGGCGTCGAGAATCGCGTTGAAGCCGCCGTCGTTGATGTGGTTTTCTGGATAAGAGGAAAGATGATGATGATGTACCGCTCAGACAGAGTTTCGACCAGGGACAGGGCGAGTGGGTGACGACGGTGGCGAGCTGCTTGCAGCCTTCTTCGCCGATTTCGTTCACTTGGGGTTATGGAGAAAAAGGGGAAACACGATTGAGGGAAATGGCTTCAAGATACGGACAAGACTTGGAATCCATCAGATTTTGAAGCGAAGAGACGCATTTTTCCGTGAGTTTGTTGTCTAAAAGTCAACGCAGTACCAAGGCATTACTGTCAACGTTCAGATAACGAAGGGACGGCAGAGCACCACCGACCATAGCCTCAATGATATAACCGAAACCTTCATCCATCAAGGCATTCCCTGTTTTTCAGTTCTGTGCAGAGAATAAATACCGATTAAATTGAGTTCTGTCAAACTCTTCATTGGCTTTGATTTCAACATTGTTCCCAGATATTTAGCTCCGTCTACACCGATTTCGCAGTCTGCGCTTCAGAAAGAGATAATTTTCTTACAGAACAAATCCAATACATGGAGATCGCAGAACTGATCACCCTCTAGGATTTGCTCCATATGCTTGACTCCATCAAGAAACTTTTCTCTCCCTAAAGTATCAATTTGCTTAGCACACTACCTACACTCCAAATCGTATATCTTTTCACTGGTAGTTTCCGCCATCTTACTCTGAAAGTGGAATGATGCCCAAAATCTCCCAGATTTTTGGAATTGAGTCTTGGAGGGAAATCAAGGGAGCCTCAGATTTCGTTTCTGTAGAACAGGATTTACAATGAATAAGGCAGCAAAGACACTGGTACACGGTAATGGCTCAATGTGTATAAGTGAATCCTAGTCGAAGTGCTCATTGACTCCTCTTGTACTGACAGCTTTAACAGACTCGAGAAAGCAGTTCTTTCTTTTCTAGAGAGTTCGTGCGCAAACTATGTGAATGGTCCAATCAACTTTTCAAGTGATGAATATCTCATGCGAAACGTCAGATCGATCCTGATTTGCGACATCCCTCAAAGTCTTCCATTCATCCCTTTCTGGCAAGCAGAAGTCGTGTTGCATCTTTTCACACTCAATACGGATGGCTCTGCCGAGGAATCGCTCGATGACAATGGTGATGTGACTGCTTATAGTGAGTGGATGCTTCCGTGCACAGAGTTCCATTCGCTCTGGGATCAGTAGGATTGAATTGCAAAATCGAATCCTAGTTTGGTGTACAATGAAGATCTGAAGTCGGATCTATTGAACTATGCGACCTCTGCGTTTATCTTCTCCAAACACCACATCGATACCTCTGTCATTTCTCTAAACCGTGTTCTTCTGCTCCACGGTCCTCCCGGAACAGGCAAAACATCTCTCTGCAAAGCCCTCGCGCAAAAGCTTTCCATCCGCAACTACTCCGAATACGCGCACATGGCTCTGATCGAAATTAATAGCCACAGCTTGTTTAGCAAATGGTTCAGCGAGAGCGGCAAACTCGTAATGAAGCTTTTCGATTACATTCGCGACATTCTCAGTAGCAACGACACGCTGCTGTTTATTCTCATCGGTTCTTGGCTCTCTCATTGCATCACGTCCAGATGAAGTCGAGTCGCTGTCTGCTTCGCGGAAAGCCTGTCTCTCGGGGACGGAACCATCCGATGGAATGCGCGTTGTGAATGCTTTGCTCACTCAAGTAACGTTTTCTTTCTTTCTTTCTTTGCTTGTTTGTGTGCTCACCACGCAGATCGACAAGCTGCGAAACAACCCGAACGTGATGATACTAGCGACCAGCAATCTCTCGGATAGCATCGACGAAGCCTTTCTCGACCGCGCCGATCTGAAGCGATTCGTCGGCAATCCGGGAGAGGAAAGCCGGTTTTTCATTCTCCAGGATTGTCTAGAAGTGGTCCCAACGCGAAAGAGTGAGAGATAGGAACTGGCTCGCAAAGGAATCATCCACACGCAGATCCATTGGAGCTCCCTCGCGGCGTTGAAGCAATCCGCAGAGCAGAAAGAGAGCCAGTGGATGCTGGAGATTCTGGCGGAGAGCGAGGGGTTCAGCGGTCGAGCGCTGCGCAAGCTGCCATTTCAGGTAGGGTCGGAGGAGAGCGGTGAGGCAAGGCGTATTCGCAGTGGCTGTGCGGACGGATTGTGGAGCTGGGCGAGTTTTTGGAGGCGCTGAAGAGCGCGGTGATGGTAGGGATGGGGAAGGATTGGGATGGTAGAGAGAGAAGGAGGATCGAAAGAAGATGCGACATGATGGAGTTGAGTTTGTTGTTTTCTACAAACAGGACATTGAAACAAAACCACTAATGAGCACGAGCAGATCTACGAGGCGAGCGGACTGGAGACATCTCAGGGCTTCGCAGGCGAGCGATGCGGGCACTCTTGCGAGGCGAGCCGACATTCGAGTTGGACCTCGTTCTTCTCCGAGGAGTCAGGACTTCGTTTTCTTTGTATTCCTCTTCATCATCGTCTTTGGGGTGTCTGGGCTTTCTGGGAGTTCGCAAGGGGCTGCGAGGGGCCGTCGGGGCAGATTGATTTGTGGAAGAAGGGTTTTCCTCTTTGGGCTCTTCCTTTACTTGTTCTTTAGGCTCTTCCTTTACTTCTTCCTTTACTTCTTCCTTAGGTTCCTCTTTTACTTCTTCTTTGGGTTCTTCCTTCATTTCTTCCTTCATTTCTTCCTTCATTTCTTCCTTCATTTCTTCCTTAGGTTCCTCTTTGGGCTCTTCCTTTACTTCTTCTTTTACTTCTTCCTTAGGCTCTTCTTTCATTTCTTCCTTAGGTTCTTCTTTAGGTTCTTCTTTAACCTCCTCTTCCATCGCTTCTTTCACTTCCTCTTTAGGCTCTTCTTTTACTTCTTCCTCTTTGGGTTCCTCTTTCATTTCTTCTTTGTGTTCTTCTTTCATTTCCTCTTCCATCACTTCTTTCACTTCCTCTTTAGGCTCTTCCTTAGGCTCCTCTTTAGGCTCCTCTTTCACTTCCTCTTTGTGTTCTTCTTTCACTTCCTCTTCCATCGCTTCCTCCTTCGCTTCTTTTTCCTCCTCCATTTTCTCTTCTTCCTCCTTCTTCTCCTTTTCTTCCACCTCCATTTCCTTTTCCTTTTCCTTTTCCTTTTCCTTTTCCTTTTCCTTCGTCTCTTCCTCCATTTCTCCCTCGCTATCCCCTCCGATATCCAGTAAATGACTATCCACCTTCTTTTTTTCCTCCTCCTTCTTTTCCTCCACCACCTTCGGAGCCTCCAATCGCTTCGCGATCTCCACCGACTGCGCCTTCAGCTCCTCGATCCGACCCTCCACTCGTTTTCTCTCCTCCTCCACCTTCGCCTCCATCTCCACGCGGCTCTTCTCCACGCACTTCGCCGTCTCCTCGTTCCCGTTCGCAGGCAGCCAATAGATCGAAGGCTCCGTCTCCGTGCGCGCGAACTTCCCCAGCGCTTGGAACCCCGCCGTGCGATTCTGCAGCGACTTCTTCAACAGATTTATCCGCTCTTCGCGCTGCAGCTCGTTCAGACGCTGCTGCTCCTTCTCTTTCTACGCATCACGCGCTCAGCACGCGCTCACTTCCTCCATTGTGACTTGACGCTGCGTCTCGCGAATCAGTTCCGACTCCTTTCGCTCGCGCTCGATCGCGTCCTGCTCCAGTTTTCGCTGGTCGATCAAACCACACGCAGAATGGTACCTGCTTGTCAAAGAGCTTCTGATCCTTGTTGATCAGGCTGCGAGCTTGGTTCAGGTGGCCGAGGAGGTTTCCAAACATTCGGCGATTTCGAGTTTGAACGGAATTTCCCATCGCTGTATCGATCTTGCGAATTGCTTCTTGTCTACAGATGAACTTCAAAACAGAGAAGAACCTCTCTTCCTTTGTCTCTTCATTAATCACAATATCGCGGTAACCACCACCTTGACGCTACATGAATAGCAAAGTTGAAACATTACATATGATGAACCCCTTCTAGATGAATTGCTGAGCGAAACAGAAACAGCAGAAGAAACAACACGACGCTTGGGTTCTCTGAAAACTCAACACTCACGAAAAATAAAAACAATTCCTGATCCTCCTCTCTCTCGTTTTCGTTATTTCCGGATCGGGAATGGAAGTCGCGATCTCTCTCTAAAAATCACCGATTTTTCCTCCTTTCTCACTTCTTCGAGGATTAATCTCATTTAAATGACTTGTTATTTTCTCACGTTCCATTTTTATTCTACGAAGCTCCGAATTGAGATCATCCACTTCTACACACAGAAGTAAGCCACAACTGCTTCAATTGGTCGCTCATGATACCTACGTTGATTTGAATCCATTTTCTATCTGTTATCGCGTTCTATTGTGAAGAAACAAGCAACTACAATGAAGCGCTAAAACGGGAATATTTGGAATCTAGCAAGTACTCATTCTATCTTGGAATTCTCTTCAAGATTTGACTAGATTCAAATTTCGTATTGAGCAACAAACAAACAAACAGCAGAAGATCAAGTTATAACCGATCTGCAGCAACGAAGGTAGTTTTCTTCATTTCCTCAAATACCTTCTCGTTTTCAATGTACATAAGGTAATCGATCGGCTGCTTGTTGGAATGATATAACTCGATACAGCCCACTGGTTTTATCAGAGTTTCATTCGAAAACTTCGTTATAGCAGGATATACTTTCATAGGGCCAAACATAAAGGAGAGAGAGTTGCGATAAGCAAAGGTCCCACTAATTGCCCGCGATTTGGGAAGAGTGATAACAGTATACTCTGTAGATTTCGGCAAAGCCTTTGCCTTGGCCAGAAGTTCAGGAACATCGTTCAAAACAAAGAAGCAGCTCCAACGGTTGTCCTCTATTCATCACTATCAATACCATTCAACTACTTGGATCAGCCACTTCGTTAGGGGAGGTGTAGTACGCACTACCCATAACAGGGATATCTCCCAACTCCCCCAACAGATCCTTTGTTTTCTGTTCCATATCCGTGAATCCCTTGCAGCAATCTTGATAATTTCCCGTGTAGTTCATATTACTGCATATTATCAACAAAACCAACAACAAACATGATGGTCATTTCAGGAACCTCACGTAAAGAGACATGGATCCTGCTAAACATACCCATGTACCAAAGCCAAGCAAGAACAACAACAGCAAGCACAGCAACGGCAATAGCAATATAGAAGAGAACAGTATACAGCATAACTAAAGGAAATAATGAAAAACGAACACCTCTAATCGTCATATTTAAGTGCATCCAATCAATTCCTTTGCCCTTTTCTTCCCCGCCAAATTCCAAATATGTTGTAGAACAAACATTTTCAAGAAAAACCAACACTCATAGCTTTATTCGATCTCTTTCGATTTCTCCACAAGCTGGCTAAACATACTATTTTTATCGCTCAACAACACCGACGGCTTATCAAACTCCCTCAGCTGTCCCATCTCCATCACCATCACCTTATCGCTATCAATAATCGTATGGATTCGATGCGCGATCGTGATCACCGTGCTCTCCGAAAACTCCTCCCGAATCGTCTTCTGGATCTTCATATCGGTCTCCAGATCGATCGAGGCGGTCGCTTCGTCCATCAGAATCACCTTCGATTTCCGAAGCAGCGCGCGCGCCACACACAGCAGCTGCCGCTGACCCACCGAGTAGTTCGTTCCGTGCTCCTCCACGGTCTTCTCGAGCCCCGCAGGGTCCTGAGCGATGAGATCGTGGAGCGAGGCTCGCTGGAGGGCGGACCAGATTTCCTCGTCCGTGTAGTGATTGAACGGATCCAAATTATCGCGGATCGTCCCGGAGAAGAGCAGCGGTTCCTGCGGAATGATCGCGATCTTCGATCGGAGATCCTCCAGGCCGATCTTGCTGATGTCCACGCCGTCGATCTCGATGCAGCCTCGCTCCAGCTCGATGATTCGCATCAGGCAGAGCACGAGGGAGCTCTTCCCCGCGCCCGTTCGGCCCACCACGCCGACCTTCTCGCCGGGGAGAATGTGCACGCTGAGCTCTTTGATGACGGGCTCCAGCTCGGGCCGATAGCGCATCACGATTCCGTTGATGGCGATATCGCCCTTGGAGGGCCACGATTCGCTGGGCTGCGTGTCGGGAATGTGGGCTGGGGCTTCGGAGGGAAGCTCGGTGTATTCCTCGATACGCTCCACGGATACAATCTGCGTCTCCATGTCGGTCACCATGCGGACGACCCAATTCAACGACTGCGTGGTATCGAGCGAGTAACTGATCGCCAGCGCGGCCATGGAAGTTAAGAACTCGTCCATCGAGCCCTTCTGCATGACAGAGAAGTACGCAGCGGCTCCGATGATGATGGTTCCGGCGAACTCGAGACGAATGCCCAGCCAGCAGTTGGCAGAAGAGATGATGAAGTAGGCACGCTGGTTGAGGTCGAGAAGATCGTAGTTCTTCTGAATGAATTGCTGCGTAGCTTGGTATGCGCGGATCACGGACGTGCCGTCGAGTGTTTCTCCGAAATTGGCGTAGATGGGAGAGCGGGAAATGGAGTCCAGTCGCTTGATCTCGCGGCTGCTCTTGATGTAAAATAGACCCTCATAGATGTAGTAGATGGATAGGAAAATAAGCACCACGAGAAACCACGGAGTGGCGATGATAATCACGATGAGAGTCGATAGCACAGAGAACAGGCAGGAGAACAGCGAAGCAAACACACCGGGAAGCGTTTTATCGACCGTGTAGATATCCTTGCTGATTCGATTTGTGATTCGACCCAGCGGCGTTTGGTCAAAGAAGGACATCGGAGAATAGAGAATTCCCTTGATGAGTCCGTCGTGCAGTCGCGAGCTGGCCTTCAGTCCCGTGAGATAGAGAGAGACGTATCGGATGCCCATGAAGATCACCGAGCCCAGAGAGAGTAGCGCGTAGATCCCCACATACCACAGAGCTCTTTCCGGTTCGTCGCTGTTGGACCAGAAAGTCAGCCAGAGATTGTTCAGCACTTTGAAGATTTCGGTGAGAATGAAGGTCAGCAGCACGCCCAAGCAAACGCAGAGCCCGCCAGCAGCCACAATGTACATCCAATACACAGATCGCTTCACCTTGCCTTTCACGCGCGTTTCCTCGACGGTCAATTCGCCCTTCTTCGCATCGTTTACTACTGTCACTTCCACCGCGGCCGTCGCCTCCTTCTTCTCTTTTTCTTCTTCTTTGGTTTCTTTCGCTATTTCTTCTTCCTCCTTCTTCTTCGCACCATCGAACTCTTCCTCCTTCTTCTCACTCGACAGCGGCGAAATTTCCATCGGAGAAACCTCCACGGGCGAGATCGGCGAGATCGGCGACTCCTCCTGCGCCTGCTGCGCCTGCGCCTCCTTCTGCGCTTGCAGCAATCCCGCCAGCACGCCCGACGTGGCCTGGCTCACCTTCTCGAAGGTTCCCTGATCGGCGATGGCTCCCTTTTCGAGCACAATCACTTGGTCGCACGCCGGCAAGAACTCCAACGCGTGGGTAACCAGAACCACGCACTTGTTCGCCAGCAATCCCTTGATGCAGTGCCGGAAAATGTGTCGACCCACGTGCGCGTCGACGGCGGAAAGCGGATCGTCCAGAAGGTATCTGCGCGTTCAATGACCGGAAAAAGAATCACATATCGCAGTTCTGGTACACGGCGCGAGCCAGCGAAATGCGCGTCTTCTGCCCTCCGGAGAGGTTGATTCCCTTTTCTCCGATTTCGGTCATGTCTCCCGCGGGGAGAATCGCGATATCGGGGAGCAGAGAGCAAGCTTCCAGAACTTTCTATGGGTGATTCGAAATGACTGGACGCACCTTGTATTTTTCCTCGTTGAACGGAGAGCCGAAGAGAATGTTATCGCGAAGCGATGCGTTCATGATGAAGGGCGTCTGCGGCACATAGCCAATGCTTCCTTTGATGTGGACCATCGAATTCAGATCCCTGGACTCGTCGACCCTCGGCATTTCGCCCAGAATCGCGTTCAACAGCGACGATTTTCCACAGCCCACGTGGCCGACAATTGCAGAGAGCTGATTGGACTCGAAGGACACGTTGATTCCTGTCAGTTCGAACGGCTGGCTCTGCTCAGCAGAATCCTGCGGCGTTTCCGGCTTCACAGCAGCCCCAGACTTTTGTTTGAGCTTCTTTTCTTCCTCCACGCGGTCCTTTTCTAGCTAGAGGTCACTTGGTTTCCACGTTTCTACTTCGTTCCAAAAGAAATGTCCGTCTTGCAAATCGATTCCGATCGAGGACCGATTGTCCCGCGAAGGAATCTCGATTTCACTGGCTAAAAGGAACCGCTCGATTCGCTGTAAGGACACTCTGCACTCCGCAATGCTGTTAATCGTCTATGTCTCACAACAAAGAAGCGCAAAAACGTCTGGGAATCGCGTGAGAGGCGATCGCAGAATATTGAACCTGCAAGTCAGATCAATAACAACACTCCGCTACAGAGAAATCGAGGTAAACGCGATGGTTGTGGTCAGCTTATTGCCGAGCAAGACAAAGACGAGGAAGCTCAGCACTGACACCATATAAGGTGTCGTATTCCAGAGACATTGCGACAAGGTCTGGACATACACATATCTTCGCAACACGGACAATTCGTCACACCGAATTCCAGAAATTCGCTGGAGGAAGGATCGCTCCCAGGCCTGCAGCTTGATGAGTTTGATGCCTTCGAACGCTTCGCTCGTGGTGTTGATTCGCTTGTCCTTCACTTTCATGAGTTCTCTCTGAATCATGCTGAGCTTCCTGCTGATGCATTTGGTGATCGGCATCATGATAATCATGACGACAACACCCGCCAGCGTCGCCCAGCCCAACTATGCCTCAATCGATCCCTTGATGCCGACCTGCTGCCACAAAAGAATCAGCGAGCCGATGATTTGGAAGGGCGCAGACCAGATCATTTGGATGTATCTGAGTTCGCACGGGATGAGAATAACGTACGTTGTGGCATCCTGGAATTTCTGACTATCCACCTCCATTAGATTCATGATCTCTCCTTGACTATACCTAGAAATGACGATCCAGAATGTGAAAAGCACTTGGCTCGGGATGCAGAACTCAGCTTGAGGGATTTGTCATATCTAAAGATCACAGAGTATTGAGGTCTTCTACACCATCGTAATGCAACTCGAACGCAAGCGGAGTCCAGTCCGAAAGCAAAGGTAGAAGTAGTTTCGAAGGAATACGCTCTGGAATAGAGCGGAAACAAACATGGTGGTGGCATACATGTAGCCTTCTTGCTAGAAATAAATAGAACCGGGTATTGCTACAGCAGGAGAGTCGTCTTCCAGAAAATCAATAACTTTTTCCAGCATAATAGGACCAATAAATTGGCAAATATCATGACACAGTTTCAAAATTGCAGCGATACCAAACGGGACTCCAAACGAATAGACCATGCTTTTGAACAGACTTGGTCTAAAAAAGAAATACGACCCATAAAAATATACTTCACTTGTTTGATTTTGTTCCAGTGTTCACTAATTCCACTTTGGATAACATCAGACCGATCACAGTGCCTAGTTGTAACCGTTTCGTAATTTGTTTACGAGAGTTGAGGTAAGTCTGTAGATTCAAGAGCTCTCTTATATCCTATTTCCATCAATGGATTGAGCCAACAAAATAGAATCTTTGAGAAAAAGCCGGCCTTCTCCTCATAGCTCTCGGGACCATCTCTACCGATTATTTCATTATTATTATCAGTAAAATACTCTTTTGCCACCCTCTTTTGGTATTCCATCAAAACAGAAAAATAAGTAATTAAGGAACTCTTAGGAAGGGAGTTTCAAAACTGTAAGCAATTGTATATCCGTAAAACGTGTTTGCAACATCGATTTCGAATATAGTTGAACATTTGGACTTTTGAAGTGATGTGTATCATTTGGAAAGTACCTGGAGAGAATTGAATTGTGTGTGATCTATTCGGAGGAGCGATGGGTCGATGAATTGAACTGCTTATGGTGATACTATTGTTGATACTCATTTTCAAGTTTTGTTTGTCAGTTTTCAACAAATGGTCCGTATTTCAAAATAAAAGATACAAATATAAACTTTACAAGGAATTCACTTCAGTATTCTTTTCATTAGAATGCAAATGGTGATTTACAGAATCATTCATAAGATATCGAGCTATCTCTGTTGTACATGACAATTAGTACTCCATAAATAACTGATCGCGTGAAAGAAAGCAAAGAATGTAGTTAAAATGGGAAGGATAAGTTATGTGTCAAATCCAAAGAAATGGGTGTAAAAACTCTAACTGCATTTGTTACACAAAATAAGGATTTGGTTACTCAATTCAAGCACGCAAAGTAAGTGTAACATGAAAGATAACACAATAGAGGTGGACCCTACAAAATAGTGGTAGATGGTCTCTCAATAGTGTACAATTTGTTTAATTTTATTTCTGCACAAGGCATAGAACAGGCGTACTCTTACTATTATGTGAAGAAGCATCTTTTCCAATTTTTAGACTATCTAGAGTATAGAGGACTTGAGATTGCGTATTTTTGCGTGGATTCAATTATGCAGGAAGATAAAACAGACCTGATAAATGAGCGTGCCGCCGATGGTGTTAGCAAATTAGTTGATTGTATAGATTCTAATTTTACTATAGGAAGTTGTATTATTGTGGAAAACTGAAATGTAGTATCGGGCAGTATTACTCCACTAATAATAGTAGTTGTTATCAAGTGCTTACGAGAATATTACAACAACACAGTTTCTATAATATTCTCGGGCAGAGATCCTGATAAGTAGCTATTACGAATATTGGATTATTATTCAAGTGAGATCGCGAGAACAGCGTACAAGAATAATTTGATTGTTTTATCGAATGATTCTGACTTTTATGTTTTCGACGTTCCTGGAGTGATCAATGCTTCATTCATATTCAGTAACTACAGCTCCTTTCTTAAATATGGTCGGAATTATTCTCGTGTTCCGCGAGGTGTAATAGTGTACAGCAGACAAGAATTACTATCGAGTTTTGACTTGTCTGTAGAAGAATTTATTTGTTGTTGCATGATATCTGGCAACGATTTCGTTACTAGAATTAAGAAAGCCAAGGAACTCAACTTGAATTTTATTGGTACAATCATTCCCTTTGTTAAGCAGCATCATTTGACTAGTAGCCAGAAGTGTGCTGAATTTTACCATTCACTGAACCCTAAAGTGTCTATCGAAGAAGTAGAATCCATTCTTGTTTCATACTCTGTAGTACTTTAATCTAACTAAGAAATACGATGTTACAAGTTATCCCGATTACCCTTACTCTCTTGTCGCATCCGATATTTCAGAAATGGATGAATGGAAAGATGTGGATCTATCGTTCATATTCACAAAATATGATCTGAACAAGTTCTACACCAAAATGTTCTCTAATCTCGAGAACATTTACCCCTTAATGGATCATCTCAAACACGCCGGACACTACAAAGTATACCCGTATACCCACTTAGAACTCTATTACTTAGTAAACACACATCGGTCGATTCATTCATAGAACGGAATTGATTACCCCGGAGAGATAAAGATATGGTAGAGATCCCAAACCCAATTGCGATGTAGTGATGCCTATATCAAGGAAAACGCATTGGAACGTCTTCGGCTCTGTAGACTGAACAGATCTCTTCCTCTTCCAGAAAAATGCGATATCATTGCTCGACTGTTTAACATCTCCAGTGCTCTACTCAAAAAACAGCACCAAGAATATCTTCTGTTTGTTTGCTCCTTGGCGTAGAATGAATAGATGAGTATATTTTGCAGATTGTTCCATTCACTGAAACTTGAAACAATGGAGAGGGATCGCTGGGAATATTATTATTCTCTGTTTGTCACGAGCTATTTTTATCAGAAACCTGTTAGCAAGATACAGGAGTTTGACTCCTCTGATTCGAAGGAAGATCTTTTTATTCTTTCGAATATTTTGCAAGTGGACATTGATTTTTGTTTTAAAGACACAGCAAGCAGTCGCGCAGAGCATTAACCTTTTTTCGTACTTTAATATCGATTCAGACGAATGCCATGTACTCGTGAGTCTTGGGTGAATAAATGAATCCTAGAGCTTTGAATTGATCAAAGTGGAGTATCTTCATCACTTGCATCTAACAAGGAAAAACTGTCCTCACTGCGCCTTAAAGACTTTTCAATTTGTAAAAGAATTACTATAACTATGTTTTGTTGTTTGTAGTAAATAGTCAATAGAATTCGTGAAGAATTTTGGAATTCATGTTGAACATGGTAAACTATTGATATTTCGAAGCATATTGCCTGATTATTTGTCTCTTTACGAAATGTCAGATGAAGATTTACCCAGACCTACTACAACAAGTTTCCTGGAAAAGTTATATACCATTCTCGAAGAAGAGCCCTCGGATATAATTTCGTGGAATTCAGTAGGTGACTCTTTCTGTGTGTATTCTCCTCAACAATTTTCTCAGCAGATTATGAACAAGTATTTTAAATCTACCAAATTCAATTCTTTTGTCCGTCAACTGAATTTTTACGGATTTCGTAAGATTGGAAGGGATTCCTCTGGTGATGATGGCCAAGGCTACACTAAGAGCTGTGAATTTAGACATCCGCAGTTCCTTCGTGGACGTAAAGACCTGCTATGTAAGATTCGGAGAAGACAGAATGGGGACTGCGACATTGAATTGGAAAATCGAATTCAGCGTTTAGAAACTCAGTTTGATTACCTCGTTCAATACGTTTCTGAACTTTTGGCTTGGAAAGTATTTTTATTTTCGGTGTTAACAATGTAGCGTACTGTGTGTGAGCGATATCCATCTTTGACTACGGAGGGCACTATTGAAGCAATAGACAGCATCCCTATTGATCTAGGAGTAGTTTTTTAGTGTTCGTTTCACGTAGATAAAGCCCCCCAAGTCCACCTCTCTCCAAATAGTTGATAACTCTATGAAACAATGGCAACAAAATCTTATGAACTCCTCTCTTACTTATACTACCGCACCACCCCCTCAGATTTCTGTTAACGTCCCCATGCAAACACAGAGCAGCCATTCTCACCCATTCATCGAAACCCCCATGCCTCCTCCTCCGCCTCCGCCTCCTTCGATGCAGGAAAATGACCTATCTATTCATTTTTCGAAACGAGGTAAGGTCGACTGCCGGCTGTGACTGTAGTGAAAAAGACGCAACAGGGACTTATGCAGACCGATGGAGACAGTTTGTTATGATGGCTCGTGTGATGAATAGTGCTAGAAGACTCAGACTTGAACGACTCTACTGGTGTTACATCGAACCATATGCAGACTGGTGCGATGATAAATTCTAATGCTGCGACACGTAGGAGTGAGAAGCACGATCGAGTCTAGGATCTATCTATTCACAAGACTATTTTCCCCCTCAAGGTTATGTTTCATGTGTTTGATGCAAACAGAATAAAACATTTCAATCTGACACACAACCGACGGATAGACCTTTGCAAAATCGACGAGCATGTTATCGAACGCGATCGAAACATCGTCTGCTTTGAGAGAAGGCCAAGATCGTTACCTCGCAAATCAGAATAGGCTTCTAAAAGACGTTCCACGAGCTTCGCGTCTGTCTTGATTGTTTTCTTCCCTGTGGACGGATCGGTTCGCTTTCGAGCTGAAAAGTGAGTGAGGAACGTAAACAAGGGTTTGTGATGACACGATCTCCAACACTCCACAAATCCCTGAAGCGTTGTGTGCTTCTTTGTTTCGATATTGCGATCGTCTTCATCAAATGTGCACTATACGAAAGACAGCAACGAAAAGACTAAAAACCTCGTGAATTAAGATTGTAGCGTTGTTAAGAATGGATGGAAGTGGCGTTGTATCTCCACTGAACGTGATGATATTTTGACCTGTTTGAACCGCATCGAACGCCTTCAACTCAAGCACTTATCGAAGCGATACAATCGCAAAACTCATACTATTGTGGTTGTTTCGCAGCAATCGAATCCCGATTCCGTTTCCTAGCTGCATACATTTCGTTTGCTCCATAATGTCTTCAGGAGATTGCACAGGACAGCAGTGACCCAATTGGGAGAGGGGAGTTAGCTTCTGAATGAAATCGGATCCGATTGGAATCAGTCGAATTCGATTCCGTTCCAAGCTTTCTCCGAAGAGAGACGAATAATACTGAGCAAGAACGGGTGGGAGAAGAATGGGAAGCAGAAAAGAGCGTGGGTGATTCTGTAATTTAGAATGATGGATGGTGAATAAAACCGAATAATAAAGAATGAGGCTTGTCAAGTAGGCAAAATGGTCGAAGTGTGCATGCGAAATGACAACAAGCATGAGTCGATGCAAAATCTGCGTTTCAATCCCCCTCAATTTCGACTCGATCTCTCTGCTCTTGACCCACCAACTGACTCAACCGTCGAACCACGTTACAACCACAGTCCATTAAGACCGAACTATCCCTAACAAAACATTCATTCGCTCACAAGTCCTCCATCACATTCCACAGAATCGAAGTGTTCTGCCTTTCTGTAGAGGCTACGCCGCCGCCCGTTCCCAAAAACAAGAGATATTCTAAGACGAAAGCAGAGAAAACGTTGACCCCTACGTTTTGGTGGTGTTGAGTTTCTCATTGATTGAATCGCGGCATCATACTCGAGTTTATTACGCATCTCTGGAACTTCCACGTTCGAAAGGAAGTTCAATTTCAAATTCAATTTCAATGCTAGAGCAGCGAGTTGGTTTGTGGAATCAGGAATGACGCGAAGAGGACGAATCTTGTACTCTCTTCTGCAATTCACGAAATACAAATTCTCCTGGAATAAATCGATTCCATAGCCCAAATGATTCGATGCAAGCACGCGCGCCGTTCTATTTCATTACTTCCTAATTCGCATTACTGATAGTGTTCATAGTGTTCAAGCAAAGCCATTTCATCGCCCTGAGAATAGTGCGGCGGAATGTAATACCAATCAACCCCTCCGTTCATTTGTTGAGTCATTACAAACCCAGCTCCAGCAACCACCTTCTTTTGCGGCAATGACAATCGCTGCATGGGGCTGGACAATGGTTTGTGGAGCTGAACGACCAATTTCTCTGCTTCTGAAAGAGATTGGGATGGGAATGGGAGTGAAACGCTGGCCGGAACAATGTTCTCTGCAACAGTTGGGGACGGCAAAGGGAAAAGAAGTGGAGAACGCAATGGAGGGAAGGGGAGGGAAAATGGGAGAGAATGCTGCATTTTCAAGAGGTGGTTGGATTCCAAACGAAGAAGCGGCGGAGACTGGTTCGGAATCGGAATCACAATCAGCTGAGCGCATGATAGCAATTCAAGAAAAGTATTGACAGAGGAGTTTGACTGAAGGGATCGTGGGAGATATACAAAGAGAATCGGCTTTTCTTCGCAGGAGGAGAGGAGCGATTCTATCGCTGGATGCACTCTCTCACAATTTCCTTCACGAAATCGAATCACAATGAACGAGCCAGTAGAGTGAAAAGAAGAGCAGTAGTAAAGATGGAAGGGAGGGAGAGGAGAGAAAGCCGAGGAACCAAGAGTTGCTTCTTTACCCAACTTTGCGTTGCAGCAATTCTCACAATTGAAAAACTGGCAATGCAGACAACGATCTCGCAGAATAGGACAACTGTGTGATAGGGTTGTCCAACGGCTAGGGCTGCTTTGACATACAGAACAAATATGGGAAGCAGAGGAATAACAAATCGAAACAGGCAAATCGATTGTTGAATCATTGCACTCCATGTCTAAAATGGCAAAGTCATAGAGCTGGTAAATCTGGCCTGTGTGCTGACCGTCCAAGGAGTGATAAACAATTGAGGGATACTATGGAAGCAGCTGGAAATGGCAACTACCTGACGATTCGTGAGATCCCTAGTGAGTTGAAAAGACTGCGCCAGTGTTTCTGAAGCAGCAACATCCAAAAACTCCTTTCCTCGTTCACTCAAATTATACACAAGTTCTACAAAAATACAAAAGAGCGAAAGATACCAGCTAGAGGAGAATTGTAATATGTAGAATCATCAGAAAATAGAAGAGATGTGACTTTTGTAACCTTCTGGCAAATCTGCTTGCACATTCGAATGGTTGTGGAGTTCACGTTAAAAATATAACTTCACATAACTCGAAGCGACAAAAGCGTACGATCGAATCGGTTCATCTTCTCCAATCGTGAGAACGATAGAGGGAATAATGTCCTCTTCTCCCTCAGTCACAATCCACTTATAGAGAGAATTTGGAGGCAGTGAGTAAATTCGGCTGGAGGACATGTCTTCGGTTCCCAAATATCCTTTGATCGTTCCTTGGATAGTTTTTAATATTCTATGTTGAGAAGGTTTTGACTTGGCGTTAGTCTAAAGTATAGTAAACGAAGAGCTAAGCTGTTGAGCCCGTCTAGCTCAGTCGGTAGAGCGCCAGGCTCTTAACCTGGTGGTCGGGGGTTCGAGCCCCCCGGTGGGCGTTTCCTTTTTTTCGATTCGTAACTATATTGTTATTTTACAAAACGATTACCTGAATGAATAGGCGTACGAGACTTTAAGCTCAAAAACAATCTTGTTATGTTCCTCTTTATGTGCCATTTCTCTTCTCTTCTCTTCTCTTCCCTTCCCTTCACTACCAACGCTAAACAATTTCCTCCCGATTCAAACAAACACACAACCCCCCGTCACTATTAATTCAGCAACAAATTCACCACATCCTTCACATTCAGTCTCTTCAAATTCGTGTATTTCTGCCCCGTGCCAACAAAAACAATTGGCTTCCCAGTGCAATAAACCATCGACAGCGCCGCTCCCACCTTGTCGTCGATCGTATCGAACTTGGTCAGCACGATTCCATCGACCAATCGCGGTTCTGCCAGATCCGAGAGATCGTGCAACGCCTACGCCTCACTCGCCCCATCCGCTGCGACTCGGTTGAACTCCCTCAGCTGGTCGACGCCGTCGTTTCCGACGAGAGCTTCGCCCACAAAGAGAATGAGATCAGGATGATTGACGTTCACCAGCTTCACCAAGCTGCGCATCAGCCCCTCGTTGTTCTGCATTCGCCCCGCCGTATCGATCAGACACACATCGAAGCCCTGCTCGTTCGCATACCGCAGCGCGTAGTACGCCACATCGGACGGATCCTTCGTGTAGCCGCGCTCGAACAGATCCAATCCAAGCCGATCCACGTGCACGCGAAGCTGCTCCACGGCTCCCGATCGATAGGTATCGCACGCTGCCAGCAGAACGCGCAGCCCCTTGCTCTTGAAGTAGTACGCGACCTTGGAGAGAGACGTGCTCTTTCCCACGCCGTTCACACCGCAGAAAACGATGCTGAAGGTCTTTCCTTGCTTGCGCGCGTCCTGGACAAGGCGGAGAATATCCACGGAGGACCGCGTGGTCAGAATCGATTCGATGCTCTCTTCCAACGCAGCGCGGACGACGGAAGTCACGCTGAATTGAAAGAGTGGAGAGCAAACGCTACCTCTTGATGCCGCCGAGCTTCTTGCCGAGGATTTTGGTTCGCACATTCTCGCAAATGCTGTCTGCTATATCCGTAGCGACGTTCTTCTCGACGAGCTATGCATCATCATTAGAAGACATGCTCACCTTCTTCTTCAACGAATCAATCACAGGAGTCAGTTCTTCGTTCGTGATCGGGGTTTCGCCCACTAATCGCTTCATAAACCCGGTCAGTTTGCCCAATCCCCAACTCGAAGAAGAAGAAGAAGAAGAAGAAGAAGATTCCTCTTCTTCGGGACGATCCATTTCGGATTCATTCTATCAATGAACACAAAACAAGACACACACAAAGTTCTCAACTACATCGCGCGTTACCGAGGCGTTTTCACTGTTTCGATCCAGAGAGTTTATGTCCACGTTATCGTCCTCCGACACGAGGAATTTGCTCTTTTTCTTCTTCTCCGGCTTGGCTTTGGCCTCCTGCTTCTTGGAGTTCTTCCGAGTCATTGTTGGAGAACTTTTCTCAACCCTTTCTTCGACCTCTGGCTCTTCGGGCTGGGTTTCGGACTCAACTGCTTGAACGCTCGATTCCGATGTCTAGCGGTAAAGAAAGTTTGAGAAGGCATACTTCTTTCACCTCTCGACTTGATCGGAGACGGTTCAATGTGCTCCCGCTAAACTAGAAGGTAAGAAAAAATAAAGAAAAATACAAGCGATGGCCTCTTCGAGCGTTGCGAAGCAGATTCTACCGAATCAAGGAGTTGCGAAAACTGCTCATCAAAATCAAATTCGCATCTAAATAAAATGCACAAAAAACCAATACATAGTGGTAACAGGAAGGCTGTCCTTGAAAGAAGTGACAAACGCCTTCTTCACTGCGGCGAGCAAGTCATCAACGTACATTAGTTGCAGAATGCGCTGATAGACCACAACAAACACCAGACCCAGATCATTGTTAAAACTCCACTTCAAGGCGTACTGATCATCATAGAACACCTTCTCGTTTGTTCGCTCGACGAGAATCACATCCTTTATCAACTTGTTGATGGGAGTGCCTTTCAACTCGCAGAAGCTCTTGGACCACAGAACAAGTCCGGTGGTAGTGAAAATACAAAACAGATCGATCATTCGTGACGCTTACAAATATTATTTCTCAAACAAACACACAAATGATGCATTTATCCAAAATGAAACGTGAAATGACTATTACCATGCGAATTTCCCTTCCCTTTTCCTTTCGAACCGCCTCCAAATCCTCCAGGGAAGCCCCCAGGGAAGCCTCCAGGGAAGCCTCCAGGGAAGCCTCCTGTGAATCCTCCTCCAAAGCCCTCCTGGAAAAAGGTAAAACCGCCTGGGAATCCGCCAGAGAACGGATTTCCCTGTCCCTGATGCTCGTTGGAGTCTTCTCCACGATCATACGCAGCTCGCTTCTCTACAATCAACACTGCCCCAAACAGCCCACCTTCGTCCGAAAGCACTTCGTAAGCTTCCGCGATCTCTTTGAACTTCTGCTCAGCAACGTCCTTGTCCTCCTTCTATGCCTCACATCGCTCTCAAAGAAGCAGTACATGCTTATCGGGATGCCACTGCAGCGCTAGCTTGCGATACGCTTTTTTAATCTCCTTCTGCGTAGCGTCACGTTTCACTCCCAGCACCTTGTAATAGTCCTTCTCTTTACTCCGCTTCAGCGCGGTCTGCGCTTCATGCAGCTTGTCTTTCAGCTAGAAATCACTCCACCTCGCCCAAAGAAACCTTTTTATTTTCTTGGTTCTCGCGCAGAGCGTCTTCGAGAAGCTTCACTGCTCGGTCATACTCCTCTTGATTGATCAGCACGGTCGCCAGATTGCACACAGCATCAGCAACGTCCACAGCGTTGCTCAACTCCGATTTGTGGTCGACAACGTACTGACAATGGGGCGAGACCTTGTCGTACGCTTTTTCCTTGGTATACAAATTGCATAAATGATAATGAGCGAGACCGATAAAATGCTGAGGGACCTTTGGAAGATGAAGCAGATTCTCCGCAGCTTCGATTTTCTCCTTCGTCTCTTTACTCGAAGGGTCGGTAATCCGATTCAAGTTTCGGTTGATGGATCGAATCAACTTGCTTCTCTCTTTGCATTTCTTATCTTCTGGATCACTTCGCAGACACTAGAGATTACAAACACTACAAAAGGCAGCACCTTCTTAAAATGAGCATTTGCTGTGTCGATGTCTCCGCTCTCCAAAAGAGCGTATCCGCGCAAATACAACGCTTCCAGATTATCTGGCTGCATTTTCATTATCGTTACACATTCATCACTGAGCTGGTCCCACTTCTGGGTCTCGAAAAGAACACGGGCGAGCGAAAGACGCAAGGAAATCGAGTTCTTTACAGTCGCCAGCAGCTTATTTAAGGTCGAGATAGCTTCCTTATAGTTCTTCTTGGTGATACTGTTCTGAACACTCTTGATCTCCTTCGAACACTCCCGACTCACAGAAAGAGACTTTTGAATTTCAGCATTATCATAACCAGGGTAAAGAGACTGGCAACGCTTGAAGGTTTGATAAGCTTCCTGGCATTTTCCAACCTTGATCTGTAAATTCCCCAGTTGTTGTAATGCCTAAAACTCAAATATGCAACAGACCTTTACTCTTGGCGAAGGGTTCAACTCCACAACATGGCCTAAATCGGAGACCGCTCCATCGAGCTGCTGCAAGTTCAGCCGGCATAAATACCGACTATTATAGCAAGCAACCATCGAAGAATCAGAAAAAATACACTTTGAATACATCCTTTCTGCCTACAGTATAACAGAGAACGAAGGAAGCATACTTCTCGATATTTCTTTTGTTTATAGTAGTTATCGGCTTCATCTTTATACTTTAGGGCATTATTGTTGTTTTTTGATTGTTTTGATTCAGAAGCATCTTTTGCGAATGATACTACCAAGATCTGGAAAATCAGAAAAAGAAACATAAAAAACGTACTCCCACGATAAAGAGTAAAGTTCGAATTCCTTCTTTCATCAATGATAAGGAATATTCTCAATGTTTAAGGAAAATGTAAACTTGTAGTATTTTGAAACTCCCATTTTTCTCGATTGTTCCATAGAGATGAATAATGAGTGTAGATGGTTGTAATCTATATTGGATCATTGGGGCTTGCACGAAGTGGATCAAAAGAACGCAATTATCAAAAACGAAATGACAGATTGAGAAGGGTTGTACAGTTTTGATCCTGGTCGTTTTAATCTCGATTTGAAAGCATGAAGATTCTCTAATAACCTAATTTCCTGAAAAGAAAGCAACAAAAATGAAATTCGTATCTGTCTCAGAGAATTGACCTGGAAATAGCGAGATGATTCAAAGAATTGAATTGATAGGCTACTGGAAAACAAGGATTCAAAAACATAGCCAGCGATCACAGCTGAAGCAACAAACAATAGAAACCCAAGAGATAGTTCAATTTACATAACACAGCAACACGAGCACGCCCTCTTTGTCTCCTTTGCAACCGGCATCTCTTTCGAAGAAGCGACTTCTGCAGACTTGGAAGGAACTTTCGTTTTGGTTGGTGTAGCAGTAGGCTTCGGGGGCGCAACAGTAGGTCTCGGGGGAATAACTGACACTTCTGCAGTGGGAGCAGTGAAATAAACCGTGCAACAACCATGGTTAGGGGTATCATCTTCAAACTTCCATCCTCCCTTATTCAGAACCTCTACTACCGCAGGTTTGATCTTGCGAACACCTCCTTCGCTGTGATTGCCAGCCCCCCAAATGATAACCAGAGTTCCCTTTCTACCAATCTTATCAAAACGCTGGTTCAAGCGTTCTAGAGCTTCTTCGACATACAAACCATGTAGATCAATGGTGTAGTCGTCACGTCCTTGATTATGAGCGGCAAAAAAAGCGTCAGCAGCCTGCTTATTGTACTGCTCCATCTGTGCACCGTGCTTCTTTCCCTCCTCTGAAAGCTGCTTGGCCTTTGCCTTGTCCCCGCTCTCAAATTCTTTCTTTGATTGATCGAAACAAGTGCCTCGAAGCTTCGCCTCCTCTCCGGCTTTATCTCGCAACTTTTGAGCCTCTTCCAATGCTTTTTTCTTTTCGGGAGATAGTTCTGGTTCCATTTACAAAAAAACAATAATAAAAAAACGTTAGCAATAAAATGACCTGTATTTTTGGAATTCGAAACATCTATTTCTCGTAATCGAACAGACAGAGGGAAACTCGAAATGGCACGTCCTGTGGAAGGTAGCTTTCTAGTAGAGCAGTGATTTGACTCTGTAGAGAGTATGAAGTTCTCCCTCCAGAGTGTGAAAATATCCACTCAGATTCGAAAGAAAATGATCGATTCTGCCTATTTGGACAATGCAAACTTGACATCTGTAACACTGACTCCCAATTCTCGTCGTCCGTATGTTCTGTTATTGAGACTCTTGTTCTGTGATTTCTTATAGCATTGTAGATTGGTTTCGACTCAGCCGTATGGATATGTGAGGGATACCAGCGGTTTACGGTCTTTGGCTCATCACTTTGAATTGTATTTTAACAGAATGAACAAAGTACGTTTGTGTCTGGGCTTTTTAGTTTTAGCTGCAAGAATCCTATATAGAGCTCCAAAAGCAATTAAAAGATGAGCAGCAGCAGGTGAAGTCTGTGAGCGACTGTGAAGTGGAGCTGCGCATTTGTTTTGACTCTGTTCCTCAGGTAGTTGAGGTTTCTATTGTATTCTCCAGATTTTCTTTGATAGCGATTTCGATTTGTCAGATCCGGTGATGTTTAGCGTTGTGTTGGATCCCAATGAGCATTTCAAAGTAGTGAGCTACAAAGTAGTTATATATATATTGCCTCTTCTGGTAGCTTACCGGGTATCTAGACCTTGTGGAGGTCTGCCTGAACGAGCAAATCTCTATTCAATCCGACTCGCTGTTCGCAGCGATCAAGCAACTTCAGGAGTTTCAAGTTCATGTTTCAGAAACTTTGCAGGCGATTCATGGCTTATCGTAGAGCTAACGGTTTGTATTTGATTGCAGAGGCTCTATGCAAGCGATCCAGTCGCGGCATACAATTCCTCCTCTTCTAATTCCTGTCTATTTACGTCGCATTCAGAATCTTCGAAAGGTGCAAAAGATCGTGCTGTTTTGATTTGCTTTGAACGATAGACGGATCAGATCGCATCGATCCGAAGCACGTTGAATCAAGCTCGGAGTTATTTGAATCAGAACCGATTTGAAGAGTCGTTTGTGTGCATTCAGAAGTGCAAATCGTTCCTTCGAGGCGATTTGGGAGGTGTGAAAGCGCTGAGTGGCGTTGTGGCGATTCTGGATAGCACGCAAGATTTGCTTTGTAAGAAACTGGCGAACCATTTCATTACGTTGTGTTTAAGTGATGAAGAGGAGGAAAAGAAGAGAGAGCGAGAGGAGCAAGCTAAAGAGAAGGAGAAGAAGAGAAGAAAGGAGGAAGCCGAAGCCGAAGCCGAAGCCGAAGCCGAAGCCGAAACCGAAGCTGAAGCCGAAGCTGAAGCCGATGATGAGAGTGAGAATGAAATTGCCAATCGCGAGCCACCCAATTCATTGGAAGATCGTCTTCGCCCCATCTTCTACGCGCTGCTCAATCTCAAATGGCTTCTGAAATCGCTGGAACAATACAAAGAGAAGGCGGAGCTGCAGCTCCAAGAGATCGTGAGTACGGTCATGACCATCTGTCTTGGACCTGAAAGTCTCACAAACCCGGTCATTCTTCGCCAGTTGCCCCATAAAGATTTCGTAACCACGCTGGACGTTCTCTGCGAGCAGTTCCTGAAGTCTGCTCAGCGGAGTCGTCGCGTTGTAGCAGTGTGTTTGAACATTCTTGCCACGATTCCCAACAAACAAGACAACACAAAATCGAGTTCTGTTGATGATATTTTGGGAGTGGAAGACGTTCTCGCCATCACGGACGCTGAGCGAACAGCCTTACAGCAGCATCTGCAGACGCTCCACACAAGCACGTGGAGTCGGATGCAGCAGCACATCAGCACGATGCTGGATGCGCGAAGTGAGATCCACTCGCAACTACAGATCGATGAGTTGAAGCAGGTGTGGGATCATTGCATGGACTTCGTGAGCGTGGCAGGACGGATTTACAACACGAAGGGAATGCTGTTGCTGCACACTCTCTTGCGCCAGGCACGCGATTCCCTCGAATATCTGCACAAAAGCCAGCTACTCATGCTGCAGAATCTTCTCCATGAGGAACTTTGGAAGCCTGCGCTCGTTCCAAGCGCCTTGCAAAACGAACTAACCCACTTGCAGGAAAACCCACGTGTCGACATCTCTTCAGAGTATGATTTCTAGACGGCGGCGCTGCTTGTTCGCACGTCAACAACTGACGTAATCTCCGCTCATCCGCGTCTCCTGATCGGATCCCAGTCCTTTTGTGTGACTCATTCGATGCTGGAGTTTGTGAAGATGCTGCTGCATTACCTTCTCTATGCACGTTCTTTCCAAGGACTCGGTCCTGAGGTCATGCATCGAATTCTGGAACTATTCCGGACGTTTAACACCTCGTCTCGCTCCCTGGTTCTCAACGCGGGCGCTGTTTCTCAAGGCTTTCTCAAGCGGATTAGTGCTCGCCACATCGCGCTCGTAACGCAGTGTCTGAGCGCAGCAATGAGTCTGGTGACGGTCGCTCAAACGTCTTTGGTGCTGTATCTTCCTTCCAAGCAGCACCCCGTGCTGATGCAACTCTCCCAAGGAATGATCGAGCTGTTCGCTGATCACCGCAGCCAGCTGTTTGAGAAGTTCCCCGAGATAATCAAATCGGTTGCAGAGAAGAGCTGCAGCAATCTCGAAGTAGTTTGAACTGTGCGATGAATGATGATATTAGTCAATGGATTGGAGCGAGGCCGTTCCTCCTCCAAGTCCGTACATGGACCAGCTGATCAAAAAGATCGAAGTTCTCTTATCTCAGCTCAAGCCCATTCTTCCAGACGACCAAATTCAAGTAGAAGGATTCAAAGCGTACTAAGAGTAGACAATTTTCTCTCGGATTCTCTCGGAATTATCTTTGTTTTTCGTTTCTCGGTTCGAAACTGTGGATCCACAAAGCATTTCGCTTGCAGGGCGAGAGAGGTAGGAGCGCAGCATCGGATAGACTGTAGAATTATTGGCGATATTGGATGTCTTTTGAGCGTATTTCGGGGAATACCGGGAATTGTGGAGCGTGGATTAACCCTTGAAAATGCATTTCGCGATCGCTATGCGATAAAGCAAAAAGAAGAGGAAGAAGAAGAGGGAAAGTCGTATAATGTTTGTTAGATAGAATTCCGCTAATCTGGATTTACAAAGGTTAAATCAAATGTGGAGCGATGATCTTATAAAGGAGAGATCGATACAAAACTAGAATCGAGAATCAAGAAAGATTATGTGCTGTGGTAGATAGGATATCACATTGTAATAAGAGAGTATTAAGTTGAAACAAAAACAAAGAAGCAGAAGGAGGCTGTGGAATGATGCACTAGAAGCAATTATCGAGATAAGACTCGGAAAAGAATTGAAAAGTGGCTATATAGAAGCGAGAAAAAAACGTAGAAAGTGTCACATAACATAAAGGTATACAACAAACAGTAGCAAAAGTAAAGGAAGAACAAAAATACAAAACAAAGAAAGTGAAATAAGAATAAAAACAAAGATACGCATTCAAATCCAATCCAATCCAATCCAATCCAATCCAATCCAATCCAATCCAATCCAGCATAATTCGTTATTCATAAAAGCAAACGAATAAAACCACACCACTGATCATTCAACACTGATTTTACACACCGGACACCGAATGTCTATTTCCAACCATTGCTTAATACAGCAAGTGTGGAAGCGATGTCCACCTACAACTCACACACAAATGTGAAAGATACAAGGAAGTTCAGCCGAAAAGGAATTGAAAAGGAAGTCTTCCAAGCAGATAGGGCACTTATCCACTGAGAAATACATATTCTATTTCACAGCCAACTCAAAAAACGTACAGTATGCAAATTAGCCAAAAACCTTGAAGAAGCGCAAGCCCTCTTCTTGTCCGCTTCTACTAACTGCAAAAACCTGCGGAAAAGTTCCCAATTCGTTCTTCCACTTCCTCCATTCCTTGAAAGCAGGGAAGCATCCACGAAAATGCTACTCGTATAGACTCTATAGAGAAGCTGATTAAAATTCCCCTGATTTCTTTCAGAAAAATCGTCTTCCTGCTCTACAGAGTCAATTTCCTCAATTTCCTCGGCAGGATGTATTGTATCCACAGAATCTTCATCAGAAAAGTCTTCCACATATTCCTCCTCTTCAGAGTGGAGTTGTTCCATATGGTTGTCATAGGAAGCGCTATAATCGAATGCCCATATCGTTTTTTGAGTCAATAATGGAGAAGGAGAAGTAGGAACAGTACTAGGATCAATATGCAGGGAATCTGGGAGTATGCTGTGTACAAACGGTCCCAGTCCTCCATTAGGGACACTACATTCGAACTCGTAATCCATCTTTCCTAAACAAGGAAAAAGTGTGAAACTCCCAGCATCATTTTGAACTAATTTCAGCATTTGAATGAACTGGCAAAGTGAAATAACCTGTTTGATCGAAGTGAAGGTTGGTAGGAAGAGATTGTTGAGGAAATAAGTTGAATCAAGGTTTTTGAGGGATAGAAGTGTTTGAATCGTGCAATGGAATCATAATAACAACAGAGAGCATTACAGGGATTGCTTTAGTTTGTGAGAAGCCTTAGTTGGCTTGAGTTATCTTCAACAAGCTTATCCGGATGTGAATCACCCTTATAGTCTAATAGTAATTCCATAATAGGATATTTTGAGCAATCAAATGAAAATGGTGAGGTTATAACTAGAGTTCATCATTCTATTGTTTATCACAATAGCGTGCTCGTTTTTATAAGTCAATGATCATATACATAGTTAGCTATTTTATTAATGTAAAATGAGTTAAACTAAGAAATATGGATGTTGGTCGAATTCGTTGTTTTTTTGTACTAATAGCAAAATAAAACGACAGTAAAACTAAGAAATATGGAGTGTTCAAGCTAGGATAAGCTTGCTCAATAAATCACGTCATAGTAGGATTCTGAGTTTTTGATTATTTGTATTATTGTTAACCGTGTATATATATGAAGAGAATTCCTTGAGTTAGTTTTGTATGAAATAGCCGGAAAGGTTCTGAATTCTAAATGATATTTATCTATTATTTGGTAATTGTGACACTGATGATGATAGGTTTGTTTTAGATGTTTGTAAATGATTTTGAACTCCACTTATGGTTGATGGATAGATTAGGGACTTTATTAAAAACTATGGCTTGCAATGGATGGAATGGATAGGTAATAATGACATTTGGAAAGGGATTCAAATCATACCAATTTGTAAACTACTATACAATTGAAGGGATAAAGATATATATATATATGTAATTATTATAAGGATTTAAATGATATAATAAAAATAGGGGTATGAAACAAATAAAAGCCATTTTACTGCAAATTCACTACTAAATCATATGATCCGTTCAAATACTATGTAAGACGATCATCTTCTTATTACTTTCCAATAACCACTATTTCTACGACCCTACACAAAAAGGGACACATTGTTTAATAAGCAGGCTCTTTTTATGTATGATATGTATTGCATATAACAACGCTTTGTTAGAAGCATCATATAAATAGTTAACGAACTATAACAAACTGGAAAGCTTGTTAATCAAAATACTTTTAATTGACATCCCAAATCATGGATTCTAACAGTAGGAACAACGAATATGTGATAACAATGAGATGGACTGCAAACTCTTAAGGGAGGCGAGTTTCTCCTGGATGGCTACATTACTCTTGGTGAGCAAAAGGAGATCACTTTCGGTGGCTCCAAATACACTCTCCAATGCTTTGAAGGGGATCACGAAGACGAATATCTTTTGAAGAAAGATCAGAAAGTCTGCTTATTCCAGAATGGAGTACTCAAGATGATATATGAAGAAGAAGCGGACGGAGCTCAGATCGGAGAGTTCACGAGGTTTGAGAATGGTTGTGTTTCCTTTGTCCAGTCATTTGATGACATATTGGATAACCGCAATTTCAACCGGATAGTAAACCATGTGAACGGGAAACGGATGGAAATCTATTCTCATGACAGTGACAAATTGATGTATCATGGAGAATTCAATGAGAGACGTGAGAGAGAAGGATGGGGTATCCAATACGATGAGACATCGGGAAGAATGTTGTTGGAAGGAGTATGGAAGGGAAACAAATTGGTGGAGATCATCCGTAAAATCGAAGGGACCATTATGATCGAGTTTAAACGAAATGGAGATAACACAACCGCCTCTAATCGAGTTCCCCTTTATGTGGGTGAATTCATTTATGATGAATCGAAAGAATTGTTTATTCGAAATGGTCGAGGATACTGGATCGATGAAGAAACTCGGATTGCTACTCGCGAAGTGGAATGGAAAGATGGAGTGGAAGTGAGTGGAAGAGATCTGTATGATGGATGGTACACTCGATCCACAACTCCAAAACCCAAACCCAAACCCAAACCCAAACCCGCTCCGATGCCTGCTCCTGCTCCTGCTCCTGCTCCTGCTCCAAAACGCGAAGAATCTGCTCCTCTTCGATTCAGCGTCACTGGATCTACAAAATGGACCGATGTGAGTTTGCAAGTGACCGATTTGAAGATTTCATCGAATTGCTGTAACGATTTGAATGCATTGGATCTGAATCGATTCGAGTGGCTACGATCTATCGAAATCGGCAATGAATGCTTTGGATCAGTGCAAACATTCAAAATCGATGGATTGAATCGATTGAAAACTATCAAAATCGGAAACAATTCATTCACTCAGAGAAAGAATGATGAAGAGGAAAATGAAAATGAAAATGGCGATAGTGAATCGAAATCATTCCACATATTGAATTGTGGATCATTGGAATCCATTCAAATTGGTGAATACAGTTTCAGTGATTTTGCTGGAGACTTTGAATTGAGCAATCTACCACAATTACAATCCATTCAAATTGGGACAATTGGAAATGATTCAAGCAATTTCTTGTATAGTTCATTTGAGATTCGAGGTATCGATATGATATTGAATATTTGAATGATGCATAGATCTTCCAAATCTACAATCCATTACATTAGGTGATTTTGCATTCGCTGGTTCCCTATCGACAATAATTGAAAGTATTGAATGAATTCGAATAAAATGATTGATGTAGATCTTCCATCATTACAATCCATTCGACTCGGTTGGTGTGTACTTCATGGAATAAATGTTGATTCATGCTCATTGACACTTCGAAGTAATAATGAATTGATTGGTTATGATTTGCTTTGTAGATCTTCCAAATCTAACATTAATAACTTCTGTAAAATGGAGTTTCCAATATCCTCGTGTAGTGAAATTGGAAAGTATTTCTGAATATTGAATATTGATAGTATTTAGATATTCCAAATCTTCAAAATGTCAAGCTACCTTATTCATTCCAGAAAGTTCGATCGAAATCAATTTCGAGTATAGTTTGATTAATTTGATTTGATTTATAGATGTTTCCTCCATTCTCGCTGATCTTGTCGAAATCGATGAGTAATTCCAGCATTGGATCTACACAAATCACTCCATTCCATTCCAATCCATTCAATGATCATTGTATATTCAATGCTTACTTTGTTTGTTCCAAACCCCTTACCATTATTCTTTGGTCATTGATTTAGGATCCAATCATCGATTGACTCTTTTCCATCATCACAACCCAGATTGGTTTAGCTAGCATGTTCCAATCCTTCTTGTAACGATGTTAAGAATGAAAATAAAGAATTTATGAAAAATGAAAAAGCCAAACTAATACTATCCAGTATAGTTCAGTGTTCAAAATAAAAATGTGTTATACTGGACAAATCACTAAATTCTGAATGATTGAATTGAGACTATCAAGTGTATGAACGGATAGTCTCAAAAAATAATTATCTATACTAACTTGAATAATGATAATAGAAAGGACATTATATTCCATTCATTGTCTTTATTCGATTTACATGGTTTGAATGAGAATATACTTATTTGAAATGAGTTATGTAGTAAACTATTAATTTTGGAAGTAGTTAAGATTTGTATTATTTCGTTCAATATTTATAGTAGATTAATCAACAATCAGATGGATTGATACATAGATAGAGAGTATAGTAAAAAACGATTGATATGAATTGTGTTATGGAAATCATTTTAATACTGACTACAACATACTTCATCACATGAATCAAATATCAGTTTTGTCTGATCTATTCCATATTCAAACCGATACATTCACATTCAATAGCCACCTATTATAGCTATTATTACTCTATTATTGTATTATTAGTGAAGTGGTGTGCTGTTCGTTGTTCACCTCGAACCTATTAGAAAGAAACACAATGATACCTGTATTCTATTTCCTACATTAATTCGGTCACATCCAACCGTTCATTGATTTCGATATACTTATTGTTTCAGATTTACGTCATATACGCATTACTAACTAAATTTTCTTGTTATGCCCTAACGAATAAACTTGTTCATCATAATCACACTTTTTGTACTGTCTTACATTCTCTTTTTTCTTTGTGTTATGAATAAGATATGATAGCGATTGCTTTTTCTTTTCTTTTCTTTTCAAACAGTGATTCATAATTGTTTGTACATTTGTAATGACTTTTGCATAATCAGGATAGTAGTAGGTCTCATAGTAAAGTGCTGTACCCAATCTGTTGGTGTATCATACACATTACGTTAGGTGTTATATCCGTTTTTCACTACTCACAATCAAAGACTACACAATTTTAATGAAGTATGTCTATTTGGTTGTTATTTTCATTTCTAAACATCGTTGATTTTAATGTCTGTATTTCTGACTTGCTTCATTGTAGTTAACTAATTATTCGTCACTGATAAAACAACTTCACTGTTATTTGATGACTTCTTAAATGAAAGCGTTCTTTTCAAGCATATTTTGAATTACCATTTACAGATCGATTTTCTCAATGCAAACAATTATAATAGCCACAGCAACTCGTTACCTATGAAACTACTATTTGGGAACATTCCATATCACATTTCAACAATTTACAATCCTTTACACGGATCAAATAACAAAAATAGGAAAAATAATCCAACAAGAATATGTTATTCTGCATTCTATTCACGTTATTTATAGTTTCTTTGTTGCAAAAACACACAAATCAATTACAGATATATATATTCTTTTCTATATAAAATCCCTATCATTCAAAAGAAACCAAGGCAATTGAAGGATGGTTATTTGAGCCTTTTAGATGTGTTTGTAGATCCATCATTATGCGTTTTTTTCTTTGTACTATGTTATACTACAATTCTATAAAACTGATCAAAAGCACATTACAAGCTGCTTGATTATTGATTAGTAATGTTGAATTACCCTGTTTTTCATTATCAATTATTCTATAGTATTATGCAACCAGCTTAATGTCGATTTGATAAAATACTCTCATACACAATAGTGATATGAATTGTTAATTTCATACAATAACAACTATTACTTACATATCGTTTCTGTGCATGTAATACGCTTATTGGTGATTCACATCCTATTTTGTTATTTATCAAAATTCATAAAGCATATATCTGTGCAAAAGGCATAGAAGTGATGTTTCCACATTACGTTATAGCTAGATTATCTACTAACCATCCACGTATTTCTATTTGATTGTATGTCTAATAGATGTTATTATTAGACTTTACACGAATTTATACAGATATTAACATTACTTATCAATATCCAAATGATAATATACTATTTATTGTCTATATTATCTTTAAAATAGCTTGATAATTTGTTTTTATCGCTTTTGTTATTTCTGAAGCATATTTGGAATTGGTAGATTTAAGTGTTTTAAGTAATTGACACAATAATAAGAAAAATGCAATGAATCATTTCCTTATACTCTTTCAAATACTAAATCTATTTAGCATAACCTGTGTAATCACTATATGTATGATAGTTCTTTATTGCCAAGACTCTAACTATCTAACAATATCCGTTCAATTATCCTTTCATTTATTCTAATAGCTGGAATAATAAATTATTCTTACATAATCTAAGCTGTTTAAAAAAATGACCACCAAACTCAATTCACACACATTAGCTAAACAAGTTCAAAAGTATTCATCATATTTACACCTATCTTAGCATACTCGCTTTTAGATATCGTTGTATTACATTCCATAATACAATACTAACGATATTCATGTAGTAATTCTAGAGATTATCGTTCTTATTATTTCAAATCAATACTCACTTTTCTATAATAATATGTTGATCTTTATAGCCATTGCAATAATGATTGGAATACACTATATCCTAAGAATATCATATTCGGATGAATGTACAAACTGGCCTCTGACCAATTAGTATCAGTTGTTAATATCACAGTCATTACAAATGCAATAGTGATAGCAGTTTATCGAATTGGTTTACTAGTGAGCTACATTCGTCACATTGGATATTCTTATGAATCGTACTGAATTAATAATTTGACTCATTCCAAGTGTATACTGATTATTTGTAGATTTTCATAATCTGTTTCCAGTGTTTTGATAATACATTTCTTGTATATTCCATTTTCTATACTATTCTCTGTCACATTATGTAAGAGAATAGAAATGTTCTCTTTATATTTCGTCTCTGCTGTTGTTGACAAGGTTTTATTATACAGTGTAGTCGAATAATACATACATCAAAAATCGTGGTATTGATTTTACTTTCACCTGTTAGTTTTGATGATTTGTGAACGAGTCTACTCCAATGAAGCTGAATACTCATTGTTTGGTAATAATAAAACAATGATTAGCTCTTCCATTAACTACATTGATAATTCCCAAATAATGAAAGTAAGTGCCCTGTTTGTTTACTTCATAATGCTGCGTATTCAATGATGAACAAATGTAAATATTCTCATCACTACATCCAAAATGTCTTTCCCATATTTGTTGATGATCACACGAAATAGTTTTTATGCAAACCTTCAATTCTTATCCTACATTTGTGTCAACAGCATAGTAATCCTACATTATCTTGGCTAGACACAACAGTAGCTTTTCAAAATACAGTCTTCTTCAGTGTAATCTCCCTTATTGTCATACGTTTCTTTGAAATAGCACAAAATGAATATTCCTATCTACCATCATAAAAACTGCATAAACCACATAGATTATCAACAAAAGTGCCATTTTCCACTATGTTTACAATGTGCGAATATCGGAATACTTTACACCGCTTGTTAACTCTAATTTCATTATGAGCAGTGATTATTACGTAATGTCATGTACATCAATACCTACCTCTGATAAATACCTTCAAGTTGTTTTCTGTCCTTATTCTCTTTTAAAAACGATTTATCTTTATCTATCATTAATCAAGCTTTTCTTTTATATAATGAGTGCCACCATTATTGATGTATTATGCTGTCTGCATACTCCATACTTTTGATACATGTTTCTTGATCCAAAATAGATTTAATCCAAAATACTCATATAGTCATTAACCACTTCTTTTGTTATAAATTATAGGGACTCTATTTTAAAAAACCCTATATTCCTTTTTTTTGAATCTGTATGTGCTGGGAATTTAACGATATGAAATTAGAAACATATAATAGACAGTATTTAACGCTATGGTGGTCATTTCCCAAAAAGTAGTAAACTCGATTCTTTCTGAGTAAATACTATTTCAACCAACACTACCTATATTATCCATTCATTTCACTTCTTTTCAAAATAGAATTCGCTCCACTTGGTTCTATTTACAAAGTTTTGGCATTTTCGATCATTTACAGCATTTCTGTCGATTTCACCAAAATGTCATTTTCATTTTAAATCGATTCGTTTTCCTATCACATTCCAAAACTACAAAAAACAGCTCTTTCATTTAACAAATTTCAATACTCCTTTTTCTTCCATATTTCTGCTGTATCCTTTATCCCCGTTCTTAGTTACTTGCAACCATTGCACACAACCATTGCAACCCTCTTTCACAAAACATATAATATCTTTACTATTACTTGTATTTTTTAAAATGAGCGAACGAGGTCGATTCCGAAGAAGTGTCTCATCCAATGAACATCCTATCCAGGTGAGTTAAACTCGATTCCTAATATTTGTAGTTCATTGTTGCTGAGGGGCAATCCAACGTTTTTTCAGTCAATAAAGAGCAGTTGCATGAACTGATCTCCCAGGTATATCCACTCATTCAGGTTTGACATAGATTCCACATAATACTCCGCTTAGCGTTATTTCAATTGTAGGAGCTTTTCGAAGCGGTAAGTCTTTTTTGTTAAACTTTTTTCTCCGTTATCTTCACGCCTTAGAAGGTATTCATTCTCTTCTATTACTATTATTCGTAGGTGGACAACGCATCTCACAAGGGTCCGTTTCTTCTTGGATGCAGTTTGGTGGAACTATCTTAGAAGGGTCCTTGAACAGTGCTAGAAGGGAAAACGGGTTTTCTTACGGTGGTGGAAATCAAAGGGTGACAGAGGGCATCTGGCTTTGGAGTAAACCTTTTATTATTCCTGATCCAAGCACAGCTGGAGGAAAGCTGTGTGTACTCCTCATGGACACGCAGGGGATGTGGGATGGGCAGACAGGTCAAGGGTTGACAACGAGTATTTTCGGTTTATCGACACTCCTCTCTTCCTATCAAATTTACAATGTCCAAAACCGGTTACAAGAAGACCAGCTCCAGCACTTAGCGATGTTTTCAGAATATAGTTTAAAGATCAGTGAAGTGAAGAAATGGAAGGAGAAAGCGCCATTTCGTCATATCGATTTTCTGGTGCGAGATTTTTCAGCATTTTCGAATGAAAAAGATGTAGAATCCTGTCTGGAAGAAATGAAGACTTATAAACAAGAGTTTTTAGCTCCTCGAAATGCAGATGATCTCAATGAAACGCGAAACAAGATTCGAAAATGCTTTGAAGAGATTGATGTGTTTTGTCTGCCTCACCCAAATCGAGAGGTTACGACTTTGTCATTTAGTGGAGTTATCGATTCCATCTATCATCCATTCCTCGCTTTGTTAGGATACTATGTCGATCACTTGTTTCGAAATTGGATACAACCCATGGAAGTGAACAACCGAATCGTGTATGCCAAGGATTTCGAATCGTAGGACTTCAGCGTTTGTGTAAATCTAGTTATGCATTGCGATATGGAGAACTCTTTGCCAAACAGTCGAGTTTCCCATCCGTTCATTCTATCCTCCAAGCCACTGCCGAAGTGGAGATTAGCCGAACAGCGAACGACTGCTATGATGTTTGAATGCGATTCTAGAATATAAACTGTAGATGTATTCGAATATGATGGATAAGTCTTTGGATTCAGTTCCCTTCCTTACTGAAAGCGCTTTCTCCCAGACTCATGAAAATGCCCTCAAACAAGCGTTGACTGTGTTTGATACAAATAGTATCTTTGGAGACAAGTCCCGAATTCGGAAATATCGGGATTCGTTACAGTCCAAAATCAAAGAGAAAAGATACCGGCTTGAGATACGAAATTGGAAACGACTCATTTCAGAACAACAAAAGAGGTGGGATGAGGAGCGACAGGAACTGAAGAAACAATTGAATGAAAAGGACGCACAGGCATCTTCGATGAAAGTCGAAATGGATCGAACGATTCGAACAGCCGCTTCGTTGAGTGAGGAAATTCAAAAGAAAACAGATCAGATTGACCAACTTCAAGTCCAATTCCAACAGAAGAATTCTGAAGCCTCCACATTATTGCTGGAAAGCAAGCATTTACATGATGAAGTCAGCTCTTTGAAGAGTCAGTTGCAAGTTGCCGTTCAGGATAAAACTTCAAATCAAGAGATGTTGAGAAAGAAGGAGACAGAGAATACAGTGTTGAGAAAACGAGTCGAAGAAGAAGCTGCTCATTCTCGAACTCTGTCGGAACAACAGCTAAAGAAGGAAAACCGAATTGCCGAATTGGAACGGAAAGTGAGGGAGAAAGAGGCTGAAATCCTAAGTCAGCAAAAGGAAGCAGAAAGCAAGAAGAAAAGATTGAATACGCTGTATGAAGAAGGCAGAAAGAAAGATAGTCTAATTGGAGAGCTCAATGGAAAGATCAGTGTTCTGCAGCGCAGAGAAGAAGAATCAAAAGATCAACTGAGAAGCTATGTGACGCAGCTGAGCCAACAAGAATCAAAGATACATGAACTGAATATGGAAGTTCGACTTAAACAAAAAACGATTACAGATCTCGAAAGTCAAATCCGATCAATGGAAGTCACTGAGAAAACAATGCGAAAGCAGCTAGCAGAGAGGGAAGAAAGCCAGTTAAAACTGAGCAAGAGAGGAGATGAACTGGCTGCCCAACTTGGAGAAAAGGAAAGGCAAAACAGCGAGCTGAGAACGAGAAACTACAAACTCACTGAAGAAGGCGGGAAAGCGAAGCAGAAGATCGAGTTGCTTACGATTCAGGTTCAGAACCGCGACAACATGATCAGTCGATTGAAGACAAACTATAACAGCTTGTTAAGTCAGGCACAAGAAAAGGATAGAACGATCCAACGATTAGAAACAGACAAGAGAACAATCGAGGAATCACAAAAGCTGACGGAAAGCAAAGTTCTGGAACGAAATGCGAAGATTAGCGAAATGGAGAAAGCGATCGAAGTGCTGAAAATCGATGCGAAAGGCGAGCCATTGGTGATTGACTCCGGATCCTTCAACTCAGTTACAAAATACGTTTTTTCGAAGAATATCGAAACTTTGGAAATCGCTGATGATTGCTTCATCAATCTCTCTACGTTCCATATCGATGGACTGCGAAAACTAGAAAGCATTCGAATCGGAATGAACAGCTTTACGAGAGTGAAGAGCGACGATCACTGGGATTGGAAAAAGGTAAACGATTCCTCACGTTCTTTCCGAATTCTGAATTGTCCGCGATTGAAATCAATCGTGATTGGGGAGTTTAGCTTTAGCGATTATGCCAAGGATTTTGAATTGTCAAATCTTCCTGAATTGGAGGTTTTGAAGCTTGGAGTTATGAATAAGGATTCGTCGAACTTCTATTTCGCTTCTTTCGTTGTACGAGGTAGGCATTGTCGGCTCTTTTGAATACTTCACAGATCTCCCCAGTCTGAAATCGATCGAATTGGGAAACTGGACGTTCTACTGCTCTTTTGAAACAGTGATCCAAAGTACACACATTCGTTGATTTCTCAGTAGATCTTCCCAGTTTGGAAACCATTCGTCTCGGAGAACACGCTCTCGAAGGAAAAGACGATGATCGATGTTCTCTGGTTCTACAAGGTCGACTTCGAAATGCTAATTCATTGGTAGATCTTCCAAAGCTGAGCTCGATTTCGTCTATTGGATCTAGCTTCCATTATTTGCGTCGTGTGACGCTGGCAGGTAAAATTCAAGGTTTGTATTTTGTCAAAGAACTTCCAAAGGTGGAGAAAGTGGAGTTGCCCGCTGCATTCGAGAAGGTTCATACGCAAAAGATTCAGGGTATGTTTGGTTGAGTGGACTTACCAAAATAGAGAATGTCGCTCAGTGCTTAGTTGATATGATTCATCCAAAGAGTAAAGAAACGTGTTTTGTTTGTTCACATAAGGAATAGTGTTATTGTTGGTATTTGGAAGTAGTCGAAATAAAACAGAGGAGTTTTGCAAATGGGGAGTAGCGAATAAATGGGATGATACCAACACTTTTTCAGACAATCCAAAGTGAAGAAAAGTAAAGTTAGTTATGATGGTAAAGAGGTATTTGATTGAGAGTACCTAATACTGAGGTGATAGCAATTGAATCTATACTAGTCCAATACATGTTCTATTAACTACACTGATCCATCCTTCTTTATTACAATCGTATCCACATAACGACCAAGTCTTTAGCAGAAATGCTTTCTATTTGAATCAGTCGATTGCTTAATCATTCACTCTTTCTCATCAACTATCACACATACGTTTCAAACAAACAATCTTCCATCATCGATTAACCCGAATATTATATCCCTTGGAATGAGGCAATTCAGGAATTGAAATCGTTTCAGTCGATGGATCAGTCACGAGACTGGGTTATAAAGTCACTTTGACTGTTTCATTCGTGTTCGACACGATCGATGGGCTCGATGATTCAACAGGCTTCGCTGCTTCGTTCACCTCGCTCGATTCAGCGACCGTCGGAGTTGTCGAAAGTTCATCAGCAGATTGTACCGAGTTCTTCATAGGAGAATCTGCGTTGGTAATATCAACCATCACACCACTCTCCCCTTGCTCCGCTCCCTTCTTCTCCACTTCGCTCATCTCGATATTCTTCTCTTTCTTTTCTTCCTCTTCATAGCTCGCTATCTTGCCAAAGTCCTTCGATCCCTTCCATGTAGCCACATAGCCAATGTCCAGCATGCCCAAGAAACACACTCCAGCAGTCACGTAGTACACAGCCTCGCGGCTGCTGCTGTAGATCTCTGACAGCACCAAAGGAGCGGAAATCAATGCCGCCTGCATGGCGAAGTTGTCCCAGGAAAGCACTTTGCCGGCCACAGAAGGAGGGAAGCTCGTCTAAAGGATGAGAGAGAAAACAAGAGGCAATACACTAAGAATCGAAGTGGAGGCAGGACAAACGAGGCTCCAGCCAACTAGGTAAACAAAGATAGGAGCGAATCCCATAAAGGCGTTTGGCGCCAATGCGATAGACACGTGAGCAGCGACTTCGATGAACATTCCCACAACGGCAAGGTGAGGAATGGGAATTTTGCAACGAGTCGAAAGACAGGGATAAAGGACCGACTGCAGAAGGAAGCACCAAATGCCTTGAATGCAGAGCATTGTGGCGAAGAGCGTTGTTGTCACGCCGAATTTGTCACTCAGATAGATCGCATAGCGGGAATTGTAGCAACCACTCGTCCATGATGTGCAGAACTCCAAAAAGAAACAAAACGGCATGATCGGCTTGAAGTGCACTCGCTCCGAAGCAGAAGAGGAGGAGGAGGAGGAGTGAGACTCTTTCGAGACGGACACAGAGGCAGACGTCGATGTTGCAGTGGAACCAGCAGCGGAATGCTGTTGTTGTTTGCGTTGTAAATAAGCCATGTTCGATTCCTTCAAGAAGAAGAAAGAGAGGATAAAGGCGATGCCTGAGACAGCACCAGCCACAAAGAAGGGGAAACGCAGATTTACGGAGATCAAAGCAGCACTCACTGCAGGACCCAACACAAATGCTATTGAGTTTGTAGCTGCCAGGCGTGCCATAAACACATTACGCTCACTAGCCTCAGTCACATCAGAAACAACACTAGATCACAAGGAAACGCCAGCAACTTACGACTGAGCAATAATCATAGAACCAGCAAATAAACCAGTTAAAGCACGCCATAGAATCAACGTCCACATATCATAGGAGAGGCCTTGGAGAATTATACCTATCAAATAAGCGCAAACAACGGAAAAAAGCCTACCAGCACAAGACCCAAACAAAGACAAAATCAAAAATGGCTTACGCCCATAGTGATCACTCAACGGACCCATAGCAAGTAAACCTAGACTTCACAAACAAAGGAAAACTCAATACTCAGGAGTTGCATTAAGGAATAAATACTAAATACTAAACCTTCCTGGAACGGAGTTGATTCCATTTCCAATATCATGTAAGGCAAAACAGCTCCTGCAAAACTGTTGTTTAGGGAGTCCATAAACACGGTGATGAAAGTCATCACCAGAATACTCTTGCGCCTCGAACGAACCTCCATACGAGAGAGTTAAAGAATTTTTGAAAAAACACAACAAAGATAGAACGATTGGATGAACCGAATAATGGTGCAAACCATTGCCTAATAATACTTCAGACCGTTTCATCCAAAAATATGAGAATAAGTAAATAGGAATTTACGTAAGATGACTACAAAATAGGTTCTATTGTAAATCTACAAAACGATCAATAAACAAAAGCAGAAATGAACAAATTGTAACACAGAAGGAAGACATCCTATATTTTGTTCAATACATGGATTGCATAATATTAGCACCATAGGAAGATGTAACATATGGTTTGAAAAATACTTTTTTTGGACATTCTTCATCAAGAAAAAAGAATCCATGAATCCTGCTAATATATATGTTTTGGGAGTGTAATCTTGATCCCTGTTGTATTTCCATTTGAGTATGTATAAATTAGATAATGATATCAGCAGATAGAATCATTTGCTAGAGGGTTGTACAAACACGATTCTCTGAGATTATTGTACAACAATCTAAAAACGCTAGTTCATAATCGAATGCTACAATTACTGGATAAAAGAATAAGAACACTATTGGCTTGATACACCTCCATACTCAAAACAATACATAGACTGCTTTATTTCTGCAAATCAATAAGAAAATCACAAGTAGCTCAAACATCGATGAATCCAATACAGGCACAACAAATCAATATTTGATTTCTCATGATTGTTACAACTATACAACTCCACCACTGAGTAAAGTCGAGTTTGTTTATATATGAAATTGTATTATTGTGTAATGTGGCAATGAGGAAAGATATAATCATGGTCACTGCCTAGCAACTTCCTCTTCCAACCAAGAAGAAATCCTATCAATCCTTTCCCTATTAGTGATTGTTATTTTGCTATTAAGAATGAGTGCGAAGATCACCAAACATAATATTCACATATTGTGTCATCCCCTCTTCCATCCCCTATCACACATTACATTCCAACACCCTCTCCCAACCATTTTCAAAAACAACAGAATCAATCGCAAATAAACTCTCTATTCACTTTCTTTTCACTTTTTCCGTGGTTAGCCATCGAACATGGAAGTAGTCAACCCGAACGGTGTGAAAGTATATAATCTATCGACTGGAAAGAGTTTTCCGAAGGTTGCTGTGTATTTCGTTCATTTACTTCCTAGTTCCTATCTCCCGCTCAAAAGCGTAAATTAGCAAAAAATGAAGGTGTGTGTCAAATTGGTGTGGTAATTCTCTAGAATACCGAAGGCGCATTGAGTTGATCCAGGATTTCGAATTCAACCAGTCCTGTCAAAAGATCAAGGTGTCAAGAGACGGAAACTACATTGTTGCAAGCGGTAAGTGTGGAACTGCATTCTCACGTTGTCAGGAGTTTATCCTCCCATGGTAAAGTGCTTCGAGACGCAGCAGATGAGCGAGAAGTTCCGACGTCATTTAGAGTGCGAGATTGTCCAATTTCAGTTTTTGTCGGACGATTTCAGCAAGTTTGCCTTCCTTCTCGCGGACAGAACGCTCGAATTCCACGCACGGTACGGATTTCACTACCGTACTCGCATTCCCAAGTTCGGGCGAGACATCACCTATCATCGTGTTTGTTCCTCTCTCCCCGCCTCACCCGCAGGAGCGATGCGAGCTCTACGCGGTGGGCAGCAGTCCGGAGATCTACCGTCTGGATCTGGAGCAAGGAACGTTCATGTCTCCGATCCCTGCGCACTGCGCCGAGCTGACCCAAATCGTTCTCTCCCCCGTGCACCAAATGCTGGCCGTGGGGAACATCCAAGGCGAGGTGGAGTGCTACGACTCGCGCAGTCGCGACTGCCTGCAGTGCGTGAAGATCTTCGACTCGGAGACGCGCGCCATTCGCTTCCGCGACGACGGCATGCAGATGGCCGTCGGCAGCGAGACCGGTGTCGTCAAGCTCTTCGACATCCGCAGCAGCCGGCCGCTCCTCGAGTTCGAGCACGCCTACGAGACGCCCATCACGAGCCTCAAATTCGCGGGCGATCATCTCCTCTCTTCGGATCGGAAAACGCTCCGCATCACCGACCTCCACGTTCCTTCCTCGTCTCTCTGCGAGCCGTAGACCCGCGAAGCGCTCTGCACGCTGGAGCCGGACGCGCCGATCAACCACATGAACGTCGTTCCGCAGAGCGGACTGCTCTTCGTGGCCGCCGAGCAGCCCAAGGTGCTGGCGTTCTTCGTCCCCGCGCTGGGCCCCGCGCCGAAGTGGTGCTCGTTCCTGGACAATCTCACGGAGGAGCTGGAAGAGCAGAGCGCGGGCGTGTACGAGGACTACAAATTCGTAGAGGAGGGAGAGAGGAGTGAGGGATAGGTGACGCGGCAGGAGCTGGCGGAGCTGGGGCTGGAGCATCTGATCGGAACGGATCTGCTGCGCGCGTACATGCACGGCTATTTCATGGACAACAAGCTGTATGAGCGGTCGAAGGTGGTGGCGAAGCCGTCGATGTACGAGGAGTATCAGAAGGAAAAGAACCGCCAGCGCGAAGAAAAGCGGAAGGAGAAGCGGATCACGATGAAGCAGAAGAAGACGGGCGTGAACGCGGAGCTCGCAGAAAAGTGGGAGAGCGGGAAGAAGGCGGTGGACGAGCGATTCAGCGCGCTGTTCGAGAACGGAGACTACGAGATCGATAAGAATAGCGAGGAGTATCGAAGAGCGCACGCGAGCGAAATGCGAGGAAAGAAAAAGGCAGCGGTGGAAGAAGCGGAAGAAGAAGAAGAAGAAGACAGCGAGGAAGCGATGCTGGGAGAGGACTTTGATTTGCTGGATACGCATGATGCGATGATTGCGAAGAAGAACGCGAAGAGGGAAAGCGAAAAAAGCGAGGAGAGCGAAGAGAGCGAGGAAAACGAGGAGAAAAGAGAAAAGACGGCGAGTCGGAAGGAGCGAGAAGAAAAGGAGCGGATTAAGCCGAAAGTGAGATTCTATGGAGTGAAAGAGGGAAGCAAGATTCAAATCCCAACAAGCAAGAACGAGATGAAGAAGGAGGTGGAAAAGAGAAAGGAGAGAAGGACAATGTCACTGGGACAAAGAGCGAAAGCGAACGAACGAAAAGGAAGAAAGTAGATTGTGCTTGTTTCTTAGAATCATAACTCTGTTATTGGGTAGTCGATGTGTTGTAAACGGTATTGAATCAAAAAACACAGAAAGGAGAGTAGAAAGGCAAAAGACTTGAATGATAACAAAAAGGAAAAAGGAGATTTTGCAAGAATCGAACTTGCGTCTACCGAAGCATAGAGATCCAAGCACGGTCTTGAAAGATCGGTAGCTCTCCCATTGAGCTATAAACCTCCTAAAGTTTATCTTAAATTATTATATAAAATATACTGCTATTTAGCCTCACACTTGTTAGGATTGTTATGTGTTTTTGTTTCCCTTGTTATTAACTATTCGTTTTTCATAATGATGAATACTTAGAGTAATAAAATAATATAAATATAATCAAAATGGATCACTTTTCGATTAATCACACAAATGCATCTGTCTGGATAATATGCATACAAAATATAACAAGAATAATGAACTTTCGCATACAAAACTAACCCATCCCTCATTCAATATACTCATATCTCCAAAAAGCAATTCCAACAAACAAGCAAAGCTACAAGCTACAGCGTGGGCTTCTTAATCAACTGCTGTAGTGGTTTCTGATGATCTCGCACTTGATTCTGAACAATACACATCTAAAAGCTATCTTAGGGACATGTTTATACCTAATCATACATCCAAAAGAGTGATACTATTTATTCCGATCGATAACTCGGCATTTTCGTCACCTCATAATTGTTCTTTTGTTTATCATATAATCCCGCTGAATGCCTATTAATAAGTATATCCAAGTTTTGCTATACATCCTTATAAAGCTTTTATTTCACTCTATTCCTTAAAAACAGGAGTATAACAATGTGGCTGATTTTTCTTCTTTAAATTTTCTCTCTTTTATCATTCTTCCTTGTATGTTACATGAGAATTTGAGCATTATTGATCGTTTCAGAGTTCGGAGTAGACATACGTGCATCACATATATTTTTATTCATCCATATCTTATAATTCGAGCCACTCAATCATTTTCGTCGAACTCTATTTTCAATTATAACCCATCATACCCAGTATCACTTTTTGTTAGATTGAGTAAGTATTTCTATATATTTGGTTATCGCTTACTATGTTCAGTTCCTGGCTCATTAGAAAGATGCCGTTAAAAGTTGCATTCTTGTATAGGATTTTTATTTCTTGAATGTGATAGCTATGATAAGAACAATTCATCCATCAATTCAGAAGTGGAAAAGGTGCTATCAATTATCAACGATTGTGTTGAGAAAGGACTACTTTGGGAACTGACAGTATTCGATCTCAATGAGAAATTGGAATATGTACGAACCCTTCTCGATGCTTTAAGAGCAGACTCGCTTTCAAGAGTATAATTATCTTCTCTTTTTCTTATTTTCCCATGACCAATCGCTAGAAGTAATATTTTCGTCCAACTTGCAATATATAGTCATCTTCGCATCCCGTTGTTCTTTTGTATATTCAAGACCTTGACGGAGATCACCGTGTGAGTCATGACATCTTGAAAGGTATTCAAGTGTCATCACTGTACGATGGCACTGGAAGTTGCATCATTTGGTACTTTTTGTGTTTGGCATTCAGAGTAGTGATAATCTACAACTGGATTTAGCCAGCCTAGGCGCTTCCGAGCTAACTCGTTACGACTTTGGACATTGCCCAATCGACAAGGTTCTTTTTTACTGCTATTGTTGACCCAGAGTTATCTCTCCATTGTCTGGATCGTGGAAATTCTTCAGAACTGCATTCGCAATTCAGAAGAAGCTGTGGAGCAATCGAACAAGCAGCAGCTCCTGTCTCAGTTGGCTGCATTTGGCCACTTCTGATGAATAGTCTTCGCGAATTGGTGCCCATGAAGGTCCGTCGCAAACTGAAAGTGTGGCTGAAAGAGCGGTTCGTTGCGTGTATCTCTTCTGATCGGTAGAGAAGAAGAGGAAAAAGAGCTCGAGGAGCGCAAATCGATGAAGCGAGATCTCGGCGAGGACGTGGAAGATTTGGGAAACGTCCCCAAAGAGAAAGAGATGATCACTCGCGAGCTTCGTTCCATTCTCCAGAAGCAGGGCTACGGGGTCGTGGGATCCCACAGTGCGGTCAAGCTGTGTCGATGGAGCAAAACGCATCTCCGAGGGAACGGAGCGTGCTACAAGCACACGTTCTACGGGCTGAACAGCGCGTCCTGCATGGAAGCGACGCCCTCTCTGGCCTGCGCGAATCGCTGCCTGTTCTGCTGGCGACACCACTCCAATCCGACCGGACGCTCGTGGCGCTGGAAGATCGACGATGCGAAGGACGTCTACGACGGCATGGTGGCGAACCAGCGCGTAGCAGCGAGGCGAGATCTTCCCGATAGAGACTTCTGAAGCAGTTCGCGGGGTGCGAAGGCGTCTTGCCGGACCGCGTGGAAGAAGCGATGGCGCTGCGCCACTGCGCGTTATCGCTGGTGGGCGAGCCGATCATGTACCCGAAGATCGCCGAGTTTATCGACCTTCTTCACCAGTACGCAGCCATCCCATAGAGTGAGCGCTAGACACGGGACCTCGTCGTTCCTCGTCACCAACGCGCAGTTCCCGCAGGAAATCCGAAGCGTGCCGCCGGTGACGCAGTTCTACATCTCGGTCGATGGGAGCACCAAAGAGGGGCTCAAGAAGCTCGATCGGCCGCTGTTCCGCGACTACTGGGAGCGGTTCAATGAGTGCGTGGAGGCGGTGAAGAGTCGAGTGCGGGACGAAGGGGCGGGTGAAGGGTAGACGGAGCGAACGGTGCTGCGATTGACGCTCGTGAAGGGGTACAACATGGAGGATGTCGAGGGGGTGGCTCGGATTGTGAAGGAAGCCTTGCCGTCGTTTGTGGAGCTGAAGGGAATGACGTTCAGCGGGCAGGGATGCCTGCTGACGATGGAGAACTGTCCGTGGTATTCGGAGGTCGTTTTGGCGGGGAAATGACATCCAGATCGTGCAGTTTGGAAAGGAGCTCAACGCGCTCTTGGATGACTACGAGATTTCATGTGAGCATGAACACAGCTGTTCCGTTCTGCTGACTCACAAGAAATTCTTCTACGATGGAAAGTGGCACACGTGGATCGATTTTGACAAGTTGTACTGATGGGATTGTGTGTCGTAGATTTCAGGAGTTGTACGCGAAGTGGAAGTTGGACGGGACTCCGGTGAACGCCCTCGACTACTCCATTGAGACACCCGTTAATTGTGTTTATTGTGTTTTTATGGTAGGATTGGGCCATTTATGGAGCCACGGAGCAGGGATTCGACCCTCTGGATGAGAGAAAAAAGAAAAGAAAGTCTCCGGAAATGTCTAGAGATACTGAAGTTTGAGCAACGATTGTTTGTTAAAATATATGTAATTTTGTTTGATTGCGATATGCCTTCTTTTCAAGTCGAATATAAAGTATGAATAGAACCCTAAAACTAAGTAAATCTGTAGGCGTTCAGTGTGATTCATTTCATAAATATCAAGAGCCTTTGAAACTCCTACTCGCGATAACCCCTCTGTTCAAATTATTCTTAACCATGGATAACAAAGCTGTTGAAGTGAAGGTTGAGGGTCAAGAAAACACCACAATATCTCCCAGTAGGTGGCGCCCGTAGAATTCTCCTGTAGAGTCCGGAGAAGTGGAAATGTCCTTAATCTCCTCCGATACCGTTGAGGTGAAGAGATCTGCTAGTGCAATGGTGTGGTTCGTGGTTGTGTATTATGTAGGATAAGATTGCATTGGGAGCCGCTTCCTTAACCCAGGGCTCTGCGTAGTTGAGTCGATGGGAGTTAACATTTAGGGGTCAGGGAAAAAGTGGAAGTTTCTACGGAGAGATGGATCCTGCCCTTCTTCCCTCAATTATTAAGAGAGGTTCTTCTATGATGGGAGAGGATGCGAAGAAAGAGGCAAAACCCAAGACTTGGTGCGAAGTGTTTTCACAAGTCAGGGTCATTGCCTGTATTATTGGACTTGTGATTTCCATCGTCGTGATGTGCCTCCCCCTGAATAAAGAGAAGCCCGCTATTGCAAAGACTCTCGGAGTGTTGTTAATTATGGCCACTTGTTGGATTACCGAAATTCTTCCCCTTTCTGTGACTGCACTGTTCCCTGTCGTTATGTTCCCTCTACTGGGTGTGGAGAGTGCTTCCAAGATCTCAACCCAGTATTTCAATGATACCATTTTCATGTTCCTCGCCGGCTTCTTGCTGTCGCTTGCGATGGAGCGATGGAATCTCCACAGACGAATTGCTCTGTTCATTACTTCTTTCTTCGAGCGTCCGCGAAGCATTCTCTTTGGTGTCATGTTTGCCGCTTTCTTCCTGTCCATGTGGATTTCGAACACGGCCGCTGCTCTTATGATGGTGACCAACGTCACTGCCTTGGTCGATACTCTCGAAGAGCACTACGGAAAGCAAAAGATGGCTCGTTTCTCAAAGGCGATTATGATCGGAATTGCCTTTTCCTGTAACATTGGAGGCTTCGCCACGCTGATCGGAACCCCTCCCAACATGCTGTTCGCTCAGATCTTCGCTCAGACATGGCCCTACGACCCCACCAACCCCAATGGTCCTCCAGATATTTCCTTCTCTTCCTGGCTGATCGCCGTGCTGCCCTGCGATATTCTCCTGTTCATTTTGATGTGGCTGTACTTCGCGTTTGTCTACACTCCCAGTGCCACGGAGCTGCACATCGATCCTGGCTACTGCGCCCAGGAATACAAGAAGCTCGGCAAGGCGTCCTACGAGGAGAAGGTCGTGTTCACCGCCTTCATTTGTCTCGCTGTGCTGTGGATGTTCCGCTCGGATCTGGGCTCGCTGCCCGGCTGGAGCCGTCTGTTCGGTGAGTACGCTAGCTATCTTTCGGATGGAACGGTGGGTATGACCATCGTTTTGATTCTGTTCTTTATCCCCACAATGCGTTGCTGGAAGCGCCAGAACACGGAAGAGGAGGACGCCACGATCCTGACGTGGAACACCGCCAAGAAGCTGCCGTGGGATCTGGTCTTGCTGTTCGGAGGAGGCTTCGCGTTGGCGGATGCGTGCAACGTGTCGGGTCTCTCCGAGTGGATTGGTGATTTGCTGAAGGGTATCGGTAGTTGGCCGCTGTTCCTTGCCATTTTGGTGATGACTCTGGTCATGTGCGTCCTCACTTCCTTCACTTCGAATACCGCGACTGCCTCCATTCTGCTGCCTGTGATGGTTGGTATTGCACAGAAGACGCAGATCAACCCGCTGGTGTTGATGGTGCCTGTGACCATTGCCGCGTCGTGCGCGTTCCTGCTGCCTGTCGGTACGCCTCCAAACCTCGTCGTATTCGCATCGAACCGTATTACCATGCTTGATATGTTGAAGGCTGGTATTATGACCACCGTGCTTGCTTTGATTATTATCATGCTGATTACTTTTGTCATGCTTCCTTTGGTGTACGACGTCGATCTGGATTCGTACCCTGCGTGGGCGAATACGACCTCCACTGCTTAACCATCAAGACACATTATTGTGTGTTTGTTCGATATATTTTTGAAGATATACTACTACTACTACTACTACTCGTATGGGGAGTAATAATTGAATGAGAGAGAAGATTTGGTTCTATGGCTATTCACACGCTTCAATCCATTCGCTCTCCCTCACACACTGCAATCCATTCGCTCTCCCTCACACACTGCAATCCATTCGCTCTCCCTCACACACTGCAATCCATTCGCTCTCCCTCACACACTGCAATCCATTCGCTCTCCCTCACACACTGCAATCCATTCGCTCTCCCTCACCCTCCGCATTCTCTCCCATCCCACTACTCCTTTTGCTAGAAAACACCCTTCCAACTCGACGACTGATTTCAACAAACAAGCGTAGAATCGAGGTAACGCCGAGTTCTTGCTCATGTCCAAATCGTACTTGTGTCCGAACAGCTCACGAATATTCTTGCAATGATACTTGATCATCGTCGGTCTACGCCTCGCTCTCTCCCCTCTCCCTCACCTCTCCAGCGACAATCCGCACGCGATGCATCGCACGTCCTCCGGCAGTCCCATCGGTCGCAGCATTTCCGGTCGGAACATTCCGCTGTTTCCGATCTCCGTCCAGCGATTCAGATCCGGGTGGAACCCGAAAATCTCCATCGACGGCTCCGTGTATCTACGCCTCGCGCCTCTCTCTCCGCTCCTACGGATTGAACGCCGGCTTGAATCGGATGTCGGTGATTCCGATCTTGGCGAAGAAGTCGTTGATCATTCCGATCAGATGGCCCAGATTCAAGTTCCGATCCGCCACGAACAGCTCCACTTGGTGGAACTCCGCGAGGTGCGTCGCGTCCATCGTCTCGTTTCGGAACACGCGGTCGATCGAGAAGCACTTCATCGGCTTGAAGCCCTCGGGGTTCTTCGCCGCCTTGTACAGCTCCTTCGTGGTCACCGCCGTCGTGTGCGTTCGCAGAATGTTCTTCATCGCCTCGCGACGGTCCCACTGGTAGCCATAGCCGAACGATCCGAAGCCTCCTTCGGAGTGGATCTTCGCCACGTCCTGCAGATAGTCCTCCGGAACGGTCAGCGTGGAGGCGGGGTCGCTAATGAAGAACGTGTCTTGCGCATCGCGCGCAGGGTGGCTCTGCGGCTGGAACAGCGCGTCGAAGTTCCAGAACGACGACTCCACGAACTGGTTGGTGGGCATCTCGGTGAAGCCCATCTCCAGGAGAATCTTGCGGAACTCCGCTCGCACCATCAGCAGAGGATGCAGATAGCCGCTCTCCGGCTCCTTGCCCAACGCGCAGAAGTTGTATCTGGGAGGGAGGAGGAGGCGAAAGAGAGTACGGCTTGAGCGTGATGGCGCTGAGATCGGCGTCGAGCATGTCCTTGGTGATATCCGCCTGCTGCTTGCGACGCTCCAGAGCGAATTTCTCGCCCTTCTGCACTTTGTAGTATTTGCGCGTGCTAGGAAAGAGGGAGAGAAAAAGGCGTACACCAGGGTGACCATTTGGCGACGGACCAGCAGCTTGGCGTCCGCGGAGGCGGGAGCGAGAAGATCGGTCGAACCGTTGTTTTCATGGAGAGACTTGAGACGGATCTAGAGATGAGGAGCCGTGTAGAAAGCAACCTGGAGGGAGTCCTCTGGCTCGGAGACCAAGGGGGTGATCAGCCCGGAGGCTTTGTCCTTTTTTACCCATTTGTTTTTCATGCAATAGCTAAATCCAATTTTGTAGAGATCCTGCCCCACCGCAGCGATCAGCGCATCGTTCGAGATACCCTCGCTGGGGATGCTCTTCATCACTTGCAGCTCTATGAACCATCAAGCCAGTACGCGAATAGAGTACCGGGGCTTCCCTTCTCCAAAACTGAGAGAGCTTCTTCCGTAAGTGTCCAGAACTGCTGAGATAACTGTTCCGTCTTAATGAGGAGATCTGTCTCGAGGGACTTGATCACACCGACGACAGCCTGGTGATCTACGTTCAGAGAAGCAGCAAAGTCGTAAGAATTCTCAATCTCCCCCTTCTCGTTCAAGGTCTATTGCATCATCCCTTTCCGTAGGGCGCACTCTCAGCAAACTATTCTCGATCAATTCAGTCATTAGAAAGAATACTCAGAAATGAAAATGCTAGTAGTTGCGATTTTGTGAATTCCAAAAAACAGGCCATTCAAGACAAACAAAAATAGAAAGTACCGATTTACATTCATTGTTGGGAATCCAATTTCCGGATTTTCTTACACTGACTGAAGACGTAGCATCCAATCAGGAACAAGCATAAAAGACATATAATTACAAAAACGTTAAGGACCACTCTCCTAACATGGATGACTGACTTGTGCTCGTGAAATACCGGCATCGTGTGATAGTATACGTGGCAGTTTTTCTCGCCCAAGTCGGTTAAGTAGTTATAGTTTTTTCCTTGTGAATTATTCTCTTTCAAGTAATTTGCAAGTTGAGTGGAATTGCTCTCTGCAGATAGTTGAGTATAAAACGAATAAGCTAAGTTTCTCTCCGCAAACATACGAATTTGGATAGATGTACACTAGCTAGTAAGGTAGCTCTCACAATGTTACATCGGTTTCGATTGCAGCAATCCGAAAAACACTAATACTGTCAGGTACAACGCCATACGTAACGGAAAAGGCGTTCACAATTCCGTGGGGGTAGTTCTGAATCGTTCTCCATTTTGAATCACTGATTATAATCGTAAAGTCAACATATCCATATCCTTCATCCGGGTACATCGGCAAGCAGAAGCTGTCATCCACCTCGCCCCAACTACCAGTGGAACTGCACTGTCGTACGTAATCTCCAATGAAGTCTCCTTCGCAGGGGAGCGCTTGTATTTTTCCATTCTCCGTTTGTCGCCACTTGCCGTCCCGCTCGCAGACTCCCCAAACTGCAGGAAGAATATCTAATCAGGTGAGTTTTGTTTCCTTTCCTTTCCTTTCCTTTCCTTTCCTTTCCAATGCCACTCAAGCAACTTACACCCAAGGATATAGAATAACCTCAGATAGAAAGTCCCATGATAGGACAACATTTTATATTTTAAACACAAACATCGAATTTTAAAACGCAAACTAAATTACAAGACCTTCGACTTAAATATTGATATATTGATATATATATATAGAGAGTATATATGGTAGATTCCTTACAACTGGCAGTGGTCATTCGTGCAGAAGGACACAGCATCGGGGAACATCTGTCCCACTCCCTGTTCCTCCTCCTCCTCCTCTCCCTCATTTTCATTCTCCTGCGCGAACAACACTCTTCTCGCCGAGCTCTTCTTGCTCGGAAGAATCATGAACTTGTTCTTCTGCGTCAGCTTGATCGGGGAGAACTGCGTGGGCTTCGCCTTGACGACGGCGGGCTTGCTGCGATCCACGAACTCGATGGGCTTCAAATCGCGCGTCATTTCGTTGTAGACCTCCTCGGAGATGGCCTCGTAGGGCAGCTGGGGATACTTGGAGTAGTCCTGCTTGGGGAACATGGACACTCCCTTCAGCTGGTACTGGAAGTACTGCAGCATCTGCGCGATGTGCGGTCCCTCGCTCTCCGGGTCGAACGTCACCGTGCACGACACCTGGTTGTCCGCCCAGTACCGCTGCAGGAACGCCGCCAGCGACAGCTGCTCGAACATCGACACCTCGCTCTGCACGCGCACGTTCGCGGGCAGCTTCACCGGCACCTCCACCACCACCGTCGTGTCTTCCTGCCCGATCGCCGGCACCACGCTGTACCCCGCGCGCCGCAGCGGCGCCACCAGCGGGTCGTTCTTCCCCATGCGCATGCGCCGGATGTAGATCCGGCTCTCCGGGAAGTGCATGCCCGGCGTGGAGCCCGCCAGCAGCGACACCGTCCCCGACGGCTTCACCGAGGTCGTCTTGATCGACCGCGGGATGCAGAACCAGTTGCTGTACACCTCGTCCCAGTGCTGCACCGTCGCGTAGCCCTCGTCCAGCCACTGCCGCAGCTCCTCCAGGCTGTGCTTCCCCAGGAAGTCCGCCACGCCGCTCACCGAGCACCCGATCCGCCGGTTCCGCAGCATCACGCGGTTCGTCTCCGGCCAGTGCGTCATGCGCAGCGTCACCGTCTTCGCGTACAGGTACGCGAACTTCAGCGTCCGCAGGTACTCCTCCTTCGTCGCGTGCCGCGCGGGGAACGTCTCCACCAGGCAGCACAGCTCGTACGACTCCAGCGACTGCTCCAGACACGGGTTCCCGCCCTTCACGCGCCAGTCCTTGTTGTTCGGACCGTCCGCCATGCGCCCGAACCGCTGCATGTTCTCCAGCCACGCCAGACCCGGCTCCCCGTTCACGCGCAGACGGCTCGCCACTTCCGAGTAGTCCATTCCCACACGCGCGAACACCGAGTTGTTCGACGACCAGCCGTACGCCATGCGCTCCGGATGCTTCGAGTAGTCCTTCAGGTCCAAAAACGTCTCGTCGTCCGCCTCGCCGAACGCGATCTCCGCCGAGCGACGCACATTCCCGGAGACCACGCACTTCCCGATCAGATTGAACAGATCCACGATCCCCGTCGTGTCCAAGCGCGAACCAATCCGCTTGTTCAGCACCTCGCGGATGCTGCAGTGCAGCTCGCGCAGAGGACGCGGACCACTGCTCACTCCGCCGAACGTCTTCAACGGCTCGCCCTCGGGACGAATCACCGAGTAATCGAACTCCACGTCCGGCTGTTGAACTCCGTTCACGCCAAAGTACGCCTTCAGCAGCAACGACACGGAGCTCACCCATCCTTCGCGCGAATCATCGATCACATAGGTGAACTTCTCTCCCTCCTTCGGACCCAGCACCGGCAGCGTGTCGCGTCCCTTCGTATCGAAACCCACACCCACTCCCAGCATCGACGCATCCATCAAAAACTCGAAGGGACGCGTTGGGTTGTTCACAATATCCTCCGTAGACACGAAGGCACAGTTGTTCAAAGCGGCAGACAGATTCTTCTTGTGGACGATCGCAGTACCCATAGCCCACAAACCACGACCAGGAGGCAGGAATTTCATGTTGAACATCAAATCGTACATCTCTTGAGCCGATCGTTGACCATGCTCATCATCCCAACCCAGGTGGAAAGCTTGAATGTGTTCCTTCTGCAATGAATAGGTTCCTTCCACTACACGACGGACAGTCTGCCACCAGTCTTCGTTGGTTCCATCCTCCAGTTTTCTAGAGTAGGTGCGACGATACACCATTTCACCCAGAGGCGCATATCCAAAAGGAGGCTGAATCGTCTTATATTTATCCAGAAACTCTTCGTCCAATTTGAAACAGAGATTACAATTCATGTTCCGAGGATATCTATATAGCGTGAGATACAACTTCACACTGTTTTCCAAGGGATCCTACCTTATGTGGAAATATTTTTTGAATTCAATTTGAAAGGTGGCGCCAGAAAAAGGGAGGCAAATGGCGGGATCAGAAAGAAGAACCCGCGAATTTTAATATAGAAACTAATAATCGGAAACCGTTGATTTGCTTTCCATCCCCCAAACCATATTTTTCAGCTTTGATAATGCACTACCGCTGTCTAGACATGGCAAGAAAGAAAGGAAAATGTAAAAACAGTAACACTTGCTCTATTTGCAAAGCAAATGGTGCTTTGTCTCATGATAATTTCTAAATTTTTGAAAATGAAATTGCTTACAAGTTGATATCAATGGTCAAACATTTTTCGTTTTTTCCTGTTTGAATTTATTTTTTGTAAACTTCTCAAAGCCACGCTGGTTTGGCAGAATGGAGGACGACAAATTAGACAAGGAAGTAGTACCCAAGGAATCTAGCGCAGAAAATATAGAACCGGAGCAAGCGAAGAATTGGAAATACCAAATCACACATATCGGTATAAAATAGAGAGGAAGAAGGTGATGTTTGTAGATGGGTTTCGTCGTAATTTAATATTGTCGTTGTGGGGAGGAGGTATCGATTCTGAATCAAGTTGAGTGGATAGGTGCGACCGGAGCTGTTTTGGGGTATTCTCTTTCCGTTTTGAAGGGAAAGCCTATTCAAATGTATATGACATCGATGACAATGTCGTTTGGTCTCGGCTGCATGGTTTTCTATGGAACTCACCATTACCTGCAACGTGGAATGGGAAATACTGCTTTTACCTGGATGGTGTCAGGCGCTGCTACCGGAATCGTCGGCGGTCTTCTGACCAACCCCCGCTACCTTCCCTTTTCGACACTCTGTTTCACAGGTCTAGGCGCAGTCGGTTATTTGGTGACTCTTTAAATCGCTTTTTGACTTCGTAGACGTTCTTGGGATGGAATCGCTTCTATCGCGTGAAGCAACTGCGTCTAAAGCGTGAGCAAGCAGGTCTTTCCGAGGCAGAAAAGAACGAATTGTATGACTTGACGCATCTGAAGAAACCAAAGTGGATATCCAAAGTGTAGAATGTTTATGATGACCAAACAAAATCACACTAAAGTACTACTGAAAAGTCATAGGAGTAGCTGAGAAGTGAAAGATACTGGTAGAACAAGGAAACAGAATCCGCAATGCTTCGATCATCCTCCTTGTCGCACGTGTCCCCATCAAAATACCAAAGCAATACGATCTGGTTATTTGTCCACAGATTCGTGAGCACTTTCTGCAGCCCGCCCAGCAAATACTTCAAGTGCTGCTTCACGAACGCCACGACATTCTCGAACCCTTTCTCACGCAGCGTCTCGAAAAACCGAATGATCGAAATCACCGTTTCCAGCTGGGTATAGCCCATTTTCTCCGGAATTCTACATCACACCCGACCTCCACACCCCACAAATAGAGCGTCTTCATCAACGCCATACTCAGCACTTTCAGCATCTGCTCTGTCTCTGCATCCAGCGGACTTCGCAGATTCTGCACTTCCTGCAGCACGAAATACGTCGTGAGCTGCGCGAAGCTTGTGTGAATGATGAGAGCCGACGCCTTCACGCGGCCAAACACCGAGTTCAGCGAGCTGGCCAGCAGGTCGCTCGTCTCTTGCGAGTAATTCAAATGTGTGAGCGAGCATTCGAAGTTGGTCACCGCGTTCAGCGAGAGAATCGCTTCGCCTCGATGCAGCGTGAGCTTCTTCTTCTCTGCCTCTGCGGAAGCGCCGCTCTCCTTCTCGTTGGCAGTTTCGCTGGCTTCGTTGCCGCCCATTTCTTCTTCGCTCTGCTTTTCTTCTTCTTCTTCTTCTTCTTCTTCTTCTGGAGGCACAATTCCGAGTTGTTTGTATTGATCCATCAGATACACGAAGGCAGCAATCAAAAACGGGAATCTATCATTCATCGCCTCTTCTCCTGTCTCTCCCTACATGGATTCGTTGCTGATGATCCCCTCAAATAACTGCACGTGCTGGAAAATCGGCGAGTTCCGGTTTCGATTCGTCGCCGTGTCCTGCTCATTCTTTCGTCCCCATTGCACGAACGTGACGTAATACATGTGCGTCAGCATCATGTACATCGTCATAAACCCGAAATACTCGTTCATGCAGAACGATTCGCGATCGATCGGAACGAAATACGATCGCGTCGGAATCGATTTCAATAGCTTCGTATACAGTGCAAACGCGGCTTGTTTCGTCTATGCTTTACCACGTCTCTCCATGCCCACAGCCGCGTTCTCGCACAGCATCATGCTTAAAAGACAATTGCAGGTAATCGTGAAGCAATACTGTCGCGAATAAACCCTCGGATAATTGGAATACGCAAAGTCCTGGACGAAAACAATGTATCTACGGTCGAGCAGATCGCTCAGAGCTACGCCAACACCGCGGATCCCACCGGGTCGAACATGCAGCGAATCATAAAAATGATGTTTTCGTCTTCGGTGGTCGGCGCTTCCACTCTCTGCAGATTGCTCAGATCCAGCAAGTCCATTAAAGGGAGTTTCAGGAGGTTGAGCATGAACAGAATACGGCTTCGGTTGGTAGAACGTTTCTGGAAGACGCTATCGGGGAGTCCATAGTAGAGAATGCGAAGCAAAAATGCCGCCAAAGAGTATTTCTATGGATGAGCGGTCAGGGAGGGCAGAAACCATAGGGAGACTCAGGATCTGCTTGTTTCGAGAGTAGATCGAGCGGACGAATTGTAATTCGAGGTAGACGGAGGATTCTGGGAGAGAGGAGAGCGAGTGAGAGCGTACCCTCATCGATGGCACAGTTATTTTGAAGCAGGAGGATTAAGCCGTCGCAGATTACCCAGAAGAGGAGAAGCATCATGTTTGTAGGGCAAACGTTTATCGTTTCAGCGATCACTGAAACAAGGATGTCTTGCTGCGGGAGCGAGTATGTCTTTTTTAAGAGGAATGAACACTATGGGAAATACACATTCAAAAGCGAACGAGCTCAATAAGTTGATTAATACTATTGTGAAACACGAAAACTAGGCTTGTACAAAACTAAAAAATCATGGCAGTGAAGTGAAATATACCTGCTTAACAAGAATTTGCAACTCACCTCCAGTGTCAACGATGTGTATTAACTCATCGATCATCTGTTCCACTCCAACATAGGACTATATTAAAACCACTCCCAAATAGAATACTGCTTCCATTCCACTCATCCCGCTGTCGACCAACTCCTTCATTTCGGAAATGCGTGTTTCGGATAGCAATTGCTTTGTTTTAATCATTTCAAACAGTTTCTCCTTTATTTCCTGATCTATCAAGGTACAAACAAGCACTTACAGCAATCGTCTCCATTGCGTGACTATCCTCTCGCTGTATCTCGGGGAGGTTTTTACAATACTTCTCTAGGATATCGCCCACGCCTTCCATGGTTTGTGTAAAAAAATAAAAATATAGAAATGCAATAGCCGGGAATCGAACCCGGGCCTGATCCGTGGCAGGGACCTATCTTACCACTTGACTACTATTGCTCGCTCACAGTTTGAACAAACTGCTTTATATACCTCCAACTCAGCGCATTCTCCTTTATTTGTCAAACAAATGCAACAACAACAACAACACAATAGAATTGTAAGGTAAAAGACAATTTAGCGACGTCGACGAGCAGCCATCTTGCTCAAATACTCTCCGGCATCAACACGGTTTGTATTCTTGCCATAAAAGTGGCGTTTCTGGAATTCCAGAATATCCGAATTGATCGGCTTTCCCAAACTTGCATTGGAATTCTTAGGAAGCGACACCAGCTTGAACCCATCTCTACACAGTAGCGCAATCGACCTTCCCCGTACACTTTCTTCTCCACCTTCTGCGTGGGATTGAGATCCTCCGTGGACAGGTGAATCACTTTGCTCCTCGGCTTCTCATCCGCCGGTGTCGTTACTGCAGACAACACCTCTCTATCTATCACACGAAAAAATGCATGCATACGAATTCATAGCCAGCATTTTCAGCGTCTCTTCATCCAAAGTCTCTTCCACTTTGGCAGTTCGCTGCTTTCTCTTTCGACGCTTGGTCCTATCACTCACACCTCACACACAACAGCTACGCCAGTGCTGCCTCCTTCTGTCTCTCGTATAATTCCAAAGTCTCTTGCTTCTTTGAAGTATTTCCTACCTCCTCGGGAGCATCATCATCATCACTGCTCGATTCATTGTACTTCCAAAATGGCTTAGGTGGCTGTCTGTTTGCAGCCACATTCGCTGGACTCGCCTTTTCCTCATTTTCACTGTCCGCCTCCAAAGCCTTCTTCCCGCTACTCATTTCCTTAATTTCCTGTTCACTCTCATCATCCATCTGGTTCTCTCCGGTCGAAAGTTCATCTTCCTTAACTTCCTCTTCAGAGACAGTTTTCTCTTCATCGCTTTGGTAAATCAATTCATTGTCTTCACTTCCATTGTTTCCTTCATCCTCTTCATAATCACCCACCTGCTGGTCAAAATCATCGTTCTCGGGTGCTTCGAAGTCTTCATCTTCATGGCGTACCAACTTTTTAGGCATTTCCGAAAGTGAAACAGGAACAAAGTGATTCTATAGGAAATCTTGGAGATCCCATTGAATTGGCTAAATAGTGCAATGATGCCAGTAATACACAAGGAACAGTTATTTGACAATTCCTCGATGATTGTCCTGAGACTCGTAATTCTTGCAAAACATCATGTTCCGATGTATATTGAACCAGCAACACGATTGGTTTCACTCACAATTTGCTTCCTAGTTCGCAGGTTTTGAAAAGTAACAATTGATTTTGGCTCCTTTTATATAGTCATGGACATGGACATGGATATGGAAGAGGACGTGGAGATGTATACTCCTACGGCCCCTGTTGCCCCTGATCAACAAGCTGTGCCTGTAGCCGCAACGCCGTCTCCTATACATACTATTTACATACGGAACTTAAACTATAAACTTCAGCCTAACGAACTTCGCAAATCGCTCTACATGGAGTTTATCAAGTTTGGGAAAATATTAGATGTTATTGTGGGAATCAAGCGCTTCGCTCTGCGTGGCCAAGCGTGGATTGTCTTTGACCAGGTCGAGTCTGCTGTTCGTGCCATAGCGGAGATGAATGGAAAGGTCGTTCTGAATCGTCCTGTGGTAAGTATTTTGCGCTGTGTGTGATGTCAAGACGGTGACCTTCGCAAAAACGGAATCGGACATTATTCTGAAGAGAGAAGGTCGCTTTACCTACGTTAAGCGTACATTCCAGTCCTATGCAGAAATCCATGCTCGCGAGATGGAGGAGAACGAGGGTCGTGCTGCTGCTGTGCGTTGCGCTTTGTGAGTGTTATGCGTAGGCTCGCATCCACAACAATCCTCCGAACAACAAATTAATCCTCTTCGATCTTCCAACGACCATCACAAAGGAGGTACTGCTTCCGATCGTCCAGCCCTACGTCGGATTCCACGATTTGGGAATCGTGCCTGGCCGTGGCATCGCCTTCGTGGATTTCAACACTATACACAACGCAGAAGTGTGCTTAAGCGCGATCAAGTCGGCAACCCTTCCTACAGGAGAGAAGATATACGCATCGTATGCTAAGTAATGCTATTGTTGTTGCTATTGTTGTTTGTGCAAAAAACAAGTCTAAGGAATAATCTGTATATCACCTTGTACACCCTTTTACTTCTTCACACGGAAGGAGCATCCAGTAACGACGTGAGCCTTACCTCCGGAAGGAGTGCAAAGGAGGGCATTGCAGCTACACCATCAACACGGCCTCAAAACTCCTACTTCTCACAAACAACAGCGGTCTGTGCATGGCTGAACACAGTGGTACTACGCATTAGGCAAAAACCGAAGTCACAAACATAGTCAGGCAACCGGGGCACTTGACATCCATAAAATAGCTGTTAGGGGCCTGGACAAGGCGCTTCAGCTTGTGCTTCTGAGCTTCATCTTCAGCAGTAGGATAACGGAGATCGTTCACCTAAAATACGGTTAGACACTCCGCACATCAGGAATAGCCTCTACATGACCTACCATATTCGCAAGTTCCAAGAAAGAGATTATTCCAGACTTTTCTAATATTGGTGGAGCTGTTTTGAAGGGAGTTTTTTCTACCATGAGTAGTTTTTACTACCAAGGGGTGGGATTTTCTTGCTCATTTGATATTCTCGAATAATTTGCATCCTCTCGTTGTATGGAGCGGTGCCTTATGCAGTCCAGAAGCAGAAATCGTCGTGCGAAGCAAAGAAAGTACACTTCTGAAACAAACAAGTTCCAATCTCCCCCATAACTCACACTTTTATCACTTTTTGTTTTTCTTTGATTTCTTCTCACTGGCCTTCTCACTAGCAGAATCCTCGTTCGAAGCTTCTCCCTTGAAAGCAGGAAGGCCCAGTTCGGCACGCAGAGCCACCAAATCTTGTTCCATCTTCACTCCATTCTCACCGTCCGCGTAGTACTTTACATCGACATCAATGCGCCTTTCCCTCAAACCACAGAATCGAACCTACTTAAAGCCGAGTGTTTTTTCATACAGGTGCTGCGCCGCGTAGTTCGACTCCCGCACATTCAGTCGGCAGCGTTTCAAATTGTATATTTCCATCATCTTTCGCTGAGACTGGCGGATCAGACGGTTTGCCAAACCCAAACGACGATAGTTGCGATTGACTGCTACAGACGTGATGGCTCCACATGTGGAATCATCGTCATCCCTTTGGCATCAACTATTCGAACATTGAGTACACTTTGGCTAGCACGTAGCCAACAACGTGGTTTTTGTCATCCACTGCGACCCACGACAGTTCCGGTGCTGTAATCAGATGGAAGTAGTAATATTTCATTGTGTAGTTCTCGGGAAGCGACAACAGATTCTGTGTCTGTATCGAAATAAGGTCATCTGTCTACACTTTACTTCTACACTCCGTTCCGAACATTAAATCGCCGTATCGAAGTCATCTCGCAAATGGGATGTTTTTCTCTGAACAAACAATTCTCATTCTACACCCGCAACTCTTTCCAAAGTTGCTACTTTCCATCCTGATTCTTCATAAAATGACCCTGTCTCCACTCTCCCTTATACTGTACACTCCCTCTTCGATCAAAGCTCGTTCCGTATCCCTCTCTCTTCCCCTGTACAAAACTCCCAATATACTCTATCGTTTCTCCTTCGGGATTGATCTCTTCCCCGATTCCCTCCTTCTCATCATTCACGAGCTCTCCCACATACACCAGCTTTTGATTTTGATTGAACACATAACTGAAGTCTGGAATTCCATTCGAAACCTTCGCTACGATCGTGGTTCCATTGCATAATCGACTCCTCTTCTCTCCGTTCCACAGCTGATTCTGCCTCCATTCTCCACAAAGTTCCACCGATCGATCCGAATAAATCTCCCAGCACGTGCCCTGACCGTTCATCTGATCGTTTTGCATGCTGCCTGCGTAGTAAACACCCACATTTCGCTGAGGATCATAGTCGATGTACTCTCCCTTTCCGTTCATCATTCCTGCGAAAAACTCCCCCTTGCGAACAAACCGCTTCACTCCGTCTTCCGGAAAGAAAACATCCAAAATCTCTCGCTTCTCATTAATCATGTTGATCTTCATGTCGATCAACGCTTTCAAACTTTGCAGCTCCTCCGCAGAGAAGACCATTCGACTCAGATTGATGTGTTGCACGAACTGCTCGAGATTTTCTTTGATCGCCGGACTGATCTCCATGTCGCGTAGCCGATTCTTCAGCTCAATCAAGGACCCATCGGTGCTGTTAAACAGCGATGACAATTTCTTGGCTTCCTGATGGCGGGAATTCAAAGTCGCTTCCAGTCTTTTGCATTTGTCAATCTCTACATGATGATAATGGAGGCGTGGATTCGCGCGTACCTGCTTCGGATTGTCGATAGAAGAAATCGGTCCCGTCTGGAGGAACGTACGCGTGGTTCAGTTGCTCGATGCAGTTCATCAGAGCCGCCTGCCCGACCGCGCCGGGATCGATTTTATACGCAGCGTACAACGCGGAGCCGCTGGCGATGCTTTCATCGCAGTTCAGCGTCGTGGTGAAATCGCACTTCCAGCGCTTCTCTTGCAGTTTGGCTTGGAGTGTTCGCTGGATCAACGGAACGCGGCTGTTTCCCCCAATCAACTCGCATTTCAGGGGAGAAGGACACCCAGCCTTCCGAATGCACTCCAGAAAATCACTGGCGATTTCATCCGCAATGCCTTCGGCTCGGATCTCCTCCGCGATTTCTCGCTCGGAGAGCATCACGTAGTACTCGTCTTCTTTCTGACTCAAATCCACTCTCGCCTCGTCCAATCCCTTCAAACTCAGATCGTGTTTGGCCTTCTCTGCCTGATCGTACAGTACGAAGTGGAAGCGATGCGAGGTTTTTGGACAGAAGCCGTAATGCTCTTCATATTTCTTGAGTAGCACGTTATAAATCACTTTAGTTACACGATCTCCACCACAGAATTCGCGGAATTGATGGGCAGCCAGATCGATATGGTCCTACGGAGAGACAAAGCTACTATGAGATTGTACTTGCCAAATTCGAAAAACGGAATATTCTGTAGCGTGAAACCCAGAGTTGAGGATCATTAAATAAAAGGGAGAGTGTTTGCTATAGGACGCGAATTGTTTGGCTAGGTTTCGATAGTACACATAGTCCAGAGCAGCTGCCAAGTCACAGTTGAGCGTGTAGCACTGTGGAAGACCCGACAACTCTCTCGCCTTTTCGAAATTAAATCGGAAATTGGCTGTCGAGTAGGAGGGAATCTACCGCTCACGATCCCAAGGCGATTCTACAGCAAATGCATACACTGCGGGCGCCTTCGTGGCCTTTTCCACACACGAAACACAGCCATTCATCATCATACCCAAGACATACTCGAGAGGAATTGGATCCTCCACCTCTTTGAGGAGTTTGGCTTGGATCGGCACATTCTCCTTTCCTTTCTGGAGATAGGGATAAAACATCCAATCGAGATCCGATAGAACCGATACCGTTTTCCCAAAATATTGATAGTAGTGAAAGACTGCGGTTTTCAAGTGAGAAGCAATCTAGATTTAAAATAATTTTACTTTCATCGACAATATCGTTCGAGAGCGAACCAATATCGCGCAGTCCCTTGTGAATGTACATGCAATTCCTGTCAGTCAATTTTCCCTCGCATCCCTACAGCGTTTTTCGGCGCGAGTAGCGGTTGAGGAGCACTTCCGTGGTCAATAACCCGGGTTTCTGCATACTTTCTTTGGCTTCCGCAATGTAGATAGATTGCGTTCCAATATCGATTCCGACAGGGCAGCAATCGCCCCTAATTACGGATAGCATATTTTCTAACAACAAAACATTTAAATTGAAACAACAAAAGGATGGAATTCCACAATTACGAATCTCTTTCACGTTGGCCAAATATCTATTTACGAGAGAAGTAAATTGTAGAATAGATAGGGATTTATGCGTACTTGTTATTGCTCTATTCCTTTTTTTCTTTTAGTTCTTTATTGTAATACGAGAGAGAGTTGACTCAATACCTAGGCACTCAGTCTTTGCTGTGTTCAAGGAGCGATCGCCAAGTACCTCTAACCGTGTTTATTCAGAGTGAACGCCCTAGTCGCAATACCCGCTTTCTTGTGACAAACACATATTCAACACCTGAAATCCTGTACTATGATAGTAAAAACTCGTTGAACGGGTTAATGGAATACACAAAGACGTTGTGCGTCTCTGAAAATGATCAGATGGCCTACAAGTTGATTGTTGAGACGTACCCTATGGAGTGAGTGTGCTATTTAATAGAAGTGGGGTGATTGACAGTGAGTTGGAAATTGCCATATTCTACGGCTATCACACAGTGCGTTCTACCATGCGAATCAAAATCAAGCTTCAGCAATCGGAGCAGCCGACCATCATGAAAGGTCCTTTCACCAGTAAGTGTCTGGACGAATTTCCGATGTTTTCTAGTTCCGAATATCGTCTGTTCTACCGGGAAGCAATACTCTCTTTTCAAAAACAACGGTGCCTACTCCAACCAAGAATACGTGTATATTTGGGGCACAGTTCCCACAACGGGAACAAAGAAGCTGCTCCTCTCCCTCCCCAGCAACACGGACTACATCAGCTACATGGTGGACGTGTGCATTCCGAACCAGATGGAGAACATCCAGCTGATGCTGAAGTCCATCGGTGGCGGCAGCTGGGGCGACGAATCCTACGTCACCATCTTCGATTCGGTCACCGAATCCACGCTCCTCTCCACCACTCTCCCCGAGCGCGAGGGCGTGACGCTCCCCTTTCCCCTCTCGGTCGCGGTGATCCCCGTGGAAGTGACCATCCGCACGCCCTCGCTGCAGGACCGCGCGCTCATCACGGTCTGGGGCCAGTACGCGGGGCTCAAGACCATGATCGCGGTGCTCGCCGATCCGTTTCCGTTCCAGCCCCACGTCATCGAGACCGTCCACTTGGCGGCGAACGAAGACGAGCACTACGAGCTGCACTGTTCGCACGTGCGCTCCGACGCGATGACCGTCACGCTGAGCGTCCGCGGCCGCTCCATCGCGCAGTTCTCGCCGAGCAACGCGACGTCGATCCTCCCGATCGGTCCGCTTCGCCGCGCCGCTTGACGCGTAGACACCGCGCTGTACTGCCCCGAGGAGGTCTGGCACTCCGTGGAGTTCCCGCGGACGCACATCGACCGCACCTTCGCCTTCCTCTGCCTCGACAACTCCACCGGCTACACGCGCCACTGCGACTCCTTCGGCAACTGGGGCGCGCCGCAGGGCCCCGGCTGCCGCTGTCCGCAGGAGGAGGACGAGCACGGCATTCGGTGGAAGCCCATCCAGGGCGGCTCGGTCGTGCAGCGCTCCTGCGTGGGGCCCACCGTCGGCATGATCGTGCGGAACTGCCTCCCCGAGGGGCGCTGGGTCTACGTGCAGGGCGCCTGCGAGGCCATCACGTGCCCGCAGAACCGCAGCCACGAGGTGGTCTGGCCGGCCACGCTGGGCGGGAAGATCGTCACCGTGCCCTGCGCGTCTTCCGACTCCGTCGCCATGCTGCGCAAGTGCAGCGATCTGGGGCAGTGGGAGAGCATCCAGGAGCGCCCCTGCTTCTGCCCCGAGGAGTCCGACGGGGCGTTTCACTGGCCACGGACGCAGGGCGGGACGGTGCAGTCGCTGCGCTGCCCCGCGGCCTTCACCGGCGCCATCACGCGGTCCTGCAATCGGCTGGGGCGCTGGGAGGCGGCGCAGCGGCGATGCAGTCGAATTATGTGTCCCTCCAGGTCGGAATTCGGCGTCACGTTCCCGCGGACAGAGAGTGGAAACGTGGTAGCGGTGGCGTGCCCGTTCCCGTTCCTCGGCTCGCTGCGTCGCGTGTGCAAGCAGAACGGGGAATGGGGGTACCTCTTCGACGAATGCCAGCCCCCCGCGTGCTCCGAGTTCCGATTGTCCCGCGACAAACACGGCTGCGTCAGCGTGGACGTCGTGGACCGCGCGATCGGCGAGCTGGTCCGCGTGGATCTGACCCCCAAGCCCTCCACGATCTCCTCGATGTTCGACGCGACGCTGCCCGCGACGATCTGCGGCCTGGACGCCAACACGGCGTACGACATGTTCCTAACGCGCTTCGTGAACGGAACCAACCTCCTCACCAAGGCGCCCAGCCGGCAGATCCGGCAGATCTGCGCGGTTCGGAAGATTTACGGGAAGCAGCAGTGCGAGAACGCGACGATCCCGCTGCTGCGCGACCGGTACTACGATGAATCGGGGAACGGTGGAAACGGAGGCGGGATGGGGATCCGCGTGCTGCTGCGCGTTCCGTTCTGCTTCGACCTCTCCGTGGTGTCGATGCAGCTTCGCATCGAGTGCGTGGACGGCTGCAAGGACGAGCGTCCGCGGATTATGACGCACACCTGCTCCACCGAGCGGCTCTGCCAATCCGGCAACGCCATCGCCATCACGTCTCCCGCCACGCTCTCGCCCAACGCCACCTATCACGTGTCCACGCGCGCCATCCCCGCTCGCTCGCTCCTCGCGATTCCTTCGCAGTGGTCCGTGCCGCTGGAGCTCGCGCCCGTTCGGCCAATCGTCGTGCAGCCGCGCCTCCAAGTCATCCCCAAATCCTCGCACGTGATTCGCCTCACGTGGGACGTGGAGGCCCAAGGCAGGCCGCTCGTCTTCGTCAACTTCTACATCTATGTGTATCTCTCCGCCCCGCACGAAACCACCTTCGATCCGCGGTATCTCCGCTTTATGGACTCCCAGATGCTCTGCCCCGGCTCGTCGTCCTGCGAGCGGCGAAGCCTGGCGATTCCGATCGCCAGCAAGGACTACCGCTACGTGTTCATTCTGCAGAGCGTCCCGATCGACGGGCAGAACGTGATCGCGAAGAACGTGTCGATCGCGTATCAAGTGCCTCGGCAGCCGAACGTGCTTTCGCTGGTCACCAACTTCGACGTCTTCGCGAATATCTCCTTCTCGCAGAGCAACATGGACGTTCTGGTGAACTGCTCCGTCTTCAACACGCATCGCCGCCTCATCAGCTCCTTCTCGGTCGCCGTGGACTACGGCGAAGTGGCCTGGTACGTCGTCAACGACCTCCAGCCCCAAACCAAATACTCCGCCATCTGCTGGGTGCGCGACGGGTTCATGGAGGCGCGCGAGTTCGACCTCTCGCTGCAGACGGTCAGCTTCGTGCCCGCCAACGCGTCCATGACGATCTTCCGCACCACCACGTCCTTCGTGATCGTGGATCTGACCGCGAACAAGCACGGCCGCTTCCACTGCATGGCGATGTACACCAACGACAAGGAAGACCTCAAGCAGTTCTCCATTTCCTTCATCGAGGAGAACGGCATCACGCTCGACTACCTCATCCCTCACCGCTCCGAGCACCTCTACATCCCGCTCCTCCACGGCGACGCCGCTCCCTTCCCGCCCGACGACGACGACCTCGACGACGACGACCTCAACGTCTACGTCATCTGCACCTACTTCCCCGTCGTGGGAAAGGTCCCGCAGATCTCCCAGGGCAAGATCATGCGTCTCCGCGGAAAATCCCCCACCGGTAGGTTCCACGTTTCCACTCGACGGCAGAGCTGTACTACCCGGAGATTCTGCTGCGCGACCCCCCGCTGGGCGCGACGAGCATCTACTCGCACAGCAACGTGACGCTGCGGTTCGCCACCACGGTCACCATCAAGCAGTCGCTCCGCTATTTCTTCCTGCTCGAGCCCATCGACGGACTCGGACCCACCTACCGACGCGTCCTCCTCCCCGCCAACCCTTCTTCGTCTCAGACTTTGACATCTTCGTCTCAGACTTTGACATCTTCGTCTCAGACGATGACATCTTCGTCTCAGACGATGACATCTTCGTCTCAGACGATGACATCTTCGTCATCTAAAATGACATCCTCATCCCAAATGACATCTTCGTCGTCTTCGTCTCCCACTTTGACATCTTCGCCACCCTCCACTCTGACTCCACCCGGCTCGGTCCTCGGGAGTTTCACTGCGTATGACCCGCTGTCGATTCGTCCGGAGGACTGCTGGATCGACCCTTTCAGCATCCGCTGTCCGCTTCCCCAGCTGGACTCGCGGATTCGCTACGGGCTCCGTCCCTCGCTCCCCGACATGATCGTCGATTCCCTCTCCGGGCACGCGCTTCCCCCAAACCAGCTTTCCCGCGGGAAATACCTCCTCGAGTTCACTGCCGTCGCCAGTACGTTCCACGTTTCCACGTTTCCACTAGGCGCGCCGCGCATCACCGCGCAGCTGCTTCGTCCCGCGGATATCGCCGCCGCCCCGCTCACCGCCGACCTGGTGGTGCGCTATTCCCGCGGGGATTTCGCGCCCACGGACGTGCCGCTTCTTTTGGCGCGCAGTTTTGGCGGGGTGGTGCTTCGCGCGCGATTGGGCGATGCGTGCGCCATCCTGTCCAGCGAGCCGTCGGGCGCGCTTTCCGTGACGATCCCCGTGGGGAAATGTCTGACGGCGCTGGAGCCGGACACCAACTACGAGGTGATCATCCCCGCGGGATGTTGGAGTCACGGGTCGAAGGAGTCGCCGTCGTCGGCGCGCTTCGCGTTCCACACGGTGGATTGTAAGGCAGGCGGAGGAGATGAGACGCAGCGAGCGAGCCGCCGACATTACTCGCGTCTGTGCCGAAAAGCGCGGAGACGCTCGTCTGGAGGCAGGAAGTGCGTCTGTCGTTCGATCGGCCGGTGAATCCGGGAAGCGGGAAGATTCATGTGGATGTGATCGATATGGTGAGGAACGCGCTGCTGTACGATTCGGTGGAGGAGGAAGCGGCAGCGGTGGTGAGGGGGACGGACGATCCGTTTGTGGTGAGTTTGGACATGAAGCGATTTCCGTTCTATCCGTATGCGCTGTTTAATGTAAGGAAGGGAGAAGAGCGGCTAAAATGCAGATTTCGTGGACGGGCGATGCCTTCAAAACGTTTTCCAATGTGAATGCAAAAGAGGGGTACGTGTTCTTCTACACTGTCGACGAAACCTGTGATCGGCATTTGCCGGCCGATTCGATGCAACCGCTCTTTTGTAACTATTATTATGATGGCACCAAGCGGTTTTGTCATTGCTCAGCACTTTTCTTGCCTTTTTGTTAACAAACAGAGTGAGGATGGTATTGACAAATACCAGATTTCTTACTTTTCGTTGCGGATGCGACGAGCCAGCTGCATATCTCTCGGCATGATCGTCACACGCTTGGCGTGGATGGCGCACAGGTTGGTATCTTCGAACAGAGAAACCAGGTAAGCCTCAGCAGCCTCCTGAAGAGCCATCACAGCGGAACTCTGGAAACGGAGATCGTTCTTGAAGTCCTGAGCCACCTCACGCACCAGTCTCTGGAAAGGCAGCTTGCGGATCAGAAGCTCAGTGCTCTTCTGATACTTGCGGATCTCACGCAGAGCCACAGTTCCGGGGCGATAACGATGGGGCTTCTTCACGGCTCCAGCGGTGGGCGAGCTCTTACGAGCGGCCTTGGTAGCCAATTGTTTACGAGGAACCTTTCCTCCAGTGCTTTTACGAGCAGTCTGCTTGGTACGAGCCATTGAAACACAAGTATTAAAACAATAATGACACTTTCTAAAATTGGAGGAACAGACAAAATTCTGCCGGTCCAAAAATGGAGCAAATGATTGGTGAAAATCAAATTGGCCAATCAAATGGGACAGCCATGTTCGAGTGGATTTTGTCAGATCGATCCAAGGTTGACAATCCTCATTCATTTCTTTACTGACAAACTAAATCGAAATGTCTGGACGTGGAAAAGGAGGAAAGGGACTTGGAAAGGGAGGAGCCAAGAGACATCGCAAGGTGATGCGTGATAACATTCTGGGTATTACGAAGCCCGCCATTCGTCGTCTGGCTCGCAGAGGAGGTGTCAAGCGTATCTCGGGTCTGATCTACGATGAAACCCGTTCTGTGCTGAAGACCTTCCTTGACGGAGTGGTTCGTGACGCTGTGACGTACACGGAGCACGCCAAGAGAAAGACTGTGACTGCCATGGACGTTGTGTACGCGCTGAAGAGACAGGGAAGAACTCTGTACGGTTTCGGCTACTAATCTGGTATTTTTGAATGCCATTCTCCGATTGCTTATTTATTTGTTGACACAAACACGACACACTTTCACACGCTTTGGAGCCGGTGTCATCGTTCGCTCGATCGGAGCAGCTCCCGATGTCCTCTGCGATCCCTCCGACGTGCGGAAAATACTTTCTTTCTTGAATGCTACACATCAGAAGCACCCACACGAGCGCGTACGATCCGAAATCACTCCTTCCGCGACCAGAAGCTTTCTTCGCTTCTGCGTTCGCTGCTGGAATTGCTGCCACGCGGACTGCTTGTTTTTGTAGTACTCGTTCTCCTCCTTCGCTTTCTTCTCTTTCTGCAACATGTACATCTTTGATGAAGCGATCTCCTCATCCTCACCTTTCGCTTCTTTAGATTCACCGTTTTCTTGTCGTCGGTTGGGAGAATGCGGAGATCGTCCGAAACAACGTCTTCCGTCTTGCCTGCCATTCTACAGCTGAAGAACACATCCACAGATATCCACTTCAGATCGGACTTGCGGACTTTGTCGTACGTATCAAACTTGGTGTAGCGAATGTTCACATCGTCGCCATTCACGCTCTCGATGATCGTGTCGTAGAAATTACCATCACCGTGGAAAATGACTCGACATTTCGTTCCTGGCTACAGAACAGAAAAAGGCAGGATCAGGAATACCTTGATATCCTTCTCAGGAAGACGATCTGCGACATCCCAGCGACTTGTAGGTTTGCGAATTTGAGACATATCGAGAACGGCCGACGAGTTGTAGCCAATATAAAACACAGTCACATCAATTTGGAATTCGTCAATCTTGTGAACAATCGCTAGAGAATGAGTTCTCTTTCAAATTATAGCTAACCAGGATAGTATTTATTATCCTCCTTGTATAGCGCCTCACAACGGTCACCGACCTTCCATTCGATGTAGTTTGCTGCAAAATGATGGCCACTCGTAGCAGAATACGATTTACTTTCTGCGGAATATTTGTAGTGACAGACTGCGCTTCTTTCGGTTTTTGGGTGTCTCTTCGACTGACTCCACGTCGAAGCCACTTACTTAGTCTCTCCAGATTCCTTTCGCAGCGAAATCACGTTCTCACTCATAATGAACGAAAGAAAAGTGTGTCCAAACAAACACCCAAACTATGCTTGTTTTATTTCTTATCTGTCTCTGCTTCTTTTCCCTTCTCCTTCTTAGCTCCCTCTTTACCCATCTTTTGTTTTTCATTCACCTTCTCTTTCTTCTCGGCTTCCTTTGCAGGCTCCTTCGCAGTCTCCGCTGCGCTTTTTGCTGTAGCCTTTGCTGTAGTCTTCGCTGTAGCCTTTGTTGTAGCCTTTGCCGCAGCCTTTGCCGCAGCCTTGGCAGCTTCGGCAGCGCGATTTGCTTTTCTTGCCTTACTCGTCACACGCTTTCCAATTTCAAAGAACTCGTCGCTACATTGTGAATCAGCTGCAATCAATTTTTACTAGTCGTCTGCATCTAGTTTTATATCGAGGAATGTGTGAGGTTTTGTCAGATAGGCTTCCTACACCATCAGAATGGAGCAACTCGACCCACCTTGCGAGTTTCTTCGATTAGTTTGTCCATTCCCTTCAAGTTTTTGTCGATAAGAGCAACTCTACAATCAACGACTCAAATCCGAAACGATACCTCTCAGCAAGTTTGTTATCAAACGCATGTCCCTTGGGCGACTTCGGGATCCAGGACTTGGCAGGCTTGTCCCATTCGGGATTCCACTCTAATTGTCACTCGCTCAACACAGAAATAGTACGAGCTTGGATTCCATTGATCGTTCCATAACGTAAACACTCTTTTCGAATGCGAGCGATTCTTCTTGCAGAAAGCTTCGGCTTTTGCCAGACGCCGTTCACCAACTGCGGCTTCATGGCTTTGGCAATCTGTTCCACAGCATAGTACTTGCTCATCCTTCCACCGAAAAGAGATTGTAAATCTCCTCCTCCCTCTCCACGGTCCATTGGGACCCGAGCCCCTCCTCCGCAGTCGATTCAAACAAACACTCCGAACATGTAGCAATTACATGACACTTAATTCACAGAGTCTACCCCTTCAATCTTGGCGATCGTCTCCTTTACATCGCTAATATCACTCTACTCCTCACCCTTCCCCTCTCTCCACCCTACCTCCTTCACATCATCCACATTCAGCGTTACCACGATTTTCTTCGCGTTCGAATCGAATTCCATCGATTTTATGCACTGCGCCATCCCCATTTCCTGCAGTTTCGAGCTGATCAGCACCTGGATCCTACCCTTCACCCCGTTTCCCCGTTTCTACCTTCCGAAATCCTCCTCTTCCTTCAATTTCACCACAAAATGCTCCTTTTTCTCCCGAATTTGCTTCGCCAGTTCCACAGCCTCCCCCGCGGAAGGCCGGTTCCGCGGGTCTTTCGCCATCATCCGCGTCACCAGGTCGAAGAACGCGTCGCTGACCGTTTCCTTGTCATGCTGAAACTCCCCCTGTCTGGCTCTCCCCAGAACCATGTAGCGTTCCGTCGTGGTCGCGAACGCGGGGAACATCATTTCGTACAGCACCATTCCCGCGGAAAACACATCGCTTTTGTAGTCGTAGGTGGAGTTGACCGCGAATTGTTCCGGCGACGCGTAGATTTGTGTTCCGATGCGCGTCGTCGTGGCGGAGCCGGATAAACTGGAGGGAAGCGAGGCGTCCGCGCGTTTCGCGGGGGAAACCGACTAGAGGTAACGTGGAAGAAAAGGTGGAAACGGGGTTGGCGTCGCTGAGGATGCGGGAGAGTCCGAAATCGCCGAGCCGGACGACTTTGTCTTCGCCGTAGAAAATGTTGGCGGGCTTCACGTCGCGGTGGATGACGTTTTTCCCGTGGATGTAGGTGAGCGCGTGGCAGAGCTGCACGCAGACGTCGAGGAGCTCGCGCTCGCGCACCACGCGCGCGGGGTCCTTGAGGTAGTTCTCCAGCGTGGTGCGCCCGCAGTAGGCCATCTGGATGTACAGCACCAGCGCGTACTGCTGCAGGAGGTCCGACAGCCCCGACGACGCGCTCGCAGCGCTCGCAGCGCTCGCAGCGCTCGCAGCGCTCGGCCGGCGCACGCGGCGGCGCACGCGCGGAACCCCAGAGGCAGCAGCGGTAGCAGTAGCGACAGGCGTGGAAGAGACCACGGCGGACTGGGAGTCGAGGGAAGGAGGCTGAGATTGGATGGATTGGATGGAGTTGGGCTGAGATTGGACGGATTGGACGGATTGGACGGGATCTTTGGAGTCGAGGGAAGGGTCGAGGGGCTCTTTGGATGGAAGAGAAAGCTGGGAGGGCGATCCCGGGGTGTGGGACGTGGAATAGGAATAAGAAGAAGAAGAAGCCGAGGAAGGAGAGAGCGAGGAACCGTTCGACGTTGAAGCAGACGAAGAAAAAGAAGAAGAAGATGATGATGAAGAAGAAGAAGACGCCGATCCCGATCCCGATTCCGAACCCGATTCCGAACCCGAACCCGATTCCGAAGAGGAATGGAAGGAACGCGACGCCGAATTCGAATCGAACTCCTCCTCCTCCGAGGACTCCGCGGTATCCAGCTTGAACGCGCTATTCGACAAGTACTCCACGCTGAACGTCAAGCGCGACGAATCGTCCTCGAACTGGAACGGGCAGAACGATCCCTCGCCCAACGCCAAGCTCCCCGCCCCCGAGCCGTTCGCCAGCTCGCTGCTGGTCTCCTCGCAGGTCGACAGCACGCCGCCCTCCGTCCCCAGCGTGTTCGTCAGCAGGAACTCCTGCGTGATGAGCGACTTCTCGGTGAGGTCCTCGGTGGTTTCCTCGGTTCCCCGCAGCTCCGCGGGCATTTTATCCAGCTCCACCTGCTCCACCCACGCGTTGTAGAACCGCACGATGTTCACGTCGTCGAACTTCGCCAGCAGCTTCACCTCCCGCAGCACGCGCTGCGTGTGCTCGCCCTCCAGTCCTCCGCGCGTCAGATTCACCTTCTTCACCGCGTAGTCGATCCCGTCGATCATCTTATTGCACAGAAACACCGCGCCGAACCCGCCTCGCCCGATCAGTTCCTTCTCCTACGCCTCGCCGCGCCTCCAAATCCCCACCTCGAAGTCCTGGTGGTACAGTCCCGTGCACACCGGGATCGCTCCGCCCGACAGATGAATCACGTGCAGCGACGCCATGTCCGGCGACGGCGACGGCGACGGCGACAGCGGCGGCGGCGGTGTAGCGACCTCGCGGAACGACACGGGAATGGCGGCCTCCCCCGCGGTTTCCTTGGGGAGATAGCGCTGCAGGAGCCACGTGGCCCAGCGGTAGAGGAGGTAGAAGAGGAAGACGCAGCCGAGCATGGCGAGCAGAATCACGGAGTCGTGCCCGAAGCTGTGGTCGCGGGGACGGCCGTGGTACAGCGGGAGCGAGGGAAAGCCCTCGGAGAGATTGCTCTTCGTGATCGGCCACACGTCCGACGACGTAACGCCCTTCGCGGGGATCCGGTCGATCTCTTCCGCGGGGAGCGACGAGAGGAGCGGGAGCTGCGGGTGGTTCCCCACGGGGGAGAAGAGCAGCGCGAGCAGCACGTGGTTGTCGACCTGCTGGTCGCCCCCCGGGAGGAGTTTCACGCCATCGGAAATAACTCCCTGATCCGCGGTGAGGGATCGGGAGTTTCGGATGAACACGAAGGAGTCGTTGAAGGCGAAATAGCCCTGGATGAGCATGTTGGGGAAGGTGGTGGTCCAGAGTTCCGAGCCGTCGAGGCCCAGCGCCTGCACGGAGAAGGCATCGGTGAAGATGAGGTCGGAGATGTGCGCCACTTCGTCGATGTGCCGGATCTGCATGGAAGGAGAAACGGAGAAGTACCACGTCGTTGCTGAATTGGAGGAGAATGGTGGTCGTGGTGAGGTTCCAGAACTCATAGCCGCGGTTGCTGAAGCAGTTGACGCCTTTGTCGATGCGGATCACGCGGATTTCGGAGAGAGAAGAGATGAACTATATGGATGAATGGAATGCTTAAAAAGAAATATACGTCCATATCGGGAGACGTGGAGGAACCGGGAGAGGAACGCTTGCCTGTGAGGGCGTCGAGCGAAATGAACGAACTCTTCTTGGAACCCAAAAAGATGATCGACGAGTCATCTGACAGATTAGCACACCCAATGAAGGAAAGAAGTACTGTTCGGACCAGGAATGTCCACGGAAATCGTGTCCTTGTTGATAATGTTATCGATTGAATGTTGAAACACGTTAAATTTACCATCTACACGAGGAATCAAAATGTAGCCATCCAGAGTAACCAGAATTTCATTGAACGGTCTATTTACATGTGCTACAAATAATCGAATTCGACCGCGCCTACCTTGTAAAGAAGTTGCATTCCCAGAACTCCCGTAAGGTTCGGGAGGAGGGGGCGCGTCAGTCACACGCATCAACTTGTCACTGATCTTTCGTGCCCAGAGGATTTTCCCGTTGTCTGAGTCGAGAGCATACAATACGCCCTCTAGATCAACGAGATACACTCCAGGATATTTCTTAAACGGGATAATGTTGTTTGGAGCTCCCTCGCCGACCACTTCCTCGTAGTCGTACTGGGCATCTTCTAGCACGACGTCGTCTTCCTCAAAATAATCAATGTCATTATTTATTTCATAATCATATTCTTCTACGTCAAATCTCTCCACACTCAAAGCAAACGAGAGTAGGAGAGAAAGCAAGAGTGCTCGATTGGCTATAACTCTCGCCAACTTCATTATTTTATATATAAAGGGCTAATAGAGAGACCTTAAGACTATAAAGAAGAACATACAAAGAATGCATGCGCAGTGGTTCTTGATTATCAAGAAACTAGAGTTTTCAACCACCCTAGAACTATGGAATGAAGATATGTTCTCATGGATCACGAAAGAGTCATACGCCAGATTTCGTTGCGAAACGACTTCAGTCACCATCATCTGCAGGCTCGGTCCCAACGGGTCTACCGAGAGCAGAAAATAGAGATAGGAAATTTTCCCAGCCGAATTTAACGATCTAGATTTATATTGATAAGGAGGCGTTTCAATATTTCCACTTTCAAAAACACTTATTCATCAAGGATGGAGAATCAACAAGCCGAAGTAAGGGATATTACAGATCTTGTTATGCTAGCAAATGACAAAATGCCAGGTCTGCAAACAAGCCTGTGATGAAAACGTGCTCGTCCTTTGTGATGGATGTGATAATGCCTATCATACCTACTGCATGGTATATTTTTCGTATGGTTGTGTGACTCATCTAGTCTGGTTGCGAATGTTGCGGAAAGGTTCCTAACAAACAATTCAAGAAGGTAGCGGAGGTTCCTGAGGGTGCCTGGTATTGCAAGCACTGCAGAGATCGCCTTCCGTCTCTTGCCAAAGGACAGAAGCCCATAAGCCTCATGTACGGCTGGGGAAATAATTCTTCTGGATGTGTACGTGTGCACAGCTCGTGTGAGCGCTAGTTAAGTTCGGGATTAGAAAAGAAGTTGATTACGACTCCAACCCCCCTGAAGGACGTGGAGGCCACCGAAGTTGTCGACATCGCAGTGGGCGACGTACAGTTCCTCGCTCTTTTCAATGGCAGGAAATCTCCGTTCTGCTGGACGCCTCGGGCGGCGTCTACACGTGCGGCAACGGCATTAACGGGGATCTGGGCCATTCGGACATCGTGCACGAGAGTCTGGACCACTTCCGTCGCGTGGAGCATTTCCAGAGTTCGAAGATAAGCAAGGGCGAAGGCCCGATCGTGAAGATCTTCTGCCGTGCGGACAACGTTCTCGCTCTGACGCGCAACGGCCATCTGTACGGCTGGGGCGGCAACGCGCAGGGCGAATTAGGTCACATGGACTACAAGGTGAAACGCCTCCCCAAGAAGAACAGCGTAGCTCTCTCCTTTTATTTTCTCCTCACCCTTCCAGGCGTTCCGCGAGATGAACGTGCAGGTGCGGGACATCGCGATGGGCAATCACCACACGCTGGTCCTGGGCGACGACAACGTCGTGTACGCCATGGGCGAGAACACGCACCGCCAGCTCGGCGTCTCCAACAACTCCCTCGAGTGGACGCCCAAGCGGCTCTGCCAGGAGTGGAAGCACGTGGGTTTCTCCGTTTCCACGTTCCGCGTAGGACCGAACCGTCGTGGAGGAGCCGGACTTCCCCGGGCCGGTGACGCGCGTCTTCGCTGGCGGCAATTCCAGCTGCTGCGTGGACCGCAAGGGACTCTGGTACTTCTGGGGCGCCGACATGCTCCGCCTCGCCCCCGCGGGAACCGAGGCCGCCGTCTCCTTCCTCCCCGCGCACTCCACGATCCCCTACCCGCTCGCCACCGACGTCTTCGCCAAGATCCCCGCGGTAAAGGACCTCGCCTTCGGCTTGGCCCACTGCCTTCTTCTGGACGCCGACGGCGCCGTCTTTGCCGCGGGGGACAACGCCAAGGGGCAGCTCGGCCTCCCGGGCGTTTCCTTCACGTGGGAACCGGGCGGGCGTTTCATGTAGAGGGGAGTTCCGGAAGGTGGACGTCCCCGCGGGAATGGAGGGCGTGTTCGCGTTCGACGGGGTCAGCGGGTGCTTCGGTCCCCGCGGGTTGTACATGTGGGGCGACGGCGCGACGCGGCTGATCCCCGCGGAAGAGGGCTGCGTGAAGACGCCGAAGAAAATCGCGGGAATCGAGGGCGTGAAGCGCGTGCGCATCAGCGGAACGCACGTGCTCGTGCTCTGCAAGCCGTCCGATGAAACGGTCGACGAAACGGTCGACGAAACGGCCAAGCAGCCATCCGAAGAAGGAAAAGAAAAAGAAAAAGAAGCGAATCAGCCGAAGGAAGAGGCGCAGAACGCGAAGGCGGCGGAGGAGAGCGCGAAACGGGATCGCGAAGAGCGGACGGAGGCGGACGCGGGCGAGAGCGAGGCGAAGAAGCTCGAGATCGGCGCGTAGCTCGGGAATTTTCGATTTTGTTTTCTTGGATGAGTTTGTGGGAAACAGTAAAGAGAAAAGGAGGATTGTGTGTGAATCAAACAGAGAAAATATTAAAAAAAGAGGAGAAACAACGAATGAAAGAAAGGAATTGAATGAATGAATGAATGAATGAATGAATGAATGAATGAATGAGTCATTGAATCATTGAATGAATCGGAAAGATTCAATCAAAGCAGCATTCAATTCATTCATTCAATTCACTCATTCAATTCATTCGATTCATCGACTAAATCACACAACCAAACAGAGAACATTCAGCTTCCAGCTTCCAGCTACACCTTGAACCCAGCCATTCCATTCCATCCTTCACGGCTCCATCCACGGACTCTTCGCTTCGCCTTCCCATTCTTCCCCGTCCCTCATGCTGCTCAGACTCGCCACCACCATCGCATCCAGCATCGCTCCGCGCAGATCCCTCGACAAACACCACCGAATTCCGCACCGCGGGGAAGTCAGCCTTTCCACCCACTCCTTGATCACGCCGTTCACCGTTTCCACCGTTTCCACCGTTTCCACAGCCTCATCCATTCGATCTCCCGCGGTTTTCCCCGCGAAATCGCGCCATTTGACCAGCCATCGGAGCGTTTCGCGCAGCGTCGCCGTCGTCAGCCCGGAAACCGCGGTTCTGTTCGCATCCGCGCAGCGCGTTTCCAGCAGATCCACGATTTCCTACCCGTCAACGCGATCCATCGCTTCCACCCGCGCAACGCCGCGGATTCCCGCGATTTCGACGCCGATCGCGCAGCCCTCCATCCGACGCAGGCGAAGCAGCAGCCCGCCCAATCTACTCCACATCCCCGCGGGAACCCTACTCCACGTAGAACCTCGCCTCCGTTTCCACGGTTCCACGATCCTTGGAACACAAATCACTATCCAGCCAGCCGTTTTCCCGCGGTAAACGCGATTCCAGCGTTTCCCATGGGAGTTTCCCCATTATCTACGTTTCCACGGTTTCCACGTTTCTACCTCGATCCATCTGCATCCCTCCAGAACCGCGGTTTCGTCCAACACGTCGCAGAGAACATTCCAAAACATTCCCGCGCGTTCCTCCACTTCCCCCGCGGTTATCAGCAACGCCCGGCAACTTGCCGCCAAATTTTCTTCGTCTTGGCGGGCGTTTCGCTGTAGAAAGCGCGCGAACCAGGCGAAGAAAAGCCGCTGCAGCGACGGTTTCTGCGAACGCACTTTTCCCGCCAATCCGCGAAGCGACGTTTCGAAACTCCCGCCACTTTGCTTGAAACTCCCCCAGGAATTCCCCGCGATTTCGATTAGAATTCGGAGCGCCGCGTCGTCGCCCAAAAACGGCAAATAAACGAACGGAATTTCCGAGTCGTCCCGCGGTAAAAGCGCCCTTAAATAGTGTTCCATCGCTTCCTGCCAGTCCACGTGACTCGAAACCCCCGCGAGCGTTTCGGGAACGGCGTATCCCGCGGTTAAATCGCCCAGCCGATCCAGTAATAGTGTCGCGTGGCACACAAATCGCTTCGCGTCCAGCCATCCCCGCGGTTCTTTGATCTCCTCCACCAGCTCTGCCCAACATTCCCGCGACTTCGTCAGAACCGCGGCAATCCCTTTCCCCGCGAAACTCCCGAGCGTTTCCCAGCGTTTGGCGATTTGCCGCGCTTCGGCGCAGAGCGAAGAAATCTTCTCCTTCGCTTCGAACACCGTGAACAGACGCAAAATGCATGTCGTCGCGCCCCACATCGCATCGCTCACCGATTCCAACGTGTCGCCATCATGCGCATCGGCATGGCCGATCTCTCTCTGTAGCTCGAGAATGTGCCGCAGATCGTCGACCGTCTCGGCGGTGTGGAGGGAAAAGAGCAGCCGCTCGGTGGCGTCGTCGGATGCAAATGAGCGGCAAATGCGTTGAAAGGATTGGCGCGTGGATTCGTCCGCGATGGCGCCTTGCAGGGAGCAGCGACGCCAATGGAAATTGTAGTGCTCGAACAGGGAGTCCCAGTCCTCGTGCGAACCAACCGACGGATCGTCGAACGCTCCGCAGCGGAAGGCATTGTACATGAGGTGGATCAGATTCGATTCGTCCTCCGGCGTGGAGTCCGAGGAGCGTTGAAAGAGCGAATGGAAGCTGAGAGTGCTGCTTTGGGAGGGGTCCGAGAAGAATGTGATGGGAGATGTTTTCTTTCTCATTTTCTATATAGAAAGTGGAACGCACATGAGACTTGAAGCCAATTTTGAATCGCCGACCAGTAAAGAAACTCAGAGTTCGTACTCAGGGAATCCACTCCTTCCTAACAGTCCAATCCTTTTCCAAATCATACGCTATTTTCCTTCTTATCAGAATCGGACAAATTTAATTCATAGATCAAGAGTTCTACCAACTCTTTCAATAAGGACCTGAACCATTCACTTTTAATACGAAATACACATACCAAAAATATTCTTCCGATTGTATCTCCAGAACTGCGCTCGAATCATAAGAAGCCGACGCCGGTGTCAGAGACGACTCGACTTGACTTCTCCGTGTTTCACAGATCGACTACACTCTGATTCCAGCTCCCATTCTCTACTTCATACTCCTGAAGGATGTACAACAATCCGTCAAAGGAGCGAACGTCTGCAGCCTGCAGTCGGCTTGCAAAGCCGCTCAGGATGTAATGATCGAACTGCATGACTAAACTCTGCTTTCGAACTGCAAAATAATTGTCTCTCTCGATTGTTTCGAAACAAACAAATGCATCTACGAATGGCAAAATCGGGGAATTCAGCGACATCAAGTTCTCTCTCATTCTTAAACTCGGCGTGATCAATCTTTGACATTGGTGATCCGGTCTGCATCAACCACGTTTTCATCGAATCGATGTTCTCTTTGGCCCCCTGCATTCTACAACACAACAGTGTAAGCTTGCTTACACTCCGGTTACCGTTCCCTGCGGCGTATTCATGCACCATCCGACCAATTTCAGCCGAGTAGCCTCACTCTGTGTGAATTTGCGGAAATACACTCCTGCGATTAACGGCGATCTAAATTCCTGCCTTGCACTCTTCCAAAGACTTCGAAATCTACGCTCAACAACCTAGAGAGGGACATTTGTTTGTGAGAAAATAATAAGAATAGAAATAAAAAGTCATAGAGAAAAAAAGAAGGTCCCACCGAGATTTGAACTCGGATTGCAGGATTCAGAGTCCTGAGTGCTAACCATTACACCATGGGACCGCTACATTTCCTTTCTCAAACAACTTTATAAAAATACGATTTACTTTGGAGTGTTGGTTGTAATCGCTTCTAACATGCCCATTACAGAGAACACGTCCTTCTGCACCTGAATTTCCTCGTCCAAAATCTGCTCCAGCTTCACCAGCTGCGAGTCCGTCAGCGAATTCTTCCCGATGTTTTCTCCGTGATGATCTGCGCATTACCCCTCTCTTTCCCTCCGCCTACTCAAAATCTCTTCCGCCACGGTTGTTAGAATGTCGGTGTACTTCGGGTCCACGATATAGTACGACACGAACGAAATCAGCGGCTCCAACTCCTTATCCGTCCTACGCATTACCACGTTTCCACGTTTCCACCTTCCACGAATCGCGGTTTTGAGATCTCCGCGCGTCCTTAACTCCTCCAACACCGCCACGATGTCCTTCACGTTCCTCCCCTACATCGCAACCCGCGGTTAATCCCCACTTCCAGCACCGCGTTCAGCGCCTTTTTATACTCGAATTTCCGCAAATAGCGGTTCCACTTCGACTGGTGAACCCTCTTTCCCGCGGTTATCTCCACCTTCTTCGCCTCCAGCTCGGGGTCCACGCGTTTGCTCCGGTACACCACACGCGCCAGCAGCGCGCCGGGCGCCAGCGCGGGCGTTTCCTCCGCCTTCTCCACGTGCTCCCGCACCCGCGTGGACAGGATTCCCGCGGAAGTGCCGACGGCCATGACGTTGGAGGGCTAGGCTTGACAGTCCCGCGGGGAAGTACGGAAACGGCGACGGAGAGAACGGGGTCGGGGAACTTGAAGTTGTGGGTGACTTTGAAGGTCGTGGGATCCACCACGCGCACCGAGCCGTCCAGCGAGGCCGACAAAAACCGCGGGGCCGGGAACGAATCGCTGCGATACGACGCCAGACACGTGACCTGCTTCTGGTGGTAGTTCAGCGTCGCCAGCTCTCTACGCCTGAAATCGCCCCGATTTCTGGACTTTCCGCTGTTGAGCAGGTCGAAAACGTGCAGCTCCGCCTCGCTGGCGGCCACGACCACCGACGCGCTGAGCTGCAGCACGCAGCCCACCGCGTGAGGCGTCGCCAGGGACAGCACGCACGCCTCCGAGGGGGCCACGCGGCGGTCCCACAGCTTCACGCAGCCGTCGAAACCCCCGCTCAGGAAGCAGTCGCTCTGCGTGGACGCCACGCTCAGCGCGCGCACGTAGTCCTGGAGATGAGATGAGACATGATGACCGCGGATACCGTGTGGCCCTCGTACGTGTTCACCACCATGTTCGTAGGGATGTCGTACAGACAGATCGTCTTGTCGTCGCTCCCGGAAAGCAGCTGCGTCGTCGAGAAAAAGTCCACCGCGTGCACCGCAGAGCTGTGAGGCTGCGCCTGGCGCAGCATCGTCTTCGTCTCCACGTCGAACAGCTTGATGTTGCCCTTCTCGTCGCCCGCCGTCAGAAGCTTCCCGTCGTGACGGAAATTGCCTGCTTCGAAGACCACTCGCAGATCTACCGGAATACGCGATATCCATGAAGCGAGAGAAGCTCTTGATCTTCTGACGCGTTTCGCCGGAGAATAAAATGACACTAGAGGGAAAACGGAAGACGCGCGCCCTACTTGGTTCCAGAGGAAACAGCGAAGTGGTACGGCGATAGGGGAGAGAACGAAATATGATTTACAGGACCACTCTACACATCGTGGAAAACTGTGAATGCCTACCAGTTTTGTTTCATTTATGTTTCGGAATGACTTCCACCATATGTCTATCCGTGAATGCGCTTCCCATTTCTCACTTTCCGAAGTTTTCGCAGAACGCGCAGTAGGTACACTCTTTGGTACAATTGGCTTGAATTCAATTCCAGACATTTCAAAGAAGCGTCTACTGTAGAAGGGAACTGCAGAGAATGGGTCGCTTTTGTTTCTGCAACTCCCGAAATTCCCCCTATTTCTGGCTCCATCCCTGGTTTGCAAACAAACAACGTAATTACAACAACAACAACAACAATGACAGGGGAGAATCATATATATACATATGTATATACTCCCCACAAACGACGTTCTCCTCTTTCCTTACTGCTCGCTGTCGTTCGGCACCGACGTCGCCAGAATGAACTCCGCAGTATCCTCCTCCGCGTTGAGTCCATAGCCCGAGAAGGTGAACGTCTTGCTCGTTCCCCAGATCAGCACGCGCTTGTCTCCCTTGTCCACCTCGATCTTCGTCAGCGCCTTCAGCGACATCACGATGCCCGTGTCGATCGGATCCTCCAGCGGGTACTTCACGCAGAGCGTCAGCGGACGGCCCTCCGTGTGTGTCTCGAAGTACACGTTGAAGCTGCCCTCGCTCACCGGGAAGGCCTCGAACACGTCGTCGCACGGCGAGTTCGCGAAGATCGCCGACTGCACCAGCTCGGTGTGCGAACCCAGCAGGCGGAACTGCTTGTTCTGCGACATCACGGAGCTGTCGCTCGAGAAGCCCTCCAGCGACTGCATCGCCTCCACCGACACCACGTTCACCTCCAAAATGTTCTGGTTCTCCGGCGTCACCGACATGGGCATGTGGTTCTTGAACACCACGCACATCTTCAGCGTGCTCTCCACCGGCTCCGTGAACACCACCACCGCCTGGCCTCCCTCCACCAGCGCCAGGCCGTAGCGCTCCGCGCTCGCGCAGGTGGCCGCCAGCTCCACGAAGAACACCTCCTCCAGACGGTCGATGTTCGCTCCGTGCAGCGTGTACTCCTTGGTCTGGTTCAAGTAGATCAGGTTGCGGTTGCCCGTGGACGTCACCTGGTTCACGAACATCACGTCCACGTCGAACTCGTCGTACAGCACCCAGAAGTTCGAGTCCGCGTTCGTGAAGCCGTAGCACACCGACAGGTGATCCGTGTTCGCCAGCTTCTCGTAGCTGTTCTCGTCCGTGTTCCACACCACCAGATAGCCCTGCACGTCCGCCGTCGCCACGATCTGCTCCCGGTCCGTGCAGCTGATGCCCGTCACCAGACGCATCTTGTCGTTCTCCTTGCCGTTCGCCACCACCACCATCCACTGCTTCTCCTCGCGCGGCACGAACTCGAACGGACTCGACTCGTCCACGCTCAGAATGTCCAGCAGGCCGCGCGACTCCAGCGTCAGCGGCGGGTACACGTCTCCCTGCGACTGCTCGCTCAGGAACACCCAGCGCTTGCCGCTGAACTGGTAGCACAGCTTGTAGTTCGCCGTCGTCGTGTTCGTCAGCGCAAACTCGTCGTACATGCGCTCGTACTCCGCGTCGTACAGCAGCGCGCGGCTGCCGTCCTCGTCGTACTCCATGCCCTCGCCCGGAGCGTCGCAGTCCGCCGCGTCGTTCGCCACCCACTTGTAGCGAGCCTCGTGCACCGTGTCGCTGGACTGGAAGGAGAGGTGCGTGGTCACGTTCTTCACCGCCCACAGATTGGCCGTGCCGATCAGCTCCTCCTCGCCCACGCGCATCGTCGGGTTGATCACGCCCAGCACCAGCAGATTGAACGAGGTCAGCGTAGGCTTCGTCTCGCCCTCGAACAGGTAGCAGATCAGCACGCTGCCTCCGGTCACCACCGACACGTGGAACGCGCCATCCTCCGACCGCGCGATGTACTCGTCCAGAGGAATGCCCTCCAGACAGTCGCTGCTCGTGAACGAAGTCACGGGCTCGTTCAGAGGATTGGCCAGCGGGTAGATCTTGTCGCCAGGGAACGTCATTCCCGTGATGCGGATCGCGTTATCCACCTTGAAGATGATCGCGTCGTTGCGAGCGCCGTCGTCGATCGTGATCTCGTTCACGTGCAGCACGCTCAGACGGATCTCCGGGTACATCATCGGCTCCTCTCCGTCGAACAGGTAGCACAGCTTGTAGTCCTCCTCCGAGTACTCCAGCGCGAAGCCCACCACGCCATCGATCACGGGCACCCATTCGCCCATATCGCAGTCCTCGCCGGTCACCATCTTCGCCTTGTCGTTGTTCGATCCTCCGTTCACCGTCAGCAGCCAGTCCTTCATCACGTTCGCCGTCACGCGCGTGCTGTTCGTGTCCGCAGGCACCATGTCCAGCACCTCCTTCGACACGAAGTCCGACACCTCGAACGCGCGCGTCTGCTCCGCGAACACGTAGCACATCGTCCAGCTGTTCGCCGTCGAGTTCGTCAGCGTCACCGTCGCGGTCTTGTCCTGCGCCACGGGCGCCTCGAGCATCACCTCGCCCATGCAGTCGTTGCTCGGCGAGTTCACCAGCAGCAGCGAGTCGCCCTCGCCCGCCATCGCAGTGTCCATCGTGAACACCTTCGGCTGGTCCACCACGGCTCCGTTCGCCGCCAGCGCGGGCACCGCGGCAGCCACCGTAGGCAGGCTGCGCACCGTGAGAGCCAGGTTGTCGTACTTGATGGGCGCCTCCGCCAGAGTGAACGTGTAGAACACGTAGCACACGTCGTAGCGCTTCTCGCTCTCCGCGGCGGTGAACGCGTAGCGCACCGTGTAGGTCTCGCTCACGCTCAGCACCTTCACGGCGTTCTGCTCCATGCACTCCGCTCCCTGCTCCACGATCCACACCTTATCGTTGCTGCTCATACCGAAGCCAGAGAACTGGATCGTCGGAGACTCGGACTGCTCGATCACGTTCACAGAGTAGTCCGCGTGGCCAGCCACCTCCGCAGTGTTCACGCCCTTCACCACGAAGCTCAGGAAGCTGTACTGCACGGGCAGCTCGTTGCCGAAGGCGTAGCACAACACCATCGAGTCCGCGCTCTCCGCCATCGGGATGTTCACCACCGTCGAGAAGCTCTGATCCTCCTCCTCCTCGCCCACCGCAACAACAGGGAAGTTCAGCACCGCCTCCTCGCACGTCGTGTACGAGAAGTAGGCGTGGTCGTTCGCGCTCAGACCCACTCCCTCCAGAGTCACCGTCTTGTCCTGTCCGGCCACCAACACCTGCGGATGACCCGAGGTGAACGCGGCCGAAGTCAGCGTCTTCACCGAGATGCCGAACAGCGTCACGTAGGTCGAATCGTCCGCGAAGCGGAAGCACATCGTCATCTCCTTGCCGAGGTAGGACGCGTCCGCGAAGTTGAACGTCAGCGACAGCGATTCGCCGAGCACCATGTCGTCGAACTCCGCAGACACCGCGGCCACGCTGCAGTCGCCGCCCTCCACGATCTTGATTCGGTCCGAAGGCGTTATCAGAATGCCGTTGTAGGTCAGGGTCTTCGCCACGTCCTTCACAAACACGTTCTTGTCTCCGCTCGACGCCGTCACCACAGGACGACCGAACACCACCAGCTTGAAGACGCTATCGCTGCCATACGCTCCCTGCGGTCCGTAGTTCATCCACTCCTGGCCCTGGAACTGGTAGCAGATCTGGTAGGGCTCTTCCTCCGTGCTCTCCTCCAGGAAGTAGGTGTCGATCGACAGCGTCTCGTCCAGCTCGTAGTACTCCACCGTCATGTTCGCGACAGGGTCCATCATGTAGTCCACCTCCGCCGAGCAGTCGCTGTTGTAGGGGACGTACTTCACGCGGTCGCCCGCAGCCACGCCCACGCCGGAGAAGGTGAACGACTTGGGACGCAGCCACACCGCCACCGTCGCCGCGCCCGACTCCGTCGTCACCGACTGCAGCTCCTTCACCGACAGCGTGTAGTCCGCGTAATAGAACACCGCGTTGCCGTCGAAGCGGTAGCACAGATGCAGCGCGTTCGCAGCGGCAGGGAAGTCCACAGCCATCGCCGTAGAGCTGATCGACACCACGGCGCGAACAGCGGGCTCGCACGACTCCAGAGGCGAGAACCACGCCTCGTCCGCGTCGCTCACGCCGTAGATGTCCACGGCCACCTCCTTCGGCTGCTTCGCGACCACGCTTCCGTTCGTGAACGCAACCACGCCCTTCACCATCAGATCCCACTTCGCGGGGCTGAACGCTCCGTTCGAGCCGAGCAGCTGAGGCTCTTCTCCGGCGAACACGTAGCAGAGCTGGTAGTACTGGTTCTCGCTGTGCTGCGACACGGTCAGCGTCACCGAGGTCTGCTCGCCAATCATCACGTTGCCGATCGAGGGAATCATGTCCGTCGAGTAGCACGCCGTCGCAGTCGCAGGCACGAAGTAGAAGTAGTCCTCCGCGTTGATGTGGCTGCGCGTGAAGGTGAAGGTCTTGCTCTGGCCAGCGACGATGCTGCTCACACTCAGTCCCTCCGCAGCAGACACGCTCAGCGAGTACAGCACGTACGCGTTCGGGATGAACGCGAACGGCTCCGATCCGAACTTGTAGCACACGTGGATGCTGCCAGAAGTCACCTCCTCGTAGATGTTCACCGTCGTCATCACCGTCGTCAGCGGCAGCGAGCTCGCCTCCACGCCGTCCACCGACAGAGGCAGCAGCGACGCGCAATCCGCGCCCGCAGTGAACGCCAGCTCATCGCCGGCAGCAAATCCGTCGGCGACCACACGCACCGGCTTGGCGTTGCGCGACACGAAGAAGGAAATCTCCGACTCCACCATCGTATCCAGGAAGCTCTCGAACGCCTTCACCACCACATCGAACGCGCTGAGACGCACCACGTTCGTCGTCGACTGGCCGAACTGGTAGCACATCGCGTAGCTGGCACCATTGCTGCCCGCGCTGAACAGGTACGTCGCCACCAAACCGTCGTCCGAGTCCGTCACCGCGAAGCTAGCCACCGCCGCGGAGCTGCAATCCTCCGTCGCGTGGAAGCTGATCACATCGCCGACGCGCAGACCCGTGCCAATCACACGCACCGTCTTGGCCTGGCCAGCAACCGCCACGTTGACACTTCCCATCGTCGTCTCCACCGCGGCGAACTCCATCACAGCGATCGAATCCGACACGGCAATCGCTCCCTCCTCCGAGAACGCGTAGCACATCTTCAGATTGTGACCCGAAGCAGCAGCCAGAGCGCTCGCGGTCGCCTTCACGCTCGTCGTCGTCACCTCCGTCACCTCCACAGTCACCAGGCTCAGGCCCAGTCCCGAGTCCACCTCGCAGGCGTCATTCTCCTCCACGAAGAAGATCGAGTCCGTGTCGCGGAAACCGCTTCCGGTCACTTCCACCAGCACAGGCACGCCCACAGCCATGTAGCCCTCCTCGCCCGAGAAGACCACGGAGGACACATAGTCCACCTGGACGGTCAGCTGCTCGAACGTCTGGTAGGGCATCGAGTTGAACTTGTAGTGCAGCGCCATCGGCTCTGAGGTCGGCGCGCTCTGCAGATCCATCAGGAACGTGCGGTTCGCGCTCACCGTCATGACCTCCGTCTCGATCTCCTGGTAGGCGAAGTAGAGCTTGTCGTTCTCCTGGATCCACGATCCCTCCAGTCCGAACACCTTGGGAATACCCACGACCACGTGCGCGGGATCGCCCACTTCGCTCGTGAGCGCAGTCACGTCTCCCACGTACATGTTGTACTCCGTTCCGCACTCCGCGTATCTCGAAGCGCCCAGACTGTAGCACAGCTTCAGCGCCTTGTTCTCCGAGCCCTGGGCGAACGTCCAGGTCACCGTGTTGTCCTCCTGGCTCAGCGTGCCCGACGCGATCGGCTCCTCCAGACAGTCGTTCTCCACGTACTTGAAAGACTCCACAGCGTCCATCGACATCGTCATCTCGCTGTACGTGCGGTGGAACGTGAACATGTTGGTCGCCGTGGTCGAGATCTGCAGCGCGTAGCTGATCACGCCGCTGAACTCGGACAGACGACGGCGCGCAGCCTCCGTGGGAATCATCGCAGACGTGAAGGTGATGCGGTGCACACCCGACTCCGGAATGGTCACGGTCTGCTCCATGATCTGCGCACCATCGACGAGCACGCGCACACGCATCGTCACCGCGCGGAACTGCTCGCAGTCCACCACCACCACGAACTCCATCACATCGGCCAGCATATTCGCGTTGTGGTTCGTCAGGAACAAGTACTCGGCCGAGGCGCTGCTGCTCGAGAACAGCACCAGCGATCCCTCGGGACGAAGCACCGTCTCCAGCTCGCCGCTCGCCGTGAACGTGTTGCTCAGCTGCTCCACGAAGGTCGGCACCAAGGTCTGCTTGAAGCTGTCCTCCTTGGTGGTGTTGTAGATGATCACGTGCTCCTGGTTGGCCACGCTGAACCACACGTTGTACTCCGAACTCTGGCCCTGCACCTGGCTGGACACCAGATCCACCGACTGGTACGTCGTCTGCGTGCCCAGGTTGTTCGCGAACTCGTAGCACAGAAGGAACGATCCCGACACGCCCGTCTCGATCACCGCGCTGCAGTGCGAGTCCACGCACTCCACCGGGCTCTCCACCACCGCCTCCGCGCTGCAGTCCTCGATCACGTTCACCAGCTTGATCTTGTCGCCCGAGCTCAGACCCGTTCCGTTCAGCGTCATCACGTTCGTCATGCCGCTCAGCATCACCAGCGGCTGCACGCCGCGCGTCTCCGAGGCCTCAGGCAGCATCTGATACACATTCACCACGAACTGCTCGTAGTCGAAGAAGGCATCTCCAGCGAACGCGTAGCAGAGCTTCAGCACGCCCTCGTTGTTGTAGGACAGCGGCAGCGTCACCTCCGCCTGGTACACGTTCTGCGAAACGGTCAGACCGTGCGTGTGAGCCGCCTTCAGCGTCGCGCCCACCTCCAGAGAGCTGTAGACGCGGTCCAGAGACAGCGCGCGCGTCTCGCTGTTGTAGTTGTTCACGTACACCAGCCGGCCTCCGATGATCAGCGCCTTCTGCTCCGACAGCGTATTGTCCACCATCGTCACCTGCAGAGAATCGAAGTAGTTGCGAATGTCGTTGTTTCCGCCCAGCGTCACAACGCTGTGGCTCTGGTCGTCCGAAACCGCCACAGAAGCCACCCACAGGTCCGGAATCTCGGAGCCGTACGCATCGCTGAAGTCGTCAATCGAAGCAACGCAAGAGCTCGTCGCGCTGACCAGCTTCATGCGATCGTTCGTGCTCGAGGCGCCTCCGAAACGCAGCACCATGCTGCTTCCGGCCAGCATATTCAGCGACAGCGCAGTCTCGTCGTTCACAGTCTCCAGCTCCTGCACGACCATGTTCCAAGCATAGAAGATCGGCATCTCCTCGCGGAAGCGGTAGCACACGCCCACCGCGCAGGAAGGCTTGGTCTCCAGCATCATCGACACAGACAGCGTGCTATCCAGCGGCTGCATCACATAGGTGTCGTTGTCGCACGAGCAGCCCAGAGCCACTTCGTCGCCCTCCAGCGCACCTTCCACACCCGCGAACGAATAAATCTTGGACTTGCCCACGATGGCCATCTGCTTGCTTCCCACGTTCACGCTCATGGCATCCGCCGACGCGAATCCCAGAATGTTCATCGACAGCGAGGTCGCCGTCGGCAACTCCGACACGAAGCGGTAGCAGACGTTCCACTGACGAATCGTCTCCACGTTCGCCGGCTCGATCTGCATCGTCACCTGGATCTTGTCTCCGCTGCTCTTCACCACCGGGAACACCAGGCGGTTCGGAGCGTTCACATCCGTGCAGGCCGACGGCGCGATGATCACCGCATCTCCCTCGCCGGCGCCGCCAGTCGCGTCGATGTCGAACGTCTTCGCCTGGCTCAGCACCAGCACGTCGTTCGCGCCCTCCATCGCCTCCATTCCGTTGAAGCTCTTCACCTGAAGGGTCACGCCAGGCAGGAACGTATTCGGCTCCGATCCGAACTTCATGCATCCGTAGAACTGCTTGCCCACGTCCTGCGCATTCGTGCGCAGCACGCTCACGTACAAGATCATCGCCTCCGAGTTCAGAGGCAGCAGCGCCGTGGCGCTCTCGCAAGCGCTCTCGCTCTCGACGAACAGGAAGCGGTCCGTGTAGTCAATGTTCATGTTGCTCGGGAACACCAGCTTCTTCTCCACATTCAGCACAGCCGTCGTCACGCTCTGCTCCGTGTCGATCGTCGTCACGTCCAGCACACCCACGAATCCGGTCATGCCCTTCACGCGGATCAGATCCGAAGTAGCGTAGGCAACCTCGTTTCCGAACGCGTAGCAGATACGGCAGGTCTTTCCCGCGAACGACTCGTCCAACTCCAGCGTGAACTGGAAGCGAGGCGTCGAGGACACGGACGCAAGGACAGGAGCGGAGTACAGATAGTTCGCCGACACGGCGCAGTCGTCGCCGTTGTTCACCAGATGCACCCGATCGCTCGTGCTGTATCCGTACGTCGAGTAGGCATCGTCCAGGAAGAAGGTCTTCGCCGTGCTGAGCACCAGCACGTCGCTGGCGCCCGCCGAGGTCATGCTGATGCCTCCGTACTGCTTCACCATCACCGTGATGTTCGCATACTCCATCCAGCTCTCGTACGCGAACTTGTAGCACAGACGGAACGTCTTGCCCGCCTCCACAGAGGTGAACAGCACCGGCGAGTAGTAGGCGCCGTTCTCCGTATCCATCAGCACCGCAGTCATGTGAGACGACTGCTCGCACGTCTCCTCCTCCGTCACCCAAGCGACCTGGTCTCCCATCGAGAAGCCAACGCCCGTCAAGTAGTAGTTCTTGCTCATGCCAGCAATGGCGATCGAAGTGCTGCCGCTCGTCAAGTCCGCGTCGATGCCCGTAATCGCGTTGATGTGGAACAGGCCGCTCACCTTGTCGTTGAACGCGGGCAGCGTAGAGAACTGGTAGCACAGACGCAGATTCGAGCCGGGCGTCACGTAGCTCATGCTCACCACCACCGCGAACACGTTGTTCAGCTCCGTCACCTCCGTGAGGAACACGCGGTTGTCCCAGGCGTTCTCCTCCATGCAGTTCTGCTGGTCCTCCACCAAGTACACCTTGTCTCCGTACGTGGCACCGTTGCCGCGGATGTGGAACGTCTTGGTGTTGCCGGCCACCAGACCGCGGTCGTTCAGGCCCTCCACCGAAGTGAACAGCAGATCGCCGGGCTGCGTCACGCGCAGCGAGTAAGGATAGCTCTTCCAGTAGCCGGGGTCGTTGAAGAACCAGTAGCACGCGTGCACGTCGTCCATGCTCTCGCGGTTGAAGTGCATCGTCGCCTGGCACAGCGCAGAGCCCTCGGGGCAGGTCACCATGCTCGCGTTCGGGTCGTCTTCGGGCTGGACCACCTCCAGGCGGCGGCCGAAGCCCGTGTTCGTGTCGCAGTCCTCGTCAAGACCGATGAACTTGATGTAGTCTCCAGTGGCCAGCTGCATTCCGTAGATGGACAGCGGCTTGCTGCCGTCCACCACCGCCTGATCCAGATAACCGTCCTCGTCCACCAGGTTGCCCGTCAGTCCGAACAGCTCCGTCACCTTGAACGTGATCGACGGGTACAGCTGCGCAGGATAGTTGCCGAAGCGGAAGCACAGCTGCAGAGGCTGGCTCGTCTCCAGACCGACAGAAGTGAAGGTCACGCGGAACGAAGACGAAGACAGAGCGGTCACGTTCATGCCCACAGAAGCATCCTCCGAGCAGCTCGTAGCCTGGCCCGAAACCACGTAGAACGAGTTCTCCATCACCGTATGCTCCACCAGCGAGAACGTAATGTCCTTCTCGTAGTCCGAAACGAATCCCGTCGTCACACCCTTGCTCACCGAGGCCACGCTCAGCACCGTGTTCGCAGCAACCACCAGGCCGCTCACCTTGTAGAAGGTCGCCTCCTCCACGCTGGTGCCCGGCAGGACGGCGCTGCTGTACATGTAGCACAGCTCGTACTCCTCCGCATCCGAGAACACAAACTCGCCGAACGTGTACTCCACGCCGAACGAATCCAGCTCCACCGGCGCCACCGGAGCCGCCGATCCGCTGCTGCACTCGCTTCCCATAGGCACGAAGTAGGCGCGATCGCCCACACGCAGGCCCGAACCGCGGAACTGGATCGTCACAGGAAGATCCTTCACCACCGGGATGCGGCGAGAAGGCTCCATCACGTTCTCCACAGCGATCGACTCCACGGCCACCACGTTGAACACGTTCGGAAGCTCGTACCAGCTGTTGCGCTCCAGCGGCTGGCGAATGTAGCAGGCAGACACATCCGAGCTCGGAGTCAGGAAGGAAACCGCCTCGGTCGTGCGCGTCACGCCGTCCACCACCTCCACAGAATACTCGTTGAACAGCTGCAGCACGAACTCTTGCGTCGTGTCCACCTCATTCAGATTCTCGACGAAGGTCATCTGCGTGGCCGACAGCTGCGAAATCGTCATCTTGTACGCCTTCAGACCCACCGTGTCCAGCACGATCACCTTGTCGCCCACCGACAGCAGCGAGGTGAAGTCGTTTCCGTTCGTCACAGCAATGTGCTGCTCGCCGTTCACGTCCGTAGCAGCCATGAAGGAAATGGTCATCGTCTCAGGCAGAGGATAGCCGAACTCGGAGCAAGGATTCACGCTCGAGAAGCCAGCAGGCACCTTCACCAAACGAATGCGGTCGCCATTCTGAGCAACGCTTCCCGACGACAGACTCAACGTGATCGGCGAAGACTCACCAGCAATCAGACGGTTCGGCTGAATCGTGCTCAACATCAGAACATCCACGGTCGGCGTGTTGGGAATCGTGGCCCACATGTCGTCGCTGGACACGCGATACTGGATCGAGTACTCTCCATACGGCAAGCCGCTCACCACAGCCGAGCGCGAGCACGTGCTCAGATCCAGCACCGTCGAGTACGAGCCGCACTTCGAAGGATTCGTGCAGGAAATCTGCACCTGAGGACGGAAGTCGGTCGAAGCAGCGTAGTCGCAGTCCTGGCCGACGAAGATCGGATCGGAGATCACGTAGAACGCATCCAGCACGCTCTTCTCGAAAATCATCTTCACGAAGCGGCCCTTGCTGCTCAGTCCGTAGAATCCGGTCAGCGAGGAGAAGTCCACGTTCACATCCAAGAACGAAGGCGACCAGGGTCCGCCGATCTGGTTCGAGTACTGGTAGTTGATGGACTGCACGCGGCGGTTCGTCTCTCCTCTCGGCAGCCAGTACAGACGGCTGATCTTCTTGCACTGCGCGAAGTCGGGAACCATCCAAGCCTCGCTTCCGGCGGCCAGCTTCGCCGTCGTATCCGTTTCAAAGTCCGTAATCAGGTTGTGGAAATTCGACAGGTACAGGAAGTGCGCGTCGATCGAAGGACGGCCGTTGATCTGGAAGTTCGCCACCGTCTCCGGCTTGCAGCGCTCCGCGACGCCGTTGAAGGCGATCGTGAACTCGCTGCCCGTCGAGTGGAACACGGAGTTCGTCAAGGCGCTCTCCGCTCCCACCACCGGAGCTTCCACGTCGTACACCTCCATCGTCACGTCCGGGTAGTACTGCAGCACGTTGCCGTTGAACGCGTAGCACAGACTCTTCGAGCGACGTCCATACGATTCCACCACACCCGACACGGAGAACTTGGTCGAGGTCGTAGGGACGAACTGAAGGTCCTGCAGCGTGAAGAACGACACAGAGATCGGCTGGTAGCCAGCAGCGTACTCAGCACGCACGCCGTGAAGCGTCACAGTGTGAGTGTAGCTCTCGCCGGCGTTCGTCGGGCAGAAGGTGTTGTAGTTCGAAGCAACGTCGACACTGGTAACTCCGTAGAACTCGGAAAGCATCGCCTTCAACGCAGGGATGTTCACCGTGGACACCTCGCGCACAATCATGTCCTGGGAGATGCTGCTGAAGCTCGAATCCGGGTACAGCACAGAGATCTGACCATCCAAGCGCATCGCCATGTACAGACCCTCCGTCGAAGAGTACGCCTCGTTCGTCTGGCAGGTCAGCTGCACCACCATGTCGCTGTAAGTCGAGGCGGTGAAAGTCATAGACGACAGACACTCCTCCTTCTCCAAATCGCACTCCTTCATCGTGGCGGCATTGGCCGCGTTCTCCACAGTACACTCGCTCTCCGAATCCACGAAGAACAGACGATCGTTCATGCCCACCGATCCGTGCACACGCAGCGTCTTCTCCACGTTGGAGGCCGCCATACACTCGTCCAGAATACGCTCGCGCGTCACAGTCACACCCGCGACAGCACTGCTGCTAGACAACGCGCAAGGCGAGGTCATGTTCGCATTCGAGCACTCGTCTTCCAAGAACACCATGTAGTACACCGAATCCGCACCCGAGGCAGCAGGCGTCGAGGTCACACGCACAGCGCCCAGGCCGTTCAGACCACGCTTCACCTCCGACTGCGTAGCACCGCGCTTCATCTCAAAGGCCACGACGTTCGCGTCCTCGCGCGTGTACGTCATCGGCACAGTCTCCGGGGCGCTCGCGGACATCGTCACCTTCCACTCCACGTACTTGCGGCAACCCAGCGACACCTCGAACACGCCCACAGGTCTCACCACCATCGTCAGAGCAGGGTAGTGCTTCATCACCGGCGAGCCCGAGAATTGGTAGCACAGCTCGAAGTACTCGCCCTCCTGGCTCACCGGAGTAATCGTGTAGGTCGCCGAAGTACCGCTGACCACAGCCGAGATCGCGTTCGCCGAGCTGCAATCCTCGCCCGTGGGAATCCATCGAGCGATATCGCCGCTTCCGATTCCCACACCCATGAACGAGACGGGGCTGGGAATGTTGTCGTACACGTAGGCAGGAGAACGGCCCGTCACGTCCTTCACATTCACCACGAAGCCAGTGCGCAGCGTCTGCTCGAACGCGAAGCGGTAGCACACGTCGAACGTTCCCGTCTCCGTGATGCTCACAGAGTGCGTGTTCGTGTAGGGATGAGCGAACACCAGCTCGTTGACGGTCGCGCCAGTGGCATCCACCATGGGCACCGCCTCGGCACACTCCGTTCCGCTACGACCGAACCACAGATGATCGTCGTCCTGCAGCTGCTGCATGTTCTGCACAGAGACCGAGTAGGTCGACGCAATATCCTTCACAGCCACCGTCACATCGCCCTCCGCCACGTTCAGCGCGGTGAAACTGATCACGGTCTTCTGGATGGTCGGGTAGCGCACTGCCTGGAAGCTCGAGAACTGGTAGCACAGCTCGTATACGCCGCTCGGCACGTTGGTCGACAGGCGGTATCGGCTGTTGCCCAGAGGCTCCACCGCAATGTCATAGTTCGCAGAGCAGCCCTCCGATGCGGCAGGGACGAAGAACAGCGAGTTGGCCTCGTTGTCCGTGCCCACGCCCTCAATCATGAAGTCCTTCTGCAGCGAAGAAACCAGGATCTCGTTCGCTCCCATATCCACCGTAGGCATGGCCGTCACCGTGTACACACTCACCAGGAAGTCCAGATCCGCGTACTCCATCCACACGCCCTCCGACAGGTAGCAGAGCTTCCACTGCGAATCCGCCGAAGTGAACGTCCACGTGAAGGACACGATGTGCTCGCCCAGAGAGGTCGCCGCCACCGCGTTCGTCACGCCCTCGCAGCTCTCCGCCATCGGCACGAACGCGAAGCGATCCTCCTCCTTCTGAGCGCTTCCCTGCACCGTGAACTCGCGAGGCAGCGAGAGCACGGCGTCGTGAGGCATCATGCTCATCGTCTCGGCCAGCTGGATCTTCAGCGACGCGTACGCCATCCACTCTTCCTCGCCGAACTTGTAGCACAGATACACAGAGCTCACGCCGCCCACAGGCTGGCGGAAGAAGAAGCTCGCCGTCGACGTGTTCGAGGCAATCTCGCCGGAAGCAATGATGTTCTGCGAGCAGTCGCTCACGCCGTCGTTCGCAATCCAGCGGACATGGTCGCCCATGCTCATGCCAATCGCGTCCGTGAACTCCACATCCGACCACTTGTTCACTCGCACCGAAGAAGGCGCGATCGCGTTGATCGTGTGCAGAGACAGCTGGATCGACGCGTAGTCCTTCACAACGTCCGCGCGCGCGCTGAACTGGTAGCACAGCCTCAGAGTCGGCACCTTGTCATGGAACGTCAGCAGGAACTCGGTCGCGTTCGCCTCCACCACCACTTCCTGACGACCCTTCACGCCATTGAGCGTGATCTCCGCCTTCTGGTCCGCGCAGGTCAGCGACGGCTCCACGAACCAGAACTTGTCTCCCTCGCTCACCTTCGCACCAACCAGACGGAACGCCTTCGGCATGTCCACAACCACATCGTGGGCGCCGCTCTCCTCCGCCACGCTGCGGAAATCGTCAATGTGGAACAGCTCGAACGCCGCCTTGGGAGAGCGAGCGAAGTCCTCGTAGCCGAACTGCACGAACGGCTCCACCACTTCGTTCTCCACAGAATCCATGAAGCGAATGCCGTTGGTCGAGCCATCGAAGCCCTCCACCAACGCCGCATTATCAATGTACGCCACGGTACCGACATCCTGAGCAGACTGGAACGCAGAACGGATCGACTCCACCTTGTCCGACGCGCTGATCACATTCGACGAGGAGACGGAGGCAGAACTCTTATCGGGAAGGCTCGAGAACGCGGGAAGACGATCGCCCGTGCCCTCGTCCGCTCCAATGAACTCCAGCGCCTCTTCCTCGCTGCCGCCCTGTTTCACGAACTTCACGCGATCCTGCTGGTTGGTGTTGTCGTTCACACGGAAGCCCTTGACCGACATCTTCTCGCCCTCCGTGTCCACAATCGTCACGGACTCGCCCGTGGCCGTCGTCACGTCCTGGCTCCACTGGCTCTGCAGCAGCTCGAACACCTTCATCTTGAAGTCCACCGGAATGTTGCCGTTCAGATACGAGTTGAAGCACAGACGGAACTCTCCCGCCGGCGCGCTCTCCGAGTTCTCCAAGAAGGTCACCACGAAGAACAGCGTTCCCTCCGCGTTCTGCTGCAGCGGGACGTAATGACCGTCTCCTTCCACGATCGAAACCATGTTGCTGCTGCTGCAGCCCTCGTCGTACGAGAATCCGATGTAGTCGTTGGTGCTCAGGTGCGATCCATACACGTAGAATGTCTTGGGCACATTCACCACCGCCTTGAAGTTCTCTCCGTTGGCAGCCACGATCTCGTTCATGCTGATCGAATAGAACTGGAACTGGTCGTAGCGGTAGGTCGCCGTGCTGCGATAGTTGTAGCACAGCGTGTACGTTTCAATATCGCGACCCAGAGACACCATCGACACTTCATTGTTCTGGCCCGGAAGCACGCTCACGGCATTGTTCGTCGCGCCCTCCAGCTCCAGACGACCATTCAAGTCGTCGCACTCCGCGTCCGTCCGAGTCAGCCAGAACTCGCCGCTCACCAAGCCGCTTCCGTACAGGCGCATCTGCTTCTCCATGTTGTAGGGCAGCATCGAGTAGTGCACATTCAGACCTCGCAGATGGAGCAACTGGGCAATCTCCACAATCACGTTCGTCTGCACCAGCTGCATCTCGCCATCGGCGAACTGGCAGCACAGATTCAGCTCCTTGCCAGAGCTCAGGAACGTCAGGCTGATGAAGTCAGCAGCGGGACTGAAGGTCGTCGTTCTCACGCCATCGATGATCAGATCCATCGCACCCACTCCACCAGTGCAAGAATCGCTCGCGGTGAAGTAGCACTTGTCCGAAGCCAGCACGCCAACGCGCGACGTGACGGTGAGCGTCGAAGGATAGTCCGCCACAAGCAACTCCTCGGTCTTCATCGCGAAGTGGACCAAGCGCACAGAGAACTGATCGAAGGCGTGATACTCGCCAACTCCAAGACGCAAGCAAGGAGTGTACGACTCTTCCGCAACGCCCTCCACAGTGACCTTACCCGCGATCTCCTGTGTAGCGTTAAACTCCGAAGCTCCGCCAACAACAAGAATGTTGCTGCTGCTGCTGCAACTCGAGCCCGAGGCAACAAACTTCACGACAGCATTGGTAATCGGGCGGCTCAGCGACACACGGAGCACCGCATCGGCATTCAGCGTCACGACGGAAGGAGTGACTTCCGTCATGCGAAGAGTGTCCACAGACAAGTCGAAGCGGTACATCGGCTCGCTACCGAACTTGTAGCACAGAGAAGCAGACAGGGCGTTGTTCGACTCGTCATACAAACCAGCCTCCACCACGGCAGAATCGAACGAAGCAGACTCCACATGGCTCAGCGAAGAAGCATCCTGGAAGGAAGAGAGCAAGTTGTACAGCTCCGTGCTGTCCTCCTCAATGTAGCCCGTGCTAGGAACGGGGTAGAACGGAACCGCCTTTCCAAGAGAGTGCATCGCCTCTCCCTCAGCCGAAGAGACGAAACCAGCACGATTCGCGTCCTCGCAAGAACTGTCGGAGGCAGTCGTCCACACGTACTGATCACCGTCCTGGAACATGTAACCCTCGAGCTGCAGCTGCGTCGGCTGACCCTGAATCACGTCGATCGTCATCGGCATGATATCCGCAGTCGCGTAGCAGAAACGACTCATGAGAATCGTATCCGGAGAATCCTTGTAGCTGTAGCACATACCGAAGCAGTGGTGCGAGCCGTCCATCGAACTCAGCTCCGCATTGGACGAAGTCTCCTGCACAGTAATCGCGATCCGATTGTTCGCGTCCACAGTCACGAACTTGGCTTCCTCCGCGTTCAGCGCCACATAATCCGCATCCTCGCAACGAGCAGTGCGAGTCAGGGAGACACGATCGCCCGTGCCCACACCGTCCGTTCCCGTGATGGTGAACGTCTTCTCATGACCCGCCACGAGGACGAAGTCGTCTCCATAATCCGCAACCACATCCAGCACTCCCTGGAACACCAGCGTGTAATCAGGGTAGAGCACCATCTCCAGCTCAGAGCCGAAGGCGTAGCACATCTTGTAGCTTCCAGAAATCTCGCCTCGCACGGTGAACTTCACGCTCTCCTTGTCCACGTCGCCCTCCACCACATACGGAGTGTCAAAGAGAGGAGGATTGGTCGAAGAGATCGACTGGCAGTCCTGGTAGCGCGAAGGCACGAACTGGATACGGTCTCCAGCGTGCACATTGATACCCGTCACAGTGATCTGGTAATCCACGCCCAAACCGAGCGTCAGCGAGGTGTAGTCAATTCCGTCGTAGCGCATGCCGGTTACGGTAGCCACATCAACGGTGAACGCGCTGTACTGCTTGTAAGGCTCCTCATCGAACTTGTAGCACAGCTTGTAGGGCAGAAGGCTGGCCGCATCGAACTTCAGACTCACCGTGTGGTCGCTGGCCAGTTTCTTATCCGAAATGCCGTCGTAGAGAGCAATGCCGTGCTCGCAGTCTCCCGTAGCGTAGCGAATCCGATCGCCCATCTTCACGCCCAGTCCTTCATACTCGAAGGTGCGGGAAATGCCCTGGATGGCGAACGCAGGGGTCGCGCTCGTCACGTCGTTCACAGTCACCGTGAACTTGGGCATCAGCGTGTAGTCCTCCTCATCGAACTTCCAGCACAACGTCATCATGGACGCGCTGGCCTGCGCAATGGTCAGATCCTTCACATAGGCCTCCACAGGATTGGTGGCATACACGTCCGTCTCCGCCATGATGTTTTCATGGCAGTCCATGCCCACGACCAGACGCATCTTGTCCTTGTCCGAGAATCCGAAACCCTGGACCACCCACGTCTCGGGCTCGTTCACCAGCATCGTGGAGTACATGCCCTTGTTCGAAGAAATCGAATCGATTCCAACCACCGTCATGCGGATGTCGGGATACAGCTTGAACGGCTCGTCACCAAACTTGTAGCACAGACGGAACTCGTTGTCCACGGCCGGATACGAGCTCTGCAAGAACGTCAGCGACATCTTGCCCGAAACGATCTGCAGCGCGTTCACCACCTCCGTCGAGGACTGGATCAGCTTCGACACATTCGCAGCGCTCTCCGCCACGACCTCCGTGATCTCGATCAACTCCGAAGAGTAGTCCTTCGGAGTCTCTCCCTCCGTCTCAGAAAGCAGCGCGGCACGACCATCGCATCCCTCGTCGCCATACACCCACTTCGCGTACTCGGGCACTCCCTCCAAATGCTGGCCGTTGATGCGGAACTCGAACTCCTTCGTCACGTACATGATCGAGGTGTTGTTCGAGCAGTTGTCGCATGTCGCAACCACATCCATCACATCGAACACACGGACAATGCCCAGACTCATGAAAGGCTGGCCGTCGAACTGGTAGCACAGGTTGAAGTTGTTGTAATAGCTCACATCGATCTTCACGGACGCTTCGTAGTTCTCATTCAACTGCACAGGAGCAAGCTCCAGCTGATCGCAGTTGCTGTTCAGCGAGAAGCCGATCTTGTCCTTTACGCTCACACCCACGTTCTTCGAGCTCGAGAACTCCAACGTCTTCTCCTCTCCTACGACCAGCACGTTCGTAGCTCCCACGGACGAGTTGATCTCCTCAATTGTGTACACCTCAATCTTCATCGTCGTGGGGTAGTACAGCAGATCGCTGCGAGAACGGTAGCACACAGTGAAGGGCTGGTTGTACACGTCCATCGCGTCGAGGAACGCAACCGTGAAGTAATAGTTGCCGGTCACTTCGTCGCGCTGGATCGGAATCTCAGTCATCTCCAGAGTGGGAGCCATCGGGGTCGACATGCGAGCCAAGTTGCAGTTGCAGTCTCCCGTCATAGCGAAGCGAAGCAAATCTCCAGTCTCAAAGACGCCGCGCACATTCCAGCGCTTCATAGCGCCCTTCACGGCCACGCGAGCCATGCTGTAACCCATGGCCGACTCCTCAGGAGTCCACCAAGGAATGATTTCCTCAATGATGCGCACCTCGATCTGGACATCCGCGTAGTGCACGATCTCCTCCTTACCGAAAATGTGGCACAGCGAGAACGTGCCTCCCTCCAGGAACTGGACGGTGGCCTCGCGGTTGCCGCCATTCAGAGCGTGCATCGTGACCTTCTCCTGCGTATCCACGTTCAGCATAGTCACCAGATTGGAGGCAGAGCAATCCTCGCCCTTCGTCCAGCCAAACTCGTCAAACTGCGATTCTTCGTTGACGTGGTATCCATAGAAGGTGAGCTTCACAGGAACACCTCCCACGAACACATTCGTGCCATCCACATTGCGCACGCCATTCACACGCGCCACGTGGTAGGGGAAGTTGTAACGCTTGGGCATCTCGTTCTGGAACTGGTAGCAAAGCGACACAGCTCCATCGTATCCGTTCACAAAGTTCACCGTCGTCTTCAAGAGAGCGTCCACGTACACAATGTTCTCCTCATAGAGGTGCAGCGACGTGATCGGCAGCGCGTTCATCGGTCGGCAAGTACGATCGCTCTTCACCCAGTAGGCACGATCGCCCTCAGCAATGCCATAGCCCGAAAACTCGACCGTCGACATCGCTCCCGCAGCGACCAGGTACTTGCTGTCGCTCTTGTCGTCCTTGCTGTAACTGGCGGCATCGTACAAATCGTACACGCGCATCGTAATCTCGTCGTACAACTTGAAGGGCTCGTCACCAAACTTGTAGCACAGGAAGAAACGCTCGTTCTCCTGCTCCGAAGAATCCTCTGCAAACAGGAACGAGGCGGTGTGGTCCGATCCCACAACCACCGAGTTCGCGGAGGAGCTGGCGGCCTTCATCGCGCTTCCCAGGCGGGTGCTCGACGAAGTGATCTGCAAGTAGCGGTCCGCATCGTTGGGATCCACCTCGAAGTCAATCGATCCCATGTCGATCGTGCTCGAGCTCATCAGAGGCACCACATCGCTCTCGCAGGACGTGCCGCGCACCCAGCGAGCCACATCCACCGTACCGCTCGCAATACCAACGCCGCGGAACTCCACCGTCTTCGCCTGGTCCACGATGGCCAAATCCGTCTGGCCGTTCGGATCGACACTGCTCACGGTCTGCAACTCCTTCACAGTCAGATGGTAGTTCGGGTAGCCTCGGTACTCTTCCTGAGCATGACCGAAGCAGAGAATCAAATCCGTGGTCGTGGGGCTGGTGAACAGGAACGTGGCCGACAGATTCTCGTCCAACAGTACTTCCTGCGAAATCATATCGCTCTGCTCGCCACTGCAGGTCAGACCCCAGTACACGCGATCTCCGCTATCAATGCCCAGTCCATTGAACGTGAACGTCTTCTCAACGCCCACGACCATCACATCCGCCGAACCCTGGTTCACAGTCACGCTGTTCAGTCCAGACACGGTGAGGTACACCGGCATCTTCACGAAATAGCCCACGTTCTTGAACTTGTAGCACACCTGCAGCTTTCCGGAAGGAACCGACTCCACCAAAATGTTCACCTGCTTGTTGGAGTTCACCGTGAACGTCTTGTCCTCGAAAGGAGCCTCGCACTCGTCATCACCCTTGTTGGCTTCCACGGTGCACATGGGGTCGCTCGAGCCTCTAGGAACAATCAGACGGATTTCATCCGCCTCATCCACGCCGCTTCCCATCACATTCATCGTCTTTTCAATTCTCTCCACCAAGGAATCCGAAGCGCTGCCTCCGGCAATGCTGAAACCAGTAAAGCTGTAGAAGGTAACCTGGATGTTCGAATAATCGATCACCTCCTTATTACCCCATCTGTAGCAGAAGGAATAGTCGCCTCCAGAAATGTCCTGCACCAAGAACTCAGCATACGCCGTGCGATCACCCTTCTCCTCGTCATTCAGCACGTCGGTGTAGTTGCTCTGGGCTCCATTCGCGCTCAGAATCGGGAGCTTATCGTCCGGGTTCATGCAACTTCCGCCCACTCTCTTGAAGGACAAACTGTCCCTCACATTCGGATCCGTCAACGCACGGTAGTAATAGAGCTCCATCTCGGGACGGTACAGACAACCGACCACTGCATGCGAGTTATTCAAGCCAATCAGCTCCAGAGCATGCATATAGATATCAGGATACTCCATGAATGGCTCGTTTCCAAACTGGTAGCTCAGAATGTACTTTCCATTCGTCTCGAACGCAACACTGCTGGTGTGGTTGCTTCCTCGATTGCTCACATCCACATCCACAGTAACGGGCTCCTCCGAGTCCTGCAACACCCACTTTGCATGATCTCCCATGGTGTAAGAGGAAGGATAGTTGCCGAAGTAGTTCACCAGCACAGAGTTCTTCTTGGCAAATCCATACGTGGGATTCACGCCGCTAATCGCCACTACGTACAGCGGCAGAGCGTCATTCATGACGCTCTTAACCTCCTCGTTATAGTTGCTAAAGCGATAGCAAATCTTCAACATATCGACATAGGACTGCGAGAAAACGACAGAGAACCTCAGCTCGTTCGGGGAGAGCAACGTGATTTCGCTGATCGTGGCGTCCACCTTCGATCCCTCATCGCAGTAGTCCACCGTCTGTTGAACGAAGAAGAAGTCATCCAGGTTCGAAAGGCCATTTCCATTGATGATAAACTCCTTCTTCTGCTTCGCTACAACAAGATCGTTCGCATAGGTAGCGTCAGACGCCTCCAGGCTCACCAGATTCATGACGTCGAAAGTAATCAGCGGATAGTTCACAAAGTCCTCATTCTCACCGGCGAATTTGTAGCAGAGAGTGAGCGACTGGCTCACAGGAAGCGAGGCGTGGAAATTCATGCGCACCTTTCCGCCCGCTCCCACTTTCAGAGTCTGCACCGTGGAATTGGCGCCATTGTAGAACTTCACCCAATTGTCTGGGTTGTTGCAGTCCTCACCTCTCCACAGCACGCGCAGTTCATCTCCTTCGCTAATACTTTCATCCGTTCCAGAAATCGTCACTTCCCGCTCCTCTCCAACAATGAACTTGCGCGGCGTGACATCGATCACGCTTCGCAGATCAATCATGTAGTTCTTGTAGAGCTTCCACGGAAGGTCTCCGAACTTGTAGCACAAAGGAGCGTTCAGATTGGGATAATCCGAATTGTAAATGAACGTCATACTCACGTTCGCCTTATCACCTTGCATAGCGTTAACCACACCGACTGCCGCATGACCCTTCACTTTGTGGACGATCTGCTGGGAGATAAGAGTATTGCTGAAATTCGTGCACTCGTTCGTCGCCGGGCAAGTCTTCACCTCGCTCGCAATGACCTTCGCGCCATAATGCAACGACGGGTTCGCGATGATCAGCACCTTGCTGCTGATGAACTCAACAGGAGTGAACGTAAAGATGCCAGATCCCTGCTCAGTGGAGGAGTATTTCATTTGGTACTCGCGGTTAAGCAAGAAATCACTCATCGAGCACTCACTATCGTCCGTGATCTGCAGGGTGTAGATACTTCCAGATGCGTCGCTTTGAGGGGCGATCGTAAACTCCTTATCCTTGCAACGATCCACGTAGTCACACTGTCTGCACTCCACAGAGCTGTCACCCGGAAGGATCAGCTTGAAGTCGGGCTGCGTCAGAGCAGGCTCCAACACAGAAATCGTCACAGTAATGGAATTGTTGCTCGTGTATCGGATCGTCACATCCGCCTTATCCACTCCGGTAAGCTGCTCCAGCTTAATGGAGGCGACCTGATCCGTATCCTGGACAAAGATAGGGACCGTCCGCTCCTTCTTGATCGCAACATTGATGCCATTTGTAGAATCCTTGTTCAAGTCCATAAAGTACGAGTTGTTCGTCTCGATGATAAAAGAGCCGGTGAAAGTGAGAGCACTGAACTGCAGTGTGACCTCATGAACATCGATCACGGAACCAAAGGCCTTGCTATCTGCCGTCCAACAATCCGCATCTTCCATCGAACCAGGGAGAGCAAACTTGATCTTATCTCCAATGCGACCGTACACAGTGTTAATCTCAAAGTCCTTGACCACATTCGAAGCCACCTTCTTGTTCTCAATCCAAACATCATTCATATCCACTTCAGCAACGTTCATACGGATGTGACTCAAACGAATAGGATCCACCTTGCTGTCCGTGCTACTGAAGTCGTACCACAGCACACTACGATTGGAGGTTACGAAGGTTTCCAGAGTGGAGTGGCCAATCGCACTCACAATCCACGTCTTGTCCCTATCCCAAACAGTCTGGGACTCCGGCGCCCACAGGGCAAGATTCATATCGTTGTCCCCAGCATTCGAGCCCACGAAATTCACCTGGATCACGCTCGTATACACGGGACTTCCCCAGTTCTTCGTGATGTACAAACGGTAGTAACGAGCAGACACAGCACGGGGCAGCTTGTAGTTCTGGAATCCGCCCAAAGCTGTGACGTTGGTCTTTTCCATATCCTTGACGCTCAGCACAGTCTCCCAGGGAGCGTTCGCCAGAGCGTTATCTCCTTCAAACACGCAGCTATCGTCGTAGCAGAACATCAGACGCTGCAGCTCGAAGTCACGAGGCAGCTGCTGGAAGAACACGCTGTTCACGTACATTCCGAACTCCTCAATCGTGATCAAGCTCTTGAAGTCGTAGATGATCCAGTGGTTCAGTTCGGTCGATCGACCTCCGTTCTCGAACGCAAACACTGCATCCATCGGGTTCTTCAGATCATCCACAGTCACGTACGGACCGTGCGAAGCGACCGCACGGTTGCTTGCGTACTTCCTTCCGCTCGCGTCGTTTCCTCCGGTGAGCGAAGGGTCGGGGGTCAGATCGTGATAAGCAGCATCGCGGGTGATGTTATGGATGCCGTGACCCATATACTCCACCAGTGTAGGCAGATCCTTCACCGTCATCTGCGTGGTGTTGCTTTCCAGTCCCACAGCAATTCCGGTAATCGAGGAGACGTTCATAGCTAATGCGGAGTACGGAACCTCCACCTTCAGGTCGCCATTCATAAATCCGTACACCAAGTAGTAGCTTCCCTCGCTCACAAACGTCAAATTTCCCATACGCTCCGTCTTACTGTTGCTAAAGAAATTGACATCGGCTCGAATCTGATCCGCCTCATTCCAATAATAAGCCGTGTCAGTCTCATCCAGCGACAGTCCCGTAAGCGTGATCGTAGTTTCCTTATTCAACACGGTAGTAACAAAATTGACGTTTCCGTTACCCATCTTGGTGGTCACCGACGTCACAATGTGGAAGGTAAACACAGCACCCAGGTTGAAGGGAGTATCGCACATATCCGTATTGCGGGAAGCCTGATAGTACAGCGTGTACTCACGATCATCCGCCGGACTGCTGATTAAGATCTGGAACTTGATTCGATCCACGCCATTCACGTTGGTAATGTTGTGCGTCTGCGAAGTGTAGGTGAAGTTCAGATAATCGTCTCCACTTCGCAGCAAGATTCCATCATCAACCTTGAAGGGTCCCATTCCAAACACTTCCAGGACCATTTCCGTACCAGAAACTAAGTGATTCATCTTTGTTTGCAGATCGTAAACATGGACAATAACATCATGGAACTCCTTGGACAAACCACTGAAATTAGCAAGCAGATAGCCATCGCCAGCCGCGGTGAATTGCATTTTCACTTCAAACGAGTTGCCGTTCTCAGTAATCACATGACCAGTTCCAATCACCGTTTTCTGGCCATTGCTATCTTCCTTGATAAACATAACTGTATCATTAATGTGCAGACCAGAACCAATCAAAGTAATCACGGATTCTCCCAGAAGAGCCAACTTGCAATTCTGCGTTCTCACCTCGGTGATCAAAGCATTCTGGATCGAGAAATAAGCGCTCGGGACCACACCATACACCTCATCATCGTAGCGCACGCAGAAGCGAGCATGATCCATCATCTCCTCGGCATCGATCTCCATGTCCACCTGGTTGTTAGCCAGAGGATAAAAGTCTTCCGACAAAACAGACGCAGCATCCAAGCAATCCTTCGACGAAGACACCTTGTTGCTCACCATCGTAATGTTCATAGTCGGTTCGAAATTACCGTTAATAGCCATGCTAATCGTACCTCCCATCGGTCCATAGGTAGGGGTAATCGAATTCACTCCATACACCGTCGTCGAACTTACGACACTACCCTGAGCATCACACACACGGGCTGTGTGGTCATCGGGCACTCTTGCAAACGTGGAAATAATCGCAGCTAAATTAGAATCCACACAATAAGCACTCAGCATATTGGGGTTAACATAGGAGCTATTCATGAATACATCGTCCGGGAACTTATTGAGACCAATAAGCATATCCTGCGAAGTTTGGATCTCGGGGGCCACATTCCCATAGAACTCGATCGCGAACTCCTGACCATACTTGTTACCCACAATCAGCGGGGTCTTCGACACCGTAGCCACAAAGCCATTCGCATACAGTGCATCACGGATGGAATCCGCTTCATGCTTCGGAGTAAACGGACCAATTTGAATGGAGTTCACTCTGATGAAGAATTCACCATTGTCCACAGTCGACTGCTCAGAGGCAAATCCAAACGTGAACGACGTCGTACTCAGGGGATCGCCATTGCAATCCGAGCCACTCACAAACTTGTAGTACGCGTCCACCTTGTCGCTGTTCATCTGACGTCCATACAAAGCCAGCTCCACCAGTTCGACATGCTCCGGATCTCCAAAGTTCGACAGAATCTCGAGTCTCCAGTAGCGACCAATCACCGTATTACCATCCGTCGTGGTGAAGTTGTAAGTATTTCCAGCCATGCTGTCAATCGTAAAAACCTCCTTGTTGAACTCCATGTAGGGACCCTCAATGCCTTCCACAGAGTAGTAGAACTTGAAGGTTCGCGGAGAACGATGCTCTCCACGCACCGTAATACTGACGTTCCTCACCAGCAAGTACTCCAGGGTATCGAAGGACATCACAGCGTTCAAGTTTTCACAATAGCTACAGACCGCGGTAGAGCAAATCGGAAGAACGGTTTGCGACGGTTCCTCACAACCAGACACACCGCGGCACTCATGACAACGACGACCGCCCACACCCTGGTTGTACGCAGCTATCTTCAAGCCATTGACGGTCAATTGCTGACAATTGGTACTATCTTGTGGACAGTCCTCCTTAGCAACAGAAACGGTCTTCCACACATAACCAGTCGACAAATCGCCATCAAATACATCTGCGGGGTGTCCGGTCTTCTGGTAGGGAGGAGAGTACGGAGGTAAATTGGCAGCATACCCCCACTTTCCATAACCAGTCGGACGCTCACCCCAACTACGACGAATCGCGTCGTTCGGAAGAAATTCCAAAAATCCCTCAGAACGGCAGGGAGCAGGAATCTTCACAGTAGACATACGTCCCACTATAGCATTTAATTCAGCTGATACGGCAATGACTGCCATCAGCATA